GCTTATGTATACAATCAAATACATGGAATAATTTACAGGAAAACTATTATGAAAGAAATCCACAAATGTTCTCTGGTGAGATTTTTTCCACATGTTTTTGCTGTTTGCATGTAAATAGCTTTTTAATGTCCTATGAGTTGTGTGTATGTGGTGAGTGACTTAGGAAGACAGGCTTCTAAATGGGATCTTTGATCTCAAGCATTTATTTTATCTCTGTAACAAATAAAACTAAACGGAGTTGGTGGCTGAACCAAGTCCTCTTTTTCATCTGTACTGCAGCTGCTGCCTACATCTAGGATGATATCTGAGCCTCTCTCTCTTAGCTACCGCCCACATCTCCAGATGCTGTAATAAGCTGTGAATACCAGGCCTTTTAGCTCTTCTTGAAATTAAATCTTCACATGACAGAAACCTTCACAGCCATTTTCTTTTGTGCTATGCGTAATCTTTCTTTTCTGTAAAACTAAGCCCACCATGTAAGTGGCCATCATAAATACTGGGAATAGAAAACCTAGCCGTCCATCTGCTTCAGTATATTATTTAGAAGGGCAAACAGTATCTTACTATGAGAGAATTCCTTAAATTAACAGTGCAAATATGGATTACACTATAGGACGCTTCATTATGTTCAGAAGTAATGGGAGACATTGAAACCGGATGGGAAACTGTGGTTTCCTGCTACATGAGCAAGCTGCAACGAGCCTCAGATTCTCTCACTCTCTACTCCTCTTTTGTGTTCAAGATTGGAGACAACCATATTTCATTATTATATTACATTTCTAATCCATCACTCCTCCTCCGTGTTGTATCCTCATGCTGGGTAGTGATGGGCCCAAGTGAGCTTCATGGATGAGTGGGGATTTGAACCCTAGTCTCTGAGGTCCTGGTCCAACACCCTACACCCTGTTGACAACACCATGCCCTCCCGTTGTGGGATTCCCTATCAAGCCCCGGACATTGGTCAAGAATTATGGGAGTTGTAGTCCAACAACTGGAGGGTCACAATCCCAATTTTTGGTTTAAACAAACCACAGTTATTTGCACATTACAGGGAGCTAAGGCTTCTTTGAAGTGGCAGTGCTTAATCTTCTCTGACGCACAAAAGAGAAGGAAGCACAGAATCCCAAGGCTTGTTCTCAGAATGGGAACTAGTTTCTTGTTATGGCTGAACCATCCCAATAAATCACAGCATTCATTTGCTAGATACATCTACAACAAAGTGTTATGGAATTTTATTTGTTTTTAGTAATAACGAGAAAGTTAACTTGTAGGGGGAATGTTGCAGCCCGAGGCTGCACATCTAAGCATAAATACTTGGAAGTGAGTTACAACTGAAATCTATTGTTCTTAATTCATTCAAGTCATAATAAGCCTGGAATGCAGGGCTGTCAAATACTGTTTTATCTCTAGAGCAGGGAAGCCGGAAAGTCTCCAAATCTACCCAAGGAGATGACCCAACGGCTTGGTCGAAAAGCCTGCAATATGTTTTGAACAGCTTGCTTTCTTGGTTTTCAGAGAATCATTAATTATTTCTTTAGTTTTATGGAACAGCAGCACAATCCTATGAGCAGTATTGTTGGCAAATAAGCAGCTAAAACGGGTGGCACAACTCCTGGCCCAGCAGCACGAAGTGAGTTGTCACCGTATGACTTTGACAGTTTGGTGGCCAGGGCCTTTTTAGTACCAAATGGACATGGCAAGACCACTAGAAGTAGTTTTAAATCCAAACGACCTCACCCCATAGGCTCACCAAGTTTCAAAGGCATGAGCAGCCAGAAAACAAACCAAGCTTTGGAGAAACAAGCCATGGTGCGTATTTTTGTGGGGACAACTTCTGATTCACTCATGGTTTGCTATGTAGGAACTGGTCAGAAACTAGAATTTTCCCATTCTTCTGGGAGTTTCCTGTAGTCATCTGGAAACATATAACAGCTTTCTTACAAGTCTGCTTCCAGACACTTCAGTCAGTACTGGCTCAACACAGAAATTGCTCTTATTCTCCTGGGCACCTTCAAGTGGTTTCCATTACAATTCCAAGATACCCAGTTAACACTGTTTACAGAATGGAGATGAAGCACTGCAGCACTTATTCAAACACAATTCTGTTGCTATATACTCTATCATGCTAACCTAGGACAGCGTATCTGCATCAGAATGTGTCTTGGCATGGCTCAATTACAGTTGTGGGTAATAATCGCCACCACCATAGCAGCCACATTTGCACTCAACTGCTCTAGAATGCAAAACTGAGTGGAATTAAAGAGCGTTAAGGGTGAAACCTAGAGAGGCCAACTCACTCAAGTAACACTCTGTGACAGGGATGGGAAACCCTTTCCAGCCAGAGGGCTGCATTTCCTCAAGGACAACCTTCCATAGGCCAGTAGTGGCCAGTAGTGGCTGTGACCACAAGCAAAAGGAGGTGTAGCCAGGGCCAGGTACAGCAACAGACGTGAGATACATTTTAGCTGTGCAAAGACCAGAGGTTTCTAGGCACCCACAGCTCTCAGTCTAGGTAAGAAAGAGGTATTCTCACTGTTCAGGTGCCAGGCAACAGCACTCAAGGAAGACACAGAGCAAGGCCAAAGAGGGCGTGGCTTGGGGAGAGTCCCATGGACCAGACAGAGAAGTCTGGAAGTCTGGATTTGGTTTCCAGGCTTGAGGTTCCCCACCCTTGTTCTATGACATTAGGCCATCAGAGCGGCAGTGACATTGGTATAACTAATCTTTTATGCCTGTGCGTGTTTATGCATGTTGCCAAACCAATTCTACTCTCAGGGCAGCCAGTTTGTTTGCTGTCATAGCTATAGGCTCCGTTTCTGTAGGCTGAAGTGTAATTCCACCCAGCCTCACTGGTTGCAAGAGCTGGGTATTGGGTTACAACCATATTGCGTTGGAAACAAACAGTAACAGAGGTGAGATAATCCAAAAGATCCCCCTCCACAAAAGAAAAGGTTATTATGTGATCACATACACTTTTTAAAAAACTTTTTATAGACTTTACTTTTATAGAATGTTTTAGATTTAAACAGAAAATGGGTCAAAACAACTGCATGCATATAAAATCATTCCAGAGAACAAACAATGGCTCTGCTTTGCACATGACCTTCGGGAGAGCCATAGTTCAGTGGAAGTTTAGTGCCAGAAGCTCCCAGTTCCCAGAATCTCTTGATCCAGGATCTCAGGAAGTTGGGCTTCCAAGCCCTTGGAATACATGACCTTGCTACAATCTGTATTGTGTCTACCCACTTCTGAAGTTTAGTGATTATTTTGAAAAGTTCCACCTTGAACCGAAAAGTCAGATACACCTGATGAAAGAGTTGAACCATCTTTTAATTCACAATAAAAGCACTGCATGGAAGAGTACAAAGAATTTGAACACCCATGTGTTTTACACAGGAATTTTCAGATCTCAGGTGAAACGAAACTCTCTCCAACTGTGTCAAGATCACGATATATTCTTCACCTTGAGTATTGGGTCCTAAGAACAAAGACGTGTTGAGCATCCCCATAATTTTTAATCAAGTGCAGGCCTGTCAAGGAGTTTACCAGCTCTTCCAAGACGTAGAGCCTTTTGAAGACTCATTTATAGCCTGGCGAATATAATTATTTCCATTTTTGCCAACTTGTGATTGAACATTTCTCTCCCTTGCCATCCCATACTTCCTCCCCTAAACCCTTCTACTCACAGTGACAGATCCCTAGGGACAAATCTAGTTTTAGCCCTCAGATGCAAGCAGATAGAGAAACACATAAAAGAATGATCAGACATGAGATATTGCCAAAGAATGTTTTCTGAGATACACATTTTACCTTCATGGATGTTTTCTGCTCTTTATTATGGTTCTTCGAAGCTTTCTTAGATGCTTTCTTTGCAGTTATTCATAGAGTATAGCTGAATTATATGGTCCCTTTACCTTTGCTGTAGTCACTAATTTACAAAAGGTGACAGGCAGACCACATAAACACACAATACACTAAGAAAGCTCCTAAGCTCAACCGAAATCAGTAGAAGCCACACAAGAGAATGATGTAGCTTGAAACTGCATGCTCCATGTTCCATTTCTCATGTAAACATTCAGACTGATTTCCATCTCCTTCACTTATAAGGTTCCATTGGCTTCTGTGTTGCCAACAGACTGACCATCAAACACTCTGTAGTCTATCAAATAGATGTATCCTTATCTGCACATAGTTAATATGTGGTAAACCATAGTTAATATGCCTATCATGCCTGCTTTGTTCCTCTCTGTTAACATGCAGAAAACGCAAACTGAGATCCTTGGTTTACTGCTGTGCCCAAATCAGGCACAATGGTTTGTTTTGGTGAAACAAACCATTATCACTAAGCTATGAACAATCCTTTCTGCAGATTGTGGTTTGTATGGAAAATCATAATCGACCATTTCATAGGTTTATCTTGAGCTATGAATAGCTTATTTCTTGTGTTAAGATTATGTTTTAAAATCCTTTCCAAAAATCTATAAGAAGATTCTTTTTCAAGGGAAATAAAGTGATTTGTAATGTTTATGTCAGAGCAAAGGCATCACCTATTGCCAAAATAAAATAAGAGACAGTCGTACCTTGGTTTTCGAACAGAATACGTTCCAGAAGTCTGTTTGACTTCCTAAATGTGAAACAATAGCGGAAGCCACATCGAATGCTCAGCTTCCAAAAAAAATTCAAAAACCAGAACACTCACTTTCGGGTTTTGATCGTTTGGGAGCCGAAACGTATGCGTACCAAGGCGTTTGACAACCAAGGAATGACTGTACTCACCATAGTGTCATTTAGCTGAGATTTACCAATCTCACAGGCTCCTCTAAACAAATGTAAATGTAGAAATAATTGACATTGCAGAGGAATTGTCAGTTGCAGAATAACTGCCCCAAAGCCCCTCCCACTTGTCACTCTGCTACAGAACACCTCCAATATGTCACAACACTCCAGTACCCAATTGTTAATAATTGGAACTCATTAGCCCAATAAAGATCTGCTGCAGGGACAGTTTAATAGTATAGATTTATTTCATTTTATTAATACCTGCCCCAACAAAGAAATACACTCCAGTGTAGCTCACAACAAGCAACACAATAAAAAAAACAATCAAAATATTAACACAAATACCTTCATTGTAACACTTTTGTGTGTTTTATTGGAGCCCCAATAAAAATATATACTGTGAAACTTACTTCGATGTAAATTATTACAGGAATCATAAAATAATCATACAATAAAAAAGAAATGCTAAATATAAAAGTATGTCCTGCTGCCTGCCTTTTATTTAATGCAAAGCATTTTGAAATATTAGCTTATGTTTTGTACTGTACGTTACATCTAATTTTAAGTATATTTTAGATTATACTGCAAAGTGGTTTTTAACAGAGTAAAACGGGACAACAGTAGTGGCAATATTGCTTTTGGACTAGTCAAAATATAATGGCTAATGTAAAATAAAGAACAAAAACGAACAGTACAACATACAACCTAGATGATCAGGGATTGAGACCCCCTTGCCATCAAATTTGCAAGAGACATAAATTCTAACAGCCTCATTTAAACTGTTTATTCCTTCCTCTAGAAATAATTATTCATATCCTAGAATATGATCACAATCTAGTTCTTCTGCTGATATGCATGCAACATCATACAGAATTTAGTGCAAATTAGATTTTCTAAGCTATCACTCAAGTTAATTAATAGAAAGTCATCTCTCATTTACCATTAAATAAATCTCTAATTCATTAAAAACAATGTCTGGTCCCTTCTGTGACATCTGATTAAACACGGCTACAGAACTGAACATGCAAGGACACTATTTTCCAGTTTCAAAAGGAATATCACATTTAATTAGCTTTTATTGCACACATACAAATATACGGCACACCTAGATCTGTCAAACTTTATAACATAGTTTTCTCAAGAAAAAAGCACATAGACACCAAGGAAACATTTGACATTTGTTAGTGTAACACAAAAGCAAAGCAGTGGATCCAGAATAAGTTCCCCTAACATCAATGGAACCTAAGGCATGACTAGCATCCCAGTGATTTTGATGGGAATTAAGTGTATCTAATGTAATCTAGAAGATGCATCCCACAGAGGAACTTTCCCCAGCCTGATAACCTCCAGACAGCATGGCTGAAAGTCAGGTCAGGGCTGATAGGAATCATAGTCAAAACCACCTGGGTGGTACTAGGTTGGGGAAGGCAGTCACAGAATATTAATTTTAAAAATGTGTATCATGTTTTTAAATAACCATGTTGCACATTCCTTTTGAAATACTTGCTTTTGGCACAGAACAAATGTATCCTCTTCCACTCAATCCCTGGTAAAAAGAAAATAAATGAACCTTGCACACAATAATTATTCATATACACTACAATAGTGAGCACAGGGAAGTTCAGCTAAACTTTAGTAGGAATAAGACCTGTGAATTGAATATGTGGGTCAGAGGATACCTCATATAGTTAAACATGTAACTATTTGATCTTTTCCAATACTCCAACCCATCAATTTTACATTTGACCCATATAAATTATAGGATCAGTGGTAAACTTTTGTGTGTGTGTGTGTGCATAAACACATACCCAGATTTCACTCTCTAGTGGGTACAGAGGTTTGCAATGGAAAAGCTGATCAAGATATAAACCAGAAACATATGTGCTGATGAAAACAAACAGCAAATGAAAAACTGCTGAGTCCCAAGGAAATATAGTATGAAAACCCCCAAAACTACACCAGCAGCCCATTCTGAGCTGTGGATGCAGACAATTCTGTATTTCATAAAAAGGGTAAAATAGAATCTGGCACTGTTCAACGTTTCTACAAAGTTGTGCCTAATGTTAGAGAACTTAAAGGCTGTTCTCCCAAAATGAGCCAGTTTATTCACTATCATGTACTTCTTACCCGTTTATTAAATCAAAGTGCTCTTGTAATATGCAATGTCTTCCTTTGAAAAGGCAAGCCCTGAACTAATGTCAACACCTAGATAGCTTATCTGGAATTAAAAGGAACTCTGCTCAAGGAGTTCAAGCTGAAGATTATAACGGAATTGCCAGATTTGGCACAGGTACTTTCAAACTCTGTAAGGGACATCACAGTGGATGGAAAATGTCAATGCTTAACCAGACAATGACTCAGATTGTGTCACAAAGTAGTTGAGCTACGTAGCACACAATGCCTCGGTATTTTACATCAAGTGATCAAGGTACATTTGATTCAACAACTACGATTCGCACAGCACAGAATTTTCAAGCGTGAAATCGTACCAAAATCTTGTTAGGTTGTCATTGACATCATAGGAGAGCAACGGTCTGGGAAAGTCATTGCATGCGTCTTGCGCTGCCAGGACATGTGGTGCAAGCGTGAAAGGTACATCACTGAGAAGTTCCAGCATAGAAGGTTGGCTTTCCACGTTCTGATTTTTCTCTGTCCCCATCTCAGGCAACTTTGGTTGATTCTCTGAATTTGTCTAAGGAAACAGAAGAGAGAAAAAGAGAGAAAATGGATATTATGAATGCTGCACTTGTTCACAGTGGCCTTCTTGCGCGGCGGCGTTGTGAACTGGCTTGAATAAAATTGAAACAGTCAATTCATGCCATGATGTGGCCCCAAGTGAAGCCGAAGCAGTAATCGCAGGTGACAAACGAAGTGCCTCCTGTGAATTTTGTGCTCTGGGAAGACAGGGAACATTTGTGTGCGAGGATGGTAACACAGTGTCTACTTCGGCACTGCTGTTAAATGAACATCTCTCTTTAAAAACGCAGCTGCACAAAGCCATTACTTTAACCAGATAGTGATCTAAAGAGACAAGCGTTATTCTAGAGGTTCCAGTATTCATTTACATGACTCAATCCTGTATCAGCAACTCTTAAATCAGATTACAGGGGCCTTTCCACACAAGCAGCTTACTAGACTATAAATGTGTGTGTTTGTTTCTCTTTGGTGTACGTTGCCTACACGCAAGATTGTCCTCCGGTCACATGGAATACTGCGTTTCTCAAGAGCAAAAAACAGTAACATTTTGCAGCTGGATAATCTGACGCTTTCCCCAGACAGTGCATTTATTGCTATTGTGATTAATAAGCAGGGGGAAAGTGGCCTGAAGGAGGAAAGGTCACAAGGCCTCTGTTGTTAGTAGTTTTCCCTGAACAATAAGAGCAACTGTGCATGCTGGATCAGAGCACCGGTCTACTTTCCCCTGTAAGAGAAAACATGCTGTCAGGCATGATGTCCTTGTTTAACGGCATAAGAGAGAATTAAAATCCCTAGAGTCTTGTTTTGTTTGCTAAAACTACACCCCAGGGAACACCTGCTTGCAGCTTAATTGTTGCACAAATGTAGGACTTCAAATAATGACCCATATTAATATAGCATGTGAGGGAAAATATGTTTAAAGTTAACTGCACTCATTTGAAAAAAAGCTGGAGAAAGGAAGGTAACTTCATATGTTGTCCTGTCCCATTCATTCCTCTTCCTTACGAGTGGAATGAAATGGATTTGGAAGAAATGCCATGCTGACAACAATAGAAGTTATTCTTTTATACAGCAGCGCTGCAAGCAGTAATGAATGATTTACAAAAATGCTGTTCTGAATCTTTAGCAGACAAAAGAGAGGTTAAGCTCTTGTTTTCAAATGGCTAAACACCCTAATTATGACAATTTGCAATGTATTGTTTCATTCCATCTCGCTTTTACAGGCACCCTGCTTCTCCTCTTCTGGTGTTGGGTTCCACACCTAGTTCATTTGACTAAACAAGGATTAACATTTCAGTCTTGTGGGCAATGTATGCAAGAACCACAGCTAATATCTCTGAAAGCCATGGCGTTTGAGAAACACAACTCTTTTATAAAAGCAGGAAATGAACTTACCAGAAAATTCTATGGTTACCAAGTTAAGGCACTGTGCTCCTACATCTCAGACAGAAGAAAATGCAAGCTAAACTTAAGTAGGGGAAAACATCTGCTTCTATGTGCATCTTCTCAATCCATTAGGTTTTCTGAGGGGCCTTGTTTGGTAGACCACCACTATCAGGCTGGCCATGTCTGTGAAAAGGGTAGCAGGGCCGAATCTTTTCCCCTTAATCACTCAGTAGCATCATGAAAGCAGCAAAGACTGTGTTTCATAAGCGCTATGGAGCAGTATTTAAATGCATCAATGTGCTGGGTTTTATGAATTTATAACCATTTTAATGTCATTTTACTGTGCTTAGTTGTATTTTGTAGTGAATGAGGCCCATCCTAGGACCATCCACTATGGAGAGACATAAATAAACACTCTACCCTACACATATGCAATCTAGCCTGAATATGATGTAAAATGCATTAACTATAAGATTCAGAAGCCTGAAATTGCCATGACCTAGAATTGTATATACACCTCCACTACCAATTCTGCATTGTAAGGCACTCATTTTTTCCATATCTCAATTTCCTTCTGTTTTGCTTTCGAATTTGGTCCTTTTCTGACATCTTTTTAAATCATCCTATTAAAGGAAAAGTGCTTCTCTCCTTTTTAGTAACAAATCCCTCTTCATTCTCTCAACTGCATTGCTGCAATACGAGGAAATGGTAAGGCAACAGCAACAACCCAGTTGAGTGAACTTCTTTTCCTCCTTGCAAGAGTTTGCTTTATAAAACCATCAAGAAGCAAAGCTCATTGGAAAGTAGGAGAGGGGGGAGGGTCTCAAAACCCATTGACTTGCTTCCTTGGTTTTCAAACATCAGATGGCTCTAATTAACTGTTTCCGCTTCAGTCTGTGCAAACCTTGCACATTCTAGGAAGAAGCATATTGCTTTCCCCCATCTCTTAATAAGCACATGAGCTGTCATGTGCAATCAAAAGGACATCACCAAATATATCTTCTTCCCACATTATGCTATGTTTTCCCTATGAGAGTAACCTGCAGAAACCATGCCATGAAATAAAACCGTAAAGCAGAAAAATGGCTCTTAAGAGATGGGCAATAAAAATTTCAGAAGGAGTTCTGTAGTTGAAAATTTAACAGCTTCAAATGATAAATAAACAACAAACAAATAATAAAAGAGATATGGAGACTTTGTGAAGTTAATGCTACTTCTATTTGGTCTTTTAGTTTATCTCTCTTCAGATTACATCATTCTATTTAAATTTCAACAGTTATGAATGCTCAATCAAATATATTCTAAAAGAAATATTGTGTAGGAAGTTCCATATAAATAAAGGATTTTAGGTATAGAATTCCATTAAAAATATATTTTTAATGCATATTGCATGGTAAACATGTGTGGATTCTTATGTAGGGCAAAGAAGCTGTGTTAACTGCCCCAACGAGATTTAAAACCATGGGTTGTATCCAATCACGCTCCTCCAAAGATAGAAGGCTCTTTGAACTAGCAGATTTTTCTGTGAATAGAAAGGGGGATGATTTCCACAAGTTCTCCTTCTTTCCTGAAGCCCACACCACCCCAGCTGTCAGGAGCAGACTGTGGGGTGGTGGAAGCAAGAGGGGACTACAAAAGGAAGAGGGGAACAAGCAAAAATCATTTCCCCTCTTTCCCCTCAGGGAAGTCTCTGCCAGATCAGGGAGCCTTCTGTGAATAAAGGGACACAACTGGATGCATGTATCATTTAGAAACTACTACCTAGCACACTGTTTCATGTATTTAACTCTCAAAGAAGTTAACAAGTCTGAAAAAGTTATGTGGATAACCTTAGGGGACTTCATGCTGGCATTGGGATGGGCCAAAGGCAAAAATGAGTGGAGCAATTAATGTCATTACACACACACACCTCCCTGTGCCATCCAGGTAAGCAAAAAGCATTATGACAGCTCAAGCACACATGCCAGCCAGGCAAAACCATTCAAAGAGGGTTGCTGAGCAGGAAAAGTTTGGGAGTGGCCTAGGAAAAGTCCCAAGAGCCTGATATGAGTGTCCTGGAAGCCACATTTTGCTCCCAGCCTGAGGTTCCCCATCCCCATCCTAGAGATATCCAGGAAGCTTGGACCTTTCTGGAGAGTTCTGCACCCATTGCAGCTGTCTGAAAGCCACTGCTATCTTTCTAGAAAAAGAGGTTCCAGAACTCACCATGGACGCCTCCCTTGTTCTCTTATAATGGCAATGGCGCCCACCTGGGAGGTGCTGGAACTCAGTTCCGGTGAGTTCCAGTTGAAAAAAGAAGCCCTGCTGCAAACCCTACTCCTCCAAATACGTCATAAAGATCCAGGTAAACTGCAATCTACAATGAACTCTACCAATGTTTAAAGAAGAAACAAGAACAACAAAGCACTTAAGCAGGCTTCCAAATCCTGGCCAATTAAGTTTGCCACGGGGGTACTGAATTACACACATTAAAAAAAACAATGGACAAAATGTGTTATAACTGGATAGTTTATTTCTTTTTAACCAGATTTCTTTTTAAACAAAGTGTGGCACCTACACATCAGTACTAGGCTGACTAAAAAGGTATTGTTTTGTATATAAGATCTTATCAAGTTAGGTTAACCTTTACTTCTCAACCATAGCAATTAACTAAGCTTTTCCATGCCTAGCTTCGGACAAACAACATTGGTGACAAGAGCAAGGGCGGTATCTGTCAATCCCAAGATGTTATGCCAATCTAACAGTACTAAGTATGGAAGCATGGGACAGCACCTTATCAATCCTGTTAACTTGCCAAGCTGGTTTCAACACGCATATCACAACAAAACAGTGCTGCGCAAAGTGAAGGTTATAAAAATGGCTTAAGCTTCCATGCTTGTCTCTTTCCAGCACATACAGTAATTTACAGCAGTGTGTTTGGAGGATTTGTTATTCTACCTTAGACATGCTGATTCTGCATAACATTCACCTTTACCCAGCTTGTCCCATTGCGAAGTGTGGGGCATTCAAAACATATTCTTCAACAGTTGGCTACACAAAATGCTGTCAGGTATACCATCATCACAATTTCCAAGTAAAGTGGACTGTCAATTCAAATAATTTTGAAGAGCGTCTTTAACATTTTACATTAGAAATTCAGGGACCATATATAGGCTGCAATGACAGCTGATGGTAAACATTTATTTACAAAAACAGGTGCTTTTCTTGTTCAGCAATGTTCACCCATTATCTAAATGCTGTATGTTCACAATTCAAAGAGATGTTCACAATTCAAAGAGATGTTCACAATTCAAAGAGATGAGTAATAGTACAATATCCTACAATGGAAAGCTTGAGCTTGCAGACAGAACTTCAGTGGCAAATGTTAATAACACAGGACATATCAGCCAAGACTCCATTATTTCTGAGTTTTAACAAATTACATTTGGAAAGGGCAGTCAGCAGAACAAAGCAGCTACAGCAGAGGGTTTAGATCATGGGTGGGCAAACTAAGGCCCAGGGGCCGGATCTGGCCCAATCGCCTTCTAAATCCGGCCCACGGATGGTCTGGGAATCAGCGTGTTTTTACATGAGGAGAATGTGTGCTTTTATTTAAAACACATCTCTGGGTTATTTGTGGGGCATAGGAATTCGTTCATTCCCCCCCCCCAAAAAAAATATAGTCCAGCCCCCCACAAGGTCTGAGGAACAGTGGAGCAGCCCCTGCTGAAAAAGTTTGCTGGCCCCTGGTTTAGATGGAAAACCCAAGTTCAAATCCTTTCCAGGGCTGGTGCGGTGGGTGACTGTACTCTGAACTAGACTGCCGTGAATGTTCCCCAAACTCATGATTCCTGCAATCAGTTTCAAGAGCTGAAGGCAGACCTTGATCAGCAGCTAGGAAATATAACTTTGCTGACAAAGCCAGGGCATAAGGAGTATCTCTCCCTAGCCAATCAGGAAGTCTCATAATGTCAGCCAATCATGGGGGGAAATAATGCACTGTGCCACAACACACGCAATCCTGGCCCTAGCCTCAATAGTCCTTAGTATAAATCTCTGTTCATCTAACATCCCCTGGTCTGGTTCACATGTCACAATAAGCTGCATGATGACTTACAATGAGCAAGCATGTTGGTACCTTCCTTGTTTCCTGAGAGTAAATGAACCAGAGCACTGATTTAGTATCACATGCAAACCAATGCTTATGGTTTCTTTCTATCCAAGCAAACCAGGAGAGGAAGCCAAATCAGCACGCTCTGGCACGCTTTGCTCAATCATGGTAAGCCATAGTTCAGCTTACCATTATGCACAAACCAAGTCACACACATGTCTTCAGCTGAAATCACAGAGAGATTTCAGAGCTTGCTAGAATGACCTTGCTCCCCCCCCCCACATGCAGTGAATGTATGAGGTTAATGTGAACAAGGTTAGCAGCATGCATGGATCTACTTGGGTTAAGTACAGCATCTTGTTTCCACAGCAGCCAACCAGATTGTCCTTGGAAGCCTACAATAGCCTCATCCTATTGTCGAACCCAGAAGTAGCCACTGCCAGCCTGAACCACTTGCAGTCATTGATAGGCTTGTCCTACTTCTGGGTGGATAAAGATGACCACTTTACCATATATTCTACCACACACCTGCCCCTTACTGACTGACTAACAAGGAGGAGCAATTTTTATAGCTGTTCCTTTTCGAAAGAAGAGAAGGAACAGTTAAAAATAAAATGTGGATGTCCTTGAGAAGATTTAATTTGAATTGAGATGAATCATGAGAATGGCTGTTCTTTTGGGAATTATGAAGTACAGTCAGCATCCTGTGGGGATGTACAAGGTGTTCCTATAGAGTATAGAGGGACATCAGTGCCAGGCTGAGGGAGAAATTCTGCACTGGTCTGTAGTAGTTTTCCTTTATTTTCTCAAATCAGACACAAAGGCTGCAAATCCTAAATTGCCTGAGAAATTTCGGGCTAAATACATGAGTATTCTTCAGAACAACTCATTAAACAGCTGAGGTGAGAAGCCACTATGAAAAGGTACTGGTTTTTGGCTGTTCCTCATTTTCAGATTTTGCACAAATGTCTTAACAGGGTTTGTAAAATGAAGCTTATAGGAACATGACGCTAAAGAACATACTTGGGGGTGGTCATGAAACCTCTCTCAAAGTTATCTCAAGACAAAAGCATATATAAGAACTCATCTACATCTATTGTACAACTCTGAATTGCCCTTCTAATCTCTTTTAAAGAGTTCTGGTAGAGACTTCCTGCATTTTTATATAAACAGGATCCTTTTCAGTAGCAATTTCTCTGAATTGTAGCAAAGAACAGCTCATTCAGCTTTGGCATGACTTCTGCTCCCAAACTATCACTGCTCAGTTCTATTTAGGAACTGGAAAAATCAAACTGAAGCTATCATCCTGTTACCAAATATTTGCAAGGTGTGTTGCAAAAATGGAAAGACATTGTGATGATAGAAATACAAAGTGCTGGAGGAAGAGTGCATGCTCAATAATTCCTTTGCATCAGCTTAATTATTACGAGAAAGGGCAAAAGAGCAAGCATCAGGGATTGATTATAAATGATAGCAACTTTTTCTGCACTCTCTGGATCTTTTAACATTGCTGTACTACAGCTGTTGCCAAGATTCCTTTCAGCTCTGCTCGACCTCATGAGCCAATCATCCAGTTCAAAGATGCAGAAGGCTTTCCATTCTCCTCTGTCTGCCTTGACCAGCCTGAAGTGCATCTTTCTGAAGAGCTTAGTATGCAGGACATATACATGTGTGTATGTAATTCTTCTGTGCTGTGCCACAACACAGACACACCAACGTCTGGTACTGATCACAAAATCCAACATCTTGAGAATCTCAGCTTTCAATATTTTAAAAGCAAATTTGCAGGACTTACAACTGTGAAGTTAGCCTTCAAAGTGCATGGGCAATTGTTGAAGTCCCAGAGGGAGTTCAGCAGGATTTCTAATGGGCTGAGCTCCTTCTACAAGTAGAAGATAATGCAAAATTTGCACACAGGCAAATTTGTTAAAGTTGCATGGTTTTTTTCTGCTTTAGCACACATTTTGTTGGTGGGAGAGTGTTAAAAAAATATCTGCGTGTTTCCAGTCCCAACCCACTGCCTCTTCAGAAACAAGCTGACCTCAAACCTTTGGCTCTTTGTGTCAAACTGAGTATGCAAGTCTACTCTGAGATGCACACACTACAAGTTGAGCCACACCTTCTGGTTTTCCCCAGATAGCTTTGGACCAAAGCCAGCTCCCAAGCAGAGGAGATGTGAAGCTTGTGCCTTTCATATGAACTATAAAGCACAAACAAGGGTCAATAAAAGACAGCATTTGACCACTTGCCTATAATGATCACTGGTTCCTTTTGAACAGTAAACCTGAAACTACAAGACTAAAGCCAAGTGTCTGTTTTGAAGATCAAATAGCAAGACAATAAACTGACCACTTGTTAATTTCTTTGCTGGTATAGTACTGGGTAACATATTTGATGACCCAGCCAATGCTAGAATTGTCTCTCACACTGGAGGGAAAGGAAGACAATACTCTCATTCAAAGAGATGCTTTACTGCACAACTTATATATTTTGAAGATTACCGGCATAAAGTGGTTGCTGTTAGATTGCAGTTTTCTAGCTGCTGAAGTTTATCCAGGCCCATCTAAATGAAAAAGAAAGCAAGTATGATGTTGACTTTTGGAAAGCAGGGATTAAGTAGACCCTGGAAGATTTATTTTGACCACTAGAAGTATAAGTCACCCAATAAAGCAGGAGAAGAGTACAGTGAAGAACTAGGGCAATGAAAAATAAGGTTGGAGGGCAAATATGTGAATTTGTGATCAGCTTCACAAAACAATATTTGGATGCTTTTTTATAAATAACTCACAGGAAGCACCAATACATTTGGCATCTGTTGAAGAAAAGCACATCTGGCCATCAGTGCAAAATGCAATGTCAAAGAAGCAAGCATAAGTTACTTTTACAAGGTGACAGTAGACAAATACAAACCACAGCAGTTATTTCTACAACTACCTTCTTTGTTTCTTGCACCAGTCTATTCCCCAGGGCACTCAAACACAGATGTTTGATAAGCTTTATAAATCCTAATTCATGATCATGCCATCTGTCAGAATCAGATGAGGTTTTATTTATTGTTACAGGTAGTACATACTATGCTGTTGGTTGCTGCAAAACAAAACAAAGCAACAATTATTCTCTTAATTTTCTTAATGTGTCAAAGAGAGAATTAAAGGGGGATAGGTGAAATGATAGCTGTGAACTCTGGCACTGCAACTCAGTATTCATTCTTAAGGGCAGAACTCTGTATTCTGAAAATAAGATTGGAGCAATCAAAATACATTTAGACAAGGACTATGATAGCAAAGAACAAAAGGAGGAAATGGCAAGACTATGAGGACTGCACATAGGTGAGCAGTAAATGAAGCAGGAGGGGGTGGGGAGTCAAGAGTATCAGCCAGAGATTCAAGGCAGAACAATTCAGTCAAGTAGCGTTTGGAAAATCATCAACATAAATTATTGTTAATGAAAATTCCTATGGTAGTTTTCCATGCAAGTCATTGACAATCTTTACAGCAATTATGTGAAACAAAGTTAAACTATAATCCAGCAGGTTGACCAAGGCAACCCAGCAAACCTGATGACTGACTGGGGCTTGGAACTTGAGTCTCCCAGTCCTAAAAACCACCTTGGCATACAACCACCCTAATGCAGTACATTTGTCAACCTACAATAACCATATTAGTGATCATAAAAAGTTGACAGTCTCATGATTTAAGAGCAAAGATCAGCATTACGAGAACAGATGGATTTCTCAGTCCTCTCCCATCATCTTCAAAGGTTAATTTCAAAAGAGGCTAATGTTAAAAGGAAATAAACTATGTATATTGCCTCTGCAGACAGGAATGTTTTCCTTTTTTAACCTGAGCCTTTTTTGCAATATAATTTAATTAAAATTATTTTTTTGTTAAGCAAGGAGAATGGATCCAAATGACAAAGGCCATCATCTCTAATAAGCCATACAACTCTGTCAGTGAGCTAATTGTAGAATTGTATGGTTTCTTGTTTAACCTTCTTGCCACTCTCCTCTAGGAAGTCTTAGTTCTGGTTCAGCAAACTGCTTTCAGCAGCACATTACTGAAAAGTCAACTTTGCTCCATTACTGGAAATTACAACTCAGAAGACCTTGTCCACTGTCACCCCTTTTAGATGAGCAATACCATCACCATGGATGCCCCTAAACCCAGGAAAATTACTGTGACCAAGGTTTCAGTGCTCATAAATGTCAGCACTGCCTAAAAGCAGTAGAACAGAGTTGAAGTCCAAGGTGGAATTTGAAGCACTTGTGTTCAAGGAAGGCATATACAAAAAGAGAACATTTCTTGGGGATACACAATATAATTAATACAATTGTGCTTATGTAAGATAGGTTCCTTCATATGAAGCAAACCTTCGTGTATTTATTATTGGGGGGAAAGTTGGAAGTGTTTGCTGTATATCTTTGTGCAATGTTTTCCAAAGAATTTCTTGACATGCAAATACATGAAATATGACTCACTAGTAGCTATGCCCTTCTTGTTTATTCATAACCACACAAGCATTTCTGTCTCCATTTCAATGCATAGCTTAGAACACAAACATCTATCAACTTTACAGTTTGTTCTTTGTAATGCACAGGCATGGAAATAAAGGTTTAAACATCAGTCAATGTCTGCAAACTTCCTAGGAAAAGTGATCTATTTGTTTTATTTTATTCAGCCTGTTTAGAAGCTTGCCTATACACTGCAACTAGAGATGTGAAGACTTAGAAAACATAAAAATGGGGGAGAGCTGTAAAAAAAATGGTTTCCCCCTCCATGACATTACATCTCTAACAGCAACCCATAAAATGATAGAAATAAACAATAAAAGTGGTATCAATAAAGGTTTTAAGTTGACAAAAACAGATAGTTTGATCTTAAATATTTCTATGTGAACACCTATTACATCTTCCTAGGATTTCTGTGAGGCAATGCATGTTAAAATTACTGCTTCATGGCACCATTTTGCATTTTTCTCCTTGCAAATTTTCCTCACATTTTTTTCTATCCTTGTAAGGCAGGTGTGGGGAATCTTCGGTTCTCCAGATATTGGTGAGCTACAACTCCCATCATCCCTGGCCATTGGTCATGTTTGTTGGGGCTCATGAAAGCTGTAGTTCAAAAACACGCTGCAGAGCCAAAGTATGAAAGCAGTCAATTACTTGCTCCTGGAATCCTACCATTCTGCCTCTACTATAAGGCTTGAAGCATCTTCAAAACAAGCCACACAGACAATCAGGATTCTTAGGATAAGAAAAATGCTACCCAAAGCAGTTTTGGTATATATGTAGTGTGACTGCACAATAAAGAGTACACAGTCTTCAGACATAACCTTATTCTTTTGGTCCCTTGAGAACAAATTCAGGGATCTACCATATTCAAACATGAAAAAGTGATGTGCATGACCAGTCCCAGTATTATATTTTTCACCAATTCACTTCCCTGCGAATAATCTCAAAAGCACTAGCAAAGAGGGCAAATGATATACCAAAAGCTGTTTTCAGAAAGGACTGCAGTGATCAACTAGACTTCCCTCATTCATTGCTGCATTTCATATTTCAATATTTTCCCGTAAGCTCCCCAAATAAAAAATAAATTGGTAGCAGACAACAAGGTGGCAACAGCTGTCACTCCTTGTGCCATTTAAATAGGTACAGTGGGGAAAAAACAGCAGCAAGAGTATGTGTAGCAGCAGTCTTGTGATGGGGTTCACAGACAGATCAGCTTTTTTGCCTGTAGTTCCTGCTATCCCCAGTCACCTATAATTCACTTGAGGAGTTTGGCTTCCTCATTTTTACTATGCTTGAAAACATATTTTATACAAAGAATCATTCTTCCATGCTTCTAATGCCCATGAGGTTCCTGAATTCTTCTCATCAGCAATGAAATATTTGTTCCTTCTAATTTTCCTAGCTTGTTTAATTTGTCCGAGTACAGAGTATTGTGTTAGCATTGGCATTTCCCAAGATAACTTTCAGAAATGAACAGCTTTTCTGACTCCATCTTAATTTGAAAACTTTTTCACAGTTTTTTCTCTTGTTTTCTTTTCTTACTACCTAATGGTACTTTACTAAAAATTAAGGCCATTATCTTTTGTCTACTATTTTCAGTACCATTCTTTTCTTAGAAACATGATGTCAAACATTCCTTTATCACTTTCTCCCTAGGTACCTATTCTGTCCATGTTCTCTAATTCCTCCCTACTGTGCAAACTAGGTCTAAAATAAGGACTCCTTATTGCTTGGTGAACCTTATGTAAGCAATTAATCTTTTGTAAAATCTTTCTGAAGTGTGATGGACAACACAGTTTGCCATATTTTTGGAATACTTCCTTAGGGTACATCTTATGTAGGTAATTATTTATTTTGTTATTTATTTATTTTTCAGAGGGAACTGCAACAAAATGTTGCAGTGTACATCACTCCCTGCTTGGAATTCCAGATTCCCTTTAAATCCCCTCCCCCAAGGTTTCCCTGGCAACAGTCATTAGGCATTTCATGCCCACTGGGCATACTCAGTTCTTTCTACCTGATGAGTTTTTTGCTCCATTTGGGTTTCCCCGCTTCATTTTTGAGGGGGGCGGGTTGGACGGGGGGTTGTATAAACTCACATCCAATTAAAATCTCCATGGATATCTATGGGCAGCTTTCTTTCTTTCTTCCATCTCTGGGGACATTTACAAACAGTTTCTCAGGGTGCAACAGGAAGTGACCTAGCCAAACAATGAGATGGTCCTTTTTACAAAACACACACACATATGTCCCAGAATATGGTCTGAAAGCACAGGAGGCCATCACCTTGCTGAAGCTATGCAGGTCTAGGTCTGACCAGTACTCTTCCAGCTCTCTCACCAGCCTTTCAATTTTCCCTGTCTGCCCCCCATGGTAAGATTCTGGCCCCTGGTAAATGCAGCAGCAACATGTGCCACCAAATTATTATGGGGCTGTTTCCACCTCCCAGCAATAGGTAATCTCTGCTATAAATTTCTGATATCTCTCATAAGTATCTATAATGAGGTTTTGGTTACAAAAGCATGGGAAGATTTGAATCAGTATTAGTATATAGATGACTCGTTTATTTAAACCATTCATCTCCTATCCATGACTGTTTCTACTCTGAGGATAGCTTACATTATTAAATCAACAAAGTAAGAAATTTAAAGACACAGGGTTGTATCCAATGAAGTCATCCCATTATGCAAGTTGTTTTAGTTTTAAGCTGCTTTAACCATGGGTTGCCTCCAACCTGAAACAATTAAAATAGTAAATATAAACATAGAACACCTTTCAGCATATATTAAACACAAATCATTTAAAAAAGAACTATTAAAAGACATCAGAGCAGGTGTTAGAAAATCCTACCTGGAGAGTGTTTCAGAAGCAAAGTAGGTTCTATGTGTGACCAAAATCTGCTACCTGGAGACAAATTTCACTATACCATAAGCCATAGCTGCTACAGTAGCATTTCATCTGTGCTATAAATGTATCTATAAATGTATTTATAAATGTATGCCACCTGAATCTTTATATTCTAATATTTTTCATTGACTAGGTCATTATACTTAGCCAAAAGAGACAATATAGTGGCCACAATACAAATGAAGACGTATATTATGTTTACAGATATGAACGGGAATTAAAGGATATACAGTCATACCTCTTTTTACGTTTGCTTCAGGTTAAATCTTTTCAGGTTGCATCCTGTGGCGACCTGGAAGTACCGGAAGGGGTTACTTCCGGGTTTTGCCGCTCGCGCATGTGCAGATGCTCAAAATGACGCCACGCGCATGCGCAGAAGGGGCAAATAGCGACCAGCACACACGCAGGTTGCATTCTACTCATGTTGCGAACGGGGCTCCAGAACGGATCCCGTTTGCCACCAGAGGTACAACTGTACAACTTAGTCATATTCAGAGCAGATCCACTGAGAAGAAAAAACAGCCACACCAATGATTTAATGAACTTAAATCTATGGATTTCAATGAGTTTATTATGAATGGAACTAACACGGGATACCATCCAATATGTGCAACCACAATTTTCTTTCATATTTTTACTACAGCAATTAGTAATGAAGAAACAAGCCATTTTCAAAGTCACTAGCAGCTTGCCTCTTTGGCAGCGAGTGCTACCGCAATGAACTAAAAAGTAAAGTGTTTGCAACACACACAGTTCCTTTTTCTGAACTCATTAGTTATATTAATTAGCACTACAAATTTGAATAACATAACTTTTTACTGAGCCAGATCTATTATAGGGATACATTGATTACAAGCAATGGACATCATATGTCCATAAAAGTAGATTAGCAACAGTTAGGAAGCAAAGAAAGAACCACCTCTAAATAATCCAATGGTATGCTCCACTATCCTGCAAAATGACTTACAGTTTTGGCCAGTGAAACTGTCTTGACACCAGAAAATCTAGTCATTAACAGTACTTCTCGTGCATATTTGTGTCCCTTCCACGAACACACACTCTCATATAAATGCTAGTTTAAAAGGGTTGTCTCCAACTAAGTATACCCAGAGTAGACCTACTAAAATGAATGAAGCTAAGTATGTCATGCCCATTGGATGACTAAGTAAGTTGTGCTCAGTGAATCTACTCTGAGTAGGACTAACATTGGCTACAACACTAAGTATTTAAATAAAGCAATTATCTAAAAATTAAATCAAGTATACTGGCTTGCATATAGAAGTTGTAGCATTTATTCTTTTACACATTAATTTTCAATGCTTTATGTACTTTAAATCTTCTAGAAGTCTTTTATGTTTGAGCCTGGTAAGGCTATGTTTCCAGTTTAGTCTCATCAGCAGTAAATGTTTAACACATCACTGTAAGTAAGGGAAGAAGGCTGGCAAGATGAAGTAGGGGGGTATATACCATGTAACTTCATCCACCTCACAGAAAGCGATGATGTCAAGTCATGACGTGGGCTGGACTACAGAAACATAGGAACCTCCTCCCTTTCATAATAAAGTCCTGCCTCACTCCACAATATTGACAGAACTATGGTTGGGCTCCATCTTGAGTGTGGCCAGATTTGCAACTTGTGCCAGATGCTTTTGCTGCTCATAGAAAAATCAGCCTCCTCTGCTTGCCTTACAGTGCTTGAGAAAAAAGAATTATGTTTTTGAAATCTTATCTACATACAGAAAACCACAGCTGATGTTTAGTAACTCCTGCTAACACCAACCATATCCTTTTATCAGACAGAGTTACAAGAGGGATTTCTGACCTGTGTAGTCTGGTCACCCTCAGGTCCTGAAGACTCATTGCTTTCTTCATTCACTGTATTGCCTAGAAGACACAATGAAAGAGATTTGTGTTATTGGTCCCTTTCATGACTGCAACATCACTTACAATGTAAAAGTTTGCAAATTGCTTCCCCACCAAAACCCAGCCCAAATCAAGACATCTAACACTGAAATTAACAGGCAGTAAAATGTTCAAGAAACAGCTGAAAAAATGAGACGTGTTCCATGTGCTTCAGCAAGCTTCTTATTCCGCAAAATGTTTCTCATAAATAGTTTCCTCATCACAAACTACTTCCCTCTCTTCTTATTGGAAACATTTTCAAAATCGGTTATAAAATACAAACTTGTTTATAAAAACATAGGTATTATTCAACAAAAGGGCATTATAATAAAGATACTTCTGATGCACTGAGAAATTCACTGAAAAGGAGAGATCAAGCATTTTGAAATTTTCTGGTCTACTATGTTGAACGACTTTTACGTAATTATTAGTAGAGGTAGCATAGTTGTGGCCAACTGAGACCTCTGAATGGGTTCCTATTTCCTTCCTACTGTGAAATCTCATTCGTACTGTTTCGTTTGTGATCTTGCTATGCTGCCAAACTAGATATCCTTCACAACAACTTCTAAAATTAGGACTCACACACAGCTAGAAGAAAGAGACACCAGAACGATAACCAGCAACTGTTTTTGAATGCGGTTATCATTACTTTCAACCTTCTTATGCTGCCTGAAAAAAATGTAGGGTTGAATGCTTGTTAATACAGAAGTCACACCTCTTGGGACACTGAAAACACGAAGCCCAAGCTCATCATGATGATGGCCTTACCTGTTGTACATATACTTGAGGACACACAATGTGGTTAAGATGACACCATCCTTGTAGCTTTAAGTGGAACAGAGGGCTAGCACACATTCTATCTTTGATTCTGACAAAAGCTGCTTTTGGTGTGATAAAAGCAAGCCAGATGAACATCTGCAGGAGACTGTACTAAACAGGGTGTTCTGAAAAACTGTCACCATGAGCCTCCTGAAGGGCAACAGAAACATTTGTTTTCCTTAGAAGGGGAGCGAATGCAGGCTATTCTATTGGCCACTTCTGAGCTTCTTTGGAAGCAAGGCTAGCCAATTAAAGGAAAGGAGTAGGTGCAAAGACATAAAAGCCCACCAGAGGCGGCCACAGGGAAACCAAAAGCTCAAAAATGTTGCAACTATTTGTCTAATGACTGCCTCCCTGACCCAAAGTGACATCTCATGATTAGGGATAACCACCCACCCAGAGTCTTCTCCAGACTTGGAGCTGTATTGTTATGTGTACATAGCAGATTTAGCAAAATATTAAAATTCAAGATTTGCATGAAGCTTAACAGAGTCAGAATGCTTAGTACCAGCAGGTTCAGGCCTATTTTCTCTCCTTCCTTGCCTGCCCATAAGTTATCATGTTGTTCTGCAACATATGCTTGGGAGAGTACTCCAGGCTTTATGTGGAAAACAGGTAAGCCTCATAAAATAACAGAAAAGTACTACATTATCAAGCTGTTTAAAAATCTAGCCATTTGCTCTGTGCAATCCACACACAAGGTTATTTTGACATCAAAACTCCCAAGGAACTCTACATCTAGAGATCTACCCAACAGTCTCTCCCCAAACTGAAGACAAAAGTCTGGAGCCCAGCAGAATCAAACTAGGGCATGTTTCTCATTAGAATTCCATGTTTCAGTAGGTGGGAAGAGCACAGACGCATTGGTCCAAAGCGTTCCATTAAAAAGTACAAATGACATTTTTGCTGATGGACCCATATCCTCAAATGGATCAAATCAAAACAAAAATAAAATAACATTGATCTTCCAGTTCCATTCCAAAAGCCCTGAAAGTCCTATCCACTGATACAGTGCTATGAGTTAAGAACAGATGGAAGTGAAGGTAAAAGCATTTTAAATATTTCAGATTGTGGTGGCGGCAACCAATCTAAGTACATTTTTTAAGCTGAGTTTGCACCTGGCACCACTGACAAAAAAACTGAACATGTGGAACAGGCAGCATGATGGGAGCCCAAGGCAGTCCAACAGTTGTGCATATACAAAGAATGCGGAGTTAAGGCCCTGGGCAAGAAGAGGAGACACTCGAGTCAAAAACATTTGTGTTCCAAATCTGAGAGTCAAAAGATACTGCTCCTCTTGCAAAAGTGTTCATTTGCAAAGAACAATTTTGGAGGGCAGCTTGTCATGTAAAACAAAAGTTTTTATTTTTAGCCTGATGAAAGCTAAGCTTAGAAGGATGCCAGACTCCTCCTGCACACACATAAAAGAGAGAGAGAACCTGAACTGTCAATTTACACATGCTTTCTGATATTTGCCAAGTTATTATTCTACAGTACTGGGCAACCTTAATTTCATTACTGAATCCTGTAAAACATAAGAGCCCCAAGTCCAAACAAATTGCAGATACAAAGACCCAGGGGCTTGAGGAAAAACTGTCAAGTGCAGGCTCCTTTCATGCCCTTCAAACCCATGTGCTGAGTGGTGACAGCCCAGTTACATAGTTGTTTCCTGTGGGGGAAGCACCTGCAGGGCTGTGCTTTCTTCTGGTATGAAAGCACCCGTTTTGCATCAGTTATAAGACTCACTCCGGGCTGTTAGAGAGCAGGGGAGCTTGTGTAAGCTTCCATCCCTAATGGAAAGTGGGGAGGAACTGGGGTGCAAGTGTGCTTGTGTGTGTGTAAAGCGGGGCATCAAAAAGCGCTGCACCCAGCACTTCCCATTTCCTATCAGTCCCTTTCACCTCCTTCCTTCCTGTTATCTCTCTCCCCTCTTTCCTTCCTTGTCTGGCAACTTTCCATACTACAACCTTGCTCTCTTTAACCAACTCCTGCTCTTGCAGGTGCTTGTGGGCAGCTGCTGCTGATAGCTGAAAGGCAACAGCGTGGCCGGGAGACAGACTGAGGCCCACCTGAAAGCCATTCCCAGCCCACAGCTTGATAATTCATACGGGTTTCTGCAACTCCAGTTGTAAAGACTTCTGAGCACCTGGAAGAAGCAGGTTTTCTGAAGCAGTGGTTCCCAAACTTTTTCGAGCCACTGCCCCCTTAGTTCCATAATCTCATCTCCAGTGTCCCCTAGAATTGCAGTTTGCACAATCCACTAAAGAAGACAGTAACACAGTAGAATTCAAAACATAAATGATTGATTGCACATTTAGTTTAATTCAACAAAATTGATAAACTTGATCCAGTGATACCAGCTTTACAAAACTTGATAGTGATTTGCACCTGCCTACCTCTTAGCGCCTCCCCTAGGTAATCCCACTGCCCCCCCATGGTGCCCATTTTGGGAACCCACTGTCTAGCAATACATAAACAAATTGAGAAAAGTGTATCTTTCTCAGATCTTTTTATGCTATTGCATAGGCATCAATTATTTTGCCATAAGACTTCAAACCAATATATTCTGATCTACATATCTAGCCTTTCAAGTTCTGGTTGAGCTTAAAAAGAAGTGTTAAAACCTCCATTCTGCCGCAGAGAATACTTAGCAGCACCCTTTTTTTGAAAACAAACAAACAAGGTTTTCATTCTGCCATCTGAATTTGGTTTAGCAACATTTAGGTTGGGCAACATTAAGGGACTACTTCACTTCTCAGAAGTTCCATATTATTATTATTTTAATTTTGCTTTCATGTACATGTTGAATTATGCTGCAGCTGCCTCGGTACTGACCACTTCTGTCCTGAAAAACTGTAGCAGAGGACTGTGAAGGTCTTGATTAAAAAGCAAAATGTTAATGTGAGACAGAACAAACCGGTTGCAGCTGCTCCATTTCACTGAACAAGCACCTCTTCTCCATTCAGCTGTGAAGAATGGCACCGACTGTAAATTGTTCTCTACTGATAGGTTCCACAGGAAACGCAAAACTACACTACTTTCAACTTTTCAAAGCCATTGATATTTTAAAAGAGGGTCCTCAATATACAGGGGATCGGTGTGTGTGTGTGTGTGTGCTATGCTTTGTTGGTCTTCAACCTTCAGTTTTGATCTTAAAATTTCCCCCTCTGCATGCAAAGCCACATCCACACAGAGAGCAACAGTTTGTGATAATTTGCCAGATGTGTTAGACAGGCAGAATCATTCTAATTTCAAGCAGAAAATACCCTTCACCGGTTTAAGTCAAGAGACAGACTAGATGCACACCACAAGATTTGTCTTTCCCGAAACGCAACAGGCGAAACCCCCAACTTTAAATAATTTAACCATATGTAATCCTGCTGACTGCTATAGTGCAACTCAATCGTAAGTCATCACTGGATTATCCTTAAAAGAGAGGATACCCACACCCACTGTAATCATCTGATAAGATTAGATCCACCTTTTCTGGACATTTGTGCAGGTGGAACTGTGGCATTTGTGATCATGTACACATTTGTGATCACATAAACAGAATCATTTCAAGGGCAGGAAGGGATAATAAGTCAAAAGGGGCCCTATTTTGCTTGGGCTGGCTAAAGGGAGGGGCTGTAGTTCGGTGGTGGAGTATCTGCTTTGCATGCATAAGATCCCATGTTCAATTCCCTGCATCTTCAGGTAGAGCTGGGCGATATCCTTTTCTACTGCTGCCAGTCAGCTAGATTGTCCAATGGCCTGCATATAAAGCAGCTTCCCATATTCTTATACTGGTCCATCATTGAACTGTGGACATACATTCTATGCTGGTAAATTTATCTGGTTTCTGACATTTCACTGACAATCTTCACTGAACACACTGCATTTTTTATGCTTGCTGATATCACAAGACTCCAGCGATACTTGTAGTTTTTGTTCAGGGCACATTTGGGAAAGGCAGAGGAAGCCCAGGTCAGGACAACACAAGCTTTGCTGTGGATCTGTGAAAGCTGTGAGGCTATCCAGAATATGTTTACATTACTAGTGAGGGTGGAGCGGAAAAAACAGAAGGAAATCTACTGCAGGGTTCAAGATTATTGTTACATAGTTGAGAGCAAGATAGTTCCTCACTATATCATTGTTTTTTATTGTTGATGTTTAAGTGTGTTTTTAATATTTTGTTCCGAGCCGCCCAGAGTGGCTGGGGCAATCCAGTCAGATGGGCAGCTTATAAATAATAAAATTATTAATATTCTCATCAATAACCATTATACTGGGGGGGGAAAGTTTCCTTCCCCGCTGCCCTAAAACTCCCCCCACCCCCCCAATAACAAATGAGATCAGCATTCTGTCTCCCTCTTCACTTATGAAATACTTATTCAGTGATCCATTTGAGAGTTCTTAATCTGCAGCAGTGGATTGTTCAAGGTCACCTACCTTTTGCTTTACGGAGGAGAGAAAATCCTGCCCCTATACCAGATCACAATCTCAATTTTGTGCATTCCAGAAATACTTAGCAGAGAGAGAGGGTGTCATGCACAGCATTACCAAGACCCATTGGGGTGGAGTGGTAGAAGGAGACAAACATTAACAAACCAATGTTAAAGTATTGCTTTTTTTCCTACTATGGGCCTTTTTTGGTGGTGGTGGGGGGGGTTTCCCACATTGCTTATCTACTTCAGCCTCCCTTTATCATCACTTCTTTAGCTCTTAATCATGCTCAGCAACAATGCCAGTCCCCTTGCCAGACACATTGGCTGTGATTCAAAGAGCTACATTAGGTGCGCCCGAGGGCTCAGACGAGACCGGTATAATTTTGCAGGACTTTTTTTCTCGTTGAAGAGCTGACCGCCATGCTATATCAGAAATGGCTTTTTAGAATAGCACTTGAGTTTCAGAAGTGGTTTGCCCCATGGCGTGGGGTGAGGCACTGTCTCAGAAAATGCCCAAAGACCCCCTGGAGATACAGAACTGGGGATGCCCTGCTTTGGATCCCAGGCATTATGTATGGAAAGGAACAACTTACTAACCCATTCTTTCCAGGGTTCTGTAATTTCAAAGAGGTCAAAAATAAAGTAAAACCCCTAAGAATTTTAGGTTAACTTTGAGGTTTGCAAGTACTTAGTTTTGGGTTCTATCCTAGTTTTACCCCTGCACATTGATCCAGTAGAGGCTTACAGCACTGAAACTGTGAGAGAGGTGGGTTTTGGCAATTCACCTTCCAAATCTGCACTAGAGGGCTGGGGGGCATTCTAAATAGCTTGGGAATTGATGCAGGAGGACAAATGGCTGAAAATCATCCCTGTTCCAGTTGCACCAACAGAAGCCTCTACTGAACCAGAGAGCTTCCATCAACAGAAGGACCTTTTGTATACAGCTGGGATAGCCAACGTGGGGCCCTCTCCACATGTTGTTGGACCCCTTACCATTAGAAATGTTGGCTGGGGCTGGTAGGTGTTGTAGTCCAACAACATCTGGAAGGCACAGCGTTGGCTAGAGACTAAGAATCATGCTTGATCTCATGGAACTATCTTGACAAATATCAGCAAAGAAAAATGAATCATCTGGCTGTCAGATGTGTCAGCAAGAAAAAACACACACCAGAATTGGGAAGCAAATGTGGCTTGTTTGCTATGATCTTGAAAGCCAACCAGAATTTGGAATGGTGCGTTTTCCATTCAGGTGGCATTCAGGCTTCTACACTCAAAGGGAGTGGGATATGGAAAGAGATGGGAGATGTTTTTATGTTGCATTTTTATGTTGTGAACTGCCCTGAGATCTACAGATAAAGGGTGGTAGACAAATAAAATAAATAAATATTCAGCTCACACCCGGCAGATCCAGCTATTTGCATAGAGACCAAAGTGGTTTACAAGTGCTGGGAACCCTAACTGACCACAGTTCAATAATGTTGCTTATTTGAGATATACACCAAAACATTGAGAAATTCTTAACAAAGCCCTTTAGACTTTCAGTTGACACAGTCAGCAGAGATGCAAGGTCATGTCACATAAGGTCTTAGCATGTAGGTCATATGCATGATGAAGCAAGAACAGAGCTTTGGACTTGCATGCCCTTTCTCTACACATACAGAGCTTACAATGGGAACAAAAATCCATGAAGCTCAGTGCTTACAAACCTGGACATCACACATGCACTCCACCCTACCACTCTTGTGTGAGTTGGCCTACCCATGCAGGAATTTCCACTTGTGGCTCCCACTTCACATGCAAGTTTGTCTATTTGGTGAATGAAGACATGCAACCTTAGCATTTCTCCTGGGTGTAACTGCACTTCTTACGCACTAGAACCACATGTGAAACCAGCACTTAAAATAGTGAAGTATAAATATAAACCAACAAATGGCTGAAATCCATAAACAGCCCAAGGACATGTGCTCACCCAGTGGCTTAATTTTTACTTCTTGAGTGGCAGATCCCCATCAACAGTCATAAACTGCATTTGCAGCACTGAGAACCCACTGTTCAAAAATAAATAAATTAAAAGTTCAAAGTGCCCTTGCATATGAGCATGGGTGGTATTCCTTTGGATCCTGGACTAAATAAACACAAGATGTCAATGATACATGTACACAGCTCATGGAAACTGTACACAGCAGTTCTGACGTCTTCACAAGGCCATTGCTCCATTTTCTTTTTCACCAAGCCTTGAACTCTTTTCTGAGTACTTACCAGAACTAAAAAAAAAAATAATTACTGAAAGCCATTTTGGGTGGAGAAACGAGGTTTGTATGTGTGGTTATTTCAACTGATATTACCAGTCTCTTCATTTCAAGGACTGATACAAAGCTTTAAACAAAGCAAAAGCAAACCAACTTCAGAGGAACTAGTAAATGGCAGACATGTCAACATCTAATACAGAAGTCACCAACCTTTTTGGACCAGTGGGCATATTTCAAATCTTAAGAGTGCTGTGGGTGCTAGTCACGAAATGGCCACTATGGCATATCACAAAGTTAGACAGCCCAGTCATGGTGAAGCTTTTCACATAATTGTATTTCCATGCTAGAAAAGGATGGACCTGTTGAATGTCTGCCTACCATACAGCTGTTGAAGACACACGAAATGCCAACCCTAAGCCAAAGCCTAAGCTGCTCCATTAAACACAAACAGCACTTTTTTTCTGGGATGGCTAGAGCCTTTTTAAAACAAGCTCAGAGTTGGGGGCTCCTGCCCTGGGGAACCAATGAAGTTTTTCATAGGCATCATGGAGCCTGCTGGGTTGCCTCCAATATACAGTGGTACTTCGGGTTAAGAACTTAATTCATTCTGGAGGTCCATTCTTAACCTGAAACTGTTCTTAAACTGAGACACCACTTTAGCTAATGGGGCCTCCCGCTGCGTGGTTTCTGTTCTCATCTTGAAGCAAAGTTCTTAAGCCGAGGTACTATTTCTGGGTTAGCGGAGTCTGTAACCTGAAGCATCTGTAACCCGAGGTACCACTGTAATATATATTGTCTCATGCATTGCTTCAGTATAAGATGCAAAAATACCTCCTGCATTTTGTTGAACAATACTGTGCTGTTTCCCCATCGTCAGAAATTTACAGTTACTGTACAAAACAAATTGCACCTCTACTGTCCTTTTCTAATTATGCAGCGCTTCTGTTTTAACTTAACCTTTCACACAATGTTTCCCATTCTTTTGTATTTCATGGCAGCCCAATTGAATGAACACGCATTTGTGTCTAATATTATTTTGCCCTATAGAACAGATCCAACTGCCCTGTTTCCAAGCGAATTATTTACATAACCAACACATGTACAAGATTAAATATAGAGGACTTCTGTTGAAAAGCATTTGGAAACACCAATTATTCCAACATGTAATAGTCAGGACTCTGCTGATATTCCTTCTGCACTGGCTCCCATTTTGCTTTTGAGCTCAGTTCAAAATGTTGGTTATTACTTCTAAAGCCATAAATGCCTTAGGACTAAGTCGCTTGATGTATCTTCTACGATCCTGCCTGCCCACTGATCTATGACGGTATCGTCTGAACTGTTGTTCCTTGTCTCATCACCATCAGAAGTGGTGAAAGGGTCTTCTCAGTTGTGGCTTCGAGGCTTTGAAAGCCCGGCACTGAGAGATCAAATCAGCCTTTAAATACCAGATCAAAAGATTTCTGTTTCGGTAGAACCGGCTGCCTCTTAAATTCTGCTGCTACTTATTTGTTCTGATACTGGAATATCTGTGCTGTTCTTAAGTTTCTTGTAGAATGCCTTGCCATCTCTCTGTTGTTAGCTACCCTGCGGGTCTCATTCTTGAACTCGAAAAGGAGGGTTTAAATATTTTAATAATAAATTAAAGAAGGCTTCAGGGATCAACTGTAGGGTGGCGTGTAAAACTGGTATTTTTGTAATATATATCTTAAAAATGGTATTTAAAGCATATCGCAATTCACTTGCAAGTTTTTGTTTTTCTGAAAAATATATAAGATAGATCAAATTACACCAAGCTACTGAGGTGAAGTCCCTTGGGTTTTTAAATTTTAATTCTATCAATATTTAATTGTTTTTTAATTATTGTTTCTTCTGTGTTTTTAGCGATTCTTGTTTTTCTCTATAAGCCGCCGAGTCCCACCAGGGAAAAAGGTGGGGTATAAATAAATATATAACAATAATAATTTAAAAGAAATGAGCAACAAATCTGTAGGCCTGCAAATCAAATGGTTGCTTTCTTTCCTCACCTACCCTTTGAATCAGCTTAACTTGACAACTGTTCATCAAGACTTCTGTCCACAAGTAAAACAGGAATCTAGGAAAGGTTTATATGCTTGCTTCCTCGGGAACTAGATAACCACCAACCAATTCCAAAGGCCAAATATTATAGAAGGGAGGGTCTCTCCCCCCCCCCCCAAAATCCACATCCAACACTCTTCTCTTGCTGAACCTGATGTCTTAAAAGAGTTGGCAGTAAAGTGCTGCAGTCAGATTAATGCTGTGATCACAAGCCAAATCCATAGAACATCATGTGATAAACCGAAAAACAATCTAGAATCCTAGATGAAAGTGCTCAGCCTTCAGTCAGATGCACTATATACTGATCTTTCCAACCTTATGATTGTATTCATGATTTGAGGGAACAGTAAATAAAATCCTCAATATGGGAAGTATTCCTGATACACTATTTATGTTTTGTTATCTATAAGAGTCATGAGGTAGGCCAGAAGTCATTTGCTAGCACATAGTCAATAAACAAAGGATTTTTCTTTTTTTAGTTTTCCCACAAAGTGGTTTTCAACATCAACTTCAGCATTCTTGGATCCTTCCCAATATATACTTGCCCTTCACAAATCCTGAAGCAGTCTACGGCCAGTAGTCTTTCACTCTGCTAAAAAACTGAACTGTACAGGTCAAACACCAACACTGTGCAAGCCTGAACAAGAACAAACTAGTGACTTGGGACTGCAGATGGTTAGAACCCAATTCTGTACCTGACAATGCAGTATTTGGCCAAGGTCATAACTCTTGAAGTTACTGTACACTAGCAAAGCAATGCTTACAATGCTAATCCAGGAAGTCTTCAACATTGCTAGTTGCTGCTAGACAGGGATCCAAAACCAGGTGTTCGTGTAGATTGCAGTGACCCCAACGGCTTGAACTTATAGACCTCAGTGCTGTTATTATTACCCTGTGTGAAACCAAAGCTCAGTTGCTATTTAGCAGTGGGGGGAAAGACTGAACTGTCAGAATAGCTTTAGATTTTGGTGACTTTCAAACAGAAGGTGAGTGCGACCCTCTTAAAATAAAATTCAAGGAAATTGGCCAACGTATAGAGACCTATTAACAGTGGCGGGAAAAGGGTTAAAGTTGAAAGAATATGAGGAAGACCTTTTTACAAAGTTGGCTGCATCATAGACAACTAAATGAACAGTTTAAGGAAGACAATAAGAAAGGTTTCAGTTACACAGTTTCAAACTTTCAAAAGAAGTAATTGAGAATGATACGAAATTACTTTTAAAAATGTACAATCTGCTGCTATATGGGGAAACATTGGATGAAATGGTAAAGTCAGCACAAATAAAATGGGCACAGCATGTAGGTCACAATATACAACTTGAAGACTGGGAAAAGATGTGGAAGGCGAATTTAAAATTTACAGAATGTATTTTACTGAAAGAGAATTATATGAAAATGATGTATAGATGGTATATTACACCAGAGAAAGTGGCTAAAATGTATAAAAAGGGATCAAAAACTTGTTGGAAATGTAAAGAAAAAGATGGTACATTTTATCATATGTGGTGGGAATGCAAAAAGGTTAGAAATTATTGGGAAATGATATATAATGAATTGAAAAAAAAGTTTTAAAAAACTTTTGTTAAAAAACCAGAAGCATTCCTCCTAGGAATTTTAGATCAAAATATAAAAAAGGAAAATTGGAAATTATTTATTTACGCAACAACAGCGGCAAGAATTACATCAGCACAAGCTTGGAAGACAGAAGAAATACCAACGAAAGAACTATGGCAAGGGAAACTTATGGAATATGCAGAACTGGCAAAACTAACAGATAACTACATGAAAAAGACAACAAAGACTTTAAAAGAGAATGGGAACCATTTACAATATATATGAAGAGACAATATAATGAACTGGAATCATTGGCAGGGTCTGAGTAAATAATCACAATTGTATATAATAAAAAAAAAAGATTATATGTATTGGGGAAATTTTGGGGAAGCCTCAGATAATTTGGAGTCCTATTACTAAGTTTTGCATTAGCCCATCAAAACACACTTTAAGCACCTGTAACTGTGTTTGTTGGACCAAAGAGTGGTGCAGGTTTACAAGCACAACTGGATTTATGTACCATCAGCAACTTAAAAACCTTTGTGTTCTCGACAACCAGAATAGGAACACTTTGCAAATGACTACAACAACATTATCAACCAAATGTGCCAGATGTTCTTTCATAAAGACTACACCCACTGTATTTACAGAATTGTAAACTATATGATAAGCTGGACCCATGGACGAAACAGCCAGGGGACAGGCAATTGTGCTTCTGAATGGCGATGCCAACATTCAGATATGGTAATATACAAAGTCCAGAGAAAGCTGTACTTAGCATATTCTACTCTTAAGAAACACACCTGCTTATACTACAAAGCATTATGAAGGTCCATTGTTTGGTAACCTAATTCTGTTAATCTGCATAGGAGATGTTGATTGAGCTCATTCAACCAAAACTCAACTGTACTCTTAAGTTAGCTAACTCTCTCTGTTTCTTTTATAGTATTAATAAAGCATGAAGCTGATAGTTACTCATGTTTTTGCATTCAGTTATTTTCCTCTTGTAAAAATATGCAAATTCACTCCTTTGTGTTTTGGGGCTCTCGTGTGACCCTTCAGACTGTACTAATCAGCTCTAGGGGTTTTGGTCCCATTATTTCAAATTTGCTCTCTGGCTGAAAACATCATTCCATTTATGCTTTATATTAAACTTCAGACATACAGATTCTTTAAAAAAACAAAAACAAAAAAACCATAGTAGGAGAAAGAGCTAGCTTGGCAATTAATGCTGTATTCAATTTACTTGAGAAGTGCATGAAGCAAGATGCCACCTAATGATGCAAAAGCAATACTGCACTTTGTTTTTGTGTAAAACCAGAACCCAAGAGGATTAGTTTGACTCCACACTGAATGAAGGGGTAGCAATTATCTCCTTATGCGACTAGAAATCAGTGACACTGGAGAGGGTTGTTTTTCAGGTCTCCCTCATCTTCCTTGCCCAGTGAACTCAAACTACAGTAATCAGACGCATGGAGCTTTTAACCCTGTTAAAAGATAGCAAAAAAAACTCGCACTTCAAAATATAGCTGTTATTATAAAGAAGTGACAATCGGTAGACAAAAAGTCCCAATCGACTTTTGCATAGAGCAGTTGATTAAGGTGGGATGCTTATTAAAAATCTCTCTCCCCCCCCCCCAGCAATTTTGCAACAAATGCATACTGAGCAGAAACCTGTTGAACAGCATTTGAAATGCTACAAGGAATGAATGCAAGGTTGCTAGAAAGACAAATCAATAAGAATTACCAATAAATAAAACAGTATACACCAGAGGCAACCAACATGATGCCCTCCAATTGTTGTGGACTACAATTCCCATCAACCTCAGTCAACTTGGCCAATGCTCAGGGATGGTGGGAGTCGTAGTTTTCAACACCTAGCAGGCGATATCCCCTTGGCTACCGCTTGTTTACATAATTCCTACCACTTAGAAAGCCACAACCATCTCTAAAAGCCATTCTAACCCCATATGTTCTATACTGCTTACCAAGACTTTGAGGACAACATACTTGATCCCAGTTTATTACATCTTTACACAGCGATCCTTTAAGCCCAGCTAGCAGTGCTTATAGTGGACTCAGGCCATGGTCTTAAGGCATATGATACTGTAACCTTGCGAAATCTAATCCAAGTCTTGATGTGATCAGCAGCAGGGAACCCTCTGTGTTGTTGCCTTGAGTGCCATAAGGAAATAAAGGCAGAATATCAATCAATCAATAACCAGAATTCTTCTCAACTAGAGTTTGCTAACTAACCTCAAATCCTGGTAAGCAGGAAACACTGATGAACACCAGTGCAATCACTAAGCCTGGGTATTTTATTATTATTTGTTATTATTATTTTTAAGATTTCCTAACGACTCTTCATCATAAAGTTCCAGGGCTGGTTACAACAACAAAACATACAACTATAAAAACAAATAAAACCATTACAATGATAACACACATGAAACCGTTCCAAATGGAAAAGGGCAGTCAGGGCAGAGCCATTGCAAGTATTTCATACACGAAACAGCAGCAGCAGCAGTTACCTATGTGGGGCAGCTGTTATTATGTTGAGAGTACGAACAGGGAGACCCAGGTTCAAATTCCTTCTTAGTCCCAAAGCTCAATGGGTGACCTTGGTCCAGCCTCAGCCTTACCTTCCTCACCTGCACACAGGGTTGTTTTGCAAATAAAGTCTAAGTTGGGAGCAAATTTATGTATGCTGCTCTGAGTACTTTGCAGGAAGGACAGAATGATTATTATTACTAATTATTAATATTGTTATTTATTCATTTTTGAATCACCACCTACATGAGCATCAAGGTGATTTAGAAACATATAATAAAAGCAGCTAAAAGTAATAATAATGAAGCTTGTTGATGCCAGGAGGGCACATCTCTCCTGAATATACATATGATGGTGCCAATTATATAGCATAGGAAAAGTTTTATGGAACTATGGCAAGCAATTTTAGAAGAAGGAACACAATGATAATACACTTGTATAGAATAGTGGTTATTCCTTCTTGCACTAGTCATCCAAGGAAACAGCATTTTTACACACAGTTGCTTCATATTAACATGACTCTAATGCCAGGAAACTTAATGGAGGCTCTCTACCACGGCCTTCAACTCTCACCTAAGAAAGGGCTGAAGAGGGTCCTTCTTCACTGCCATGCATTTTGGGTGAGATGGCCAGGAGAATGCACTTCCAACTTCCATAAAAGCATTTTTAAAATTCTTAGTTTAAAAAGCTGCCATGGCAAACCATGACAGGAATTCAGGCATTCTGCTGGCCCCCTCACTCAAAATGCCTGGCTCTAAAAAGGACCCTCTCAGCCCTTTCTCTAAGCAAAGTAAGACAGTGAGGAGGAAGTAAAGGCAGTGGCAGAAGATCTTTGCCTCACCGAATGTACAATAATGAGGTTGGGGGGAAGGTCCCCAGGACAGGGGCAGTGCCTCTGTACCCACCACCTGAGACAATGGTCTCAATCTGTTTCATTATTGGGCCAGCCCAAGCCACCAACATGGACAATTTCAGTTGTGACTCTCTCTCTTTTGGTATTTTGTGTTTTTAATTCTTACTTGTAAACCACCCAGAGGACTTTTGTTATTAGGTGTCATATAGATATTGGAAATAAATAAATAGTGTCACAAAGACGACCCCTGATTCTTCCAGTTTATATGAAATTAAATATTATATTTGGGACACCTCAGGAAAACAAAAGGAGAGAAAGATGGGCTCAAGTCAATCTTGTTTGAAGCTTCATTGAATCAGAAAACCCGGTACATTCAAAATACTATTACAAACGTTCAGCAAGCAAAGTTGAACGCAGGCAACCAATGAAGAACAGCAAGCGTTTCATGCATTTAATTTCATTTAACTATATGGGAAGCAATACTGTTTTCCTCCTTTCTCAGCAAGCTAATAGATCTGAAAAGTTTCTTCTCCAAGACCATAAACTATTCTGCACACCACCCAGCAGGGTACACATGAGCATATACCCTTGAGCACACATGCTCTGGTACTAAGCAACTCCTACTGAAAAACAACATGCAGCAAGAAATATTACTACTTAATTCCCCCAGGCAAATGATTGGAATAAATTCCACTCGCGCACTCTCAAGAACAAAAAATCCACAGAGAATTTGGGGCATGCATGACGCAGCGCACAAACCCTCATGGGAAAGAATTCTTAGAACTTCTTAAGTTACTAGCTGACAAGTCTCACATCTAGGATATTTATGAAGAAGGTTGTCATTCCCCCAGAGAGATAATGTAATGCACAAACTAAGAGGCAGAAACAACAGAGGAGCTGTTATCCACCCAGGAATGGAAAGACTCACTATCCTGTATCGGTTCCCAATTGCTCCTGATTCTCCTGTGTCCATGACTCAGTTGTCATTCAGGGCTATTGATTAGTCATTTCTATGTCACAAAATCTTTATCGAACTCAGTGTACATTTCCCCATGCACACTATATTTAGGCCTCAAAATAGGATCAAGTAAGCTGAGGAACGCCACAGAAAGACAATAGTCTCATCACAGTAATCCCCCTATGCAAACAGAGGCTCTGCAAGAATCTTATGTCACTCTATTTCTCTTAAGGAGTCAACATTACTGGGATTACATGCCCCCCCCGACCAGCTGCCCTCCAGGTGTTTTGGACTCCAATTCCCATCACCACCAGCCAAAATGGCCAATGGTTGAAGATGATGAGAGCTGAAGACCAAAAGATCTGGAAGGCACCAAGCTGAAGGAGGCTGCTAACATAACTAGGTCACTCACTGAATGCTGCCTCAGAATAAAGGTCACACCCACTCCATACATTTAAAGCACATGATTTTCCCTGAAGAATCTTTAAAACTCTAGTTTACCCCTCCCAGAGCTATGATACCCAATACTCTTCGCAAACTACATTTCCCAGAATTCTTTGGGGAAAGCCATGTGCTTTAAATGCCACAGCAAACTGTATATTAATGCTGGTTCTAAATGTGTTTTGATGAATATTAACTATTGTTTTTAAGCTAGTTTGTTCGCATTTTATAATGGTATTTTTAAATGTTGTAAGCCACTTTGAATCCCAGATTGGGAGAAAGGTGAAATAGAAAAAGAAAATAAATGCATTCCATGGTGTAGGTGCGATCAAAGACATCTTAAAAAGTGAATATTTTAAAACCAGCGATTGTACCTTACCCTTAAAAACATTTAAATTTTTAAACTGTTACAACCACAGGAAATAGACCTACGACTAAGCTCTTTGTTACTTGTGAGCAGGGAGGGTGGTGCCAAAAATGATGCAAAGGGCCTAAGAAAAATAATGGCAAGGCAGAAACAACATCTATGCTAAGTCTACAGTTTATATTTTCAGTTCATACATGACCACTGGGGGGGGGGGCATGGTTCAAGATTAACTTCTTTGAAATTTCTTAGTGAACTGAATGTACTTTAAATATAAAGTGGTAACAACCTGTGAAATATCCAGAAAATTTTGTTCAAAATATATGATTTTTTAATAAACTCTTAGAATCACTTACCGAGAAAAACAAATCCATCTGCTTCTTTTTCTGTCACCAATACCTTCTTGGTATCTTGGTTTTTTCGGAAGAAGTTGAACATCTTTTTGAAATACAAGTCTAGAAACAAAAAGGTGAGAAATGGGTCAAGTGATGCTAAAAAAAAACTTACACAATTCTGGCATCATCAAAATAAACATTATGAAATGCTCTTAACATCAAGTTCTAAGATTAGAGACTTGAACTGGGGGAGGATCCTGCAGGAGCAAACAGAACACCACAGAGATACAAGTCAGTTGTTCATTATTGCTCAGTTCAAGAAATGTGAGTTTATGTACACCCAAGCAGCGTTGGCTGTGTCTCAACCTCTGACACCTGGAAAAATAACTCAAGCACTGGAAAAAGTTAGTCAAGATAATATTATATTTTTCACCATAAAAATATTTTAATCAGCACACCATCTGATTATGTGAAGAGCATTTTTACTGTCAAGCAAAATAATTATGTGTGTTACAGAGAAATCAATACTGTGTGATTGCCCAGAGTCAGGACCAGCAGGGCATAACTGACTTTCCATGCTAAACCTAAGGTTGTCTGTGGGGTGGGGTATGGAAGCAAGCAGCAGCAGCAGCAGCAGCAACGACTGCACTCTTCTCTTTTTGTGTTATGCCACCCACCCCATGGCAGGCATTTTGTGGCTGGGGCCTACAGCACCCTCTCGAAAAAGGTTGGCAACCCCTGATTTAACAGGATGACATATTCTAAACTAAGTTAAGTCATGAAATGACCTGTTTTAATTATTTGTTTATTTAAAATCTATCCCACATTATTATAATTATTAAAATTTCAGTACTGCCCTTCATCCAAGGACCTGAGGATGTTTTACAATATAAAGACACAAAAATAGCATAGTAAGAAACAAAACAATACAGTGGTACCTCGGGTTAAGTACTTAATTCGTTCTGGAGGTCTGTTCTTAACCTGAAACTGTTCTTCACCTGAAGCACCACTTTAGCTAATGGGGCCTCCCGCTGCTGCCACACCACCGGAGCACGATTTCTGTTCTCATCCTGAAGCAAAGTTCTTAACCCGAGGTATTATTTCTGGGTTAGCGGAGTCTGTAACCTGAAGCGTATGTAACCCAAAGTACCACTGTAGTTCTTTTATAAGTAAGGTGATCCTTAACCTAATAGCTTTCATTCCATGTAACAGTAAGTACGCCTCCTATCACTGCAAGGATTTCTACTTGCACAATGGAGCTTCCCCACCTTCATCCCCGTGTGCCACCAAAATCTGTTCAGTGGGTTCTCACAACCCTCCAGAGCAGATTTTGAGGGGGTGCACGGGCAGAACGCATGGGGAAAGTCTTGTTGCACAAACACAAATCCTTGAGCTGATGGAATGAGGGAGTTGGAAACTGCCCCATGACCTTTCACTTCCTATCAGTTCCCAATCTGTTGTGCAGATATGTCTTTCTCTCTTCCTAAATCCTGCAGTACTTGCCTTTTCACTTTCAGCAGCTCCAAGCATTGACTTCCTTCCAAATGCTTGACTATGAAGTACTCTTCTTGAACTGCAAAGATGTCCTTCCTTTATACACTAGGCTAAAAGGGAGGAAAACACAGTTACTAAAGCTCACATGTTAGCATCAGGATTTCAAAACTTCATCTGCAATCACAAAATTTAGATTATATTTAAGAATGAAAGAAAGAGTTCACACTTTCATTTTGATAAACCAGGCTACTAGACTTCAACAAAGCTGCATTAAAGCACACTAAAAGTCCTACCAAAACTCATAAACTGCAATATTTAGATCGCAAAGCTTTTTGTTATAGGTCTAGGTGTGTTCCAATGCCCAATGGAAATACACTGGCTTCTGCCCTTTTAAAATAACGCTGAAAATTATTAACAGTCTACATGTCTGTCCTGGGCCCGTTGTTGTTCAACATCTTGAATGAAGGTATGGGGGGGGGAATGCTCAGGCTTGATTGTTTTTTCCAATGGGTCTACCCTGAGTAGGGGTAATATTGGATACAACTCATGCACACATATATAGGAACAGTAATACTGAACCTAACTTGTAGGGCTCTTTTAAGGAATAGTGGACTTATGCACATGAAGGTCTTTGAATCCTGAAGGCTGCTTACTGAAACCAATAATTCCTCTAACTTTTGTAGAAGCGTCTTCCTTATCTAGTTAGCAAGGTTTCCTTCAACACTGCACAAAGGGATACAGGTATCTTTGCCTTTGGCAAATAAAAATTGCTTGTAGCCAATCAGCACTGAAGGTTTACAAAAATTGGTTCTTTCTATGGCAAATACAAATGTCTTAGGTAATGGGCATTTTGAGGGCAAATAATTTTTCAAGAAGTAGTTTCTTCAGGTGAACAGTTCATTTACAGGGGCTAACCAGATGCAATAATGTATGACCACCTCCGACACATGATTAAACCTGGCCAATTCCATAACTCACAGTGATCTACTCACATAAACAATGTAATGTTTCAAGACAGAGCACACAGTTGTCTCCAAAAGCTACTTCTGCTGCATTTCCCCCCCCCCCCGATACATGTTTCTTGGGATGCAACGTTTTAGTTGATTTGCAGATTACAGTATATTAACTAATTAAAATTAACAAGCAGCAGCTTTGGAAAACAACCAAACTTTTTTTATATACAAGAACTTACAAAAACCACAGATAGCACGTGCCATCTTACGATGAGCATATCCACCCTTGCCTGCCGTGATCAATGAATAAATAATCCAGAAACAGAGAGACTCCATTTCCTGCTTGTTTTGACATATTTGAATTTAACGAATTAATCAATCACCTAAGCCGCAAACTACTAATCAACTAAGTTTCTCTGAATGGGATGCCAACCCTTGTTTTCTTCTTGACACCCCTCTATTCTATGGGTCACCAGTTCAGACGTTAATTTATACACAGAAGACCAGACAGGTAGGCTGTCAAAATTCAACGTCATCCCGTGGCTCTACGCCACTATCTATGGGTAGGACGACCCACCAGCCCCATCTCAAGGAGGACCCAGAAGAGCTCTGCCCCATAAGGTGGGAAAAGCAGTAAAGCGAATTTGTTGGCGCGGGTAGCTCCGCCCACCAGACGTGAGCAGCTGACGTAGCAGCTCCACAACACCCCTCCCCAACTGGCGACGCGCATGCGCGTGTTCCAAATCCGCACGTACATTCTGAATGTTAACGGATATAACCGTCGAAGCGCAAAAAAAACAACACCGCCGGCGTTATTCGACGACTGCCCCCGCGCGCCACAAACGAAGGACGAAATAACCCTCGGCCTCGACTTTCCTGTTTTCGCCACGAGCGAGGCCTCTCTGACAGCCGACCCTACCTGCCTGTCTTGAATACGCACCTCCGGCAGCCTTTTCTCCACAACAACCTCCGGTTCCGGGTTCACGAGGGACACCTCCCGGCGAATGAACTGAAGTAACCTCGTCGGCTGAGGTCTAAGTTAGCTGACGCGCGCATGCGCAAATACTCCCTAACGCGCGCTCCGCTACACGGAAATGACGTAGAGGCCGCCTGCGTGTAGAGCGTTCTGCGAGCGCATTGGAAGGTTTTCACTGGGACCGTCGAACTCTGCGCGCTTCGCCCGTTGCCGTGGTGACCCGCGCGGCGAGCGGAAGTCGAAGTTTCCCGCCAATGTAGCCTAGATAAAAGGCAAAGGGCGGGGGGGAGGCGGCCTTGGTTCAGACGCCCAGTTCCGAAATGGCGGACGTGCTGGAAGGAGCCCGGGTACGCGTAGCCACAAGTCAGTTGGCGCAGTACATTGGGAAGCCCGTTTGTTTCGTGGGGCGCCTGGAAAAGGTAAGAGTGGCTCCCTTACTCCTCTTCGTCCGCCAGGGGATTTGCCTTGCAGAGCATTGCAGGCCCCTTGGGGTGGTGCATCCGCAATGCCCATGGTATCCCTCGCTTAGCTCCAGACAAACTTTCGCCAAAGGCTCCTGCTCTTTAATGTTGCCGTTTGTGAGACAGCTGAAGTCGAGGCTCATTTGTCATCCTTTATTTAAAAACAAAACATTTATCTCTTGTTTGGTTTGCAGTATGAACACATTAAATATTGTATATATATTGTTAGTTTTACATGATGATTGTTGATTATACACAACAAACATAACAATTCCACACAATTCAACAAAAAAGAAAGAGGTTGTCTCGAAGCTTCTGACCTCCCTCACTCCATGAGTTCCATTTCTAAAAATTTGTTCCTGCTTCTTTTACTGTAATGTAATCTATTATAAATCCATAGTATCCAAAGTTTGTGTTACTTTACAAGTGTTAATGTATTCCTGCTAGTGATTTCAACTGTTTACAGTGGGAACACATTAAATATACACAGGAGGGGTGGTATAGAAAATTATTCATAGGATATTTAGCAAATGAAGTTTATTATATTGGTACCCTGCTTTGGATAACTGCAAAAACTCAAGTCAATTACAACCCCAATACCCCCAAAAAATTATAAGTGAGAGGAAGCAACAGGAGGAGAGTGGAGGTATATATCCTTATTTTGTATATATTACCTTGAATCTGTTTGGTTTTTAGGCTTGCTTGATGTTGCCATTTATTTTCTCCCTCTTAATATTGTTATTGCAGATGTAGCTCCCATGGGGCTCTGTTACGGATATGCAATTCATTTTAGTAGAGTAATTAAATCTCTCCATCACCCTTATTAAATGAGATGTTGCTTTTTTTTTTCTTTTTTCTTTTCCTTCCTGGAATGTGACTTGCATTTTTACAGGCTGCCATGTACAGTTTTAAAGCATGCAGTTATGCCCACATGTAACATGGAGTATTACCTGAGTGCTTCAGTATTTCCGACAAAAGACTGACACAGTGGTGTTGATAGGCAGGTGCAGCAGGCTAAAAGTGCCTTTAAAATGAGTGTTTTGAAATTTTATTTAGATTCATCCATCTGGGAAATTTTTCTTTCTATCTGATGGAGAAGGAAAAAATGCAACCGTGGAACTGGAGACACCTGTAAGTATGTCTTGTCTTTTGGAAGATTTCATAATTCTTACGCTTAACAGTTTTTGCTGGTGTTGAGCATAAAAAGGTAAAGGTACCCCTGCCCGTACGGGCCAGTCGTGACCGACTCTAGGGTTGCGCGCTCATCTCGCTCAAGAGGCTGGGAGCTGGCGCCGTCCGAAGACACTTCCGGGTCACGTGGCCAGCGTGACGAAGCTGCAGCTGGCGAGCCAGCACCAGCGCCACACACGGAAACGCCAGTTACCTTCCCGCTATAAAGCGGTACCTATTTATCTACTTGCACTTAAGGGTGCTTTCGAACTGCTAGGTGGGCAGGAGCTGGAACCGAACGATGGGAGCTCACCCCGCCGCGGGGATTCGAACCGCCGGCCTTACGATCAGCAAGTCCTATACAGTGGCTTTAATTGTAGAAGCGGAATTGACCTGAACAGTCTTTGTGTTGCTGGTATAGCAGTTCCATATATGAGGGCTTCAAGTTCTAAACCTCAGCTAGATAAAGGAACTTACATAGTTCTCGTATTAGCCCAGTAACAAGAATAAGCACTACTGCATTTACAACTGCCCCATCAAGTTACATACCTGAAGACTATAGAAGCATCTTCTTAGACTGAACAGTGTGCTGATTATATTTTTATATTCTTACTCTTCCGCTTTGCATAACTCCCCTGCCCCATAGGTTTGTCTGGGATTGTTTGTTGCTCACTCCTAAGCCATATATATAAGGTTAGAATCAAATGCAGTAGCCTGCTAGTGCTACAGATATTCAGCTAACATAACCTCTGCTTTTCTGTGCTGTACGGTACTGATGCTTCTGCTTGGTGCAACAAAATTAACTTCCACACCAACAAACTCCTTTGTCTTATGTTTGATCTTGCCTATTCTTCACAGTCATCTGTATATCATTTGTATAGGGTTATCAGTGTGTGCGTGTGCATGCATGCTCACATGAACAGCAAAATTCAGGTGAATTTACTGGGGTGGGTCAGGCAAGACAAAAGGCTTGAATGGGCTGTGTTTGTCACAGATTCCCAAAATATGTGATGTAGTTCAGCTAGGTGGATGTTTGAGAGAATAGATAACCTCACCTTTACTTGGAATGAACTTCACTTTCTTGAACATTCTTAAGTAATTCTTAAGTGTTTTATGGTAAGGTGTTAATGTAGAATAGAGAGCCAAGTTTAGTGAGTTGTAATTTCAATTCATAAGTGCTATGTTGGAACACAAAGTGAACTCCCAGAAACGTGGTGGGTGGAGGAGGTGTAAAACTGATTGTTGGTAAAATTCTTAATAAAGACATTTACTTGTTCATCTGCTATTGCAGCTTGAAGAAGAGATCTCTGGGGTCATTGAGGTAGCAGGAAGAGTTACAAATCAAGTAAACATAATGTGTGCATCATATACCCAGTTCAGAGAAGATAAAAATGCATTTGGTAAGTGAATTATTTCCTCCCTCATTGCAAATTGCAGTTTTTCAATACTTTTGAATAAGCTTCTGGCACTCTTGATTAACAAGTTTCTTTCAATAATGGTCAGTTCTTATCTACTATTTTCCCCCATGGAAGTTATGTTTGGCATGATACGCAAAGAAGTAGATGCACAAAATACATTTTCAGAAATTAAAATCCCATGTGGATACAGTGGTACCTTGGGTTAAGAACGTAATTCATTTTGGAGGTCCATTCTTAACCTGAAACTATTCTTAACTTGAAGCACCACTTTAGTTAATGGGGCCTCCTGCTGCTGCTGTGCCGCCACTTGCGATGACAGCTTCATGGTCATAGATCAAGTTGTCATTCCTGTCTGTTCAAAACACTGAACTTGGTATATATCTAGCCAGATAGGATAATTCTGTTATTGATGTATTAAATCTGTTATATAGACTCTTCTATCCAATATAGTTATTGCTCTTACAGAGGGAGAGCTGTTGTGGATACATTTACAAATCTGAGCTTTCGTCAATTGGATTTTTATCAAATTAATCCCTGTTCACATTCAGGCAAGATACTGGTTAAAGCAACCCCTTGAAATATTTTTAACCTTCCTGACTTTGGAATTGAGTATATGTTTCTTTAAGAATGAGATGCACATTATAGTTAGCGTTGTCTCTTAGGTAGTATTGTATAAATAGGATAGTTCACTTGCACTAATGTTTTTTAATGTTATATTCTTGTTTCTTTCAGATTTAGCACTATATAATGAAGCTCTGAAAATTATCCATGAATTTCCTGACTACTACCCTTTTAGTACTAATGCATGATTGGTACTTTTTGTTACAACTTAAGAGTGGACAATTTGGTGATGCTTACTGAACAGAACTGTTCAAGAATCTCTGTATGAAATAATCTTGCTTAAAGTGTACTTGGGACTGTCTGCTATGCCAGCAATATAGTACATAATCTAGAAGTTCATGCATTTGTATCCTAAATGGCGATGCTGTCCTGAGGATATAAAACCTGTGTCTAGTGAGAGACAGTATTTCGCAATAGATAAGCATTTTAATGTTAAGCTGTCACTCAGGTAACCATCTTAGGTAAATACATAACACAGTGCTTACTTTTATTTTATTTTTAGGTGATCTTTTGTACATGAAAAGTATCAGAGAAATCAGTGTATTAAATAAAATGCAAACTATCATAATATTGATTACATCTAAACTAAAACGTGTTTGGTTTTATTCTAAGACTTAATTGGCGCTTTAGTCGCCTTACCTAACCAGCATGTTATAGCAGTTCAACAATAAACACCATTTATGTAGTAGTTCTTGTTTGAAGAATGATTCATTCCAAATATCTGTTCTTTACAAGGTAGTTGGAATATTATTGTAAAGCAGGACTCCTGGGGTTTTTTTTGGGGGGGGGCACCATAAATCAAAGCCTAATTTTTCAATGTAGATTTACTATAAAAGTAAACACTTTGAATGTTGGAGCTTCCCTGTTTACTTTTAACACCCAATATTGCCCGGTGCTGAAATCAGAACACAATACTACAAAATCTGGTACTAGTATCTACCGGGACTATTGCAGCATCACCTGTATGAAGGTCATGAAACATTCAGCTTAATCAAAATGGGAAGTTAAATCAAGCTTTTATTTTACAATGTCAAAAGGAGAAGCAACTGTATTAACAGAAGTGGTTAAAAACCCTCAGTCTGCAGAAACACATACACAAGCTGAAATGCCTGAGAACTGTCTTCGAGTCAAAACTAATCTATGCAGTACAGCCCCTGCATCATTGAGCACTGAGTGTTAAGATATTCATACAGAACTTTCATGTACACAAAAGACTTTGTGCCCTCTCAAAGTCAGCAAATACAGCTGCTTTCATTTTACAAAATACTGTTAAGACAACTGGATAACACATTATTAGCAGTTCCTATTTACATACTCAGTATAATTTTTTACAGAAGGGAAGGAGACACCATATTAATATCAGAGCTCTTTTAATACTTTGAATATAAGGGCACAAAAATAAAGTCTATAAGTTGCTCTTAATGGCTTAAAATTAATTCTAGATATTCTGGAAATGTATTGAAGCAACTACAAAAATACAGGAACTTAGATATTGTGATATGCATCTCAAATATTGATCAATAGTAAAAATGCAATTCTGACAGGAAGTAGACTTTGACTAAGGCAATACAACATTTTAAAAAATGGTGTACATAGAAATAAATATTTCTGCTTCCATTAAGCATTTGTTTCCCCCTCCCCTTTTAACATCATATCTTTGTACAAAGACGGAAGCTTGGATCCAAAATGGCCTGCGTGCAAGTACAACTCTCTCCCACTTGCATCTGTGGCCAATTGTTGACCTTCCCACTGCACCACATTGCCCTTCATAATGCAGTGAGAAAGCAGGCAAGAAAGCCCAGGGGCATGCACAGAATATTGTGCATGGTTCTTGCATCCAAGCCAACAGAAGATTGTCAATTAGGCAGCTATAATATAGGCCAAACAATTATTACATTGCATTGAAAATGTGCACAACGGAAGTTCAAGTTTCTAGTTGACTAGTGAAAGTTTGAATGCAACTCATTTGCCGTGTTGCTAATTAACAGTAGAAAAAATGTAAACTAAAATGTAACATGCACTACAGTAGGTGTGAGGAATCTTTGGCTCTCCTATCAACCCCAGTATACGTGGCCACTGATAGTGCGAGTTGTAGGTGAGCAAAATCTAAAGTTCCCTACACCTGCACTAGTGTTCTATACCAGTCAGTGTATTGCCATCTTGTGTATTCATTTCATGGCAATGTTACCTTTCTATACTTTACACTATTGAAGTATATCACATACTATCCACTATCGAAATCGATAAGCTCCTTTATTTTGACATAGGCAGTTTTTTTGGAGGGGTAAAATTTATTTGCTCGTCAACATCTGATATGAGCAGCCATTGCCACAACACATATTCTATGTCGTCCACATTTTGTAAGTGAACTTTTAACTGTAATGTCTCAGGCTGTTCTTGATTGTGTATTATATGCTTGTGGTTTTCTGATGCAAATGAATGTCCTCTTGACCCAAAGCAAAATTTGGATGTATGCAATTCACACTATAGTATGTTTCGGGAATACAGGTAAGCTGTCATTTTTTTCAAAGGTTAGGTCTTTCACATCATTGAACTTAAAAAGCTTCAGATTAATTAATACCGGACTGTAGCTGTGTAACACTAATTACATTATTTTGGGATGCCCCGCAAAGCATGTTACACTGGCATTGAGCTACTACTATTTACTCATCCAAACCAAAGCAGCTCAGCTCATGCAAAGATTTGTCTTAGGAGTGTCACAGAAAAGCAATGCAGTGGTAGCTAAGTTATAGATGGGAGCATAAACACTTTAAAATCTAAGCTAGAAAAAATGCTGGTGGAAACATCTGTATATCCAGCACGACTGTCTTTCCAAGAAGAGTTTTCAGTAGTGTTTTATAGGTTCATGGAGTTACCAAAGCACAGCAAATGATGCCACTTCATCTCAGATGGAAGCCTCAAGGTCTGGACAGTGTAGTGCTGAAAGTCTTCCTGAAGGCTGCTTTGAATTTCAATGAAACCTATAAATGCCTCTTAAATGAACTGCTTCACAACCCACTGAACAAAGTCCACATGCCAAATTTGAAGAATCAAAATCAACCACACATCAAATTGCTGATGTGATAGGATGATTTATTTTTCTATTACAGGCAAGTCAACAGTAACACGTTCAGAGGTATGTGTTCGGGCTGTGAGGGAAACCTATTGGAGAAAGCCTCTCATGTGAAGGACCTTATTTAAGCTCTAATGTTTCATGGCTGGATCATCTCTGCCGGGACAAGATTCCCCGTTGTATCCAGCTGCATACATTTGCAGGAACAGGCAGAAACAGGGCATTCAGTATGGTCCCTAGATAAGAAAGAAGTAGCATTATAACACTGCAAGGCAGCCTTTTTATTTTTTAAAAAAACAAAAAAAAATGTTTATTTTTCTCATTAAAAAAGAATAAAGCACTTTGGTATTGGTTAGAAAGAGATTACAGAATACACAAATGGTTAAAATTGTTATAAAATAATAATAATCCAGAGCTGCTCATGTCTATAATCCACTCTACAAGCTACATTTTAAAAGTGTCTCTGAAGTATCTCCCTCCAATTCTTATTTTAAGCAATAAATAGAAAGCAGTGTGTTCATGCTCCAAAAGTAAAATTGATTTGATGCTAAAGATTAAAACAGTTGGAAGTGGAGGAATGCAGCTTGGAATGTAATACAAGATGATTAGCTACCACAGAATAATGTATGTAACATCCCACCACCCATTTGAGCCTAAATGCACTGCCTGGAAACATCAATTGACGGCAGTTGGAACATTATGTTCATTCCCCATAGAATCTTTCATGAGTGCATTGTATAGAGCTCTGGGCTACAGCTAATGTGTTGAAAGAGCTTCTAGAACAAAGGGCGATAGCTTTAAAAGGTAATATAACTGCTTTCAGGTCAATACTGAGAAAACTATATGCCTCAAATATCCTACCATGTGTCAGCTAGCATTTACTGTGATAATAATGAACAGCTTTATTATAACATCTGAGGCCATGTAGGCTACAGCAAGACAACAGAGAAAATACTTGTAAGACCCTGAGAAATAAAAAATGCCCCAAAGTTGTAGAAGTGCAAAAAAAGCAATTTAGCCTATACATGTGTAATGAATTCACTCATGCCAACTGCATGAGTTACTAGGAAGGCATGTTTTGCAAGGCACCATATGCAACTAGTTCCAATGGAGACCTGCTGTTCAGAGGGGGGGGGGATTCCACCAAGGGGGCACATAAATCCTTGAGCATGCCTGTTGTAGGTATTTAGACTTAGAGCAGTAGTCAACAGTGCTAGTCCAAAAGCAGAACTACAATAAGCTCCACTTGCACAATGGAACTTAACCTCCCTCTATGCCTTTGACATCTGCACTGGCAGGTTGAGAGACCTTTCAGAGAAAATTCGGAGGGTAGTAGGGGGACTGCAGGGGAAAGTGGAAGTTCCATTGTGCAAGCAGAACTCTGATCATGCCATGTTGGCTGCAATCCTTATACCGCCACTTTTTAGAGTCCAGGCAAAGATTCAACATTAAACCACTCTTGAACACCACACATGAGAACAGCAGAAAGCCCTGTGTTCCCTTAGTCTTCAAATACACTAAATTTGTCTTATGAATCGTTCTACATTATGTGCTACCATGTTCGGTTAATGCTCAAGATGGTGTTGGGTTTTGTAATTTAAAAAAGCTCCTTAATTCTTGTATATTTTGAGGAAATGTGAACAGACTTTCATCAAAGGTATGAATTTCATTCATGCGTATGCTTTCATTTGCTGGGTAATCTTATCATTTCAAGGGCTTTGTCTTAAATTCTCGGTGCTATTGTAGCAGAATTAGTAGTCTGGTAGTATGTGCTGGCCTACAAATCCATATAAGCAGAAGCTCTAAATAGGCGGGATGCAGTCAGGAAGAACCCATGGCTTAAGCAACACATTATTCTTTGTTAACTTACCTGAACCAGCTAAGCATGTGTCCAGCATGACCACCGTGCCTACAGTTGTGGCACCAGGAAAACCAGTTGTTGAACTGGGCCAATTTCTTGTCCTTGCTAAGATCCACCTTTTCATCTGACTTTGATCCTCCTATAAATAAGAAAATGTAGTCTGAATTGATTTCTATGGTAATGAGAACAGGTTGTTTAAAACCAATGGAGACAGGGTTGTATCCAATTAAGTTCAACTCAGAGGAGACTTACTGCAATTAATGTCCAATAATTTCTATGTGTCTATCTGGAGTATGACTAGGATTGGAAACAACTTTGAAATGGCACAGAAAACAAAATTACCCAGTATAATCAAAGCAACATAATAATCAGTGTCTCAAGCAGTTAACATCCCCAGGCTGAAAAGTATTAAGCCAATTTCCATAATACAGGTGAGAACTCCTCTAGATTTTTTTTTTTAAGTTTACAAATATTTGTAAATGGGAATTTCATGCAGCACAGAGCATCTTTCAAATAACGCACAAATAATCTGTACCCATTTTGATGAAAAGATCTTACACTTGGCTCCCAGCTGTGAGGGTAATCATTATCAGGGAAATAAGTGTCTCTTCAAACATTATGTTTCCTGTAAATATGAAGCACTTCTTCACAGATAAAAAGTGTCAAAAATGTAGTCCTGTGTCATCACCGTACTCCTCTATTTCACAGCACACAAAGCTGAGGCCAGTCGCCCTTCCCAGCATGTGTATCTGCAGGGCAACAGATGCGTGAAATTGCTATAGAGGTGTCAGGATCCAATGAAACACATGATGAGTCCTGCATACCTAAGTCCGGGCTTGTGTTTTGCAATGACACATGGCAAACTGCTGATGAGACAGACTTGCCAAAGCAGTTTCTGATTCTGTATGCATGTTTTCTTATTTATGGCAAAATATTTAAAGATTTTCCGAGTTGACCCTAAGTAGCTCTTTGAATTCCAGACATGATTTAAGTTTTCTCATTATCTACAAAATTTTAAAATGCCTTAAAAACTCCAAGAACAATTTAGTCTGAACTTAACCCACAAGGGCCTGTTTTCTCTCTTTTTTTAAAAAAATAATTTTTATTAAATTTCATATTTCCAAATGAAACACATCAAATCAATTAGTCCAAATTATAACAATACATATCATATAATCCAATTGGTTTCCAAATTATAAATTTTTGTGGGGGGTACCCATGCTTCTTGAGTGGCAGAAGTCCAATCCTCGAATATTTGTTCTGCTTCCATATTAAGAATGATGTTTCCAGGCTCCTCTTCTCAATACTTGTCATTACTCATTTTCCTTTCCATTTTCCTCCGATATGCTCCGCAAGTGGGTTGAAAAAGACAGTCTTATTTGTATTTCTGTGTGGGCTTTGTGCTGCTCTCTCGTAAATCACTCTCCTCCAACAGTCCTTTCCGCTCGAGCGAGTAATCGCCATTTTTGTCGTTCCGATGAAATACAGTCTAGAAATTCGCTCTTTAGCTTTTCCAACCTGTTGTATCGTAAATTAGTCTTTTTGCAGGAGGGCTGCCCCTTCCAGTTCGCAATCTCCTCGAAAATAATATATCTTCGGCTCGCCCTCCCCAAGACCAACTCCAGCAACACAGGTCTCTTATCAAGTTTCCATTCTTACTGCGTCACAAGAGAGAGCCCTTCTTCTTTCCAAATCCTTCACAGAGTTCATAATTATTCCCACACAATTCATTTTTAGTCCCATTTGCAATTAATTTCTGTGACAGATCTTCAAAGGGAGGGTTATTAATAATCACATAGAGCAAAAGAAATAAAGTCGTTCCCCCCCCCTTAGTTCCGGCATTCCAATCCACATACCATATTTGTAGTACTTTGATGTAATCTTCCATCTCAGTCTGTCTCAGTCTTCTTCCTTTCAGTGGTAAAAACCTCCTGCCTCTCTTGAAGCATGTGCGTTATCTTTCCCAATTTTTTTCCTTTTAAGTAACGCAGCTAGTTTCGCTCCTGGAAGCAGCTTCGGAGGAGTTCCGAGGCCCGCCGAGGGTTGTGCACCCAGTGCCTCACCCCCTCCTTCTTCCGAACTCGGGGGTGATTTATGGCAACAGCGGGTGAAAACGGCATCTCTCCCCCCTGGAGAGATGAAGGGAGACTGATATAATCAGCCTCTAATTACCTCGTGCGAGCTGGATAGATGTTAATATCCGCCATCTTCCAAGGCGCCCCCTAGCGGGCCCCCCAAGGGCCTGTTTTCTCAGTGCCTGACTGGCACTTAAAGAAGTGGTATTCAAACAGCACCGTGAACAGGTGCAAGAGAGCATGTGGGTTAGGCAAAGGCTGCACTTAAAGATGACTTAAAGGGAAGCTACACCCCAGTATGGAACTGATTGGTTCAATATTGGAAAAGGAGTACAACAAGGCTGTATATTGTCTCCCTGTTTATTTAACATATGCAGAATTCATCATGCGAAAGGCTGGGCTGGATGAATCCCAAGCCGAAATTAAGATTGCCGGAAGAAATACCAACAACCTCAGATATGCAGATGACACAACCTTGATGGCAGAAAGTGAGGAGGAATTAAAGAACCTTTTAATGAGGGTGAAAGAGGAGAGCACAAAATATGGTCTGAAGCTCAACATCAAAAAAACTAAGATCGTGGCCACTGGTCCCATTACCTCCTGGCAAATGGGGAAGAAACTGAGGCAGTGAGAGATTTTACTTTCTTCTGCTCCATGATCACTGCAGATGGTGACAGCAGTCACGAAATTAAAAGAAGCCTGCCTCTTGGGAGAAAAGCAATGACAAACCTAGACAGAATCTTAAAAAGCAGAGACATCACCTTGCCGACAAAGGTCCATATAGCTAAAGCTATGGTTTTCCCAGTACAGTGGTACCTCGGGTTACAGACGCTTCAGGTTACAGACTCCGCTAACCCAGAAATAGTACCTCGGGTTAAGAACTTTGCTTCAGGATGAGAACAGAAATTGCACGGTGGCGATGAGGCGGCAGCGGGAGGCCCCATTAGCTAAAGTGGTACCTCAGGTTAAGAACAGTTTCAAGTTAAGAACAGACCTCCAGAACGAATTAAGTACTTAACCCAAGGTACCACTGTAATGATGTATGGAAGTGAGAACTGGACCATAAAGAAGGCTGATCGCTGAAGAATTGATGCTTTTGAATTATGGTGCTGGAGGAGACTCTTGAGAGTCCCATGGACTGCAAGAAGATCAAACCTCTCCATTCTTAAGGAAATCAGCCCTGAGTGCTCACTGGAAGGACAGATCCTGAAGCTGAGGCTCCAATACTTTGGCCACCTCATGAGAAGAGAAAAGACCCTGATGTTGGGAAAGATTGAGGGCACAAGGAGAAGGTGATGAGAGAGGATGAGATGGACACTGTTCTTGAAGCCACGAACATGAGTTTGACCAAGCTGCGGGAGCCAGTGGAAGACAGGAGTGCCTGGCATGCTCTGGTCCATGCGGTCATGAAGAGTCGTACACGACTAAACGACTGAACAACAACACCCCAATAAGGATGGGGCAGTTAATACAAGCAGGACAAAGCCAGTAACAAACAGCTCATTTTCAGAGAAAGTCATTCAGATGTGAACTGATGTAAAGCAGTTCAGCAAAATAAGCATTCACAGGACTGTATTCAGTTTTCTGTACCACAAAGCTAGAAGCCTATGAATAATAAAATGGAGAAGTTCAACAAATGGGAGGGAGCCATACCTGGACAGCTGGAAACTGGAGTGCCCATATTTATGAGACAAAGTGCACAGCGAGGAAGGGGCTTGCGGCAACCGGGACAACTTGTGACTTTGGACTTGGTCGGGGAGCCACTTACGCCATACTGACTGAATCCTCGGCCCTGATGAGGGATGGTCGAGCAGCTGTACGAAATTGACTTTCCGCAAAAATTGCAACTTACAAACACCTTGCAAATATAAAAAAGGGATATGAGGGTGATTAGATTTGCTTTTATTTATTATTAAGCAACTAGTAGATATATTGCTACCCTATAGGTTTTTCAAGCTGCACCCCTTCATACCCACCCACTGGGATGATAGGGTTATCAATGGGCCATAATAGCTAAACAGAGCTTACAAGTTCAGAAGCAAAACATGTTTTAAAAAAATTAAAAGCTTGTATGTTCAGGAAAGAAAAAAAGGACAGACAGGTGATATGGGGAGAGATATTGATTTTGAAAAATATAAAAATATATATGCCAATATTGGGTGGACTTTCTGTTTAGAAATAAAGGTTTGGCATTTATTTATTTATTTTATTTATTAAATTTCTATACCACCCTTCATCCAAGGATCAAAGTTTACAATATAAAAACACAAAACAGTACCAAACAAAAACAATACTGCTCACCAGTAGTGCCTCAGACAAGCACCGTGCAAACAACTGGATCTTCCTTTTCTTTGTCAAATGAAGTCTGCTGCTTTATGTCCATTGGCTAAATTGACTCACTACATGGCCAGAAAAATTAGAAGCACATTTACCTGGGCTAAAGGTTTTGAACTGGGATCCAGCTTGCTCCGATGAATGTCAAATTCTGCTCGCTTATGCCAAAACCGCCATGCATCCAATAGATTCCGGTAGTTCTCAATCCAATACTGAACCCTCTCATCTTTAAGCACATCGGATGGAGAACCCTAAAAAGGTAGGCACAGAGGAGACTGTTTCAAAGGTCTCCCCAAAATTACATTATTTTGAACACTAGCTTAAGAAATGTTGTTTTACCCATTTTAAATAGTTTTAAAGCTTGTTTATGAACACCACTTAATTAAATAAATAAATATAATAATAATAATAATAATAATAATAATAATAATGTATTTGCCTAGCTTGCAAATAACCCCAATCCAAACTGTGGCTTTGTGTAAACCAACAAGGATGAAAGTGCATGGACCAAAAGTTGCAGTCACTTCGCTTCTCCCACCCCTGCTGCAGTCACGCTACCAAGAACTAAGTCATGAATTGCCCCACAATATCCTATCAGAATTGCTTCACAGTAGCTAACATTTGGGTAGCACAATAATGAATTGCTATTATTAATTAAATTTCTATACCATTCTTCCTCCGAAGATCACAGGGTGGTTGATAATATAAAAATACATCCAATACTAATGAACAAAAACAATAACCCCATGCACAGTATTATTTAATTAAATTTTGATTTATTAAATATTACATTATGCACGTTACACAAAAAATGAGTTGTATAGTATTGACATGAATTCTATAAATCAGAGATTTTGTATGTAAAAAAATACAAACCTGCAGCATACAATAACTTGCTGTTTGAACATCTCCTGTTCTATCAACATAGCTTTCCATCAAATCCACTCCATCTTTTGTGAGTCCTGTCAGAAGAATTCCTTCAAGGTTCCCAGATTCCTTCATTTCATTTGTCAGTTTGTCAATGAACCTATTCAGCTATTTAAAATAAGAAGATTGGTCAGTGTTTTGCTCATTCCTTGAATTACATCCACACGCCTACACACACACTCATACACAAATGGGGTATGGTTGGGCTGGGCTCACTGCAGAATTAAAGTCTTGATTATTATATCTAATCATCAGGATTTAGCGATAAAAGCAATAAATAATATCCACCTTCAATGTGTACTCAATTTCAAAATATTTCCGAAAGGATACATAACAAATGCAGTGGCCTAAAAGAATCATGAATTCCAAGCTGACTCTTCTCTGTTAAATATTTACTGCCCAGATGCAGTTCATACTTGCCACGGGCAAATGCTTTACAAGACTGTACAGAGATCATTAGACGAGTCCTCAAAAGCTTGTGTCATAATAAATCTTTGGTCTTTAAGGTACAACAAGTCTCTATTAGATTTTACACTTATTTCAAATGGGTATTATACTTCAGGATGGCTATCAAATTCTTTTGGATGACAAAACTCTTTTTCCAACACCCAGAGAATAGCATGCAAGATTGTGTGTGATTACTTATTCAACCCTTTATGTTATCTAGAAAGAACAAAGGAAGAAAATGATGGCAGATCTGATCATCTCACCTGAGCATCAGTTAGGAATTTACAAGCAAATGCCACTCTGTCTCGTACAGCTACATTACTTTCATACTGAAAGAATACAAAACACATTAGCATTAGCCTGGAAAAAAACAGCCAGTCTCCTGAAAAAAAAAAGGCTGATAAGTTTTATGACAATTCTATATTTACAGTTGTATAAGATGACAAATTAATAAAAACAGCCTTAGTGATTTTGAGAAAACTATTCTTTTTTTCTAGTTGCTTGCCAAGTGCAAGATATGTTGCAACTTCTCAGTTTGGTTTCCAAGCACCACTTCCCAAATCTGGGGGAGTTTTAGAAGCAGTGTACAGTGGTACCTCGGGTTAAGTACTTAATTCGTTCCGGAGTTCTGTTCTTAACCTGAAACTGTTCTTAACCTGAAGCACCGCTTTAGCTAATGGGGCCTCTTGCTGCTGCCGTGCCGCTGGAGCACGATTTCTGTTCTCATCCTGAAGCAAAGTTCTTAACCCGAGGTACTATTTCTGGGTTAGCGGAGTCTGTAACCTGAAGTGTATGTAACCTGAAGCGTATGTAACCCGAGGTACCACTGTACAATCAATGGCAGGGGTGCAGGCTCTACCTCTGCTGAACAAATCCTATCTCTTTGCAATATCGAAGGAAAATGTTTACATGGGACTGGGGAACCTGTGACCTCCTAGATGTTCTGGATTCCCACCCCATTCCTGTCTCTGCTCACCACTGGCCCCACTAGCTGGGACCGATGGAAGCCAGGAGTACAGCAACATCAGGAGGACCACAGATTCTACATCCCTGCCCTTAATCTTCAGAATGGGACCTTTAATGTATTTTTGTCAAGCAAGTGAAGCTGGGATCCCACCTCAAAGTTGAGAAGTGGAATCCATCTGGGGAAATTAATTATTTAGGGTTATGTTCCACCTCTTAGATGATGGCCAATGCTCGTAAACCTGAGTTCATTATTTCCTTTTCAATAACATTTTCACAGTGGATTGTTTCACAAAAGCTGCTGAAGACCGAAGTCCTAAGCAGCCCAGGGCCAAATTTTCTAACACACAAAGAACCAGATCAAGTTCTCAGTTTTGCATCTGAATATTTGTGCCTTTGTGTATTTAGTCAACGGAGATTAGCGAACAAAAATAGCTTACCAAAACCCCATCAAAAGAACCCGATTCACTTGTTAGGAAAGCAAACATGGCACAGAGATAAGGGTTGTTGAGCTGTAACCTCAGGGTGCTGCACATTTCCCTCCACAAGGAGTTCTTTTCATCAGTATAGCCTGATAATGCCATGGCCACTACGTTGAGGTTTAGATCACCTGCACAGCAAAAATAAAGGCCGCACAATAGCAAACATTTCAAGCCATTTGGTCTCCACTTCTGAAGGACATTTTGAAAATACAGTTAAAATCTTTTGTTTGGGATGACAGAGGGATCTGTACCCCCAAACTCAGCAATCAAGGTGTTCAACAAAAACAACTGCCACTGACCCTGGAACAGAACTCGCTCTGAAAGGCAGAACAAAAGATGCTGGTACAATTTATTGATTATGAGAAGAACTTGACTTCCCGATACTGGGAAAATTAACACTACAGTGGTACCTTGCTTCTCGAACTTAATCCGTTCTGGGAGTCTGTTTGACTCCCGAAACCGTTGCAAACCTGTGTATTCCTTGCTGAGTTTGTGTACAAACTTTGTATTCCTTTCTATTTTATGTTGACTGTATTTGGAAGTAATCCTGTACGTTTAAAAGCCAAAATGTTTTAGTCATGCATGTATGACTGCTGGGCGGGGTGGGATAGGGCACTTGAATAATAAAGAAGTTTTCAGTCAATTCTGAAAAAAACAAAATACCAAGGCACGGCTTCTGATTGGCTGCAGGAGCTTCCTGCAGTCAAGCAGAAGCTGCATCGGATGTTTGGCTTTCAAAAAACGTTCACAAACTGGAACACTTACTTCCTGGTTTGTGGCGTTTGGGAGCTGATTTGTTCGGGAACCAAGCCATTCGAGAACCAAGGTACCACTGTATTGACATGAACTACTTCATACACCACATTCTATTCATGCATAACTGTTTAGTTTGATCTACCATTCAGAATGGCTGATTCCAGGACATAGTGCAACATCAGATGAAGAAATGGGGGTGGGGGGCGGGTTGGTACCACTGCTCCTTCAGCCTCTTCATCCATGGCAATGCTTCATCCCTGGTACAGTAGAATTGTGATGTCTATCCTTTCCTGTTACTAAAGCAATTGGGTATGGGATCCAACCAGGTTCCCCCCCCCCCCCCCCAATATACTGTGTTGGATGCAAAGATCCATGAACATATAGAAAACAGCCACTGGCTACAAACACTTGCACAGTGCTATAATCAGTGGGTTCCATTCATGCCTCCTGTTTCTGCCAATGGAAAACATTCAGATTTGGTTTGTTTTTCTCATGTTCTTTTTAACATAGGGTGTAAAACAGCCCTCCACAAACAGAAGACACCAGCTGCATCTGGCAGAGCACTTACCTGATTCAATCCTTTGTGAAGCGGAAGAGAATATGAAATCTCTATTTTCACTGATAAGCAGGATATTATTAAAGAAAATGCAACAAGGAGCAGCTCACTCTGCCAAAGTGATACCAAATCACAGCAGGTACCTTTTCCAGAAGATGCTCCTTTGTTCAATATCTGTATTGCTCTTCGAATGTCCAAGTTGAATAGAGCTACAGCAGCAGCTCGCTCCCAGTCTCCTTCCTGTTCCAAAGAGTATAAAAAGGGCTCCACATCCAGATCTGTGCCCTTCTTTATCCATCCACAAAGCTGCAAAGCCAGTGACCTCTCCTCACTCAGATATTGAATAATGTCAGCCTGTCTGTCTGATCCACTCCTGCTGTGCCTGAGGTTCTCTGTTGTTCCTAAAGAGCAATTGTTTTTTGAGTTATTTGCATACAAAGATAAATAGAAACTTAGATTCAGGAACATGTAAAGCTAAAACCAATACAGTCGTACCTCCGCTTACGTATCCCTCTGGATATGTAAACTTCGGGATGCGTAAGCGCAAACCTGGAAGTACATTTACGGGTTTTTGCCGTGTGTGCGCAGAAGTGGTCCCTCCAGTTGCAGAAACCTTGGGATTCAACCAGAACTCTGGAACAGATCCCGTCCGCAACAGGAGGTACCACTGTATTAACGATAAAAGCATCACAGTTACTGTTAATTAAGTCCGCTCTTCAGCTATTTCTTGCACCTTCGTCAAAACCTGACAAAAATTACTCATTTGGGGAGAAAGGATTTATCTATTTTTAGAAATCTGTGTATAAATAGATTAAGTTGGCTTGGGGTACTAGGAAGTCATGCAGAATGTCATGTGAATCAGAAAAGTGGTTGAGAAAACACACTCAGAAACGGCATGAGTTCAAAAGACATTGGGAAGGTTTCATTTTTGTTATCAGACGTGTTTACATTCCACCCTTCTCTGAAGAACCTCAAAGTGGTGTACATCGGGCCATTAAAATTCCCACTCACATAAACCCTGTGAAGTAGGTTCGGATGGGACAAAATAGCTGGCCAAAGTCACTCATTAAAATAAAATTTAAAAATTAAGTAAGAAATCAGTCAAAATGCACTTACCCATAGAGGATTTCACAATAGATTTGATGCCTGCATAAACTAAAGATCCTTTGTTTCCTGTGCATTTCTGATCCATATCCTCAGTATACTGCTTCATAAGTATTTTCAAATATAGGAAACTTGGCAAATTAACATTAAAATGAGATGCGGCAAAGATGATGATGATGATGCATTTGGTGGCTAGGAAATTCCTATACCCCACTGGGTTTGGCCCTCCACAGTTCTTGAAGAAACAAACTACAGCTTGGATCCCAAAAGCTGCTTAAGGTGGGCAAAGAGCGAGCTTGTGCTATCCCAGCGGAATTTATGACCATTTCCACCCTTCAACAGCTGGCACTTGTGCCATATCATGTGGCCTGAGCACTGCCAGTAATGAGTTTTGGGTTGAAGGTCAGTGGTGACTTTGCTTTTCAGGCATAAAGTAAATTAATTAAAGTTTTTGCAAAGCCCATTATCTAACGGGTTGGTTGAATGGGGGAGGGGGACGGCAGAACCTTTTTCTTCTAATGGTTTAAAAAATAATGAAAGATATAGTCTGGGGCAGTTTAGATGAGTTTGTTCTGGTGTTTGGATTTTTTGTAACTATTGATGTTTGTTCTGTTGAACATATAAATTATTTTCTGCTGGTTGTCATAGCCTAAGGCAACAAATAAAATTCAACAGAGGAACACACATTTGGATGAAGAGGAGTAGCCTTTTAACGAAAAATCAGCCACGTGTCCTATGTAATGCACAGACTATACTACTGGTTAAATCTGCATCATGTCAGCAGAACTGTTCTGGCTCCTTAAAAGAATTGGAAAGTGGTGCATCACCCTGACCCCACACTGCTCCATGTGCTCCCTCCTCTCCCTTTCCTTCCTACTACCACTGTCTTCTTGGACACCAGTGGATCATCAATACATATTCTGCTCCTGCCAATATGCCCTAAGTCTCAAGTTTCTGTTGCTGCTTATTTCTTTCACCTCCTGTCCTACAACCAATGGACATCTTTGCAGTTGTTTGGCTCTTTTTTGCCTAGCTGAAGCTTTGGCCCATCCCACCCACAGTCTTCCCAAGCAGCAGAAATAAATACATCAAAACAATGCTAAGAAGAGAATATCTCATTCATCTGTCACCAGGACAAAAGCACTGCCTAACAATGCAGCCAGCCCTCTATATTAAGACTCCTTCCTGCATACAAGAGTTTTTAAAAGGATATAGTGCAGAGTGTACCAAAGTGACTTCAGTTGTGGGTCTTCATTTCCCGCTAGCACGTGGTTTCTCCAGACCTGTTCCGTGTCAAGGCCATACCTGGATAAAGCTCTAAGACGCATTTTAGTGGCTATGTCTTTTTCCAAAGAACTAGCCTTCCCATCTTCTGTGCACTCATACAAGTGCCTCCCACATGCCCACATTAAAGAGGTAATGGGGCTCCATGCCAGAGAGATTCTTTCAAACACAGTGAAGTCAGACATGGTCCTGTTTGGAGTCACAACCACCATTCGATTTTGATTAGTGGGATGCCATGCAAAGGAAGCAATATAGTGTTCACAGGGCTGCACACTTCTTTCAATGATTGTAGGCTCAGTTTCATCCCCAATAGGTGTAGGAGTGTGCTGCATATCGTAGAGCTTGATTATGTTACTATCCCTAGTCAAAGTAGCTAGCAATCCAGTTCTCGTCGGACACCATGCTACTTTAGTTAGAGGTTTTGGTTGTTCAGTCAGGGTCAATACAGGCTTTTCAAATTTTCTAAGGTCCCATATAGCAACCTGACCTTCATAGAAGGAAGCCACACGATCATGGAAGTAGGGGTCAACCGTTACGCCCTGAACAGCCTTCGTATTCACAAACATCTTTTGGCTTGTATTCCTAAGGTCAAAGATAGCCAGGTTTCGGTGCATTCCAGCTAAAATAAGTTTCTGATCCCGTGGAAGCCAACAGAGAGAAAGGCAAGCATCGTTCTGGCCTAATTCATAAAGTGGTTTTGTCACAACAAGTCCTGCTTCAGTGTCTCCAGATGAAAGCCTTACTTTCTCAGCAGCAACTGGAGTTTCTGGAGTGTATTTACTACTTATGTCCCAGATCAGTACTGAAAAATCAGCCCGATGTTTATCTAGGCCTGCAGCAAGCCAATTGCTGTCTAGTGGATTCCATGCCAGAGTGTTACACTGCCGAGCATGCTTTGGAACAAATTCCTTTCCTATCAGATCCTTGGATTTTGAGTTATGATCTTGGCCAAGGCTGGTAAGGACAACTCGGCCATTGGCCTGCCCAACTGCCAGGAGACATTCAGGATCATATTTAGGATACCAAGCCACACATTTCAGATACGGAGTGTCTGAATTAATGGACAAAAGGGTAGCTGTAGTTTCTTCAGATAAACGCAGTGATCCTGCTTTGAGTTCAGAACTGACAGCAGATTCAATGTGGTAGAGGCTGAGCTCTGAGTCACAAACAACAAATCTATCAACATGGTGTGGGGCCCACAGAATATCAGGTTTGGAGCCACTCATGTCTGCTGCTGCAAACTGATGTGGTTTAAAGTGTTGTTGGAAGACTAGAACTGTGTTCGTTCATATGGGCACTGTTTTTTTCAAAAAAAGAAAAAGAAAACAGAATATTATAGCATGACAAGGCGGTGAATGTCTTCCAGATCTAAATGAGAATCTCTTAATAACATTCAAATTTCTTGTTCCCAAATGCTTTCGGGGGTAATCATGCAACGGGAGACTAAGACTCCAATCCCAACCCCTTACCTGCCACAAAGCCCCAATGAATTCAGTGGGACCAGTTTCTGAGGAGAAATGGTTAAGATTGCACTATATAACCAACTTAAAATTTTCCGCAGTTTTACCTAGGTTTTAGGTAAAATAATAATTTAAAAAATTACTTGGGATCGTTTGCACGCGCGGTCGATAAATCCTGCACAACCCGTGATTCTCAATACGCAGTTTCCACACCCGCCCCGCGTCCACACCCGTCGTCTGAAGCGCGAATGGGCGTGTCGTACCCGCCTTGAACTCAAAAGGGCGCAGCACCGGGAAGGCGCGCAGAGGCCGCCCCGTCCCCAAAGACCCCACCCCAATTCTGCAGGATGCTGAGCACTGCCGCCCCTGCGGCTCAAGAGGAAAGAGAGGCCGAGTCCGCCACCGCCCAAACCGGAGCTGTCTCGCGGGAGGGACTCACCCTGCAGCCCCTCCGCTCCTGGGGTCCCGGAGTTGCGCAGTCAAAATGAAGCGAACCAGTAAAGATATAAGATAATTGGGGGGGTGGGAGTCGCAGTTTCCACTTCCGTCTTCAGGGAGACTTCCGCTTCCGGTGCGAACGGGAATACGTCCGGTGAGGTAGGGGCGAGTCGGAGGAGGAGACCTTATGTAGAATGGATGGGCGTGGCTTTCCTGGGCTTCGGTTCTTTGAACGCGGAGGGGTTGATAAGCGGCTGCCCTTACGTGGCAAGGAGGTTGCGCAGACTTCGGCCGCCCGGGATTCCAGGAGGCTAAGCTGCCCGCCAGCCCGCCTGAACATCACTTTCAAACAGTGCCGGATTTACGTATCAGCTGAACCAGCTATAGCTTAGGGCCCCACTCACTTGAGGGCCCCCCAAAAAAATTTAAGGGAAAAAAACCTGGATGTACATTTCCAGCATATAAGATAAAAAACAAATAAAATAAAACCAGCATACAGCAACAGTGTTTTGTGTTATTTTGTTATGTGCAAATAGCTTTAGGTACCTATTAGGTCCATAAATTACCATACAGCATATATTCAACACACAAAAAAGCGACAATTTGTTGTTGACAAAGGACAGCTGGACATATAAAGGGCCCCATTACCTTCAGGAGCTTAGGGCCTCATCAAACCTAAATCTGGCCCTGCTTTCAAAGCTCCTTTGCAAGTGGAAGGCTTGAGCCCACCACTTGTGAGATTGAGGGGATCAGGCTCTGCCAGTTTATTTTTTATTAAAGATTTTCTTGGTTTACAAAACAACATGCCTTGTCTCTCTTTTTTCAGGTTGTACAGTCTTCCTTACAAATCAGTTACATTTATTGTGAGACTAAATTAGTGTTGTGTACAGTATAGGGTTGGGGAAGAAGAGGGGGGAGACGAAGGCTTGGGCTGGTGAGCCTTATATTCTTTTGTCTAGTGTATGGGTGGGGTTTTGTGTCAGCGTCGACTGGGTAGGTTCCCTTTCTATTCATTTATTACATTGTCTTGGCAGTGAGAGGTATTGGAGGGCAGGGTGTGGTTGGTTGGCTGCAGTGGGGTTTGTAGCGTTTGTGGGGGGGGGGGGAGAGGGCTTGTTGGGTCAGATAAGCCAGATTGATTTGTATGCTGTCAGTGGATTCTTGTCTTGTTGGGCTGTGTATGTGATAAAGGGGAGCCATACCGGGGTGAAGGCATCCTCTTCTATTTGTCCCCGTGTCAGTTTCAGTTTATTGGTTAGCTTTTCTAGTAAGGCTGTTTCCCATACAATTGGATACCATTAGTCCATGTCTACTCCTGACAGGTATCTCCAGTGTCTGGCTATGAGGCTTCTGGTTGCTGAGAGTAGGTGGGTTATAAGCTCTGTATAATGTGAGTGGTCATTATGAACTTGGAAGATGTTCAGTAGGGCCAGTTCTGGGATGAGTTCTAATACCTGTTTAGTTATTTTGCCTATCTCTTGTAGGACTGCTGTCCAGAAGGGTTGGATTTTAGGGCATTCCCACCACACGTGGAGGAATGTCTCAGGCTCTACCAGTTGAGCTATATATGTGACATCACTGTGTTGCTCTAGTAGACAGTAGCAGACAATATTTTTGGAAGAACCAGTTGCTATGTCGACACCAACTTAGCACTGCTATACTGGTACAGTGAGCAAGGAAAAAAATCTGAAAGATCCTCTTCCTTCATGCCACTTTTAAGGGTACAATCCTCTTCCCACTTACCTAATGGAAACTGGATTGAACTCCCCCCCCCCCCCGCAAGTAGACCCACAAGGATTGCTCTGTACATCAGGCAGAATTTGTTGAAGCCACAAATCCTATTCCTGATACCTTGCAATAATAAACCCTTTGAATAGGGTTGCCGGATGAAAAAGAGGATAGGTCACCTGCACTTTGAAAGTTGTGTGGAAAACTCAGTTTCAGCAGGCCATGCAAGTTATGTTTCCTGAAATTCCCTCTTCTATACAACTATTAAAAATGCACCTGACTGTGCCTCTTTACCAATCTGGTCATCCTAACTTTGAGCAGTTTACAGACAAAAAAGTAATAGCATGTAGCGGAGCATATGAGAGGAAGATTACAACATTCATTAGTCTTGTAAAGGTTGCAGAAACAGCAGTTTAACAGGACCTGAATTAAATGATGTGCTCTTGAGACCCACAAGGTGGAGCTCAAATCATCTTTCTTTCTTTCTTTCTTTCTTTCTTTCTTTCTTTCTTTCTTTCTTTCTTTTTCTTTTTGCAAAACTAAGGTCTGAGAAGAGTGAGCCCCACATTCAGTGCTGTCAAACAGGCAATGGATATTAACCAAAGTACAAAACTTTCGACACACTTCATGTCAGTTTATTTAGTGTGAAATACCAACTGCTTAATGATTAAAGATACAATAAAATACTGAGCCTCAAGTCTGTCTGAAAGCTACATATAGAGTAACTCTGTTGCTTCATCACAGATCTTTGAGGGGCTAGCAGTTGTGTGGGAAATACACTTTGAAAAGAGTTGACTCTGGCAATGGAAACAATCTCAGATGGGGGGCACCAACATGGTGTCCTCCAGATGTTGTTAGATTTCCAACACCCATCTTCCGCAGCCAGCATGGTCAATGGTCATGGATTATAGGAGTTGTCATCCAGCAACATCTGGAGGGCACCCTGTTGGGTACTCCTGGGAACCTTGTTCAGTTTTGTAAACAGGCAACAAATTGGTCCCAGATTGAAACTAAATACCACAGAGGCATCTTGTATCTGTTCAGCTTGTCAAAAGCAAAAACTTTGTTGGACTACAACTAAAGCTTTTTCCTGTTTTCTGAAAAACTGTAGTTTTTATTCATTCATTTCTGAATTGCTTACTAAGGTACATCTCAAATTAATGTTCTCAAAGCAATTCACACCATAATTACATATGTAAAGGTTAAAAAAAGGGTAAGGACCCCTGGTTGGTTAAGTCCAATCAAAGGCAACTATGGGTTGCAGTGCTCATCTTGCTTCAGGCTGACGGAGCCAGCATTTGTCCACAGACAGCTTTCGGGGTAATGTGGCCAGCAGGACTAAACCACTTCTGGCACATGGAGGACCGCGATGAGTGCCAGAGCACATGAAACACTGTTTACCTTCCCACCAAAACGGTACCTATTTATTCATATTTGCATATGTAAAACAGTTATATAAATTGGTGTGTGTGTGTGTGTAACAATTTATATTTTACAATTTACATTTTATTATGGAAACAGTTGAAAACAATTACATTTTTTAAAAGAACAACTATATAAAATATGAAAACATAAATCTAGAATAGCTGCTTCCCTCTAATTGCAATCCAACAACCACAGAGTACAATGCCATCTATTTTAATCTATTATTTACTCTTTAGATATACAGTTATCTCACAGTCAAAGTAGTTAATAAGGAGTAGTTAATCCTTGATTTCTGTGTATGTGATACAGGTAGTAGATCCCTAATTTGATCCTAAATTATTTCCAGTTTAGAAAATAACAGGCCAAGATATGTGAATGTTGGTGGATTTGTTTAACCTCTCTTTTTAGGTTTTCAGGAAAAGTGAACTATAAGAGGAAAATGTTTTGGAAGCTGTGAGGCAGCATCCAGCCAGTCTCTACATCAACCTTTTCCCAATATTCCCACACATTCAGGGTCTGCCAGGTTTCCAAGAACATATCCATGAAAAGAGGCTAATGGAAGCAACATTTCCCAGACAGCCTGGAGACCAGCCTGAAGTTGTTACATAACAACTACCAAATGAGAAAAGAACTACTAACTTTCCTCTAGACCCAGGGGTGGCTAACCTGTGGTTTTCCAAATGTTATTGCATTCCAGCTCCCAAGAGCCCAAGCAAGGCTGACAAAGATTCAATGGACCTGTCATGTGACTTTCATGAATATTATGAAAGATAGGAATGCTAATAATAAACTGCTAATGATCCAAAGAAAGAACTATATGATAAACTTGACAATAAATTTATTTCAGTTAATTCTGAAATAATAAACATGGTGACACAGTATTTGGTCCAATCATATAGGTCCCCAAAGGTGGCAAACTGGTTCATTTCTGATTAGATTTTCTGTGTAGCTTGAAAGAATTCATACCCTTACAGCAGCATATGTTAGTCTGCTCAAATTACTTGGTTTGGGAAATGCTGGAGCTCATAAGTGCACTTCCTGGACTTTACACTAATGAGTCTTTATTTTCTTTGTAAGGTATTCAGAGGCAACAGCTGCCATGTTGATCTCAAAGAAACAAAGTTGCTGGGATCCATCTGTCTCAGGAGACAACCTTTTGGGGTGAAGTCAAACTGCTGGAAGGTTGCATCACCTGCTGTGGCTTTAGAGAAATGTAGAGACATGTTGATCTCAAAGAAAAGAAGTTACAATTATATTTACATTTACAATAGTGAGTGGAGAATAGTAGTGGAGTCTTCATCCCCTGCTCCTGAGGAAATAGGTCTGTATAAGTGGACTTTAAAGACTCATCCCCAGAACTACCAACAGCCCAGGAGAACCATCTACTACAAAGGGAGGCCCACTATGTGCATTCCAGTCCACTGAAGCACATGGCTGTGTAACAGAATGCCAGTTTTCTCAAGGGAGGCTAGGATGATGATCAGAATGATAATGATCATTTTATGAATTACTTTCTACAAGTGTAAGAAGACAATTTACAAACACAAATAAAAAATCAAATAAAAAAAGTTTCAAAAACAGTACCAAAAATAATAGAAGATCAGTTTACAACCAAAACAAGATAACATGCAAGCCAGAGTCATTTTTCATCCAGTAGGAAACGCTTGTTGAAACAAAAGTGTGTTCAGTTGTTTGGGGAAAGTACAAATAGTGGATGTCCGTCATATCTCAACAGGAATCCTGTTCCACACAACAGGAAAGCTTTGCTCCATGTTGCTGTGGAGTAGACTTCTGATATTTTAGGAATTGGGAGGAGAAACTCTCTTGCAGAATGCAGAGGCCTACTGGACATATCAGAGATAAGGTGTTTTCTCAAGCTGCCCCTGAGCTGTTTATGGTCATAAATGTTAGTACCGAATCTTTGAACTTGACCTTGAACTTGAAGATTGGCCGGCTATCTTGCTCTAAGACTGCTCGCCATCAGTTGGCTCTAAACAGCATAAAGCAACACTCCAAGCTCCGAGTGAACTTGGTATCTGGCTGCTCTCCTGAATCCAGCTTCACAATGAGCTGTCCCTGGTCCTGATCATTTGCTGCTGGGCCTGCACCTTTCCACACACCTAGCCAGAGCATGTCTGTGGGACCCAGCCTGGAATTGGGAGACAGACAAAGACTGCAATCCTAATTATGTCTACTCAAAATTCAGTGGGACTTTCTCCCGAGTAAGTAGGGTTATGACTGCAGTCTTAGGCTGCAATCCTGAGCCTAATGAATAGGAAGTTAATCCTATTGGGCACTGAAGCTTCTGACTAAATGGACTCAGGCTGTGCCACCTCTGTAGTACTTATTGTACTTGTCACACAGAGGCATAACAAATCTGATAGAGTGGACTGTAATCCATGAGAACTTCTACCATTATCAATGTGTTAGTCTTTAAGGTGCCAGAAGATTACAGTGGTATCTCAGGTTACAGATGCTTCAGGTTACAGACTCCGCTAGCCCAGAAATAGTACCTCGAGTTAAGAACTTTGCTTCAGGATGAGAACAGAAATCGTGCAGCGGCAGCAGGAGGCCCCATTAGCTAAAGTGGTGCCTCAGGTTAAGAACTTAATTCGTTCTGGAGGTCCGTTCTTAACCTGAAACTGTTCTTAACCTGAGGTACCACTGTATTTGCTTATTTTTTTCTGCAGCAGGCCAACCTTTGGAAAGAAATCTTTAGTAATAATTGGAGTGGTAACAGAATGTATTAATAACTGCAAATGGTTGTTTGGTAGGTGTTGTCCCCTACCCTTTGCAGGACACTGTGCAGCCTGTTTCACGCCTTAGACTGAATGCATGGAGGGCAACTGTAGGGTGCTGCCCCTGCTTACAACCTCCATGTGTGCAGTTGATTGATAGTGTACAGCTCTATGTGTGTAGAGCTCTTGCCCACTGCTTCGGGACCCTGATTTCTCCTGATTGTGAGTACAGATCTCTACATACATGTAGTCCATAGCAGGGATGGGCAGATCTGGGTCCAGCCGTAGATCCCAGGATGATTTGCAGTAGATGGCCAAGGACTTAGGACACTCCAAAGTAGCAGCTACAAAACGACTCCCTAATTTATACTGTTGAAGTGAAAAATGTTGAAGTAGATATGTTTTGGAAGCACTGTGAACTCTGTTTCTTTTTGGTATTTGAAATAATTCATGGGAGCAGAATTCTTCAGTTCTAATTGTTGAACCAACTGTTGAAGAATACACCAAACCCAAGGGAAAGCCTAGAGAAAAAGTACCTTCGTAGGTTGTGAAATTCATTGCTGCACAGGTAAGATAATGTGTATCTGAGTAGAGTGGCTGGGAAGTCCACCAAAGCACCTTATGAGCAGTCTGAATCTGCACAAGTGTGCAGGTGGACATGCTCCAATTCTAAGCACAAAAAATAGCTCCGCCTACTTACACCCATCTGCCAGGGGTTCTAGTTTGGCCTATAGGTCAGTTAGCTGATATCACACCCATAGGCAGGTGATGGACAGGGGTGTGGCTTTCAGTTCTGTATTGGCACACACAACCTAGACATCAGGATTTAACACCAGCAGCTGATGAGTGGTGGTTAAATCCTGTTCCGTTTTTGGCAGTGCATGCCAGTTCCCAGCCATTGTGACATCAGGTGATTGACAGGCAGCAGCCCAATCCTGATAATGACCTGGCCCTTGGCAATGAAAAGCTTCCCCGCCTGTGGCATAAAGGTAACTGCTAGCATTCACTGGTGTGTGTGTGTAGTGAATAAACAGGTGTACCTGTTTCCAGATGTTTTCAAAGCTCATCTATAACCTTCCCCAAATTTTGGCCATTCACTGTAATGAACACATAGTATCATGATTGCTTTCTTATCTCATAGAGGAAGCATTATTGAATAATAAGCATGGGTATGCTTTGGAGGCATGGCAGGGACAGCCACAAATGCCAATAGAAGTTGTTTGTAAGAAGTACCGCTTTCATTTACCGAATAGCAAACAGTAACCAACTCTATAGCAAACTCTCTGAATGGCTGTTCCTTTAAAGTTGTTTATGCTCCCACCCAGATTGCTAGACCTGGCTGCATGCCTAACCACTCTGCATTCAACTTGGACTAATAAAACATGAATAAAGGATCATGAAAAATCCAGATGCAGGGTTCCCTGATTTGCATCAGGACTAATTATTTATTTAAGGACAGCTGTGCTTAAAAGTATTTAAAAACAAACCAAAAAACCCAGCGACCCTAGGAATGCATTTTCTAGTTCATATTTGTTTACAGAATATTTATTCCCAAGCTTGCTGATTTGGTGTTCTATAAGGTAAGATACCAATATTTTAGAAGTTGTTTTTCTTAGCAAAAAATTCAAATGGGACTTGAAACAAAATGACATAATAATTATTGTCATATTGTTAAAATGACATTGTATTGTATTTTTTGGGGGGGAGAATGAATTAATTAGATCAAAGTACTGGGTGATGTTAAACAATATTCTGTAAGGAGAGTTTGGAACTGTGAAGCATATTGTTTAAATGTTTCATATTAGTGATGTATTGTAAATGCATTTCTCTAAGATATTCTTGTAAGTTGCATCTAAGGCTAGAGGTGCTTTTTTACTGGGATAAACTCAGTGGAATTAACTTCTGCGTTGATATGTATAGGATTGCATTGTAAGGCTGCAGTCTAATGCACAATTACCTGAGATTAAGTTCTACTGAGCTCAGCTGGATTTACTTCTGAGTAGACATACATAGGATTTGGCTGTAAGTCACAGTATAAGTGTGTTCAATCAAGCTGCTCATCTATCTTGCAAATCTAACCAAATATGCATATGCCAAACAACATCCCGTGGACTATGTTAAAATCAATGCCTATGAATTATTATGGACACGCCTGTGTGTTAAAATGAAATTTTGAGGCACGCTCACTTCAGGCACCCAAATGAGCAGCATTGTAATAAAGGGGTGAGGGGGGCTCAAAAGGTTTTCTACACAGAATGGAAAGTTTGAATTTTGCACATATCTCAGAATATAAACTGCGGCATGATCTCATGCATGCCTACTCAGAAGTAGGCCCCATTCACTTCAATGAGACTTGCTTCCAGGGAAGTGTGCGCATAGGATGACAGTGCTAATTCCTGCTATTTAAAGTGATTTCTCTGCATCAATTATTTCCAGTGTTTATATTAGAGTATTAGACCACGGGGCAGCTTGTAGGAGAATGCCAAGTACAGTATACCTGAGAATATTTCAAAAAAGTGAAAAGGTTGATACGGCTTTGGACAACAGGAACATAGGAAGCTGATGTAAACCAAGTCAGACCAATGGCCTATCTAGTTCAGTATTGGTTACTCTGACTGGCAGCCGCTCTCTGGGGCTTCACTCAGGGATATCTCTCAGCCCTACCAGGAGATGCCATGGGATTGAACCTGGGACCTTCTGCATGCAAAGCAGATGCTCTGTCCCTGAGCTATGGCCCTTTCCCCAAGGGAAACGTTTATCATGCTTTCTGGAAAATATGTGTATCTAATTCATGATCTGGAAGGGCAAAGCTGTCTGTCTGTCTGTCTGGAACGGGGTAGTCAACCTTTTTATACCTAGCGCCCACTAATGCATCTTTCTTGATGGTACAATTTCCTTACCGCCCACCAGCGTTCAATGGAAGGAGGATTCAGCTTGTGCTGTAGAACCCCCTACTGCCCACCTAGAATCCAGAAATGCCCACTAGTGGGTGGTAGGAACCAGGTTGACAACCCCTGGCTTAGAACATTTCCCCACAATTTCCTACCATATACAGTCGTACCTCGGCTCCCGAGTTTTCCAGTTTTCAGACGTTCTTTCGGAAGCCGAACGTCCGATGGGGCTTCTGCAGTAGCAGAGGAAGCCTCTGGGGCACCTGGGGCGGTGTGCCCAGGGGCGGGGCAAACCGCCCATAGGGGCCCATAGGGGCTAGGGATGGGGAGCGCCACGCGGTGCCCCGATGGCACCCAGGGTGCACTGCACCTGCTGCGCCCACCTAGCTATGCCTCTGGGCTTCTGCGGCTTCCGACTGACTACAGGAGCTTCCTGCAGCTAATCAGAAGCCACGCTTTGGAAGTCGGACATTTCGGAAGTTGAACAGACTTCCAGAACAGACTCTATTCAACTTCTGAGGTATGACTGTATACGCGAGGCAACTTGCAGTATAAGAGCTTAAAACAAATCATTTTAAAGCCAATAGTAAAAATAAAATTAAGGAAACAAAAACAAAAAGCAAAAAAGGCAGAACAATGGAAGGAACATTGCTTGAAAAGATAATGATCATAACTTAAGCATAATTTTATTTTAATTTTTAAGCCTGGGAAATTGGCAGCACGGGGGGGGGGGGGTTTCTCCCAAACAAGGAGCTTTCTCTCCTTGCCCCTCATTTCTGAATTCATTGAATAATAATATTGTAAAGTTGGAAGTGACCCCAAGGGTCATCTAGTCCAACCCCCTGCAATGCAGGAATCACAGCTTAAGAATCCCTGACAGATGGCCATTCCATCTCTGCCACTAACATATGCTGCTGTTTTCTTTCTTTCTTGCCCACCCAGAAATATACTACGCCCCTTCTGTTCTTCCCCCAATATTTTTTATCGGGTGCTGGCTCTGGTCTGTGGTAAGGTTGCATTATATTCATTGAGCAAATGTGTGTTAAGTAGTTACAGATTTATTATTAATATGCACGAGACATTAACAGCTCTTTTTGTTTTTATTAGCAGGAGCAGTAAGTGACCCTTTGATTTTTGAATCCCTGTCACTATGTGGAAAAAACATTCTGTCTTTTGCCTTTTGGTTTTGGCTGTTGCTACAAACTGTGTAGTGTATGGACAAAACAGAAGAAGGGGACAGAAGCCAAGTTCACTAACAGGAAAAGCGAACCTTCAGGGTAAAGTCATTTTCTTAGAATTTACTATAGGCTGCATGAAATGTTTCCAAGCGCAATGGAATAATCTCCAAGGGAAAGTGGCAAATTATTAATATATGGGGATTTTGAATCATTTTGGTAACAAGTCCTGAGTTCTATGGGAACAACATGTTTTCCATTAAGACCAGACTACAAGGCACATAATTATTCTCTTCTAAAAGGCACGTTCCCTTTCACATAAAGAAACTCTACAGACTTTTTTTCAGGTGGAATGTGCTACTGGAAAACGCATATCGCACACCCACAATTTCAGAATAGATTGGAATATGTATTTCCTTATTGAATAAACAAAATATCTTGTTGCAAGGAAACCTCTAAGCAGTTTACAATAATGGAAAATGAAACATTAGCACTATAAAAAATTTTATTTAAAAAATCCCAGTTGAAACCAGGTATTTAAAAACTTTCAAGAGACGATTCTAGCCAACAGTAGCTAAAAAGAGATAAAGCACATGTGACTTCTACATGTTTGGATTGGCTTGCTGAAACAAAAATGTTTTAAGCAGATGCTGAAAAGAGTATGATGAAACCATCTGTCTGGTGTCAATTGGCAGGGAGTTCCAAAGTATAACTGCTGCTACACTAAAAGCTTGATTTCTTACAACTGCACAGCTAGTATTATGTGGCACCTACAATAGTGTCAGTTCTGCGGATCAAAGTGGTCTAGAAGCATATATGGGATCAGGTGATCCCAAGCTATTAAGGGCTATATATTCTAGTTGTGACACCTTGAACTTGGCCCAATAGCAAATGGGCAAACAGTACAGATCTCTGAGCAGGGGTGTTATATGCTGAAAGGCTCTCACTCCTGACAGTAATTATGCTGCAGCATTCTGTACTAACTGCAGCTTCTAGATCAAGCACAAGAGAAGCTCCATATAGAGTGCATTGCAGGTATCCAATTTTGCAGTCACCAATGCACAAACTCCTGGCTTCCCAGGACAGCCCTAGATTCAAACTGCATGCCTGCTCCTTCAGGGCAGTGCAGCCCCATCCAGCTCAGGCAATTGACTCATTTCTAGTTGTTGTTGTTTTCATTTTCCCTACAATACACACATAACAGGCAAACTTCTAAGGGTTTTCTTTAATACAGAGCAGAAGAAGCCATTGTCATGTAAATAGATACAGTGCACAAAAGGTTGCCTTCAACAATATGCAGGCTGTCCTGATTCTATGAAGTGTACGTCATATTAAAGCAGATGTGAGAAACCAATAGCCCTCCAGATGTTGTTGGACTCCAGCTCCCAACAGCTCCAGCTGTTGGTCCAGCCAATGGTCAGGGGTGATGGAAGTCGTAGTCCGACAGCATTCAGACGTCTTGCAACAAAAAAAATCCCCTGTGTTGCAAAACAGAACGGTCTGATAAACATAAAGCAACACATAGGCTAATAGTATACTAACGATATTTATATAACACAGTTGAACTGTTTCTTAATTCACAATCAGAAAACATACAGTATGTACATGGAGTCACGAACTAATAAGAGAACATTCAGACATCAGCAGGTTTCCCATGCCTATAGTAAAGGACTGCAGCCCTATGTTAAATCAACACTTCCATTCCCTACTTCAGCAATACTATTATGGTGGAGGACCTTAAGGTCCACAAATGACAACATTTTGGAGGTCCCAAGTCACAAGGTGGTTAGGTTGGTCTCAACTAGGGCCAGGGCCTTTTCAGTACTGGCCCCAACTTGGTGGAACGCTCTGTCCCAAGAGACTAGGGCCCTGCGGGACTTGACATCTTTCCGTAGGGCCTGCAAGACAGAGCTGTTCCACCTGGCCTTTGGTTTGGACTCAGTCTGACCCTTATGTTTCCCTCCCCTTATGGTTTTGATCTATGGGCTACTTTTAAAATGAGGCTGCATTTTAAATTGCATTTTAACCTGTATTTTAAATTGTGTTTTTTCCTATTATGTTTTTACTGTAATTTTACTGGTGTTAGCCGCCCTGAGCCCGGCTCTGGCCAGGGAGGGCAGGGTATAAATAAATTTTATTATTACTGTTATATTATTGTTATCATGTGAATTGAGAACATAAGAACTGCCCATCTAGTCCACTGTCCTGTTCTCACAGTAGCCAGCCAAATACCTTTGGAAACTCACAAACAGAACCACCACTGACTCCTGTTGTTCCACCATCTAATGAGAAGAACCTAGAATTGGATTGGAATTCCCCTCACCTCTTCCCTTTCTATTTGAAACCACCCCATGTTGTTGTCTTCTCCCACTGCGGCTTTGTTCCCCGTTTTTGAATGATCTCTGTCCCATCTTGCCCTCTGCAGCTTCCGTCTGCTTCATCGATATCATCTTCGTCCTGGACAGTTCCGAAAGCGCAAAAGATGTCCTGTTTGATAAGCAGAAGGAGTTTGTCACCACCTTAAGCGACAAGGTTTTCCTCATGAAGCCCACCAGAGTCCGTAGGTACGACTTCAGACTGGCAATCATGCAGTTCAGCAGTTCGGTCAAAATCGACCATCCTTTTACCGAATGGAAAAACTTGCAGACCTTTAAGCAGGAAGTCGTCGGGATGACCTTTATCGGGCACGGCACGTATTCCTATTATGCTATTTCCAACGCTACCCAGTTGTTCAAAACAGAAGGCCGCAAAATAGGTGTCAAAGTGGCTTTGTTGATGACGGATGGGATCGACCATCCAAAGTCTCCTGATGTGCAGGGCATATCTGAAGCAGCCCGGGCCCTTGGAATATCGTTCATCACCATTGGCCTTTCTAAAGTTGCCAATCAAGCCAAACTGCGTTCGATATCTGGCGATTCGCCCGGGAAGCCTGTGCTCATCCTCAACGATCCCAACCTGTCAGACAAAATACGGGACCAACTGGTAAGTAACATTTTTTTAAGGGTTCTTCTTTCTTCTTCTAGTAATAGTTTCGTAGACTCGTAGAGTTGGAAGGGACCACAAGCCTCACCTAGTCCAAACCCCTGCAATACAGGAATCTTTTTGCCCAACAGGGGGATTGAACCCACAGCCCTGAAATTAAGAGTCTCACTACCAACTGAGCTATCCCACAGCAATAGTAGCCACCAATGACAGGGCCCTTTCAGTAGTGGCATCCCAGTTATGGAACAGCCTTTTAAAAAAACTGATGTGCCCTCTCAGTTTTTAAATCTGAGGGGGTTTTCTTTAACTTTGAGGGTGCAATGATTTCATTTTTTGCTTATTTTGATTGTATGGTTTCATGCCTAATAATAATAGTAATAATATTTATTTTGTACTCCACCCATCTGACTGGTTTGCCCCAGCCACTCTGGGTGGCTTCTTCATATCAAAATTGTTTTTCTTACTCATTGATTGTAAGAGAAGTTAATGTTATGAAGTGGCATACAATGGCTGCAAATAAATGAATAATTAAGAAATAAGGACTTGTAAAGAACCAATTTTTTTAGCATGGCAGCATCAACACTTTGGAACTCCCTGCGTGTTGACATGTGGCTAGCGCTTTCACTGTACTCTTTTCAGCACCTGCTTAAAACATTGTTGTTTAGGCAAGCCTATCCAAACATGCTGAAGTTTCATGCAGCTACCGTTGATTTAAAATAATCTTTTGGATAGAGTCGGTGGAAGAAGATTGGAAGAAATTTAAAGACTACAGAAAAATTGTAAAATTAATGAACGTTAGAATGATGTCAGAATGAAATTAAGTGGTTCTAGCAGCAATGTCATAAAGGTGTATGAAAAAATGGCTGGTTAATAGGTGAGAATGTAAAGCTATAATATATTAAGTTAAAGGACTAAGACAAAAACAAAGAGGGAAAGGAATTGCTGAATTAACCAATTGAATCGGAATACAAAAAAGGGAGGTGAGAGGAGGTCAGGAAAGCAAGGAAATGAAATGTAAGATACGAAAGGATAAATTTGTTTCTAAGTGTTCTTTCTATATATTTTTTTATATATTTTGCATTTTGTATGTTTTTTCTCTTTTTTTTCTTCTATATTTTTCATTGTCCTTTATGTAATTTTTTGCTTTTGAAATCTCAATAAATATCATTTAAAAAATAATAATAATAATCTTTTGGATATTTTAAAATGCTTGTTTTAACTGTTTTTTAATTGCTAATTTCAATATTTTTTTCTAAATAGCTTAGAGGGTTTAAACACCTACCCCCACCCCCACCCTCACCCCATCAAGTGGTATATAAATTTTGTTACATAAAAATCAAACGGTCAATCCATCAATATGGTGACCGCCTAAGAGGCGACAAAGAATGACTTTAGCCATGTAAGTTCTCCATTCCTGCTCAGCTCCTGTGACATGCAATGACTTGAAACAGTAGCATACCAGCCTTTTGCCCATTCAGATCACACACCACTCTTAAAGTGCTAACTTTAACGTATGAATGGGGCAGCACATGTTATTGGGAACATTCACGTGGGAAAAGAGGGCTTATGTTGGTCAGGTCTTATTTATTCATTTATTTAGAACATTTGTACCCCATTCTTCAGCCAAAAATGCTCCCAGAGCAGCTTACATGCAATCAAAACATGGCAGACCCTACCCACAGGCTTACAATCTTAAAAATGGAAATGACACACAAGGGAAAGGGAACAGGGAGGGAATAGGAAAACTCAAATCCCAGCTCTGGCACCAATTTCTAAACAGCCGTTTCCATAATGACCAGCTGGCACAGATCAGGGGCAGGAGGTGCCTGATGGCGATGAGACGAGCCCTGCTCCCTAACTCTTCCCCTGACTGATGGAACATCTGCCCCTGGGTTGACCGTTAGGGGAGAGGAAGCCTGATGGAGCTGGCCTGTCACAGCAGAGTGGATGCACTTGAGTTCTGCTTCCCAGCTCTCCCACAGCTGGAATGGCTGCCTGCAGGTGATGGTTGCAGGCAGAGGCGGCCTGATGGAGCTGGTCTGTCATAGCAGAACCTATGGAGATCTTTCCCCATGGCCAGCAGTGGCCTGTGGCTCAGGTGACTGAAGCCTTGTGGCTGGAAACAGAAGGAGGGAAGAATGCTCTTGTGGTCAGGTCATGTTTGTGGGCTTCCCATAGGCAACTGGTTGGCCAGTGTGAGGAGGTTGGGTTAGATAGGCCATTGGTATGTGATCCAGTAGACTCTCATTATGTTCTTATCTGGAGATGCTGGGGATTGAACCCAGAACTCTTTACAAGCAAGGCAAATGCACTACTACTGAGCTATGCCCCTTAATTATACCATGGCATAATGAGAAAGATTAGCAGTTTACTGTCAAATAGAAATGCAGAAGAACAACAGGATGCGTTAAGGTCAGACGGCAAGAAATATTAGACATTGTAGAAGACCGAAGCTCTCAAGGGAGAACTGGATGCGGAAGTTGTGAATACATCCATGACAAATAAGGAAATGAGCCTCTAGTGGCTCATTAGAAGAAAACATATTATGGAAAGGAATAAGTGAGGAGGATGGGATTTGTTCTGATCTTCTAATAGTCAGCTGGGTTTGAGCCATGCTGTTCCATTGTACATATTCATACTCACCACAAAGTTTGGGTAAACAGAGCTAATGACTCTATCATATCACGTTTACTTCGGTATTTCCAGAAGTGTTTTTCCTGCTGCACCTTGACTTTTTATGATATTGTTTTAGTAATGCTTATTCTTCCAATATGTAAGCAACTTTGTGAGATTCACTTGAAAAGCGATTCATAAATGCCTGAAATAAACATTGTTGTTAACCAGACAAATCTAAATTGAAATGGCATGGCATGCTAATATATATATATTTAATTGTTTTATCTTCCAGGCAACTCTATTTGATGAGCGGGTAAGTTGATCAGCATTTGAGTATTCAGTGGCATGTCCACCATCCCTTCCATTTCCAGTGTTCAAGCTGTGAGTGCCATTGTCTTTGTAGTCAAAACAGCACCATTTGCACATGCACAACTGTGAGGTATCAACAGGCGTGAGGGAGAAGGTTTGCTGAAGTACAAAAAAAAAAAAAAACTTTAAGGGGGAAGCTTTAGAATGGAGGAATAAGGGGACACACATAAAAACAGACCAATGACTTGAACATGTTCTGTGACAATGACATGTTAGATTATTGTGGGGGGTGAAGAAAACTAGGTGGGAAGAGGAATGAAATGGAGAGTCTGGACTCCTGATCAGCAGCACTGCACACTGCAACATTTTGTTGCAGGTCCCACTTTTCATGGGGAAATATGTGCTGATTGTCAGATAACATTTCCCTGCAAAAAGATAACATTCTCATAAGAAAAAGGGATGCACATGTGCACAATCATGTGATTTCTCCATGATCCAGCTGGCCCTACCCCCCAAATACACGCCATCGCTACCATCATCATTAGCTTGCGCTCTTTCCAACCAACACAACCCAATAGTGCCATTCCACTGCAAGGCACATGTGTTGTTAGAAATTAGCCAGGTGCCAGGCGCGTTTTGCTACTGGTTTGGTTCCGGTTGCAACTACGTGGAGATTTCTGGGCACAAGGTTGGCAGCCACAGTTTAAAAACCTCTGCCTTTGTCCATCATTTATACCATTTCCATTTCCACTTTGTGTGTTTCTTCTCCTTGCATACTGGGACAAGTGAATTGTTGTAAGAGCAAGCTGCAGTCAAGCAATGTAGTTGAGATCATAGAATCATAGAACTGTAGTATTGGAAAGGACCCTGAGTATCATTCACAGATCAGCATAAACATGGAATTCCTCCTCCCTCCCCCCCATGTTATCTTTTGCTGTGTATACACCATATATTTAAAGCACATTCGACACACACCACATAGAATCCCAGGACCTGTAGTTTTTACCTCTCACAGAGCAACAGTTCCCAGCACCCTTAACAAAATAAGCTTTACGTAGAATTTACTGAAAGGAAGGGACCTAACTTAGGCATGTTAATTAACTTCAATGGGTCTGCTGTGAGTAAAATATAGTCTGCATCCACACCATACATTTAAAGTGCTATGATACCACTTTAAATAGTCATGGCTTCCCCTAAAGAATTCTGGGAGTTGTAGTTTGGTCAGGGTGCTGAGAGTTGTTAGGGAGTATCTATTCCCCTCCCGGAGCTACCATTCCGAGAGTTCGCTGTGAAGAGGGATTGATTGACCCACATTTCCCAGGATTCCTTGTGGGTGGAGGGAGAGGAAAATGTTCTTTAAATGTATGGTGTGTATGCAGCTTTTATCTCTTTAAGAGGAATAGATCAAACAGAAACAGCATGGAAGTGTTTTTTTTCTCTGAGAGGCCCAAGCAGCTGTGCAAGGACTAAAGGCCAGGAGCATTCCTCCTTTTCAAGGTGGCTGCCTGGGCCTGTGGGACCAGAGGAGCGGATGCAGGGGTGGGAATCGGAGTGACTTGTTCTCAGAAGCAAGAAGCCAACAGAGGCATGAAAGGGAAGTTGCAAGGGAAGGGAACAGAAAAGATTTCATTCCATTGGGTAATCAAGGCCACTTTGGATGCGACAAAACTTCCCACAGGGGAAGCACTTCTGTGTAACCAGGCAAGATGCAGGATGATAAAAGAACATGTGCGTTTTGCCTGCGCGTGAGTTTTGCATGTTGAGAGCTGAGCTAGATGTCATGGATCCAGGTGATCTACCAATTTCCTATCAAGTGGGAGAAGGGGTGTGGATTGCTCTCTAAGGTGGGCAGTAGTGTGGTATGCGTGTTAAATTCTTCTCAGCCAGTTTTCTCCCAGTGGGTTTTTGATAGTCATCTGAAAATAGGGGGGGGGGAGTATTTTGAGAGAAGATCACATCAAATAAATGTCTCCTGTCTAGCCCTCCTGGGCTTTAACTTGCCCCCAGACATCGATGGAAATCTGCACTACCTACAATGTGGCACATGGGTTGTGTTGCCATGACATCTAGTCAGTCTCTGAGAAATTGTAACTGCATTTAACTGCCTAGTGCATGGACACTGTGATACCCGTAGCTATACCCATACCCATACCCAACACACTTTTGTGGCCCTCATGTAGCCAGTCTTTGTGGGCGATTGCCACTTAACTTGTGTGCGTTCCCATAAGGAACAGGGTTCAGCTTCAATGCTACCCTTGGCTTCAGAGGCACTCAGAAGAAGCAAGACTTTTCACTGTTTCCAAGTGGCTCTGAAGCCAAGAGTGAGGACAAGTTGGAGGTCACACTCTCCATCTTAAGTTCCAGGCTAAGGAGAAGGGCAGGCACTTTCTGGATGGCCTTGTGCTGAGCCTGACTTTGTGCAGGCACCAGAGCTCTACATAATATAATAGACAAGACACTTCTCTTCTCCTGGGGTCCAGTAAGAACTTCTTTCTGATTATGGGAGCCTCCAAAGTTCAGCATTACATTGGAGAGGAGACTTAACTCCAGTTCTCCATTTCTGGTGGATAGGATCAGGTTTTCACCAGACTAATGAACCACTAGTATCCTGGGACAATTTGGGACAATTACGTTTATAGTTGGAAAGGTGAAATTCTAACATTGCTGTTTCTGTTGAACTTGTAGTGTGAGCAAAAGAGCTGTGAATGCGAGAAGGGAGACCGAGGACCTCCAGGACCACCTGTGAGTATATATGATGGACAGTAGGAACCTTCAGATTTCCTGCTTATAGTTTATAAGAGCAAACTATCACACATAAAAGCTTAAAGGAGAATATAATATGTTTAAGTGTGGCTGAAGGAAAAGGAGGAGGAATTGTTCACTCAAGAAGAAAGTATTATTGGTAAAACCTATTTGGTGTTTCACAACTTTCTGACTAGTTGCAGGACCTTAGCCAGACCTAGCAGAGTACACGCAGAATCCATGGAAGCAATTGGCAACTTGGCTGCAGACAGGATAGACGAAGCAGGAACCAGGAACTTGTAGTTAGGTGTTTATTATATACAGTGGACTATTTACAGGAACAGAACACGGATCTTATGCGAGCTCTCTCTGTCACGACTCACAACTCCTACACTGACACAGAACTCTGAACGCGAACCCTCAACTCCCAGTTAGTAGGCCATTAATTATCACTCCCTTGAGAGAGCTTGACCAATCAGGGAGCAGTCTCCATGTCTCTGTTATCACCAGGCAGACTTACTCCTTCAGATTGCCTTCTGGCTGTCTGCCAAACCTTAATTGACTCTGTGTGAGTAGCTTCACGTACACAGTTTCCCAACAAGTTTAAAAAGCACCAGGTTTAGTTAGGCTGACCATGTGTTCTGCTTTACAAGGTACAGTCCTCTATTTTAAGGAGTTCTCTGTTTGACAGACTGTCCAGTCCAAATGTGGTTTAAAGATAAATAACTGTGGGAAGGGAGAGAAAGCAGGGAACTTGTAGTTATCCATCAACATTTAGGACCTGGACAGCTGTCTGAGCATGGACACAGGTCACCTGGTCACACTCTTCCCCACTTTGGAGCCATGCATAGCATTTCAGTACCAGTAATGATTTCTAAAATTGCATCTGTTCACAGAAATTGGGATGTGCAAACTTTATGCAACTCTATGTCCTCTCAAAACAAAGAGTGCATATACTCTATTAATGATATTTCTCTCTCCTTGTCCCCTCAAGGGTGGTCATGGTGGCAGAGGAGATAAAGGTGATCGAGGAACCAAAGGAGAAAAGGTAAATCTGCCCTTGTTCTCTTACAATGGCAATGGGGCCTGCCTGAGAGGTGCAAGAACTGAGTTCCAGCAAGTTCCAGTTGAAAAAAAATTGCCCTGGTCTTGACTGTTATATTTTTTAATAAGACTATGGTCAAAGTTGGGTGTAAGTGTAGTATAAAAGGAAATAATATTTCCAAATATTTTCACTGGTTTCTAACTTTTTTCCCAGGGTGAGGCTGAGAAAGGAGAGCCTGGAGAAAAAGGTGCAGAGGTAAGTGAATTATTGCTATTTCCAATAATTCAGTGTGAAGTGTGTTTCTGCTTTCTCACAAGCCCTGCTCTTTAATCTGTCTCCTCTCTGACTGTCCTCTGTTTCTTTTGATACGCTCTTTTGCACAGTGGGACTTTGCAAGCAGAGCCATCATCGTAGCTCCTTTTGCGGCCTTTAACTTATCATCTCAGACGTCACAGCAGCCTATGCAAGACTTAGCTGCTCTGCCCAAAGCTAAGAAAGATCAAGGTGGAGTTGTGTCTAACCATAGCTGGTAGGACAGAAGGCAGGGAGCCCAACAGTGGGTTGGAGACAGAGCTAATGGTGGGAAGAGCCAACTAATGACAGTTTTGTCTTCCTCACTGCTGAGTTCTATAAGGGCAATGATGAGACTAAGGAGGAGGAGGAAGCTGATAGGCAGTTCTTCCCCCTGGGCTGGTACTACTTAAGAAGACAGGCAGATGGGGCTAGCCAAAGGCAGACTGAGATTGGTGGGGCAGTGTTTCATTTGCCCAGATGAACCAGCCTCACTGGTTAGAGTGCTGGACCATGACTGGAGAGACTTAGATTCAAACCCCCACTCAGCCATGAAATTCACTGGGTAATCTTTGGCCATTCTCTCTATCTACCTTACCTACTTCGTGGCATTGGGAGAACCGTGTCAACTGCCTTGACCTGCTTGGAAGAACAGTAGGTAGTAAATGTAATGGCGAGGATATTAATCATAGTATATAGCGAGGTCTACAGTCACAGTGTAAATCAAGTTGCCAGTGGTACTGAAACAATGGGTCTTCATATGGCTTTAGTAGAAATGTTATAAGGAAATAAGTATAAATAGATTAAATAGAGTATTAAAGGGAAAAATAAGGTTAGAATGTGTTAAGATAATTATAGGATAGAAAACAGAGGAAGATGGAAAGGAATTGCTGAAACATTTAACAGAAGTGGAATACAAAAAGGGAGGTGTGAGGAGGTCATGGAAATAAGTGAATGAAAGATAAGATAATTGAAATTGTTTGATTTACTTTAAACTGTTTTTGTTTTGTTAGTTTAATGTGTCTAATGTGTCAATGTTATGTAGTGTTTTTGTATTGTATTGTATTGTTTTTGTAGTGTTTAAATCGTTGGAAAAGCAATAAATATTAATTTTTTTAAAAAAGAAGAAACAATGGGTCTTCAAACGACGCCTCCAAGAGTTGATGGATTTTGAAATCTTTGGAAGAATACTTATATATGTGATGTATAATCATTGCCTCACTATCCTATAGAAATAGCAGCCCGTCTTGCATGTGGAAACGCTAATGCTAACACTTCCTTTCTCTCTGCATTTTAATGAAGGGAGCCAATTTGTTAATTCTTTGCACATGAATACTGCCTTCCTCCAATTAAATGAATGGAGGGAACTCTGTGGGAAGATCAGAAGCATCTTATTCTCTCTCTCTCTCTCACTCACACACACACACACACACACACACACACACATTCTTCAAATGATGACATTTCATTCTTTCTCCAACCAGGTTATTACTCTGCTCTCCATGCTGATTAAATAGCATATCTATTTATCATATTCTTGATATTGTATTAGTCATGTTAAAATAACTTTATTTTGTTCTTTTAATAGGGAGGTGCTGGTTATAAGGGAGACAAGGTGAGATGATGCACAAATGCTTACTTATATTGCCATGTTAAGCAGTTTATAATTAGATGTCTACAAAGACAATGCATTAAAAATATAGGGGATGAGTTGTAAAAGAATAATATTAATAGAACCAGATGAAAGAAGGAAGAGATATGAATACAGTCCATAAAGTTTCACAAGCTAGAGTCTTTTGCACTGTAAGCTTCTTCATAGTAGTAGTAGTATTGTGTTCTTTAGGATCCTGCTCTGGACTGAAAGAGGCTGGTAAGGACTAGTAGGATAGAAGGCTTAGAGGACACACCAGTCAGGAAACTTGAGAACAACTTAATTCTCTCTCTCTAACAAGAACAGAACAGTAGCAGGAAACCCCTGACTCCAGCCATATACGACTAAATTCAGTGCCACTTAGCAACTAAGCTGCAGAATGACCCTATCAGCACAGGGCAGGCAGATTAAAATTTTGATAATTTAGATCAGGGACAGCAAACCTCTGGTCTTCCAGGCATTGCTGAACTACAACTCCAGTCAGCCCCAGCCAGCATAGTCAGTGGTCTGGGGTGATGGGACTTGTAGTCTAGAAGCATTGCAAGGGCCACAGGTTCCCAACCCTGATCTAGATTGTCAGAATAACCAGAGAATGTGACACTTCCACTTCCTCTACAAAAACAAATAATTTGTACGAAGCATCACCATGAAATCATGCCAATAATATATACTTTTTGCAGGGTGAGAGAGGGGAATGCGGAACACCAGGACTAAAGGGAGACAGAGTAAGTATCATAAACAACTTGCCATATGCATACATACAAGCTGCGTCAAAATTCTGTTCAGAACATTGTGTGAAAATGCAAATAGTGTTTTTCTTAAAAATGGCAAAAGGCAATTATAACTGTTCTCGTTGAACCTACCGGTGTTGGTGGAAGGTTAGTTAATTGTTAGCTTGAAAGCGTTTCATCAAGAGAAATGGATCCAATCAGTCAAAGTGGACCAGTTTATTTCTCTGGGAACACCGTGGCAATAGTCACACTGTTTCAGACCTCTATGGGTTGCTTTGAGATTCTGCTGCCTGAACAGGCTTTCCTTGGCCTGATTGAGAATTTCCATACCACTCTAGATTTGAAGTGGCCTATAAAATAAAGGTACTTAGCAAACATACATAAATAGAAGAGTGTCATGTTCTGGCCCCATGGAGGAGCCCAAAGGGCACAAGGAAGCAAAGCTGGTTGGTTCTTGCAGCACCACAGAGAACTCCTGGAGAGCAACTTGCTCCAACTCAGACAGAAAGTGAACTGGGGCCTTTTTAGTCACTGTTTCCAGTCCACCTTTCTTAAACTCCTATACCTTAAGGACCACTTTGCTCTATATGCTCCAAGTGGATCACTAAACCACTTGAGGGAAGCACCATTAGTGGTCTCCCATGGACTCAAGTCAACAAGTAGTTTAACAACCTGTCCCAGGGAATGGTAGCTTTGTGAAGGGAATAGGGGCCTCCTAACAACTCTCAGCATCCTTAACAAACTACAGATTTCATGATGCTTTGGAGGAAGCCATGACTGTTGAAGTGGTATCACAGTGCTTTAAATATATAGTGCAGTCAGGTCTGTTATTTTCCGTGAGTGTCCTCTGAGTAAAAAATAATTGAATACCACCCTCTGTTTTAAATTTTGTAGGCTTTTTTGTTGTTGTAAGAAACATGAGGTATATAAAAATTTTAAATAGATCATCTGCCCCCTTTTGGAAAACTAGGGCTAACATGCTGAAGACAAGACCTCCTTCTTGGAGTGCTCCCACCTACACCACTGAAGTTGTGAGGAATGCGCTCAGTTTCTCGGGTCCAGGAGAAGGAACCTGTGATGGTCCTGGTGTCATGGGGTTTGTTTGATCGGGCCTGTAGCCTCTGGTTCAGTGCTTCACCAGTCACTAGCATCAGGCCTGGAGCCAGGAACCTGGTCCAGCTCCTAGGCTGGTGACACTGTAACCTCCAACCTAATATCCAAGACACTACTTCACTTATGGGGTGCGGGTGGCGCTGTGGGTTAAACCACAGAGTCTAGGACTTGCCAATCAGAAGGTTGGTGGTTCGAATCCCTGCGACGGGGTGAGCTCCTGTTGCTCGGTCCCTGCTCCTGCCAACCTAGCAGTTTGAAAGCACGTCAAAGTGCAATTAGATAAATAGGTACCACTCTGGCGGGAAGATAAAGGGCGTTTCTGTGCGCTGCTCTGGTTCGCCAGAAGCGGCTTAGTCATGCTGGCCACATGACCTGGAAGCTGTACGCCGGCTCCCTCAGCCAATAAAGCGAGATGAGCACAGCAACCCCAGAGTCGGTCACGACTGGACCTAATGGTCAGGGGTCCCTTTATGGTTCACAACCACTTATGGTTCACAACAAGGAGCTTGAATTGGGCAACCAAAAAAATCAGTACATCTAATATAGATATAAAACAATCCAAATTCAGCCTGAATTGAGAATGAACTGTGGCTTTCCAGATGTTGCTGCTCTTCTGTCAGCCCCCAACCAGCATAGCCAATCTGCAGGGATGATGGGAGTTCTAGTCCAACAGCATCTGGAGGGCCACAGGTTCCTCATCCCTGATCCAGACTCAAATTTGATTGGCTTGTTTTGTTTGCTCAATCTGGTTTCTGTGGTTGACGAGAGAGAAAACTAGTGCTTAAATATTTTAATTTGTTAAGAAGGAATCCATGTGAACTGTCAGAGTCTTAGTTCTTATAGCTCCATACAGCAGTGTCAGTTTACACGGGTAGCAGGTGAAGACGTTGTAAGGGAGGATGTGAAATGTACACATGTGTGAAGTTAAAAGAAAATTATTTAGCAGCTGACAGTTAAAATGAAAGGGGGAAAAATGGACATAAAGACCATATGTCGAGATTGTAGAAATGTAAGGAAATAGCATTTTAGTTGTTGTTTTTACTGAGGGCAAGGAAGGAGAAGGCATTGAACATCTGTAAAGGATTAAAAGGCCATAATGGATTAAGCACTTGCAGAAACTTCTGAACAGGCCAAAGTTCTCATCACCCACAGGATTCCCACTTACAACAGGAGATGAAGCGGCATTGCCAAAAATGAATGAGGAGGTTTTTTAAAAAAGAAAGAAAGAAGACTAAGAGGCAGCAATCATGCCAGTGGAAAATGAGCAGACACGGAGAACACACAGCAGAAGCACAGAGCAACAGATTGGGACACACAGCACTAATATTCTTGAGCACATTTATGATCTGGAAAGATCAGCACAGCAGTATAATTGACTGTACTGTTGGGTGTCCCAACAAAATGTAAAAAAAGAGAAAGAAATGAGAGAGATTTATTGCATAGTATTCATCAGTGTTTACTGGTGTTTCCCACTGCCCAGAATTCTGGGTTTCCCTAAAGGGCAGTCAGCAGAGGGTACAGCTTTTATATTAGCTGAAAATGCAAATAACTGCTGGCTGTTTGAATTCAGGTTGGATGTGGGTCGTGTGCACAAGTCTGCAGAGGCCAAGCTTAGTTGTAATTGTTTCCATTGCTGGTTTTGCTTCCTTGATGCCGGAGCCCACTCCTCCCGCCCAACGGCTCACAAGTTCAAAGGGGGCCACTTGAGATAGCAAGCAGCTGGGGCTAAAGCTAAGGACGAGAGGGATGCTCCCAAGAGAGAAGGGCACATATTTTGACCACAGAATTCCATCCCGGCCCCCATCCCTCCCCTCCTTTAGCCTAGAAAATGATTGACTTTAGGATGGAAGAAAACATGTACTTGTCTGGGAGCATTTTTATCCTCCTTTTCAGTCGAAGAAGGCTCCCTGAGCAGCTGAGCGATAAGATGGTCCCTGTAATCAGACTTTCCATTTAAAAGATGTGACATGAAAGAAAAGGGGATTGAGAGGAAGAAGAAAAAATAGCAAACTCCAGCATTAGTTATTAGATATGAATCATTGACTTTATAACTTGTTGGTCATTAGCCATAAACAAGAGTAGACCCATGGAGGTTAGTTAATGGGCATGACAAACTCAGGTTCATTCATTTCAATGAATCTACTCTGGGTGGGATTTAATTGGCTACCATTCAGAGTTCCCCCCCCCAATGACCAGATCAAATGGAAACAGCTGGAGAAAAACAGGAGCCAAACGCTGCTGGTCTCTCAGCAGGGTGGGTGGCGGGTCCTGCTCCCCTTCCTTCCCCCTGGGGCAGGCTGATGGAATGACTACTGCCAGGTGACACTTTGTGGATGGAGGTGGCTTCTTTGAAAAGCCCGCTTCCTTTCCTCTTCTCTGCTGCAGACTGATATTCCAGCCATTCAGATACACGTCCTCATTTTTCAGAGACTCCATTCCCAAACCAAGGCATTATTGCTAGGAGAAAGAAAATGATCTTGCACGGTCTGCATAGCAACCTAGAGAGAGAGAACCTTATATTGACTTCCATTCAAAATATATTTTGCGATTCATCTGTTTTAAACCATCATGGCTTCCTCTCAGAAACTGAGATTTTTAACTTCCTAAGGGTGCTGAGCAGTCTTTGTTTTCCCCTTCCTTCCCTTTTTAGAGGGTAACAGTCCCCAGGAATACTTGCCCTGCTCTGATGACAACAAACGGGGGTACAACGGAGATGGGGAGGAGCAGAATTGCTCTTGTAGGTCCTTTCACAGCCTATGCCATGTACAATGTTGTGCAGGCTTTGTACATGAGATGAGGAACCCTGCAAAAAACAAAAAACAGCAGCCTCACCAGCTACATTTTGAGAACCTGAGCGCGTGCAACTGTACAGGGAATGGATTTGGGATTTGCTACCATGGTCCTGTTTTCTCCTTTGCACATTCAGCTAAAGCTGCTTATATTTTGAGTGCAGTGTGCTACATGATGCTGAATATTTCCCAACATAGATCTACTAGATCAGCCTTTGCCAACTTAGTACCCACCAGACGGTTTGGACTGCAACTCCTATCCATCCCTGGGGCAGAGAGAAGTTGTAGTGCAAACCATCTGGAGATGACTAGGTTGGCCAAGGCTGTGGTAGCCTACTGACAAACCGTAGTTTCAGGTCAGAGATCTGAAATGGACAGAGCATGGAGGAGCAACCAGTAAAGGGGAAATTTAGGCAAATCTGCCTTACACCTATATGTGCAGATAATAGCAACCACAGCCGCAGGGAGAGAGCTGAGAAGTGTTTTAGTGAGCCTTGGCTGAATCAGAACTTGCAATTAATCTTTCTATTTTTGTTTTATTTAAACAGGGGCTAGAAGGCCCTTTTGGCCCAAAGGGACCGAGAGGACCTCAGGTAAGTTTCTTTAAAACCTAATTCTATGTGAAGATTATTATTTGTTTGCATTATTCAACTCCAGGGGACATTTGGCTTGTGATATGTGGATTACTTTGGCTAGAGGTGGTCAATCTGTACCCGGGCTATACTTCAGCAGAACTAGGTGGCACCTTCTCCTGTTCCATGTGCAAAATATGACTGGACTGATAGCAGTTGAACACTTGTGATGGAACAGCATCTTCCACCACACCTGAGGGCAGCACACCCAACTCTTTCTTCCAACATCACACACACACATCACTATACACACAGGTCTGTCCTACAACAGTTCACCACTACTGCCTGCCCAGCATCATCCACCGCTACATTCTGCTGTATGGAAGAGCCGGCCCTACGTTTCAAGATACATGACTGAATGGCCCTTTGTGTGAGTTCCTCCCTCTCCAAAGCCTGAAGAGATGCAGCCTCTGTACATTTATCACCTCACTGTCTTGTCTGTGTATGCATCAGTTGTTGCTTGCCGGCATTCCATGCTCTGTCTCAGAACTAACTCGAATAGAAGTGTCAAGGGGATGAAGTTATTGGACAATTAAAAATTAGTAAGTCAACAGGGCCAGATGGCTTATGCCCAAGAGCTCTTTGAAAACTCGAAACCAAAATTATTGATCAGCTAACAAAAATATGCAACTTAGTGCCACAGTGGGCCTCCTTACCAGAAGACTGTAAGATAGGTAGATAAACACCAGTTTATAAAAGGTAGGTGAAGCAGAGCCAGGAGATTACAGACCTGTCAGCCTAACCCAGGCATAGGCAAACTTGGCCTCCAGATGTTTTGGGACTACAACTCCTATCATCCCTGACCACTGGTTTGGGAGTTGTAGTTCCAAAATATCTGGTTAGGCCATGCCTATGCCTGGCCTAACCACATTTCTTGGAAGCAATTATTAAAGTTAACCCCCTCTCCCACAATAATAAGTAAATATGAGAAGAACAAGTCATGCTGAAAAAAAGTCAGCATGGCTTCTACAGCTGGAAAAGTAGAGTTTGGGGGGAAGGAGAGTAATAATAAAAAACCCCAGTGTCATCATGTTCTTATATGAATCTATAGCTGTAACAAAAAAGGCATATTGTGCCATTCAGTGAGGAACATTGTGTGATGATCCAAGATATGATCATTTCCATGACAGCACTGTGGGGCTCCTTCCCTTCTGGAATATGGTTGATGCCATCTATGTCCACCTTTCAATGACAATTAAAAGCATTTTTATTCTCCCAGGCTTTTAGTGAAAACTGATGGGAGAAATTCTGTTGGCTATATCTGCTGCTGTAATGCTGCTGTAATGATTTTTGTTATTGTTGCTGTACTTTTGTGGGGGAAGGTCTTGTTAATGGCTGTTGACTGCTCTTCTACATTGTGTTCGAGTATAAATTCTCTTTGTGTGTTTCTGTCCGACAAACACTGTTAGTAGCTTTTTAAATTGGTTTAAATTTGACTAAGATAGAGCAGACTCACTGAAATTAATGGATGGCTACCTCAAGTCTATTGATTACAGTGGGTTTACTCTGAGAAACACTTGGTGAGATATAACCCATTGGCACCTACCATGGAATCAACAAAGTGATGGATGGGATATAAATGCAAGCAATAAAAATAGATAAAACGGAAGATATATATCTGAATACCAGATACAGGAAACAGCAGGAGAGGGCTATTGCCTTCACACCCTGCTTGTGGGCTTCCTGGAGGCACTTGATTGGCTGTTGCTAAGAAACCAGATGCTGGGCCTTTATTTCGACCCAGTAGGCCTCTTGTGTTCTTATATGGCTCAGTAGCAGCATATCTTTTGTATCCAAGGAACTCAAGCAATGGAGAACTTTGTGCTGTTCTGTTCTTGAAATGTACAGCTTTCCTTCTGTGTGATTATTTTTAAAAGCTGTCATTCTCAAGGGGAACCTGCTATCAATCTCCTCCTTGTCACAGTGTCCTGTTCTGCAGCTACAGTGCTGAGCTTAAAGTAGAACTGTGAGAACATTTTTGACTTCTCAGTGGAACTGCTGAACCCCCTCCCTTGCCAATTCTTCAGCTTTTCTTCCAGTAGAAAAATGTCTAGTATTTCTCCATAAATGCTTTGTTGTGATCAAGAGGAGTTCCCATGGTAGAAAATCAGACTGCTACTGAACAGCACCAGTGATAACGTCAGGCAAGACTTAAGCAGGGATTTCCCGGAAAGTTTGATGAGTTCTTCTTATAGCACTGTTGTATAGCTATGTCCCTGAAATACCGCTGAAATTGAAATTACAGAATCATAGCAAGGCTTGTGTACTTTAGCTGATCTGTACAGCTCAACTACTGTATACCCACATTGTGCACTTGTTGAATGTAATGTCTGAACACCCTATATTCTTCCTGGAAATGTCTTCCCAGACATTTGCACGGCAGCAGCTCATTCTGAGACTGCACTTGTTGATGTTAAGCCATGAGAAGTCTCTTCCCACAAACTGATATCGCACCCCAGAATCTGATTCTCTCCCTGCCCACAGGATAGTTCTGACTGACAAGAACATTTCTGACAATGTACATACACAGTTTTCTTCTGTAAACACTGAAATCTTTGAGTGTGCAAGCTCATGTGCTTAGAGATAGAGGACAGAGTTCATATATATTCTGTACATGTCTGCATGTACACATCTTAGTATTGCCTTGACTGTAATATTGTTTTGCTCTGACTTCTTAACTGATCGCATGTTATTGGCTCCTACTCACTTGAAATCCTCCAGAATGTCAATAAGACAAGAAGATAGTAATAAGATATACCAAGAAGCTGAATGGTTTTTAGCCAGATTCCAGCAATTCCTTCAAATTCACACTGAACTCCTGGGGTTAATTGGCTCTGGATAATATTCTTATTCTTATTATAACCCCCCCCCCATTTTATATTATATTTATTTCCTCCCAAATGTAATAGGAAGATTGGGGGTCTGTATTGAAAGGTACTATCAGTGTGTAGACCACTGGCCTGTGAGCACTCCAATTGGAGAATAGCCTCTACCAAAGGCATCATGGACTTTGAAGAAGCATGAACTCTGGACCAAAGGAAGAAACGAGCTAAAAGGAAGGCACGTTTGGCAAACCCTCACCGTGACCGACTCCCACCCTGAAACCTATATCCCCACTGTGGAAGGACGTGTGGATCCAGAATTGGCCTCCACAGTTGCTTACGGACTCACTGTGAAGACCGTATTCATGAAAGACAATTTTATGTGGCTACGAGTGATCACCAAAGAAGAAGGTCAGAGTCAGTTGGAAAGTCCCCCTGAGCAAGGGAATAAAAAAGTTTTACAATGAAAATGAATATACACAGTTATTAATTCTCTCTTATTGCAAGAATCCACACACATATTTACAGGTTTGTGTTTATTACTGAGACTGTGTCTGAAGTTATGCATAACATGCTTATTGGTAAAAGTCAAAATTCTCCTTTCTTTATCTTTCTAAAGGGAATCAGTGGCCCTCCAGGTGAGCCTGGTCCAAAAGGCATTCAAGGAAATAAGGTAAGATGTACCATTTTGCAAGTGGGATTGGCAACAGAATGTTGCAGAGTGGGAGTACAGGCTGTAACAGTTTTAGGTGCGTCCGATATGTGCATGACTTGAGGCATTTTTTGAAATTTGCACTTCTCTGATGTGTGGTGTGCAGTTCTCTCACCAAGCAATGTGCACAAAAAATGTATCATATAAGGGAAAACTGCTCTAGAAAAAATATGTATATTAGGCCAACTTGAGTGCGAAGATGCGTATATTAGGAGAAATTCACACCAAAATGCTGACGAATTTTCATGAGGACTTGGGTTTGTTAAAAGTGACACATTCTGCCATCCCTAGTTACAACTCTGTGTATTTCCCCCATGCCCCGTAATTGCCAATCATTGGCACGCCAGCATGTATCAATATATTTATTGTGCTACTTGGGTCTCTTTGAACATTGAATAGCTAAATATTTATAAATGCCAGAACTAGTGTTAACAATACTATTTTGCACTTGACTGTCAAGACGCGGGAGTTTTCATGAATGCGGCCTCTATTACATTGTATGTGGGCGTTCATTATGTGAAACATCCTGGCCTTGTTTCTGAGGCAACCAGAACATTTGAAGATACAGAGGAACTGCTATATGTGGAAAGTATTTGTGACAGTAAAAGATGCTGGAATCTTGACCTCACACAGTCTTTTTCCTTGCCTTGAATTTTCTCGTTCTTTGTTTGCTGTCTTTCGTACAGATTGCTACTGTGCCATCTCAGCAGACAAAAAAAGGGGGGGGGGAGAATAAATCCCACACGTTATCAGAATCTTAAGCTTTTCCGAAACTGAATGTATTTTGATTATAATATTGATTTGGTGTGAGTTTTGGGGAGCAGAGACCACAAGCAGACAGGAGGGGAGGGGAAAAAAACACATGTCAACAACTTTTATTGGTTGCAGTCATAATAGGTATTGGCATAGCATAGGGCAAAGAACCTGCTGTAGGGCTACCCAACTGTTGCCCCTTGCCTCCCTCTCCTGCCTCCTGGCTGGGGGACCAGAAGGGATTTGCTTGGGCATCAGGGGGCCATCCTGGCACAAGCCATTCTGGAGGGTCACACCCGCAACCTGGGTGTGCGGTGACCAGCCTTAGCCCTTGGGTTCTAGCTGATGCCTTGGAGTAGCCCCATCCAAGGTAGATTCAGCATCACCAATTGCCCATGCGTCTCATTGGCCAATCATCTGTGATGCTGTGACACACCAACAACCTGTCTCCCACTCATTGCGCCAGTAGCGGGTATCATTTTAGGGGGTGAAACTTAATTTTTGCAAACGTCTTCATTGAGGGGGTCTTAAAAATATTTTTTCATGTGATTAATTCAAACCTGTTATTATTTTTGTGACTGGACAACATTTAGCTTGGCAAATCTACATTTGATTCAAAAGCACATAAACTAGGTCTCGGAAAAACCAAAGAATTTAAATTTTCTGAAAATGACAGGTAATGCAATATATTTTTAGGTTTTTCTGCATAAAACATATCCTACTAAGCATGCAACATCACCTTGTTTCATTTTTTTCACCTTTTTATTAAATAGGACAAGTTTAAAATTATTGGAAGTTGCATTAAAAAATATAAAAAGCATTTATTTTTATATAGCTATACACCAAGCAAAACTAAATTTAACCAAATTATCTTTTGAATCCCCAAGTCATGATACAGCTTTTCAGCATCGCTCGTTTTTGGAATCTGAAAATTGAAAAATTCAACGTGCTCTATTGTGCCAGTAGTACTAGCTACCTTAATGAGAAGAGGGAGAAGTGGAGATTAACTTTTTTGTGTGTTTTTTAAAACTTATTTCTTGGCTCTGACACATTTATTTGCCTTTTGTACATACAGGGCAAGTTAGACATGATGTTAATTGTGTGAATGCAGTTACCATGCATATTTTGCAAAGAGCCTCCAAGGACAAGGCTTCAGCTGCCTTAGAACCAAGCGTTAGGGTGGGGGTGGGGTCAGGGAGAAAATGTAATTTTCTCTCCCTGCCACAGCCCCAACAAAATCCTCCCCTCTGAAACTGCCAACTGTATTTCAAATATAGCCGTTATTGGGACCAGTGGATAAACCCCTCCCTGTGCTGTGATCATGATCCAGGTCGGGGGATGCCACAGCTGCAGTTAGTTGAAAGAATCCCAAGAATCCCAACCATGTGATTCAAAGGTGTGTTTAGCATTTTTGAATCTCTCCCTAATAACTTATTTAGAAGCCACCCTTGGAGAACAAAGTGGTGATCAAAAAGGCATTTCTGGGATATTGTATCACAGAGAAGGGAGATAAATTGACTGCAAATGTACCAAATGTGAATGACTGTAACTCAGGGCGAGTTTCTATGTGTAGGTTTTATATACATTTTTAAGCAGTTCGGTTGTTTTTTTTTGGTAGGTTTATCTAAAATTTTGGGAATTATCAAAGCTGTTCTGATCACATTCAGGGCTGGATTTAGGTTTGATGAGGCCCTAAGCTCCTGAAGGTAATGGGGCCCTTTATATGTCCAGCTTGTCAACAACAAATTGTTGCTGTTTTTTGTGTTGAATATGCTATATGATAATTTATGGACCTAACAGGTATCTAAAGCCATTTGCACACAACAAAGTATGTATTTTATCAAAATAATTGTTGAATTGAAATACAATTAAGAAGAATGTAGGCACCCTATATATAGAGATGAGCAAACCAGTGATATTTTTCGGGAGCAGGTTAGCAGGCGGGGCCCATTTCTTACATCATAGGAGCCCACACAACACACAACACTCTTGCTGTATGTAGGTTTTATTTTATTTGTTTTTTATCTTATATTTTGGAAATGTACATCCACTTTTTCCCCCTTTAATTTTTTTTCGGGCCCCCAAGAGAGTGGGGCCCTAAGCTATAGCTTGTTTAGCTTATACTCAAATCCGGCACTGATTACATTCACTACATTTTTTAAGCACATGGTTTGTCATGATCTTTGCACATGTTGGAGCATTCAGAATCATCTCCAGTCACTGGAAAAGTTAACTTGTGTTGACTTCACCATGTAAATAGCTGTAATGTCACTTGCTTTCTGCTTAATCCCATTTAAGAATGGGTCAATCAGCAACAATCATATAGAGATAACTCCCTTGTTGTAGAAGCACTGCCTTGAAACAGTATATTTTTTATCTTTAAAGCACTTGATTAAAAAGAATAGTATTGCCAATAATCGGCTCCTACATTACATTGTTGTTTTATGGGCTGAAGGAATATACAGAAGAAAGCTTTTATGAATAAATGCATTTTCAGCAGACAAATCCCAAGAGATCTCTTGCTTTTTGTGTTTGCAAAGTAAATTCGGATCTGAAACATTTCCACCCTTAACAAAGCCTTGGCAAGTCATTATTTACAACTCCTTTATTAAACAACTCCATTATTTATCTTCTGGACAGAAAACTGTATACAAAGATACAGAAGCCATCCATTTTTTAATTAGCGGATTTTAAAGTGGAATTTGCATCTCTGCACCCTTTGGTTCTCAGACAAATGAGCTTCAGCTAGTAAATGAACTTGGCCAAGAAAGAGTTTTGCCCAGTAAAATGAATGGCTGTTTACAGCTCAATAAATACCCATTCAGCCTGTAAAGGTCAGTGCCTTTTTCATGTGAGTACTATGGCAGACAGATACTTAGCAACCTCTCCAAAGTCTGTTATCTTTACAGAAAGATCATTCAGTGCCCCCCTTTTAGAAAAAAAGTTTCCATACACTTATGAATGAATTCAAAGTCTTGCAGTTATTTATATGGTGGACGGCTACTTTTCCCAAGTGTATAAATAATAAGTCTGTTCTCAGGACAATACCCGTGGAGCAATTCAGCTGCTATGGAAGAGGTTTCTGACAAAATTAACGGAGAAGCTACCGATGGCTTTCCAACTGGGACACAAATGTGGCATGCATTTAGGATTGCCACTGCCAAAATTTTCTGTGGGTCTCCTTAAGCACTTGATGAAGGCATTTGTTTAGTTTTGTAGGTTGTCAAGGGGGAAAGAGAATTCCATTCTCGTGAAACAAGCCAATATTGATAGCTGTGGATGTTCCCTCTGAGTCATATTCTAGGAAATTTCAATTCTGTGCTAAAAATACATCCTGCAAAGCAGATTTTTGGGCAGGGCTAGCCTAACTCCCAACCCATTGCAGCAGTGGGGGATAAAGAAGTGTCCCTTTGTTTGGCTCTACAGGTCTGGGGTTGAGGTGGGAAGGGGGAAGCACAGGTGAGCAGATGCAGAAGCTACCACTGGTGACATCTTTACCTGTAGCAGCCAGACTAAACCCCCTGAAACATGGAGTTAGGTAGGAGAGGGATGGGACGGGTAAGAATTAACTGGGCCACCTGCCACTGATTGACCCAATCTGGAGCTCTCTGCTGTGCCAACCTGGGGCTGGTGCACTTGAAACATAGATGCAACAGGCATATTCTATACTAACTTTTAAACATTTGCTAAAAACTTTTCTATGCCACCAGGCTTTCTCAGACAATTAAAACAAATATTTTCTGGAATACTTAGCTGGATGTGGGTGGTGCTGTGATCTAAACCACTGAACCTCTTGGGCTTGCTGATCAGAAGGTCGGCGGTTCAAATCCCCACGACGGGTTGAGCTCCCCTTGCTCGGTCCCAGCTCCTGCCAACCTAGCAGTTCAGAAGCGCATCAAGTGCAAGTAGATAAATAGGTACCACTCCGGCGGGAAGGTAAATGGCATTTCCGTGCACTGCTCTGGTTTCAGTGTTCCATTGCGCCAGAAGCGGCTTAGTCATGCTGGCCACATGACCAGGAAAAACTGTCTGCAGACAAACGCTGGCTCCCTCAGCCTGTAAAGTAAGATGAGCGCCGCAACCCCAGAGTCATCTGCAACTGGACTTAACTGTCAGGGGTCCTTTACCTTTACCTTTTTAAGGTGCATTCATATTTATTATAAACTACTTTGATTTTTTTTTTAAATGAAATTGTGGTATACAAATACTTTTTGTAAATAAATATGTATTGCTTTTTAAATTTGCGTCTGTCAATATACATTAGCTTCAGAATTCAAATCTATACTGTTTATGGTGTTTTTCTCTGGTTTTGGTATTGCCAAAAGTGGCCGCTCTGAACTCATCCCTGACTGTGCTGTGGCCTCTGGTTCCCCAGAGTCTAATCTGCTTGCACTGGCTTTGACCTTGCCTCTTTGGTTCACGTCCTTGTCTTGACACCTGACCATCCTGAGGCACAATGGAAACCTTGTGATTCTCAGCATTCTTGTTTTGTACAGGAGGGAAGAAGCACAGAAGTTGCCAGATGTAGCCCCTTCCCTCATACAGATAAAATGGGAGATATTTCTTTTTAAATGGCTTACATAAGAAAAACCCCAGTCTTCACCCTACCCCACCCACAAAAGGCATTGCAGCCTTAGGGCTTCAGCTTAATGCCAGAAAATGTCATGGGTGCATATATGTTAATTGTATTAGCAGCTGCTGAGAATCTGGAAACAATCCAGGAGTTACTTGAAAGGGACTATTAAAGTGCATCTTACATAGCCAAGAAGAAGAAAATCCAAACAATTATTATGATCTTCATGGGTAGCCTTTTTCATTCCACTTAGGCATACACACATGGACGTACACCTCTGGATAATGCTGGGACAAACAAGTGTTTTAAATTAGGAAACGTTCCATTGTGCTAAATATTCTGGATGATTTCTTGTCGTACAAGCTCTTGGAAGCAGGGATATTTGGAAAGCAGAAAGCCAGCCTTGTAAGAAAACTGCCAGTTCCAGCACAAAGTGAAAACACTGGATCAGGTTGACAGATTTCAGATGTTGGCTTTCTGAACCTTTCCACTGAAAGAGGCCTACTGTCAACATTATAGATCTTGGAGTTAGGTGGATTCTGGAGGATGTCCTCATGAACCAAAACGAGCATGTAAGCCATGCTTTAAAGTTATGCTGCTAAAAAAAAAGTTATGGTTCTGCCTGTGCAAGAAAAGTAAATGAGAGATGTTAAAAATTAAACCCCATCTTACTCTATGTACTAATAATGAACCAAATTCTCTTGAGCGTGGGTCTTTCTGTAGTCAACAGATCCAGACAGAGAAATCGGTAGGCTTCCATGAACCCCAAGATTTGAAATGTACAAAATGTCTTTAGGGAAAAGCCTAGCCGGAAGCACACCAAAAGCAACCCCCCTGAGGACAGAGCATGTCTGGTGGCCGCAGAATGCATGCTGACTGTTTGCTGGTAGAGGGTGGGGAAGAAATCAGTGGAGAGATGGAATGGAGTTTCCTAGAAAAGGGCATGTCCGATTGGCTGGAACTCTAAACAGGAGTGTACATTTTGTTGCAGGTTCCATTTCTGGGGTGAAACCTATTGTTCTTAAGGGGTGGAGAGGAGAAAGACCTTCTTAAGCCTTCCTGTCTTGACGTGCATTTGGCTGGCTGATACTTGCTATCAGAGAAGCCTGCCCTAGATACCTGGAAAGGGAGGTTGGGGTTTCCTTTTTTATTATCTTGATATCATTATGGATGCATCTGGACATTAAAAATTCGTGTGCAATTCAGAGTTAATTTGCCTGAAGGGACAAAATCAGATGCTTTTGGAATGGAATATATTTGACCAAATGACAAAGGCTGGTTCTGATGTCCTCATAGGGCTTCCTTGCATGAATCCTGTCATTGTATAGTATTTACGGTAGAAACTCTGCCAAGATCATTAGAAAGCAGACATGTATTTGCTCTCATGTTGTTCTTGGCTTTTCTTCCTTTTCCTGCTGTTGGGAAAAAAGAGATTTCTTGTTGATAATTAACATCGAAAAAGTATTAACTTTTTCACCACCAAAGCATCTGTGTGTAGCAGACATCTGAAAAGCTCACATTTCTTCCTAAGATATTTTAGTCTAAGAAAGAACAAATCAATGGAAACTTAACAGTGTGCCTTCTAATTTTAAAGTCAATAGTTTAAGGGTGCAATCCTATACTTGATTTCCACTGGCTGAGGGCTTCAGGATTTGGGGGATGCCTCACCACCTATGCTGCTGTTACCACACAAGCCCTGGTAAGGAAAGTGCTAAGTGGGGCTTACTCCCAAGTAGGGATGCCAGAGACTTCCTTGGAAATGGGAGTGGAAATGGCTGCAATTCATAGAGGTCAGGAACAGAAACTATGCCAATGAATATGAGCAGTATTCACTTTTATTGTTTATTATTGTTTTAGTTTGCAAACGTTGCATAACCAATTGCTTTGTTTTCTGCATTGGTTTTGACAGTAAAATGCTTTGAAATTAATGATGTGATTAATGATGTCATTAATTCCATAGCTAACTGTTAGTTTTGGCCAGGGCATGTAGAGAGATGCATAATGTAGGTTTTAGTGGAAGGCGAGCTGTAGCGGAATGGAAACAGTACTGGTTGCAGCAAACACAGAATAGGACAGAAATTGCTGCCTCATTACATTCCAGCTTCCAAGTAAAACAGGTGTGGCATTGTAGCCTTGGAGTAGTGTGTAAATTCTGCTGAACACAGTGGGACTAATTTAATCAATTCCGAGGTACATGTTGCTTTAAAAGTAAAATCCATGAGGTTCAATGGGACTTACTCTCAGGGGACTGTGTATAGGATTGCACCTTAAATTCCATTGATTTCACTTAGACAATTCAGCACATGCTTAAATCTTCTGCTCAGAAATAAATGGGACTGGATCTATAAGCTTTGAGTCCTTACTTTCTTGTAGATAAGCTGGCATTTTCATGAATTTGACATACACCCATTTATAAATTCAATTATGTTGTCTGAAGATGGAAAGCCCATATTGCTTCAGATTATCTCATCTGTGCAGTGCTGTTGAACTGTACCCAAACCACAGGAAATCCAGTTTCTTTGCTTTGTTATTTTAACTTCTAGCTAAAGTAAAAGCACTGAAAAAGATTCTCTGTGCTCGTTCACTGCCACATGAAGAGCGAAAGATACAACAAGAGAAACATATGTTTAAAAACAACCCAGTCATAAAGGGACTATTTCCTGGTATGGGAATATGTTAGTGTGTCAGAACACCTGCTATTTACTGTGTTCAGTGGAGTCACACAAGGATAACTTAGGAGCCAGAGCTGAAATGCAGGGCAGCAATAGAGCTTGGGGAAGCGCAGCAATTCCTAGAAGCCATTTTGCTCAATCTTTGTACTCAAAGTCCAATGGGATCGTAAAGGATCAAATCAACACGGTTCTCAGCCTGCATACTATGGATCACGAATTCATTAAATAGAATTTCTTATTCACATTGTTTGCCACTCTACAGACTACTCATTTGTTTATTTCTGCTTCTTTTAAGGGGGAGCCAGGCCCAGCTGGTCCTTATGGCCCTGCTGGAGCCCAGGGAATTGGATATCCAGGACCTAAGGTAATGTATAAGATCAACGTTGGTAATATGCTCATGGAAACATCAATGGTTTTTGGACTGTGTTGCATTCAGAACAGCAACACCTTCCTTTAAATGCTTATCCTTTAATTTTACAAGGGTGACAGAGGTCAGGAAGGAAGAATCGGGCTTCCAGGACCTATTGGGATTGGTGAGCCAGGCTTAACAGTAAGTAAAATGGTCAAGTTTTTCAGAAATTTTTTCTACACTGTTGGAATTTTTGGGTGTAGCTGATTGAAATGCAGTGGCAATGTGTATTGATTCATTACGAAGAGTAATGAACAAAAACAAAAGTAAACCATAGGTTTTCTGCTTCCTTCAAAAGAAAGTTTTGCAAGGGATCAAAATGAGACTGAGAATTAAAAAATAACATCCATACTGTTAAAGAATTTCTGCATTTTAGCTGGAAATAAGTGTCACAATGCATTGGGCACCTCTCCTGTATAAGTCCCATTCAATTGAATGGAGTCATTTCAAGGGGACTTGTGCAGAACTTTCTAGTTTGGTATATTAAATCCACCCATTTGACATGGGCACTGGAGCTCTGATGTGGAATTCTACCATCTGCAAGACTGTCCCATGCATTTCAATAGAGGCAATGTGTTTTCCTTAGGATCATATAATTTGCCCAAAGCATCCCTGATTATAGAACATTTATTCATTTTTTCACCCCTTGTATTCTTGCTGTATTCAGTGCTGTTTTGTTTCCAGCAGAAAATGGCAAGGGATTGGCTCAAAGCTTCACCATGCTTAGAGCAGACCTATTGAAAACCAAGGAGTCTTAGGTTGTTTCTTTTGTTAAGGGGCCTTATTTCCCCTACCTCGTCTTCTGATGGCTGCATGCTTGAAATATTAACTATAGCTTTAGCAGCTTTAATGGAGTGTACATTCTTGATCCCAACCAAAGTCCCTGACATACATGCAGGGGTTTTAGTGTATACATGAAGTTTTGCAGAGTAGCTTCCTCTAGTGTCTTAAGCATGGAGACCTAACTTCACATGGTGTTGGACTGGGGAAGAAAGTCAATTCTGTTCACATTGAAAGATGAACCTACCTAATTTGGGGCAACCCAGTCAGATGGGCAGGGTGTTGTTGTTATTATTATTATTATTATTATTACTTTTTGAAACAATACACGAACTGAAACGCAGCCCTCCTTCACAATTTGCACCTCTCCAAATTTTACAGTGCAGCTCCCCAGCCAAGGAATGTATACAAAAATGCCTAGGATGAAGTGTGCATATAAATGCATATATTGGTCAAAAGGTAAAGGTAAAGGACCCCTGTTGTCCAGTTGTGAACGACTCTGGGGTTGTGGCGCTCATCTCGCTTTATTGGCCGAGGGAGCCGGCGTACAGCTTCCAGGTCATGTGGCCAGCATGACTAAGCCGCTTCTGGCGAAACCAGAGCAGCGCACAGAAACGCTGTTTACCTTCCTGCCAGAGCGGTACCTATTTGCACTTTGATGTGCTTTCGAACTGCTAGGTTGGCAGTTGGCCAACCTATATTAGAGGAAACTGGGTTGCAGAAAAGTGTATGTTAGGCAAAAATGACATAGAAAAACAATTATGTTAGGAGTATGCTAAAATGTTGGGGGCTACATGAGGACTACTTAAAGTAAAATCCACGAACTGATGTGGAAATGTGAACCGAACTTAAGGTTGGATAAACGAGAAACTGAAAGAAACTGAAACTGACAGATGAGCCCATCCCTGCTTAGTTGTTAAAAAGCCAAATGTGATTTGCTAATAGCATCCAGTTAAGCACCTCATATCCCTGCGATGCATTTTGTAACGCTGAAGAAACTGGAGGGAAGTTCTTTCATGCACTGTGGGATCCAGGTGTAGTTCAGAGACCAATAGGGCTTTGCATCACAGCCTCTAAACACCATTTGTCCATTCAACTCCAGGGTCCACGTGGTCCTGAGGGCGTGCAAGGCGAAAGGGGACCACCAGGAGAAGGAGTTCCAGGACAGAAGGTAAATGTTTCAGTCAAAAAATTTGAGGATTTCCAGTTCACTCAATTTATTACCTGCTGCTCCACTTCTTTGACTGAATTACTAGGCGTGCGTTTGGTTCTTCAATATCTTCGTGTCACAACTTTCCCTTCCTTTGTCTAAAATATGTTAGTATTTCCTCACTTTGTCCCAGGGTTACCATTTAAGGAGGCTGGGAGTGAAATTTATCTTTTCTATTCAGGAATACGTGTGAGAATGCCTCAGTAGTCATCAATATCTCTGGTTAACTCTGTGTTGTTAACAAACAACCTTCATAGCGAAAATCTGACAACAGTTTAAACACCCTAAAATAACTAAATTCTAAAAAATTCACTACTGTTTTCTCTTAATCCTTTCTTAAACAGGGCTTTCCCTGGGTCTTGTCAGATGTTCTTGATAGTTCCTGCCTCTCAAAACACTCAGTGGTGGTAGCTAGTGGAGGTGATGGGGGTAAACATTGGTGACAAATGTTCTTTCCCCAATCCTTCAGTTTCTTCTGTTGCTGCCTTGTTGGGTCTGTGGTGATTCCTATTCCCTAGATTTATGCTACCAAACACCAGGCCTGCGTGACTCCTTCGCTGGCAGTTAGCATTCTCCTCCCTCAGGCCAATTAGTATTAACAGCCTAGTGATTGTTATGAACCATTAATTAAATGGATCTCTGTATTAGGCCTGCATCCCAAAGCACCAGTCCCTGCTCCAAGTTTATTCAGAAAGGGGAATTGTTTGACCTAGCCCAATAATATTCCTGCAGTCGAGGAAATGCCTACAACAAAGGCTTGGTTCTATTTTTTCTGTAGCAAAGTGGGATAAAAATGTCAGAAGCAAACCAATAAATCAAATGCTCTTTGATTTATTACACAAAAGGATTTGTGTGTCTGTGGTATATGCAGAGCTTTTGTTCAGTTGGAACTCGCCGGAACTTGGTTCCGGCACCTTTTAGGTGTGTGCCATTGCCATTCTAAGAGAACAGGGAGGTGTTCATGGTGAGTTCTGGCACCTCTTTTTCTAGAAAAATGGCACTGGGTATATGGATCAAATTTTGTGGGTTGGTAACATGGCCAACAGCCCAAATCCTTAGGAGGGCCCACAGCTGAGTCTCCAGCCAATCCAGAATCCATCTGCGGCCATCTGAGGTCAGTGGTCCTCTCAGCACTCCTTTGGAGCCTGGGTGGCTGTGGCTGGCATCCATTGTTTTAATGCCCCCACAATGTCTCTGGGACCTTGTTATGGCATCATGAGCTCTCTGGGTGTAGCGTTTAGGTTGTGATTTCCTGTCTGAAGTGGCTTCCTTTTGTAACTTCAATGAGACCAGCAGGAACCCAGCTGTCCTTAGCAGCCCCAGCTGTCCTCCTACTCTCAAAGTGGACTTGGTTTCTCAGCATCTTCATGCCACTCATTCTTCACCCTCAAAGACGACTCCATTTGCAGTTGTATGTTGGGAAAGCAGGGCCATCTTTACCTGGGGGTACAAGGGGTGTGGGGCACCTGGGCGCCAAATTCTGGGGGGCGCCAGGCACCCAACGCTGAAGCCACCTAAGCTTCTACCTGTTATGAAATAATAAATAATTTTGATCTAGCTAGAAAGACAAAATACATATATACCTAGTTATTACCGAAATGTATACCTACTGTTTCACTAAAGGACTTTCGACTTTGTGCACTCATTTACCAAAGACATGGCGCGCTTGCCATTCACAATGGCGGCACTTGTCAGACTCAACAACGGCGCTTGTCATTCACATCAAGAGATAAGGCATAAGCGCGGTGTCTGACATAAGCATAATAAAAATTAATATGGGGGCTAAACTAAATTTGGGGGCACTGGGTGGATCTTTGCACCCCAGTGGTGCATATGCTAAAGACAGGGCTGTGGGAAAGTCTAACATCAAAGAATGCTAGTCTAAATCTCTGTGGAGACTTGCATCTTCATGGACCATTAGTAGTTTCTGGAAAATTAAACAACCTACTCATTAACATACAAGTTTAAAAATACAAAAGTGATTAACTGTGGAAATAAAAGCAGTTTTTAATGTCCTCTTCCCACATATATCCTGTCCTAGCAGATATGTACCGGAAGAGCCACAACCTCCTGTGGCTTGAGAGAACTCATTTGTTTTTCTACAATATTTTTCCCTCCGGTATGCAAATATTGCATTCCACGTACTCTAACTGAAAAGTTGCTGGCAACTTTTACAGTGTCTAGACTGAAACTAAATGCTCACCCCACGTTAATATTGCTGTATGTGTCCTACTACTTCAATATTGCTATGCCTGTTTTATTTCGCTACTAGCGGACATTTAGCTACTAGAGAGGATACACATAAATTGGTTGTTGCCTGTATATAAATAATCTAGGGGTTAAAGAACTGAACCTTGCTGTGAAGTAGTTGATGCCTGGCCATATCTAATCCTATCTACATGTGTGCATTTGCGGCAGTCCTGAAGGAATGCAAAAAGAAGAAGAAGAACAAGAAGAAAAGCTTAATTCAATGCTAATGTCATGTATTTTCAGGGTGACAAAGGTTCTGAAGGGCCAGCAGGACCTGTTGGAGCACCAGGACCCTCCATCAAAGGAGATAAGGTACGATGTGTGGAACAGAGGGTATAAATTGTCTGCTGCAGTGCTGAACCAGTAGAATTAAAGCTTATATGAAGATGGTGCCCTAGGCGTCTGAAGGACAAAGAAGAAATTCATTGTAAAGAATGCAGGGAAAATATAATAAATAGTTGCCTTGATTGTGAGAGAGCCTACATAATGTCTGTGCTCAGGTATAATGGTAGACTGTGGTTTGTTGTGATGGAAATGAGCCTAGCTTCCCCGTAGCCTCCAGACTTGCACAGTCCCCCTCTCAACTTCTTTTCTGGCATGGCTGTGGGGAGGAAGCTGAAAGCTTTCACTGATGATTTTGATTAGCCACAGTATAGCATTGCATGTGAACTGCATGTGTTTAATCACTGTGGTTTGTTTGAAGTCAGATAGCTTCATAAATCACAATTTGGAGTTGGCTTGATTCAAACAAACCATAGTTGATATTTACCATGGTTTGTCAGATTTGGTTGACGCGAGAAGCTACGCGGAAGCAAAATTTCCTGAACTTGTAGGCATGCTAGAAGAATAAGCGAGGAGGTGGAAGTGCTTGAGACTGGTGGGAGGTTAGGTTTGTTCCCAACATGATTTATTGTGACATCCAAATGCACCCCATGATGTCATGACCACATTTTTTCATATCATTTCGTCCTGACGAGGTCTCATTATTTCCCCAAATGTTCTCTGTCCCATGATCTTTCCCCGCGGGAGATGTTCCTCTTGAATAGCTTGTGAGCCAATGTGCAAGAATGTGGGAAAGGCATTATAAACTTAAAAATAGTATGGTGATGAAGATGATGAAGAATGCCTTGACTAAAGCAATAACTTATAGGAGAGACCATATTTTCATGCAGGGTGAACGAGGGATGGATGGACCACAGGGCATAATGGGACCACCTGGAACTGGCATCCAAGGAAAGCAGGTAAATGTACCTCAGGAGACTACCTACTTTTGACTAGGTATTTGGTTGACTTATGAACAAATCTGAGAAGGAATTGTGGATATGTGATTCCTGTTGAGGACGAGGGCATTATGCAACCATAGCCAAGACAGATTTATTGAGCCTCTTGGAAGTCATTGCCCAGTCCTGATTCACTTCCATGTTTGGATTATGCTTTTAGCATACAAGTCATGTGTGAACAGATCATGTAGAACACATAGCCTTTAAAACAACAACAACAACAACAACAACAACAACAACAACAACTGTCACCCTGTTCTTCCAGGTTTATAATACAAAATATGACATAAAAGAAAGGCTAGAATTTAATATAATTTTTAATGGGGGGGAGAAATAAGGAAAGTCTTAAAGTTGTGTTGAACTTACAAGTTACCCTGCATGCCTGTCGGTGTGCACACAAAACCACAATATGCTTTTGTGACCTACCTTTCCTTGTGACTAAAGCTTGTAAAGTCACTCCCCTTGGCTTTATTTTCAGGATCTCTAGTGTCTAAGGAAGGGCAGTTCTGATTAACTTCATACTTTTATCTCTTTAGGGCATTCAAGGTCCAAAAGGTGTGCCTGGGGTGAAAGGGTCACGAGGCATCGGGTTGCCTGGACCAAAGGTATACATTGAACTTGGAATAAATGCATTGCATGATGGAAAAAAATCAGATTCAGTTTCAGATTTGTCCATTGCTACACAAAGATACCATACACGTGACTGCCTCATTGTGTTTATTTGGCCCTTACGAGGACTTGACATAAATCTTAGTAAAGTATAGGTTTTTAATCATATCTGTTTTGATAAGCCCATTCTTATCCACCTAAACCATCATAATGGATTAGCTTCTGGGTTGCCATACTCTGAAGAGCAAAAAAAAGGACACATTTGCCGACATCTATTTTTAACTATGGATGACAACTCTACCCATGAAAAAGAGGATGTGTCCTGGAAAAAGAGGTCATATGGCAGCCCTACTAGTAGAAAATTACAATTTCTGTGATCTGCTTCTACATCTGCATTTCCATGACTGACTGAAAATCAAGAGCTAGGAAGTGTGTGCGCAGATACTCATCAGACCAACTTCCTGGTCAAAGATAAAACATTTCTTGAAGGATGTTATTTGATGGGAGCAATGGAAAGAAAACACAGTTCACTCTCTTTTGAGCCACATTCCATCCTTGATCTTTCTGGGAAACGTCCACAATATCAGTGGGTGATCTCAAAGACATGTACATGACCACATTCTGACCAGCACTTAAAGCTTCCCCTCTGTTGTATTGGAGGAGTGTTCTTGCCTCAAAGCGCACAATGCCGTGGAACGATCGCTACAGCTAGGGATGCATTAAGGCAGCGGTTTCTGTTCTGACCTGTCTCTGCCATAATTAGTTCAGTTTCTGGGAACCACTGCCTTCAGGTATTTGGATTCCAAAGGGTGCAGGCCAAAACCAGCACTGTGTTTGGGATGTGGAAATGGATGGGAAGGCAGTGAAGGTGAAAAAGGAGCAGTGTTGTGTGCTCATGCTATCTGGACTCAGTTGTGTGCCTGCACTCTTAAGATCTTCAACAGAGGCTGTTCTTCAGTTGACCCCCTTCAGCGGATGGGTATAGCTGAAAGGGCCTACTCAGTGGTAGCACCAAGACTGTGGAATGCTCTCCCCAGAGAAGCTTGGCACCATTTTACCTTCAGTCTCTCTCTTGGGGTTTTTAATTCTGTTGACTGCTTTCATCATGATTTCGTTTGTTTTATTGTAAGTTTAACTTTTTGTTAGGTGCTCTGAGAACCTGTTGAAGGAAGGGCTGTTGAATGAGTACACACACACACACCCTACATTAACAGGAAATTAGGAGAAAACATTACTTAGTGTGCTCAATATAAATATTGTTTTATATTGTTCTAAGGGACAAGAGGGTGTGTCTGGACCAAAAGGAGAAGTTGGACCAACAGGAATTGGACAGCCTGGACCTAAAGTGAGCCTGTTTTGAACACTTGTATCTAAATGTTTTGAAACTGCCTTTTTAAAGGAAATGGAGTTCCAGAGCTTCCTTTCAGAGGTGTGCCTCGCTCCCTGATAGTTCAGCTTTGTAACACTGATGGCTGCTTCTTGTGATACTTTTAGGTAGAGGTACCAGATTACAACATATATTCCGATTGCACCAATTGCTAATAGCTCAACTATTAATAGCAGTGGTATTTTTGACAAAATGCGCAGAAGTATCCAATGGTGTGTTCCAACTTGTTTGTTTTTTTAACCTCCTTCCAAAGGGAGAACCAGGAAGACCAGGATTTCCAGGAGAAAGTGGGAAGCCAGGTCTATCAGGAGCATCTGGGAAAAAGGTAACACCATTTTGTTTGTCAGCCGTTTGTCTAAAACAAAAGGTCCAAGTTTGGTTTGCAGTGTACTCACCCTTGACAAACCATTCGTCAGCATAAAGACCCGCGCTTTTGGCTTTTGACCTGCGAAATCTTATTTGTGCCCCCTGCAGTGGTATAAATGGAAGGGGAATGTGAGGGAGCACAGCTCATGGCCTTTTCTCAGAGCAAGAATGACAATATCATCAGTAGGTATCTGCCAGGTAATTGGAGGATAATTTAGGAAATTAGCATACAGTAAGGTAGAGATTGAGGAAAATAATAAAAAAGAGAGGCTTTATACCATGTATTTATTTACTTACCGCATCTATATCCCACCTTTATCTCCAAGGAACTCAGGTGGTATACACGATTCTCCTCCTCATTTAATCCTCACAAGAACCCTGTGAGCTACAGTAGACTGAAAGAAGATGGTGACTGGCCCAAGGTCACCCAGTGAGCTTCATAGTCTAGTGGGGATTTGAACCCTGGTGTTTCAGGTCCTAGTCTGACACTCTATCCGCTACACCTCACTGGCTCTCAGCTGCTTCCAACGCTACCTAGAGATGCCTGGGATTGTGCCTGGGACCATCTACATGCAAAACAGATGCTCTACCCCTGAGCTATGGCTGTCCTCCAGATGTCTTGTGCTGCTGAGATTTTCCTGTTTCAGGTTGTTGTGTTTGCCCTTTGTATTTTATTGTATCTATAGGAAGTATCTAAGCTGCACTGGAAATGCAGCTTACTGAAGGGTGGAGTATAAATCAATAAGGCAAATAAATGTTGTGTGAAAATTAATATCCTCTTTTTATTTTTGTTAGGGGGAACAAGGATTACCTGGCCCACGAGGCCCAGAGGGAATTCCTGGAAAGGGCGAGGTGGGTCCAAAGGTAAGATTGAATAAATGTGTTTTAGAAGTGTGAGAGTGAGTGAAGTAAAATCTCTCTCTCTCAGTGAAGGAAGTTGTAGGACTGGCGCCTTTTAATCACTAATATTCCATAGTTCAATTGTTTTCAATATTGCTTATGAAAACAAAACTGGATAGAGTTCTTGTGGGCTGCAAGTCTTCCCAACTGTGTAGAGATACACTTATGCACCCGCACAGATGGGGAATTGAACTTGCGAAGTTCACAGGCAGATGCTTCCACTGCTATGATGTCCCTCTGCATTCCTACCTGCATTTGTTCTACACACAATTCATGTCAGGAAGGGGCTCTAGTTTCAAGTCAGGAAGGGGCTCTAGCTAAAACTACAAGAACTTCCAAGTGTGCACATCCTTCTGAAAGTTTTTCTTTTTAATAGCAGATTTTATTAATTGAGAAAAGAAGGGGACTCCAAGATTTGAAGAAGTAACACAGAACAGGCAGTTATTAACAAGGCAGGACATTAATAATGAAATTAATATTAGTACACGTTTGTATATATACCAATACCTGTACAATATATACAAATAGAAGATCACATAAGGAATGCTGCAATAAAAACATCACAGCACCTTCCTTATCCTTAAAAGTAAGTGGCCCTAATAAAGAAGATTCCACAGGGCTGATTGTGGCAAGCTCTGATCTGTAGGTTCACCCTATCTGTACTAAAAACAGGAAGAATAAAATTACAAGATAATGAAATATTAATAGCATATTCTGAAAGTCAACACCAGAATTTTCGTTGAAATTAATGTTCGTCCAGCTGAAAAAGTAGGCTGCTTTTTCCTCCTGGAGACTCTTTAATGAAATACTGGGCAAAGGCATTAATCTAGAAGTTTGACCTCATGGTCTGTTGTTTCTGGAGCTCCTTCTGTCCCTCCACTCTTATCTGGGACCATGGCACTCATCAGTATGTGACCATTGTGTGGTGACAGCTCAGAAACACTTCACTTGCAGTTGTCCAGCAGCTGAATGGCAGATTTCATATGAAAACCCAAAGGAAACTGTGTTGGCCAATAAGAACCCCACCCCCCATTTTGCAGACCTGCCCTAAAAAAAAGAATTCATGGATAGAATTGATAGTTAACCACTTCAGGGCCCATCAATTATCAATTTTCATTTTAGATATTCTAAAAAAACCCCCATAAATATATGTTGGATGGAAATAGCTTTGTGCCACAGTTTATTTTATTTATTTTATTAATTAGGGTGAAGAGGGACAAAGAGGAGCAAAAGGAAATGATGGTCAAAGAGGTTTGCCAGGTGATCCAGGACCAAAGGTGTGTTACTTTCATTTCTGTGTTTCTTCTCTGTGTGTGGGTTCTGTCTGCTAAGAGCCTGTCTGTGTGCAGGGCATCAAATGCAATTCATATAACACACCTGACTTCCATAGTCCATGTTGCAGAAGCTAGTGCTCAACTATCTCCGCCACAGGTGGGAAAGACTTTTCAGCTCAAGGGCTGCATCCCCTTCTAGGAGAACTTCCTAGGGCCACAGGTCATGTACACATTATAACCAGGCAGAAATACTCAGGGAGGATGCAAGTCAGAGCCAGTGAAGGGGGTGGCCTTGGGAGAAGGGGGGTGGCCTTGGGCAGAGTCCTGAGGATTAGACGGAGAGGCCTGAGGGCCTGCATTCAATGCTCAGGCCTGAGACTCCCCATTCCTGGACCTGGCAGCTGATTGGTATGAAGGAGGGACAAACAGCGTGGGCAGAGAGGTCCTTGGTCTTAGCTGATTTCCAAATGAAGACAAGGAACCTGACTTCTCCACAATCACAAGCACCAGAGGGAGAGCACAGGCTACGTCACCGAAGACGCATCCCGCTGAAATTAAAATCAGCAGAAAGGAAACAAAATGATAGAATAGTTGCTAGATTGTAGCTATCCTGAAAAACGCTATGATCGAGATGAAGAGCAATTGTTGTGGGTCCAAAACCTTAATTCAGAAAACTGAGATGATCCTTGAAGTCCTTTCTAATGAATTCAGGAACCAATTATGGATATCCAATCATCATTTTGCAGCTAGGCAAAATGTTTTAGGATCCTCTTGAAAGCCAGTACTTTAGGACTCCTTGTCATTGTGTGAATATGTTGCTGATAATATAGACATGCATTGATTATATATTTCTTCTGCAGGGTGAATCTGGTATCAAAGGTTCAGTTGGTAGCCCTGGACCTTCCATTCGTGGGCTTCCTGGCCCCAAGGTAAATGACGCCAAAAAGCAAAGTGGAGCACCCGATCCTGGTACTTTCCTCCAAAATTGTGCGATCCTTTAATAAAGATGTGTTCTTTTGTGTGTATGTTTAGGGGGAGCAAGGATATGCAGGACCTCCCGGGAGCGATGGAAACCCTGGAAATTCAATCATGGGACCTCAGGTGTGCAGTTTTAATAAAATAAAATATTGGCAATATGATTCGATATGACCACATACAAAGAAGTAGAAAGAAATACTAAATTGGGTGTTTTTAGGCTTGTTGGGCAGGATCAGGGCTGGTTAAAGACATGCTGAAGCCCTAAGCCTCAAATTACTGGCTGGGGTTCCATTTAGATCACATATCACCTCTGTTTTGAAACATTGGCTGACAGCTTGTTTGGGGCCCAATTCAAGGTGCTCACATTAGTGTTTAAAGCCCTAAATGACTCAGGCCCCAAATGTCCCCCCTCCTCTGCCTACAGACCTTCTCAAGTGTTAAGATTGGCAGAGGGGGCCTTTTTGGTAGTTCCGTCACCCTCAGGAATTTGGGGTGGTGGTGACCCAGAAGAGGGCATTCTTTGTAGCAGCCTCTAAGTTATGGAGCTTCCTCCCTACAGAGGTGCATCCGGCCACTTCATTATACAGTTTTTGGCAAAAAGATGCATCTCTTTATCCTGGCTTTTGACACCTGGAATGTGTATTTTCAGGACCCACCTTATTTGTTGCAATACCATTTTTTGTATTTGTACATTTTTGAATCGTTTTTAATTTTGTGTTTTAAATTGTTGTAACCCGTCCTGGGGCCTTAGGGTGAAGGGTAAGTAATAAAATAATAGTGATATCAAGCTTAAGTGGCCCTCTTTATTCAGTAATCAAATGTTATCATGTCAGCAGTAATCTGAAGTCATATCCAACCAAGTGCAATGGATTTATAATAGCAAGCTGCCATCTGAGTCTTTGTTGCAATTCATTGTAAAATATTTTGATTACCCAATACAGTTGTACATCGGAAGTCGAACAGAATCCATTCCGGAAGTCTGTTCGACTTCCAAAACATTCAGAAACCAAGGCGTGGCTTCCAATTGGCTGCAGGAAGCTCCTGCAGCCAATCGGAAGCCACACCGGACATTCGGCTTCCAAAGAACATTCGCAAACCAGAACACTCACTTCCGGGTTTGCAGCGTTCAGGAGCCAAAACGTACAAGTGCCAAGGCGTTCGGCTTCCAAGGTACAACTGTAAAGTTATTTTTTTAAAAAAAACAAAACATTGTAAACACTTGCATTTTAAATCCAAAGACACATTTAGCGGCATGTCTAGTCTGGCCTTCAGAAATCCCAGGAGGTAGAGGAGTGGAAACACTTTGGTTAACCACATATTAGGCAGCTAGAGATTGCAGATTTCTTATAGTTACAGGCACCAGGAAGGAAAATTGTAAGCTGCTATTCCATGGGCCCTGGTCATCCCAACCTGCCCAAAGATGGGGACTTGTTTTTATTTAAGTACATTATGTTTTGGGTCAGGAGAAAAGTGTCCATATTTCAGATGTGGTTTATATTATTTATTTCTAGTAAATATGGGTTGATGTATTCACTCCAGGAAATGAAAGATAGAAACAGATAAATTATGATGGCAATAATCTTGACATGCTAGTTTTATATGTACACAGATTTATTTATTTTTTTAAACATACTTAGGGGAGCATTCAGACACCCTTAGTCTGATATGCCACAGTCCATCAATTGATGTAAGCCTTTCGATGGTGTGGATGTCAGATTTAAGATATTGTGTAATGAATATGCAGCAATACTTACTCCTTCTAAAATTAGGAGGAATATGTGGGACAAAATCCTCAGTTCATAAGAGAAGGGTATTGTTATCCTATTTTGGTTGTTCACAAAGTGAGAACATCTGTTTGGCAACTCTTCCCAGTGCAGGAATTTGGAAGTCAAAATAGAGACAAGACCCCTTGCCCCTGATTTCCTTCGTTATTGAAATAATTAATGGGGAAACTACTTGATATTTTAAAACACTGGCAACAAACCAGAGGAATCCTTTAGGCACACCCTGAGGACTCAGACATGTCCAGCATGACTTCTGCTCCTCCCGTCTTCTTGGAAGAGGAGCTTGCCTTGCACTATATCGTATACCACTTCTGAATTTCCCCAAGCGTGGCATGCGGTTCATTGTGGCATGTGGTGCAGTTCTCAAGTATTGCCAGTTCTCAGACTTGCAAATTAGCTGTCAATGTCCAGACCACAAACACTTTCCCTGGTAGTATTCTGCCCGATGAGCAACAGCTCCCACCTTCCCCCCTGCGTCCTTTTCAATCAGAAGTACAACAGGAAGGTGAAGCTTCTCTGTCCCGGGCATAATCTATGCATGCTGTGACATGGCAGGCTGCCAGTTTTGCCTTCTCACATGCCGACATTGAAGTCTGGCAACATTAAAAGTTAATAATATGATGTTTAGATAATTTATATTGATGTTGATTATTTGTCTTCAGGGTTCTCCAGGCTTACCGGGGCCACCTGGACTTCCTGGAGCAAAGGGGGATGGTTTTCCGGGTGCACCAGTAAGTGTAATTTCACCACTAATTTGTGATAGGTAAGAGGTAAAAGGTAAATGGTTAGAACAGTACAGTGTCCTCAGTGTCCTGAAGCGTCACACCTTGCCTCCTTGGGGATCTCAAGTGCCTTCAGAGCTCCAGCACGCCTCTTAGGTTCATAGTGACCAGAAGAATCTCTCCCCCTTTCTTTTCTTTTTAAAATATTTTTTCCTTTATTATACATAAACAATGTGATACAATACATACAATACATACCATACAATACATGCATACCTGCAAAACATACATTACCTACATACCTACCCAACATAAATACACCATCAGTGTTTGACTTACGACTGTTCTCATTGTGCTATTTTGCAATTTATTAATCCATACGCATTTCATTTTTGTTTGTTCTATTTTTCTAAACGAATTTTATTATGTGTTTTCTCTGCTTTTTAGATTCATTCTATGTCTGTCAGGAGATCCACCTTATCCGTATAGTTTTTGAGATATTCTTTAAATATCATCCATTCCTTGTTAATTTTTTGTATAGTGTTTCCTCTTAGTCTCCCTGTTAACTTTGCAATATGTAAATATTCAATCGTTTTTGCTAACCAGTCTGTTTTTGTGAGGACATTGTTACTTTTCCAGTCTCTCCCCCCTTCAAGGTTAGCGCTCTTCTCTGCCCTTGACACAATATTAGGCTGGTTTATTTATGTTTCTGCCACTTAGCCCACCACTGGGGATATTCTGCCCCCAGCTTTAGGTATCTCCTTCCTCTCTTATCTTATGTATTGAAATTGGTTTTATGTTTTGATTAGATCTTATCGGTGTTTTACTTGCCTTGTTTTTATGCTGTTCAATTTCTGTTATTGCTGTTTTGTTTTACTAAATGCATTTGTTTTAATATGGTTTTGCCACCCTGATGGAAAGGTAGGATACAATTTTAACAACAAATTAAAATAAATAAATAAATGCACGTTGTTGTTTTTTAAATGAAGAAATAAAAGCTTCTAGATGGAGGCCAAAATCCCGTTATTTGTACATCCTTCGGTTCTGTGAGACTAACCAGCCTGTATTTTTCTGACGTCGTTCTAGGGACCTCAGGGAATGCCTGGCCTTCAGGGACCAAGAGGTCTTAAAGGAGCAGGGGACCCTGGCCAAAAGGTACTCATGCTAAAGTAACACCTATAATTTTAATAGATAACTCTGTCATTAAAAGCATGAAAAGAGAGCCAGTGTGGTGTAGTGGTTAAGAGCAGTAGTCTCGTAATCTGGGGAACCGGGTTCGCGTCTCCGCGTCTCCGCTCCTCCACATGCAGCTGCTGAGTGACCTTGGGCTAGTCACACTTCTCTGAAGTCTCTCAGCCCCACTCACCTCACAGAGTGTTTGTTGTGGGGGAGGAAGGGAAAGGAGAATGTTAGCCGCTTTGAGACTACTTCGGGTAGTGATAAAGCGGGATATCAAATCCAAACTCTTCTTCTTCAAACAAATTCTATGCACTGTTTCCCTCCATATTGAGGAGAATGTTCTTGTGCTTGGATGCTTGTAGGTTTCCCACAGGCATCTGGTTGGCCTCTGTGAGAACAGGACGCTGGACTAGATAGGCCATTGGCTGATCCAGCAGGTTCTTTTTGTATTCTATTTCCTCGGAAATGAACATAAATCACAGTTTCTTCTTGATCGATAACATAAGTTTTATAAAGTTGACAGAATCCATCTTGACGTAGCCCTTTAAGTGTTAACAGAAGTTAGACCTCTGGCACAACGTTTGTTTATTTGCTTATGTCAAGCTGCCATTTGGGGTAATGACCCACCCAATGTGACTAGCTTGCATTTCAAAAATAAATAAATAAATAAAAATCTATACCAACTCTCAGAAATCAGCAATTTAAGACTAGCAGCAGTACAGCAAGTGTTTTCAAAGCATAGGCCATGTTTTCTTTTTAAAATAGAGAAAACAGAAAAACAAAAATGCTGTCCTCTTACCTGTGGGTGTTTAAAGAAAAGCTGAAATTAAGGAAAGGTGGCCCCAAATAAATGGCTTTTTGAACGCTACTTTAAAGTTTGAAGAGTCTATAGAAACTCTGTGTGAAATATTTATGTGTGCTTGTCTAAATCTGCCCACTTTCAATCAGTCCTCTGCTTTAACAATGTAAAAATCTGCTGTTGCCTTCTGCTGCCCAATTTACATAGGGAAATCAAAACCTGTCACAGCTGAGCCATTGAATAAAATGCACATTTCAGTATGTCTTGAGCTCTTTGGTGGCTGCCCTCAAGGCTGCTAAACACTTCTGTCCCCATGTGAACAAAACAGCACAGGAATTTGTCAAAACAAACAGATAAATCACTTATAGTACTCTGGAGCATATTCTGGCAATGGCAAACCAGTTTGGTATTATCCTAGTAAATAGAAGAGAGAGAAAGAGAGCGCGAGTGAGCGCTTCCTACATTCCATGGTTGTCATATGAGCATTCTTATAAAATCATTCCATTTGCAGAATTAGAGCTATTAAAAATTAGATGCAGCAAAAGTTCTGCTGCTTTTTTCTCCTGAGGAATGCAGTGTGCTAGGGACTCTGCCTCTCTGTTCTGCTCACCGTTCCTCCTTCCTGCTCCTCCTCACTCCACTTCCCTGTGGTAACCCTCTAGACCAGTGATGGCCAAACTTGGCCCTCCAGCTGTTTTGGGACTACAACTCCCACCATCCCTAGCTAACAGGCCTAGTGGTCAGGGATTATGGGAATTGTAGTCCCAAAACAGCTGGAGGGCCAAATTTGGCCGCCACTTCTCTAGACCATGGTGGGGGGGACTTCTTGACTCCATGGGCCAGTTCCTTATCGAGACCCCTGAATATTTGTACCCAAGAAGCTGAAAATAATCCACGTTTATTAAATAAGAGACACAACCTGTGCTTCAGTGGCCTCATTCTTTCAGACAAATCCTTGAAGCCGCAGCTATTATGGATCCCTGCACAAACTGTAAGAAGGAACAGTTTGTGTGGTGGAAAATAATCTCACATATTGGCTTTAATGCAGTTATGCAAATAATGCCTTTTACCCCTGTCCAGGGGCTGACACAGGTATAGCCATTGATGCACGAGGCCTACAAGCAGAACCTGAGCATTCTCCCCAACTATGATTTCTTGCAATTTGTATTCAGAGCCATTGTCGGGCATCAGGGGACTCCGACCCGCCCCCCCCAACAGTAGGTTGCCAGGAACAGATAAACAAGGAGAGTTCTTACCAATGTCTTATATTCAATATTCACAGAGAGAGGCTTAGAAAAGCTGTCTCTTGGAGTAACGGCATTGCTCTGAGTAATCTCCACACGACTTCTCTCCTCAATTGTCAACAGTACCACCCAGCTTATGGTGGCCGCTTAGGGCCATTTGCCTCCGAGCCCTTTGCTCTCCTACTTTCAGTGCTTGCCTGGTTCTGGGAGAACGGGGGTGGTGGTGGTCTGGGATGCTTTCTAGTGATAACGTGTCAGCCAGCTGCTCCCGCTCTGCTTCCCCCTCTCCCATTACTTCCCAACTTTTCCCCTCATCTGCCTCTGAGCTGTGACCTCCCACAAACCCCTGTTGTAAATCTATACTGTCTTCCTCTTCTCTGGAAGGCCCTGGCTGCGGAGACGGTCTCCACCATTCCTACTCTGTCCAGTCCCTGACAGCCATATTGCCTCTGCCAGTGGAGGTGGAACACAGCTATTGCGGTTAGAAGCCATTAGTGGCCTTGTCCTCCTCCATGACTCTGCCTAATGTTCTTTTAAAGTCCTCGCAAGTTGGTGGCCATTACTGTCTCCTGTGGGAAGGAGTTCCATGAGGAAGCGCATTCTTTTATCTGTCCCAAATCGTCCCAGATCCAGCTTCATTACTGGTTACTGAGATAATATTTGGAAATGTAGTATAGAAACTGTTCCGGCTATTGTTTTCCTTCTCACAGAGGTTTGGTAGCCACTTTCATTGTCATTTATTTTCCGTATTATTGAGGTATCGAAAACACACACACACAGAGCGACCAGTAGGACTTGGTTTCCCGCTCCGATCCTTCTTCTGTACTGCTCTAATTTCCTCTATTTTTTAATAAAAAAACGAACAGCTTTGTTTAACCGAAGAGCCCCCTATAAACACATTTACATACAAGTTGGAATTCCACTAAGTATCACTCCGTAAGAATGTTCCCTCAATCTCAATTGGAGCTCTGTTCTTTGGGCTTGAGAGATGGCTCACATATGCAGGCAGCAGAAAGGAGGAATTTGGTGAAACAGAAGCCCGATTCAATCAAAACCGCCTGTGGGATGCGGGAACACTATAGGCATGACTTTCTTGTTGTGTATAGGATAGACATGAAGGGCAAAGGAGCAGGCTGTAATCACAACAACTGAGTATATATATAAAAGGCATGCAAATTGTAAAGCCACAGCCTTGATACCACAACAGTGGGAATAGCCTACCCTAGCATTTTTACTGAAGAACCAGAGCCAAAGCTTTTTTGGGGGGAGGGTAACCCACCAACAGTGGTCTCTGGGGGCAAGGTAGAGCCAGCTGCAGGAAGCGTATCATGTTAAGATCCTGGCCTATCAAACATAGGCTCAACTCCAGTAAAGAGCTGAGTGTCTGTTCCTCGCCCCAGGCGTCTTAATTGATCTCACACACGGTCACTGCCTGTTAGCTCAATTTCAGCTGACTGCATTTTCTTCCTCCCTCGCCCTTTTTAATTAAGAAAAAATAAGTATGCAGAAAAATTCCTGCGCTTCAAAAAAACAAAAACAAAGCGAAAAGCCCAGCATGGTAACTCGTTGTATATCTTTGGATCCATTTCAAAAGATATACATAATACTTCCCTTATATAGAGTTGTTTCCAACCCATATCATTCCTTAAATTTATGATTCATGTGCAGTCGCTCGGAGAACCTTACCCTTGTGTTTCACAGTAGTGGAACAATTTAAAAACAAATGCACCAGAGGTCACAGAGTTAATCGAGAGGAGCAGAAAAATAACACATACACCCCTGTCTATATAATATATATGCAATGTTTAATGTTTGATTTCACACCAATTTAGACTACGTATCACATAATAACTATGATTAGCTGCAAAACAAGTCAACTTCAAATCACGGGCTATGAAACTTTCTTGTTGAAACTAACCATAGTGCTAAACCACAGCCACTGGTTCAGATGACTCCAGAAGGCATTGTTAATTAAAAAACTGAAAGAAAAGCTTCTGATTCCTCATCCACCCTGCCCTTGGACACACAGGGGAGAAAAGAGGGGTGTGTGAGCTTGGGAGGAGAATAGGCCCATTCATGTAGCTCTAAGTCTGTGGTTCTTCAGATGATATAGGTCTCCAGCTCCCATTATCCTCATCCATCATGGTCAATGGTCAGGAATGATGGGAGCTGCAGTTAAGCAATAGTCCTCCTGGGGCGCAATGGGTCAGTGCTCCTGGCTCTTAACCTAAAGGTTGGTGGTTTGAGCCCACCCAGGGCCGGCTGTGGACAGGATTCTTGCATTACAGGGGATTGGACTAGATTACCCTTAGAGTCCCTTCCAACGCTGGAATCCCCACCTTTGACCATGCAGATGTTGTCAAACTACAAATCCCGTCATCCCTGACCCTTGGTCATGTTGGCTTCTGGGTGTTGGAGCCAAACAACATTTGGAGGACCATAGAGTCCCCATCTCCGCTCTAAACCGTGGTTTAGCTCCAAACTCCCAGAAGCCCCAGCCGGCACTCAGGTCCTGCTTACAGGTTTCCCATCTGCTTGGCCAGCATGAGAACATAATGCTGGACTAGATAGGTCTTTGGCCTGATCCAGAAGGGATTGCTGGTTTAGCAACATGTCTAAACTGTATCTAAGTATTTACAGTAAATGTTTTGAACAGCCTGTCTTTGAAATGGTTAAGAGGAGAAACATTTGCTTGCAGTAGTCCTGTGAATTAAAGTTAAAGCAGCCTGGTCCTATTCAGGTTTACCTGAAATTAAGTGAGTGAGTTCAGAGGGGCATAATAATAATAATAATTAAACAACAACAACAACAATTTTATTATTTATACCCCACCCATCTGGCTGGGTTTCCCAAGTAGCCTGCAATCCAGTTAAATCACAATGTTTTCGGTGAATAAATCAGAAAAGCTGGGGGGGGGGGGGAGATACAAATTCAACTCATCCACAGATACCAAAAGGCCCAGACAGAAATTGACCCGTCCTTTGGCACCACCTGCTGGTAGCACATGGAATCAATGTGCCTCTCAATGTGCAAATAATAACTGCTCGGGGGATGGGGTTGGAGCAATGCCACCATGAAAAAAAAAGGATTTGACACTTCATGTCCCCACACTTCATCTCCCCCTCCCCAGTCCAAATGGGAACATGCCACAGCTGCTTTCAGATGTTTTCCAGTTACAGATCTATAACATGTAGTTTGGCCCCATCTTTAGCATTCAGGATCAACCATGCAAGCCTACACGTGTGTGATCCACGGTAAAATCCTCTGAGTTTAATAGGACTTATTCCCAAGTAAGATTGTTGAGTTTTTTTAAGGACTGCTGCAGCTCTAATCTTCATGATCTTTTCACAGTCTGATCCACAAACCAGTCAAACAGGCTTCTCAGATTTAAGCGTTGAAGTCCCAGCATTCCAGCCCTGAAAGCTTCTCCATTAACTAGTTTTTGAAGGTTGGGCTGCCCCCTCTCTAATATCACAGACGTCTCCTCCCCCTAAACAAACCACAGTTGTACGCAAATTGTCAAACAGACCTTTGTCCTTTAGGGATTTCACCAAGATCAAGTTGCCTCTCAGCCATCTGTCAACAGCTGTCCTATTATTTAAATCTCTGGCAACTTTGTTAGACATTTCTCCATGATGTGTTTGAATTGTTAAACCTTTAAGTGCTGTGCTGGTTAGAAACTCTGTGGGAGAAGAAGGTTGCTCCAAATAACAGTTCTGGCAGCTTTCCCCATCATTCAGAGAATCAGAGAGAACTTCGTGAAGACCTCCCTCCACACTCCTCAATATTTACCTGCTCCGAATTGCCTCCTTCTCTGGCAGGAGGGGAGAGAGAACATGGAGACCATCTCTTATTTATTTATACAAACATCTTCCCCTGTGCTGTTTTTCTAGTAAAAGAGGTGCTGGAACTCACCGTGAATGCCTCTCTTGTTCTCTTATAATGGCAATGGAGTCCACCAGAAAAAAGCCCTCCTCTTCACCCATATTTTTCTTATTTATTGCATTCATTTCCCACCTTTGCTCCAGGGAGCTCAATTTAGCATCCATGGCTCTCCCGCTCTCTACGTTATCCTCCCACAACCCTGTGAACAGTGACAGATTTACGTATAAGCTAAACAAGCTATAGCTTAGGGCCCCACTCTCTTGGGGGCCCAAAAAAAATTTAAAGGAAAAAAACCTGGATGTACATTTCCAAAATATAAGAACAAAACCAAACAAAATAAAACCTACATACAGCAATAGTGTTTTGTGTTGTGTAGGTCCATAAATTACCATATAGCATATATTCAACACAAAGAACAGTGACAATTTGTTGTTGACAAAGCACAGCTGGACATATAAAGAGCCCCATTACCTTCAGGAGCTTGGGGCCTCATCAAACCTAAATCCAGCCCTGCTTGAGAGGTAGGTTAGGTTAAGTGTTGATGACTGGTTCAAGGTGACCCGGTGAACTCTGGTCTCCAAGGTTACACAAGCATTAAAAGAAATGGGGGGGGGCACCATAATTAAACAGACTGTAAAACAATCTCATTAACAAAAAACCCCATAGCAATTAAAAACAGGTTGAGAGATCAAGTGCAATATTCAAAAGCCAGCCCAGTGTCTATAGAGACATTGTGTTTTGCAACACCGGTGGCCCCAGTAAAAAAAAGTCTGCCTTTGAGTTGCCCCAGGCCGCTGATCCTTGGACTTGGGCAAGGATAACCTACTCCAACCCTGATATCTTTATCCCAAGGCTTTCTCTGGGTGCCCAAGCCAAATGAGGCTGCTTGTGAAAGGGGCATCTCAGTGGCTGTGTGTCTCAACTGCAGAATGCTCTTCCTAACTTTAAAGCCTTTTTGCCACCACATGTTAAATGTCTTTTGTTTTCCAAGACCTTTTTGAATTTTGTTGTAGCTCCCCTGGCTCTGCGGCTTTGATTCTCTGCTCTTTGGTTTGGGTGTGAGTTTAAATATTCTTTTAAAATAAATAAAGAAAAAGCCTTAATTGGGAATTGCTTTAATGGTGCTTTACATTTTACTGTATTGTGCATTTTCTATTCTGTGGGCTGCCCTGAGAATGCATGTAAATAAATTAATAGCACATGTAATGTAGCCTTTAGGTATTGATATCTATGGGAAGCTTGTCGGCTTTTAAGTTGGAACATCCTCAGCTATGATTTGTTTTGAAAACAGGCTTGTTCATAAAAATCTGTGGATGTGATACCTGTGTTGAACCTCTTCCTTTTTGTCTTTCTTTACTTTAGGGAGAACCAGGAGCAAGAGGATCCCCGGGGCCTCCTGGTCAAAGAGGAATAGGAATACCTGGGCCCAAGGTTAGCAAGTATCTCTGCACAGTCTAGCAGAGGGATTGGGAATATGCAGTGTGGCCCTCCAGATATTGTTTGACTACAATTCCCATCTTCCCTGACCACTGTCTGTGCTTCTTGGGGCTGATGGGAGTTGGAGTCCAACAACATCTGTAGGTACCACAGGTTCTCTTCCCCTGATCTAGAAGTTCCTGCCCCTTATATATTTAAGTTAAACATGATAGCCACCTTTCTTGGAATGCTTTGGAGCTAACTTACATTCAATATCTTAGCAGCTGCTGCTTCTTTTTTGCCTATTTTAATCTTAACGGGTTTGCGAATGCCTTGCAAAAGAAGCACTTCTTTCTATATTGTTGCATTTTGTGGCCGAATTGTTAGATGCAGTGCACCCAGCAAAGGAATGCAGTGTTGCCTTTGTTTGGGGGTTAGTTGCAAAAGAATGCTACTGATCCTAGGCTCTTAATAACAGGGACTGAGTGGTTCACTCCAGCCATCAGGCTCTTTTTCGCCCGAGACTTCAGGTGACTGCTGTGGATGTACATTTGCTTACCTTATGGAGCAAAGGATAAGCGCTTGCACATAGAGAATCAGCACGTCAGGGGGAAGGGTTCAGCCTGTCTTCTTTCTGTGTGTGGGGAGTTGCTTTGTTTTTCAAATGTGTATCCCAAGCCTGAAATGGTATAGTCAAGACAGCTTTGTCATTTAATTCGGCTGGCTGTTGAACGTGACCAAGGGCAGAGAGAAGGGGAAATAGGTGGGATTGTGCTATCAGCTTCCTTACTCCCTAAACACTTCCATGGCTGCCCTTATTCGGCCGGCCTCTTACTCCAGCCTTTGAATTACCTGGAGTGACCTCAATAGGCCTTATTTCTGAGTTGCAGTAGGGGTGAAGAATTGAATTTGTTTGCATTTTAATGAGAAACCCATTTAATCCACACTTTTTGAACCAATACGTGAACCGAAACATAGCTGTCCTTTGAAATTTGTACTTCTCTGAATTTTTCAGTGCAGTTTTCCAACCAACCAATGCGTGCAAGAATACATACATTACTGGATGGCATGCATAAAGAGACATCTATTCAGGAAAATGACTTACAAATGAATTACGTTAGTGGGAATTGCTTTGCAAAAGTGTATACATTAGTCAAAACTGCATGTGAAATTTCATTGATTAGGAGAAATTGCACTAAGATGCCGATGGGTTTTCACAAGGATTTCTTTTTTTAAAAAAGAAAAAAGCCAATTGCCAAAGAACTGAAATTAAGATGGGAAAGAAGGAGAAGCTGCAAGAAACTGAAATCAATCAATTTGTCCATCCCTGTTTCTGAGTAGACATGTATAGGAATGCACTTAAGTGCCCCCAAGCAGTTACAAAGGCTCATATATGTAATTCTTTTCACAGTTTCCAGCATTTGGAAAAGGCAGAGACAGGCACAAAACTTTACATGGCACTATACAATTCTGACTTCTTCCTGGAGTTGTCTTAAACTACTCCCCCCCCCCCTTAATCTGAGACAATTTTATTTCCTTTTTTTTTTTTAAAAAATTAGGGTGTTATTGGACAAAAAGGTCTGCCAGGGCCACAGGGTCCTCCTGGAGATAGTATACAAGGAATTAAGGTAAGAATGTAGGTGCTGACATAAGTTTTTTTGCAAATGACTCCCCCTGCCCTGTCTTCATTACACAGTTGTTTCATGGAACTATTTATGTTGCTGCTTAAGATGGGAAAGAAACCCCAAAAACCTAAATTTTAAATGTCCACTTGGTTGACAGACAGTAGTTTCTTAACTGAGTGCCAGCCCTGTTGGAGTGAAAAGATCAGGCCTTTAAAACTCTACCCTGATCGAGGACAGAAATTTATTCTGGAAGAACTGATGAACTGTGGATGTACGATACCCTGGACTTTCCCCTTCCATGGAAGTGAAATAACTGAGTAAATACTGTTTGCTCTAACAAATTAAAAGGCCGTCATGTTGTGTCAGGGTATTCTAGCAGTGACATATCTTTTAAACTAGAATTTTAGTTTTGGCCTTTAGAACCTGATGACATCACACACAGAGAGAGAGACACACACCTGCTGTCATCCAGACTAGGCAATTACTTATACCAAAGCTATAAATATCTGGAAAAATGTTGAGCTGGGAGATAACAGAAATCACTGGGTTAAAGTTGACTGAAAGTGCAAAGGTGCCATTATTATCAATTTACGATGGGGTGGAAGGTTCGCAGGCTATGAAGGACTTGCTCACAGTTTTATTGACAGCTGCATGAATTATGATAGCTAGGGAAGTGGAAGGGGCAAGCAGAATATAAAATGGAGGAATGGTATAAAGAGGTGTAGCTATTAATGATAAATTGACATGTGCCATTAAGGTAAGATGGGGAATATGTAGGAGAAATGATTTCGATATGGAAGGTGTTTGTAGAATTTGTAAAACGGAAAGGGGTCAAACCATAGCAAGAGGTGTTGAAATTTTGGAAGGTTGGGTAGTTACAATGGAATGGTCTCAGTGGTGGGGTGCATATTTTTATTCTTATTTATTTATGATTATTACTTTGTCAAAATAAAACAAAAACAAAACAAAACAAATGTTGAGCTGGATCCTTCCCACAAGAATCTGACTTAGAGCAACGCATTTTAAAAACACTTTCCCATTTATGTGAACCTCAGTGAGGGCGCAGAACACGGCTTGTGAGGGGCGTGGTCTGGGGAGGGGGTGTGGCCTGGAGGAGAGTCCCAAATGTTGAATGAATGGAGAATCCAGGAGAGACTCCTCTGAGGCAATTCAAAATTTAGAAAGCAAGTGTGTTGTCACCTACAAAAATGTCATCATTCCTTATATGGCCACAGAGATGTCAGGAATGTGACACTTCTTGCGTATGTAAAGCTCCAGGTCTTATGGTTTGGATGGCTAAGAGTAGTGGTTCTAAATATTTTTTTGGGCCACTGTTCCCTTGGCTCCATAAACTCATCCCCAGTGCCCCTTGCCCTATAAAGAGCATTATTCACAATAGTGGTTGAATCACGATGCACTAAGAAACGTGATTACACAGCAGCATTAAAAACAGTTACAATTAGTTGCACATTTATTCAAAATCAAATGTAGCTTGAGTCAACAAAATTGATAAACTTGATACAGCGATGCCAGCTTTTCAAAGCCTGATAGTCATTGACACCTCCAGTGGCCGCTCAGGTTTGGGAACACTGGCTTAGAGCCATAGAGTGGAAAACTGTTTCCCATCATGTGAAGCTGTCTCACAAGAGGAGCATCTGTGTATTAGGTCTCTGGGTCATGTAAGTAAACCCTGTGGCTGAGTAATATTGGTGGCCGCTTAAGCTGAGCAGCTGAGCCCTGGGGATGCTTTTGGGCCACATTTAACATAACTGTTCCATATGGAAGTGACAGGAAAGCTGCTCTGCTCAAAGGGATAAGACGGCTGGCTAAGCATCTGTCAGTGGATTTCCTGCATGCTTGTTTCCTGTATCTTTAATAAATGTCCATATGGGTATAGCCAAATACAATCCTTGCAGACAGTTCTGCATTCAAACAGAAAACGACCTAAATAACTGAGGGAACAGTACTTTGCCTGCAGCTGCTAAATGTTATGGTCTTTTTACAAAGGCTATTTCTAAGCAAATCTCTATGTTGTTTTTAGGGAGATCGGGGTGTTCAAGGCTTGCCAGGACAAAAAGGCTCTGTGGGGGTTGGACTACCCGGGTCTAAGGTAAGAGAGTTACCCATCTAGCTATTTTTTTTTTAAAAAAAATCAGTTTTTATTAAAAGTTTTCAACATAAAAACTTAATAAAGAAGGAAACAAACAAACAAACAATATGAACATATCCCCCTCCCCCGGTTATTTACCTATGCAAAGCAGTAGCCATGTTGTATCTTATTATTAGGGGGATTCTGGAGAGAAAGGAGACCAGGGAAAGAGAGGTAACAAAGGAGAGATTGGAGAACCTGGACCTGCAGGACCAAGGGTAACACTTAAAAAAACACAACTACTTTATTTATTCTTTCATGACAGAGGATAGTGCACTTAATAATTTATATCATTATACAACCTTTCAGGGATTTTCAGGACTCAAAGGTGAACCTGGTCTTACTGTAAGTATATCCTGATGTGTTTTATCATAAAAATGTGACTGTTGGTAAAAGCTGTAGCTTGGCACTCTTTATGATCAGAGATGGGGAATCAGTGGCTCACCAGATGGTGTTGGATTACAGCTAGGAATGAATCAGTCTTTTCCAGGTCCTGCTTGTGGACTTATTATAAGCTTCTGGTTGGCCGATATGAGAACAATATGCTGGACCAGATGAGCCACCAGCCAGATTCAGCAGGGCTTTTTGTATATTTTGTGTTGCGTCAAATAAAAACGACATTTCTGTCACAGATTAAGTATAATTGAACTACGTATTTTGTTAGAAAATGTGTTCCAACCTGTTCTGAGCCATGTACACAGCGCTGTTTCTAATCTGCTATAGTTCAGCTTTTGGGGGAAACCATGTTGTTTGTCTTGCCATGGCAGACAGAATTTTATACAATCAATTACATATTGTAGCATTATGCCATACTATTGATTTCAATGCAAAGGCCATTCATTTCAAAGCAAAGAACACAAAATACAAATGGCAGCGGGGAGGAGAACAACAATACACATTCTCAATTAAATATTGTTTGCAAAATGTTGTGAAAACAGCAGAAAACACAGATTGCATTTGCTGACTAATTTCCATTCTGGACATGAGAGAATTGAGCAAACTTTGGCAATTTCCACTCCCATGCAAGTAGACATGATTCTTTCCCTTCTTTTAGACATGTTCAGAGAACCATCTGAATGTCACTGTAACAATAATATTTTTTAACGTTTCAAAACATCCAGTCACTTGCTTTATGCAAAGCAAGCATTCAATTTTCCATTAGAAAAAAAACAACAATTAGGCAATGATGCATAACTGATTTCCAAATCTGAAATCACAAATGAACTGGCTCCTCTCTTTCAGAAAGAAGACGTAATCAAACTCATAATGGAGATATGTGGTAAGATCTACCTGAAGGAATGAAACCATTTTATCGTATTAGTTGCTTTCCCTGAAAGAATTCAGAATTGACCTTAGAAGTGTGTACATTTATTGGGTGGGGTTGAAAGAACCATGAGTGGAAGGAAAATAGCTGAGAGTGCTGTTTCACAAGTGCTGGCCCATGTCTCCGCAGTGTTAAACAGTTGCACCTTGGAAGTCGAATGGAATCTGTTCCCGCAGTCCGTTCTACTTCCAAAGCATTCGAAAACCAAATCACAGCTTCTGATTGGCTGCAGGAAGGTCCTTAACCGTCCAGGGGTCCTTTACCTGTTTTTTACCTTTACTGTCTTGCTGCATCTCTACTTCTGTGTGAGATGAGGAACACTATACTAATGAAAAGAAGAAGAAAAATCACATGTATGAAGCCACCCTTAGTGGAACAGTTATTCCAAATAGCATGAATGTGCAGTGTTCACCAGTGCTGGGAACCAAAGACTCACATCCACAGAAAACAGGTGGGGTTGTCCACTGTCTTTCCTAATTTCAACAGCATGTACACACTTATTCCAAGATGTATCTGAAGTTGCTGTCAGAAGGGAATGCAGGGAAGTCTTTCTCATGCACACGGACAGAGGAAGCACCTTGTGTGCACATCAGAGCATTTATTTATTTTTTGGACCCCAGTCTGCAACTCTTGGGAAATTATTTAAAATCTACATAGCAGATAAGGTAAAGGGACCCCTGACCATTAGGTCCAGTCATGACCAACTCTGGGGTTGCGGCGCTCATCTCGCTTTATTGGCCGAGGGAGCCGGCGTACAGCTTCCGGGTCATGTGGCCAGCATGACTAAGCCACTTCTGGTAAACCAGAGCAGTGCATGGAAACGCCGTTTACCTTCCCGCTGGAATGGTACCTATTTATCTGCTTGCACTCTAATGTGCTTTCAAACTGCTAGGTGGGCAGGAGCAGGGACCGAGCAACGGGAACTCACCCCGTCACGGGGATTCGAACTGCCAACCTTCTGCGGCAAGTCCTAGGCCCTGTGGTTTAACTCACAGCGCCACCTGTGTCCCTACATAGCAGATAGCTGACTTAATTCTAACCCCATCTCACCCCCTTTTTAACAGGCTGCGGTGTTAAGTGCAAAGAAAACCCTCTGGAGCTCGTCTTTGTGATTGACAGTTCGGAAAGCGTCGGGCCCGAGAACTTTGACCGGATCAAACGGTTTGTGAAAACGGTGATTGACGCCGTCACCGTCAACCAAGCTACGGCTCGCGTCGGCATCATCAACTTCAGCCACAAAGTCGAGCTGGTGTCCACTTTGCAGCAGTTCCCCAACAAGGACAGCTTGAAAAGTGCTGTTGATGCCATGCAGTATCTGGGAGAAGGCACGTTCACTGCCACAGCTCTCAGCAACGCCATTGATGTGTTCCAGGCTGCCCGGCCAGGGGTGAGAAAGGTGGCTATTGTGATAACGGACGGGCAAGCAGATCGCCGCGATCAGAATTCTCTGGAGGTGGTTGTGAAGAACGCCCACGCTCTCAACATTGAAATCTTTGTCATTGGGGTGGTTCAGAAGAGCGATCCCAATTTTGAAAGTTTCCGGAAAGATCTGGACCTCATCGCTTCAGACCCGGACCCAGAGCACGTCTACCAGATAGATGATTTCATGACCCTGCAAGGTAAGAGGGAGCAACCTCTCTGGAATGTTATTTGCTGGAATATTAGTTATGCATATTGGTATTATAAATTTTAGCTGCTATAGATAGCAGCGGGAGCTTTTGCATGATGATAAAGTATAATAAGGAACAGCAGCAATGCTTGTTTTTAGTGTGTGTATATATTCAGAATACCTATATAGCTATGAAAGCATTTCCACCCGGTATGAGGCTAACTGTTGCATTTGCTGACTTCCTTGTTTTAATGTTTGCATGCAAAATCGTTTTAATCAAGATGATAAGGATAAGGCATCAGTCCTTAAAACTTCCCTAAACAGGGCTGCCTTCAGATGTCTTCTAAAAGCCAGATCATTGTTTATTTCCCTGACATCTGAAGGGAGGGGGGGTTCCACAGGGAGAGCGCCACTATCCAGAAGGCCCCACTGCCTGTAATATGTGAAGGGTGAAGGGAATTGTAGTTCTGGGAGAGAGAAACTTCCGTTCCCTTGATTCTTTGGGGGATGGCATGTGTTTTAAAAGTATGGGGTGTACAAAGCTCTAGTCCAAGCATAGGCAAACTCGGCCCTCCAGATGTTTTGGGGCTATAATTCCCATCACCCCTGACCACTGGTCCTGTTAGCTAGGGATGATGGGAGTTGTAGTCCCAAAAATCTGGAGGGCCGAGTTTGCCTATGCCTGCTGTCTGTCTGCTCTCCACCCACATCCCAGGTTTTCTCGTCAGCTGAGCTCCACTTCTCAGTAAGCTCAGCTATTATAAAGATTAGATTCTCATCCTGCCTGCTAGGGTGCTCTTCCTTCCAAGGTGGCTTACAAGTAGCATTAAATCACATTACAGTGGAACCTTGGTTGTCGAACTTAATCCATTCTGGGAGTCCGTTCGACTCCCGGTACTGTTCGAAAACCAATGCACAGCTTCCGATTGGCTGCAGGAGCTTCCTGCGCTTAATCGGAAACCATGTTGGAAGTTCGGCTTCCAAAAAGCGTTCGGAAACCAGAACACTTACTTCCGGGTTTTTGGCTTTCGGAAGCCGATTTGTTTGTCAACTAAGCCATTCGAGAACCAAGGTTCCACTGTAGGAAGAACCCAACAATGGACAATGTCGACATGGAAAATGTCCTCAGTAGTCTTCCCAAAGGATGGTAGTAGAATGGCCCAGCAGGGATGGAGGTGAAGAGTCCATCTGGAGATGGTCTTCTCCAGAGGGGGCCTTCTCCTGCCTCCTCCTTACTCCTGCAGTCCTTCCCACAAGACAGTTTAATGCCCATAACCTTCACTCTCTTTGCATAAAAAATAAACAATCTTAACCCTCCCACAACATGTACACATCATACAGTGGAGCAGACCTCAACTTAAAGCAGGGGTGAGGAGCCTGTGGCCGTCCAAGATAGTGTTGGGACTATAATTCCCATGGGCCAAATTCTGTGCGATTGCTATGAAACTTAGGGAACAAGCTTTCGTATCATTATGATTAAGGTTTTAAATTACAACTTCAGGTTATATTTTAGTGAGTAAGATCTAATTTATATATTTTAACTGCTGCTATATCTGTACTGTCCCTGTTATACCGAACTGCCAATTTAAATGTATCCCTATTGTGTTCTGATTTTGTATGTGAGCTGGAACTGGTCTGTGACCAATATAATAAATTGATTCATATAATTCCCATGATCCCTGACCACTGGCCATGCCAGCTGGGGCTGCTGGGAGTCCAACAACCTCTGGAGGGCCACTGGTTGAAACAAATGGGCCTGTCCCCATCAGCTCGGTCTCATTCCTGGTCGATGTTATGCTAACAGCATTGACTTTTTCAAACCCTTTCAGCTCTCGAGAATAAGATCTTCAAACAAATTTGTGAGAATGATTTCAGTTCCTACATCAACAAAGTGCTCAGCTCAGCCCTTTCTCCAGGACTTGAGACAAGAACGAAGCACACTGGTCAGTTTTCTGTAGTTGAGACACATGAGCCTTACGTCCCTCCGCGTAAGCCGGAAGATACTGATTTTGTAAGTATTTCGAAAGATTTGTGCTTATATAGGAAGGGCTATAGCTGAGTAGTAAAGCATGTCTCTTTTTTTGCACGTAGGAGTCCCCAGGTTTCAATTCTTGGCCTTGGTATTTAAGTTCACCTAGTTTTGCCATGAAGGCTGGAAAGTTTTGTCATTTTTTCAATCTTCAGTTCGCCAAATTTCTGCAGGAATTTGTATTTAAAAAATCCTCCTGAAAATTCTTCAGCATTCAAGAGCAAATTTTCCCTAACAAACACATTTTTGCATGCAATAGATGACTGTACACATTTCTGCAAGCAATTTCTCCTAATACAATGCATCTTTATATGTTATTTTCACTAATACATTCATTTTTGCCATACACATTCATTTTCATAAAAACAGATGATGGCTGTGTTTTAAATTTTCATATTGTTTCAGAAAGTGTGAGTTTGATAGATCTGAGATGTGAACTGAATAGAATTTCCCTCTATTCCTATTTGCCACTGACATTTAATTCTTTATTTCCTTTTTTATAGCTATCGCCAGGGGTTCCTAGTGAGAAAGGAGTGTCGCATTCTGAATGGGACCGCTATGTTACTTCAGCTCCTCCTAAGCAACTTCCTGATAGTCACAGGCGACCAGCTGCCCCTTCTGTTCATGAGACACAAGAGTTTTTCGAATTCAGAACTCCCAAGCCAGATATAACTCGCGTATCTAATGTAACTAGAGATGTGCAACCTCTGTCAGCTGTTCTGCAGCCTCATACGAAAGGTGTGAAGGGATAATAAAAATAATAATAAACTTTTATTTGTATCCTGCCCTTCCCGGCCGAGATCAGGCTCAGGGCAGCTAACATCAAATATATAACAGTGATATAAAATCAAACAATAATTAAATCACCTCCTAAAAACAAGTCAGGATCAAATTAAAATCTGAATTAGGTGGCTTTCTGCAGGATTAGGGTTGGATGGGTTAAGGGATAGAATCACAGAAGTTGAAAGGTACCATGAGCCTCATCTGGTACTACCCCCTGCAATGCAGGAATCTTTCACCCAGTATAGGGCTTGAACCCACAGCCCTGAGATTAAGAGTCTCATGATCTACCAACTGAGCTATGTACAGACTTTATGGGCCTTTATGTGTCTTGAGTTTGCTTATACAGTCATACCTTGGTTTTCAAACAGCTTAGTTCTCAGACGTTTTGGCTCCCGAACGCTGCAAACCCAGAAGTGAGTGTTCCGGTTTGTGAACTATTTTTGGAACCTGAACGTCCGACGGGGCTTCCGATTCGCTTCCAGAGTTTCCTGCAGCCAATCAGAAGCCGTGCTTTGGTTTCTGAATGTTTTGGAAGTCAAACAGACTTCCAGAACGGATTCCGTTCGATTTCCAAGGTACGACTGTATGGGCCACCTCCCCACAAAGTTGAAGTTATAGAGGCAGTGAAATTGAAGGCTATCACATGGCAACAGAACAAGGTCACCAGTTAAGGGGAAAGCTTTCTTCCTCTTTTGATAGATCACTTCATGGCCTGAAGCAGGTAAAGACAGAATAAAACACAGGTTACAGTCTTTAGCATGTCATCAGTGGGTTTGTGGGACATAACAGCCACAAGAGGGGCACATTAACTAGACAGAGTTTTGTATGTCCAATCCCAGCCTGGGAGTAAATGCCATTGACATGTTGTCCCAGGTTATGTGTGTGCAAGAGTGCCTAGTCAGTAAATGATAGAACGAAATAAGCCTCTGTATTTGAATGGAACATGGACAAACTTGAAGGGCTTCAACACAGAACGTAAAAAGAAAACTATGGTACCACGACATTACGTCTTCTAGGGTTGGGGAAGAGGGACAATAGCTGTCAGTTACTGCTGTGTACAGCCCAACTCTGCAGCAAAACTGGCAGAACCGGCAAACACAGAGTAAACTAGGTTTGCCTTGGTTGTAGAAAAGAGGGGAGTGGCTGTTGTTTACAGATACACCCTCCCATTACCAAATACCTCAGGTGCACCTATTCATAGCACCATAGCAGGGGAAGACAAGGCCCAAGATTTTGTGCTTCTGTAGAATTGGAGGTCTCCGCAGATGTAAAAACAACAACAAACAAACAAAAACAAACCCAACCTATTTTGTTTCCAGATGACAGATGTTTTGAACCAATGAAAACCGGAGACTGCCGAGATTATACAATGATGTGGTATTATGCCAAAGATGTAAATTCTTGTGCTCGCTTTTGGTATGGAGGATGCGACGGTAACCAAAATAGGTTTGAGACAGAACAGGAATGCCGGGAAACCTGCGTTCGTGACTGAGCAGGTACATCATGTTAATATGCCAAAGAGTGTTTTCCTTATAACAGTCAGGTGCAAATCTTATATGCACAAGAAATCGTGCCGATTCTTCTGTGACTTTGTAATTATAGTACCTTAAACAAGTTTTAGTGCCTCTAAAATCTATTTATAAATATCTCTTGCCTGCCTTTTCTTTAAAAAGTTCAAGGCTGCTTGTTGGAAGTTTGAGCAGGAGGGAGTTAATATTTAGAGCTGCACTAGTTAAGAGCAGAATACTCTTATTACAGAAGTGAAAAGGTTCCGTTGACGTATTTCAGGTATGAATGTTGTTTTTGTGTTCTTTTACAGAGAGAACTCGAGCTTTGAGAAGAAAACAAAGCGAACTATTCCTGGAGTTTGTATAAGAATACTAGAGAGTTCCAAATGCTGTGTTAATGCAAGTACTAGTTTTGTACCACGCCTGCTGCTTTTTACAATGCATTCAATGGATTTTATAGAACGTATTATCTTCGTAATTGATAGCTTCACTCGCCAAAAAGCATCTTAATACTTCCTTGTTTGTGTTTTAGCTCTAGTACTGCCCATGGCAGCGTTTCAGGAACTTTTAACAAGATACCAAGGATTTTAATGTTTAACTTTAGTAGAGTATGACCTTTTGTTATTTGGAAATGAAGAGTGGAACAATGGAGGATACCTGAAACTGGTAAAATCTGTCAAAGCAACAAGTGGAAAAAAATGCCTTTGAATGGGAACGTCTACATTTAGCAGCCAAGGATCATCAAAAGACATGGCATTTGCTTTCTTTCCCTTTAGATGTCTACAGTAGCCAAGATCCCGTTGTAGTGGTGGGCAGCTCAACACACAGAACTGGTGGCCCTCCATATGTATCCTCATCACAACAAGAGCCACCAAGTTACTCCAGTTAAGCTCAGATGAGTAACAAAAATGGCTTATGGCCAGATCAGGGCTGGTAATTTGGGGATTTTTGTTAAAGCTAAGTCCACACATTTTTATTTCTCAGGGCTCTTGTACAAATGGGTGCAGTAAAGGGTAGAATCAATTTATAGGGGAATTTTAACAGAAAAAGCACTGAAAGATGTACATAAGTGTATTTTTTTGGACCTTACCACTACGCAAAAGTACTGTACAAGCTAAATGGGTAATGATTAAACTGATTATATGAACAAGAGGGTGTGTGTCCACTCTTTTTACATGGAAATGCTGCAGTTATGCATTTGTGTAATTTTCTACATATTGAACACTAAAACATGGATCATTCAATCACCTCCTTTAGGGATGTCCGCAGCATGTTTCATTTATGCCATGGTTCCGCACTCAGAAAGTGGTTTGATACACAGCAGTGGTAGTTAACTTGTGGTCCTCTTGCTACTGAGCTACAGTGCTGACCTGTAGTCCAGGATGATGAGACACTGTAGTCCAACATCATCTAGAGGATCAGAGGTTAGCCACTTCCACCCCCACAGTAGAAGCTTGCTCATGGACTAGTGGATTAGAATTAATGTACATGCCTGTCATTTGCAGTGCCTCCCATTTATACTAATTCTTTACATAGACCTAAGCCAGGTGTATCTGGTAAATGTCATGAATGTGCTTATCATCATTCAGCATACAAGGTCTTGCCTTGTTTTCTCTATTATACTCCAATAAGGTTTTGCCCTTGCACTTTATAAACAGCAGAGCCATCAGGTATCATCACATAGGGGCCTTCCAGTGAAGAAATAAATACGGTAGCTATCACACCCCATCTGAATCTTGGCCATAGTTTTATTAGTTCACTCTGACACCACACCGAGTCAGGCTCTTTGTGGTGATTTCTAGCTTAAATTTTTAAAAGTAATAAATCTACAGTAGTACAACATAAGTAAACTTTAATTCAGGCACACGGTTAACCTATTGGCGCACAGAGAGATTGTTCTGAAGCTCCAATGAAGAGAGTAGCTGAAAACACAGGATAAAGGGGCTCTCTTGATTTGAGGTAGCAGAGCTGGCAGAATAAGTGGGACCTTATAAAGCTTAGTTTAATTTCTTATCCACCCTTCACCACCACATCCAGGGTGGGCTACAGCAATTTTAAAATACAATGTTAAAAAGAGTTTAAAACAAATATATCAGGTGACAATAGTAAAGTAAACATGTCAGCTGCTGCATCAGAATAAAATTGAGCTAGATGAGCCAAAGAAATGACAGATCTTTGATACTCTTTATATGATCCATCTTTCCAGGAAGAAGCATCATAAACACAGTATCCATCCATATAAGGGGATTGTACCTAGTGTTAGTTATGCTCATGACTAGTATGGGTCCATTTAAATAGGAGTCTACTTAAGTAAAACTCAGATACAACTCAAACACTTTGTATCTCTTGATCCATTGCTCAGAACACTATAATGGAATTCACAACATATACCATTGAAAGCCACGAGGGAGTTCTTTTTTAATTGAGATAAGTTATTTTTATTTGTGCACTTCATTTAAATAAATTGCTAAAAAATGGAGAAAGGCACTTCAAAGATGATATTTAAAAACAGTGATTTATATTTATCACATGAACAAACCAGTCAGCCACCGTTTGCTGTGAAAAAACCCTCAGCCTGTCACTTAAAAACTCAATGCACTGCTCAGCAGTTAAGTTTATCTTTTCAGATGTGTTTCTAGTAAGATTTGTACAGTTTGTTGTACACGATATACATTATTAATACACGAAACACAACAAAAAAAGCTTTACAATCCGAGTATGGTATCATTTTACAATATACATCGAGATCAAGGATGGGACCAGCTTATACTTTCTCCACAGATAGATGTCTCACAATCCTAACCTTTATTATTATAGTTAAATGGAAACACAAAGAAGTTAGAAGTGTAATATGTACAGAAACCATCTCATCACTCTGACAATAAAGTAATTTGAACACTGCTTTAAAAGATGCTTTAAAAATGGTTAAGTGAATTCAACGAAAAGTGATTAAAATAATCTGATTAGGCAACGATTTGACGAATGTTTTTTCACAAGCTGAACAAGACAAGCACATTTTGTATAACACAAAAGAATACAAAAGCAATGCAGATCAAAACTGACGTTCAGTTCAGCAATGTTCATATCCACGCTATACGCTGGAACTACATTTGCAGCACTTTAATAGTTACGGCTTCCCCCAAAGAATCCTGGGATCTGCTGTTAGCCCCACCCCCTTAGCTACAACTCCCAGCACCTGTAACAAAATACAGTCCCCCAGTTCTTTGGAGAAAGCCATGCTTTAAGCCTTTGATGCGGACGTGGCCAACTCAGCTAGCCATTATTTTATGCCAATCCACAAGAGTGTACACCAATACCTAAAGGGATCTCTTGTGCCTTTAGATGCAAACATGCTTTTGTAATTAAGAATACTAGATATTTAATAGAATACTATGATTTCCATCTTTTAGAACCGAGATCAGGGATGCGATGAACGAGGAGGAGTTGAGCTTCAGAATTTGGCAGCTGGGTGCTATTCTGCTTCTCTACACTGAACATACAACGCTGAGAGAGAGAAAATAGTTTAAAGAAAAGGGTGGAAGAAAACTTGAACCCCACAGTAATAAGCTGCTTCCCAGAAGATAACCTGTGCCTCCTCCTGCTAAAGGCACTCCTGGTCAAAAAAGTAAATAAATGTTTAGCTGGCTCAGTGGTAGCCTTTGCACTCCCAATACTGAACAACGGTGGCTCACTCAGACTAAATAACAGTGCACACTCATACTTCCAGCTACAGCCGCTGCTCTTGAGGGTTGGGGGTGGGGTGGGGATCTTCTAGAATGATGTGTTATGTAACATGTGGAGGTAACTGGTAGAAATAGATCCAAGCCTTTCTTTGAAAATCAGCAAATAAAACAAGCACCAATGTATGAAGCAAAACATTGCTCCCTACGTGGTACTATTGTTGCTGTGCCAATACAAATGATGGACGGACCCCAACTTAAATAGCTTTAGATGTACAAGTGGGACCTGCGGTCAAATGCTGCAGTGCATCCCCAGGCCCCAAAAAGGGCCATTCCTGTTGGGACCTCTAAACAGCATGAAGCAGGAGCCTTGTAGTGATTTTCGGATGTCATGGGGGAAAGGAAAGGGATGAGGAAGACCCCCACCCACCCTACTAAGGACTTCTGCAACTGTGCTTCAGCAAATAATGTGAAACTGCCTAAGATCCACTGTGGAACAGAAAAGTCAGTAGAATAATGACTGACAGCAAGGGTGTATGATGGAAAACTGGAATCAGAACAAGAACAGTTGAGGGGAGAGAGAATAAAGGCATAGGTAAGAGTTATGACAGCTGTAAAGAGAGAAGTCAGGTATGCCAGGTTAGTATAGTAAAACAATTTGTTCTTCTTTATCATTTGACGTACTATTTTCTATAAATACAGCTAATGTTCTTAAGTGTTCTGGCTTTGATGATTCTAGGATCAAAGTGTCATGCCACATCTTTGGCTGATCCATGCAGGTAGCAGGTTGTTCTGAGAATCGGAAAGTCTAGACTGAGTGAATCAGCTGACAAAACAAGCCTAATGATGCCCAGGGGCCTTCTATAGGACCCCAAGATGTCCCAACTTGGAAACAAAGTGGTAGCATCCAAATTCATAGAATTTGGAAATCATGGGATAAAACTGGTGAAGTCCTGAATACCCCAGAATTTTGGGGACCCGGAACTTTAAGAGAAGACCCAGAGCCGTGCAGTCAAGTGTTATTTTGGTCTGGAGAGGTAGTAGAGGCTAGATAATGCCTTATAAGAAAGCACCAAATTCAAATGGAGGTAACAAAGACGCTGGGATGAATCCTGATTCCATAGAGGTTTAAAAAATGGTGCTTGAGCTTGAGGTGTCCTGTCTGGAAATGAAACAGAGAGCCAAGAATTGGAGTAGAGGGAGGAGAAGGCCCAGAAGAAACATGGATTGAAGCTCAGGGACTTAGAAAGAAGAATGAATTGAAGATTTTCACATTCAGAGAATGTGAGATTGCAGAGTGCATACACAGAGCCACCCAGGTAGCCTTGGCTGAGAGGGTTCAGGAGCCACAGCAGTTCAGCTTAGAGACAGCACTCTCCAAGAGCCAACTCATGATGTTAAGTGGCCCGGGTACAAGTTGTAACTAGGAGGCAGAAAAGTTCAGTTGAGACCTGCACTCTGTTCGCGCTCCTTATGGTGTACCAGGGCAAGTGGCTTGCAGTACTGGTGATTTGGAACCAAAAGAGCGTGAACAGTTGCAGAAGTTGATCTTGAGAGGGTTCCAAGTGAAAATTCATCTGCCAAGGAGTAGTAAAATAAAGTACCCTGAATTTGCTGAAGCTTGTGCTAATGTAGTATGGAATTCCCTTTCCACCACTGCTGAGTTAACAGCAAGACTAGACATAGGGAGGAAGTAAAACTTAAGGTGTGATTCTGTAGCAGACCATATTAAGATTGGTTCTGTTGAGGCAGTAGCTGCATATTCATTCCTGCAAGAGCTTGCAGAAATTGTATTGGGGGCCCTTGGAACATCACGAGTCATCATGCCAATACAAATGACTGTCCAATACACTCCACTTGAGAGAACTATGATCTGGACTTGAGTCTGTGGAAAAGTGACTTGGCTGTTGGGAACCAGAAAAAGACTACTGAATACTCTAAATCTAAAATAACAGAGGGTCTTAAACCCTGGAGAAACAGCTGTAAAGACAACATAAAACTTTGGGGACTTCACCTCAACCAAAAGGAAAAAGAAATGTGAAACCTTGGTAAGTTGGGAACAAGATCTCTATCTTGCTTTAATGTCTAGAATCTGCCAAGATGCAGGGATCAGAAAATAAATTCAACTGTGGATGCAAACGGGCAATTGTATTCATACAATAAACTTGGGGATACAGGTGAATATGCAATTGTCACTGCAGGAGGGCAAGGAACTGCTAACCTTGCTGGAATTTTGAATAATTATTCTGTGACTCCTACAAGAAACATCCTTCTTAGAAATGTATGCCTAGATTAAAGGTGGGCCTCATTCTTGTTTCTGAAGAAACAGATATACTGAAGGAGGCTGAGACTCTGAATTACCAGTTGTGGTTCTTCAAATCAGATTCCTTAAAAGAAACTATCAACATGACACCTGTGACAGTTCAATGGGCATTGTACGTATTGGCTCTATTAACTGTGAAGTTTCCATTTGATCCAGGGAAGGGGTTGTTACAAATGAGTTCTGCAAATGGAATACAGACCTGTGGAATTCAGTAGTACTGTTTAAACTATGATTTATATTCTTTTCTGTTGTCATGGAACATCAAATTCAGACAATTGTTTGGAAGGGGGGTGTAGCAGAAGAGGGAGAATGATTAACAGCAGGGGCATGTGACGAAACATTTGGGTGGATTCCGACTGACAGATTTTTAAAATGACATGTTGAGGAGAGAGTTAGAAGCGCTGAAAGAGTGTATGGGGGGAGGGAATGAGATGAGAGAGAATAGAGGCATTGATAAGAGTGTTCAGATAGGTATAAACAAGGGGAGAGCAAAATGCCAGGTTTGAGTAGAACACTGATCTTCTTCATGAATTGACTATTTGTTCTGCTGTTATTTCCATAAGCAAAAAAGTTTCAATATTTTAACATTAAGGTGTTTTAGTCTGGGTGTATTCTAGGATTTAGAAGTCTCATCCCATGCATCTTGTAACAATATACACAACTAAGCATATAGAGGGAGAGTCTTACACTATTCACAATAACTCAGTAGTTGTGGCAACAAATTAGGGAAGTCTGGACTCAACGGACCAGCTGAGTTACTGATCTATTGAATTCCCAGGAGCCAGCATCTTGTCTCCTTGGAATGCCAGGAGCGGCCATCAATACAAATGCTTGTCAAGCACACCCCAAATGAAAGAATATATTAAGCATACAAGTGTCACCTGCAAGAAAATGCTGCTGTGTTTCCCAGCACACGAAAAATAACTGCTCCTGTTCAGGGCTCCAACCAGCCTGGAACGGTAGCCTTCTATTGTTTTCCAAATCTCACAGGGGAAAGCAGGGGCAAAGTCCTCTCCTCTAAGGCCTTTGGATGCTTAAAAGTATCCGGTAGAAAGTGATGGGAAAGTCCTCTGCCTGAGATCCCAGAGAGTTTCTGCTGGTTCGAGGAGACAATAAAGGGCTAGGTGGACAAGCAGTCTGGCTATAAGGCTGATTTCTGTGTTTTCTATGTTCCTATAGTGCTAGAAGGCTCAGGTTCCAAACCAGAATGCATATACATATATATTTTCCTTTATTTCTAAAACATCTCTGTATAATGCAGAGATAAGAGGTTTTTTAATCAGATGCAATATATCCCATCATACTTCCTGTAAGCTGTTAGGGGCCCGAGAAGGTCAATTCCTTCTAATCCCACCCCCATATCTTGTTTGCTTTATCTTCACCCAACTGACACCAATATTCCATGCACCTTGAGGAGAGTTTAATTTTAATTTATTTTAGTTTCTGTAAACCTAGAGAGTCCCTCAAGTATGCAGATATGAATACCCTTTTGCTGCCAAACTGACAGCAATTCAACTACCTAAACTCATGAATAGAAAGGGTCTAAAAATTAACAGACATTCTGATGCTTTAATGCAAAATGACTTAGAATAGTTCACTCTCCCCATCCGAAGATTAGCCACATACTTCACTAAAGCAGTGGCAATTTATACCAGGTGCTTGGAAAATACTTTGAGGTAGATTGCCATGTGACATGGGTCAGACAGATGAATGCCACTAAAGTCGAAAGCAGCAAAAAGAAAGAGACGGGTATAAACAAGCTGGAGACTAAAAAGATGTTATATATCACATAAGCAAAAATTTATTCTACTACTGAGCAATAGCTTAACATTTGTCTCAGCAATGCATCTGTCACCAGAGATGCTCTGAGAATTTGGCATGCCTATTATTTTTTGCACTTTCCCCTTGTGATGGATGTAACAGAGAAGCAGCATGTCTAAAAGCCAAGATCTGCACCATTCTGGAAATTTCAGTTTTCAAAACTTCTCCATGGACAGTTCTATAGTATAAATTTTAAAAATCTAGTCTGTTATTTTCATGTGAGGTAAAGCCTACTTAATTAAGAAGAAACGTTAAGATTGTACTGAGCATTCATTAAGAGCAACAGTGGCAACAGAACAATACTATTATCCCATGCCTAAACAATGGAGAGAGGCAGAGGTGTACTGCATATGGAAACCTCGAAGTAAACAATCTTATAAGACAGTGGTAATTCTCCAGTGCTCCATTTCAATTAAAAAGCACATAGTAATGAGTTCAGGAAACTTGGCGATGATTTCTAACCAGCAAACACCATCAAGTACAAAATCTCACTGTTATCATCAATATGATGAATTTAAGGCAAACATAAAACAAGCCTTGTTGGATCACTTTAGCAGGACTATAGAGCGAGAAAGTCTAAATTTGAAGTTGGGTGGGGGGAAACTAGTATATTTCAGTACACAGTATCTAGAGTGTGAGTGCATGATGGCTACAGGAAATCTGCACTACTGTTAAGTTTAGCACAAAGTACACAGCTCCTTCATGTGTGGATAAAGATCTATGTTTTAAAACAGCCTAACACAACAACACAACCATCTGAAACACACAGGGGAAATCATGTTTTAGACTGACCAAAAGGATGTCACACAAGAAATAGGAATATACTATTAAAGTTGAACTAAATAATAACAGCCATCTAACCCTAAATGGAAACTAACAAACACTTAACATTCTAGACAGGCAACAAAATATCACATTATGTTGCAAGTCCAGCTCTATAAACAAAGAAAGATTCTTCTTTTTTTAAAAAAAAAGGAATTAATAGCATTAAACCAGAATGGAGCTATGGACAGTTTGCTGCTTCCTATAGTACTATCATAGTAGTTCTTATAGTAATCAACTTTCTGGATGAAGCATGATAAATATATGTGGATATGTTTTTAATTTATCTAGTGAAACTGTGCCCATTATAATACTACAGAACTCAAGATTCTCATTCAAGTTTCTACCTAACCTTCTGCCACATCTCAAACACTCTCAGACTTCCTTCCAATGTATGAAACTAAAACCCAACATATTCACCAACATTTCGAAAATTAGATCTAAATGTTAAACTTTGGCATCTAAGCAGGAGGCTTATTTCTTGACTGCTAACTTTGTCAGGATAAGCTTCTGTTTAAATACTCCACATTTGAATCCTTTAGCAAAGAATGCAACAGTATATAATGTAATTAATTGAAGGTGTCCAAGAATTGACACAAAGCATTGTTTCATGATAAAAACGACTAAAATACTGCATATTGTGGGTCAATGTGGAAAACAGATATTTGTTTCAATTTAAGATTTGTGTGCATACATTACTGAATCAAGATTAAAGACATTTAATTCCTCACTACAAAGTTTTATAGACTTGACCTTGCAGTCCTCATGGCATGTGAAACGACCTTGCTACCAGCATGATTAGAAAAGAATCTGCTGGCAGCAGCCACATGAAGGAACACTTATAATTATTTAAGAAATCCATCTAGCTCCACTGTAAGCTAAATGTTTTAGTTCAGCATTCCATAAGGCGCCTTCAGTGCAGTACCAAACATTTTATTTAGTGGATTTCAAAGGCTTTTCCATTTCAGCTTTGGCTTTTATATCACCCTTTGCTGCATCACTTAAATTTTGCTTTCCTTGATCCTTAGGAGCATCAGGATTGTACCTGAACTGGTACCCATAAGGACGGAGATGATAAAACAAATACTCCAGCTGATACATAGTGGTGGCGTCAACATAATGAAAAGAAACTGCCAGGTCAGAGCAGCAGCCAGGACCCTGCCGTGAAAGAGAAAAAACATGATGAACAGGCAAGATAAAGAAATAAATGTTTTAAATATATTTTAAGTGTTAATATAGACTATGGTTTGTCACTTAATCAGTGCTCAGGATGTGTATTTTTGTTATGTAAAAGCAAAAAAAAGAGTTTTCTTTTGAAATGTAATTTGTTTCAGAGTTGGTCATAAGAGTACCAAACTATAGCACAATCACTTTGGGGACATAAGAAAACGACTATTTCAAACTCTTTCTTCCCCCACCTGCCCAGTTTTATTTGGCAAGATAGCCATAAAGCTTAAGTGTTAGAAAAAATAGATTCAATATAGAAAGGCTCAGATACATCCAAGTGTGTGTGTGTGTGTAGTAATCAATCAGAATACATTTCTCAATTGGATGGGCCAACAACATGACAGTATATGGCAGCTATATATAGACAAAGTTAAAAGGTATTTTCTAGTGGCCTATTTAGACTGTGAAAAGGTATTATAATAGCTCCAATCACTGCAAAAATCTTACCTCTATGGGAGGGTAGTAGTTATAATTCCAGTACCAAAAAGTTTTGGGTAGGTATCCCTTAATTAAGTGGTGCTCTGGAACAAATGGATGAAAAGTTTCTTTGCCAGTTGTATCCCTGGAATCTCCAGCTTCTACATTAATACTCTCCATGCATTTGCCTAATGCCAAGTCTTCAATAGAAGAGCTATGAGTACATTTGTTGGTTTTAAAAGCATCCACAAATCTCTTCAGAGCTTCTTTGCTGAGCACATAACCTGCGCCTCCGCTCATGTAGCCCTGTTTCACAAAAGGCTTAAATTTCCTTCCAAAATAAATTGGTTTTTCAGGACTGTGTTTTGAAAGAAGCCACCTCAAGTTGTCCAGTGCAACATACGTGTCATCATCTGCCTTCATGAACCAGTCCGCTTCATCAAGATGGTGATCGTGTACATACTGGAAAGCTTTGATGGTTTTCCAGTACAACTGATCCCTGCCTTCTTTGGTTTTTAATCCCACTGTTGGGAAGTCTTTGTTCTCCTCAGAGCTCATAAATAGCACTCTGTTGCAATGCTGGGCCCAAGTAGCTTTGACATGTTTGGCTTTCGTTTCCAGATTTTGAGGTCCAGTCATCACCCAACAAAGTATTCTTACTTTCTGGTACAGTTCTTCAGCAATATTATTATTTTCATCTGGGGTGTGGGGAAGCAAAATTGCAAAATACCATTAGTATGTTAGAATTTTCACACAAGTAGAACACCACATATTTATTTATGCACTTCTAAGTAATTATATGCCAATTTTTTAGAGCTACACCCTCAAAAAACAAAGTATGCTGAACTAAATGACAGATACAATACCTTAGTTGGCACATCAGAAAGGTGTATACTGTACTTCTAAAGAAAGCTCAAAACAAACACGGTTTTGCCATAGCTCTGGCAGCCACAATAATGGGACAGCTGCTCCAGCAGTCTTTATGGTGCAAGATTCTACAAACTTGGCATGTTGAGGGAGGGGTGATACTGAGCAAGGCTAATGGAATAAAGATTTGTAAAAGTATGCTGAAAGCTTTGAACTATCCTTGTCTACACTGTAAATGAACATCACCTCAGTTAAAGTTTATCATGGCATCCACTTTCTTTTAAATGATAAATTATGTTAAGATATTCTCCATCCCCTTTAAACAGGATAAGAAAAGTATTTCAATTCCCAGGCGCTTTTGCAATATCTGAGTGCCAGAGTTGGGAAGATGGAGAAATTATCAGATTCCTAGATATCAGCACTATGGGGTGGGGTTTGAGGGTGGGGGTGGAGCCACCAGCAACAAGTTTTCAGCTTTACAAACTTAAACACAATCATATATGCACTTCCATGAGAATAAGCCACATTTAATGCAATGCAACTCACTTCAAAGTAGATGTGATAATGAGCTGCTGGCTTCTTTAGGCATTTGGTTTCTCTTGGCATTTAATTGTGGACTCAGAACATTTTAATGTTACAAAACAATTTAGGGAAAAACTTAAGCCTGTATGCTAGAAAGATACATGGATTATTTATTTAGTTTGAACACTTATAACATGGGATATGTGTACAATCCATTTTCGAGGGAAGTACAAGGTTATATATTGTAAAGAAAATTGAACTGTAATGCTCTGTACAGCTGCATAAATATACCTTTATGTTGCCCAGCATCTGCATTGAAATTCATTTGTCCTTTCAGCTGATGGCTTTCATCATCATCATCTGAGTGATGGCCATGAGGATTGTTGTAAAGGAGATGAGGCTCAACTTTAACTTGTTCTTCCAACACTAAACTAAATAGCAAATAACATAAAAAAAATCCAATTGCTGATCCAAATGTAAAGGTCAAAAAATGCATTAAGGATTTAGGAGGTGCCATTTCCTGAAGAGATTTCTGCCGAGAGAGAGAAACAACACTAATTATGTTATGCTTGAAAACATAAGATAAAAATGCAGAAAAACACTGACCATATGAACATACTGTTTCTTTCCATGCAATTAGTGTGTGATTATACCTCATTTTGAAGATGCCTCATACTTAAGATAATATTTTACTATGTTTTGAACTAGTATAAAAACATTTTGTTTTTCTAAACATAGTAAAATATAAATCTTGGCCATTTCATAAGAAAGTATAACAATAAAGTAATAACCAACAATGGCCACATCCATAATTTCATGTTTAAAATTTTCCATTTGTGAACTTGCTTTAAAATTGGGCAAGTGTGTAATAAAAGGCATCCAAGAAATCTGAAGACTGACAAGTAATATTGGTCAACAACTTACACTTAAAAATATATATTGTGTGTTTTATCTTCTAATAGCACAAATTCAAAGTGTGCATGCTGGGAGAATAGTGAGAGCACCAGTATGGTATAGTGGTTAGAGTGTTGGATATAGGAGACCAGGGTTCAAATCTCCACTCAAGTCATAAAGCTCACTGGGTCAGTCACTCATTACCTTTCAGCCTAACCTTAATCTCCTAGCCTGCCACCATGTAATTTGCTTTACGTACACCTTTCCAGTTCTGCAGTGAAACTTGACAAAGGTAGGTGGTTTTGTCAGTTTCACCAATACTATGTCACTTTTCTTTTTTATATATACACCACTGTTTATACCCTTTTTATCCCACTCCTATCCTGGAAGCAGCAACAGCAAAGAACTGGAACACGTTTTCTCAGAGTTCCCACATATTCCCATACTGGGAGAAGTGGTTAACATATGAAAAAAAAAAGCATTCCCTAATATTTAAAAGATATGTGCTGGAGGACTAGAACTGCTATAGAAAAGAACACATTTCATAGATGGCATGATACAAAAAAACTACAGGAAAGTTTAAACATTACATTTTAAAACCACCTTCCTGTAGGACCACAGGTGGTTTTAAAAAACCCCATCCATTTTTGTCTTTCAGGCTTCTGCACCAAGTGCAGCAGAGAGATATGAAACCATCTAACGAGAGAATCCAATGCATGTTTAAGCAAAAGTCATTGCATTAAGTCTCACTGCAGTCAATGGGGCTTTCTCTCAGGTAAACGTACCTCGGACTGCAGCCAAACAGATCTATCCTTTGCAAGCAAAAGTACCATGTCCTCTGCTTTAAATAGGATTTGCTCCTATGTTGCAGCTCATGCAAGATCTGCTTTTTAAAATGTTCACAGAAATACTCCCTCGGGGCGGCACCTCGACACAGCAGGGACTTCAGAAACTTCCGGTTTCTGACAAGTGGTTTCCTCAGCTAGTGTTATCTAGTGTTATCAAGGCCCAGCGCCTGCCACTCGTGAGGTGGCCTTTACAAGCCTGCCAAGCTGCCTCCCCACTTCCTCTTGTGAAATACTCAGCTTTCAGTCATTCCAGCAAGCTCAAGCAGTAGGCAGGTATAGAGGTAGTTAACCTATAAGATCTCCTTACCCCCCCCAGATGCCCACTGAACTTATCTGCGGAACTGGCACTGTTGCAGGTGCCACATGATCCCCGTTCCGCACTTGTAAGAACTCGCAGCACCTACACTTTGGAACTCCCTGCCTAGTGATGATAACCAGGCAGGCACCTTCGCCGTCCTCCTTTCGGCACCTTCTAAAAACATGTTTGTTTAGACAGGCTTGCCCAGAAATTCAGAAAGTCTACTGTGTTTTATCTGTGGATTCCCACTGTTTTTGAAGGTTTTAAGGTATGGCTGCCAATTCTCCTAATTTTTTTTATTACTTTATTATTTCCACAGGCCACAATCAAGCAGTGTGTATATAAATTCTATGAAATAAAATGATTTCTCCTTCCCAGCACTTATATGGAATCCTCCGCTTCCAAGTACGGAGATGGGAGCCCGCTGATCCTGGGATGCAACCCAGAAAAGCCGCCCCAGCCCCGCTTTCCTCCAACGGCGACGGTGTGGATCCATCGCTACTTTAAGATGTAGTAAGCGAGCCCAGCTGCGTTTGGGGGAGGGGAGCCGATCTGCGCTGAGTGGGGACTCTGAGCTTTTGCCCATGGGCGCAGCTAAGGGGGCCTCCCCCCAAAAAACAGTAAAAATCAATACTAATCTGAGGTTCCCCCCCCCAAAAAAAAACCCCTCTGGCTACGCCCATGTTTCTGGCCCCAGGGCGCCCCGGCTAAAAGGGGAGCTGACACCTCTCCCTAAAGTCTCCTTGGGAGGCTTCGCCGCCGTCGAACCAGGCCGAAATCTCCCACCCGCGACATGGTTTCCACACGACACTTGTGACCCCGACCTCGGGGTTCGCCACGCCGCCCTCCCCGCCTCCTCCGGGGCGAGCCCACCTCCCTCTCTTCCCCTCACCTTGCCCCGGGCCTTGGCCAGGACAGCCGAGGTGGGCGGCGCGAGGCGGTGGAAGAAGGCGCCTCCTCCTCGTCGTCCTCCTCTCAGGCGCCCCGGAGCCACGAGAGGCTTCCAGGCGGCGGCGGCGGAAGCGGCGCTCGGGAGCGAGGCCCTGTCACGGCCATCGCGCGAGGGCTCCTCTGAGCAGGCCGGCGCCTACTCGACGCCCATCCTGCTACCCTCGGGCCGCCCGACCTGAGGGAGGAGGAGGAGGAGGAGGGCCTAGGCCGGCCCGCCCCGGAGCCAGCTGCCTCATGAGGCCCGAGGACGGAGCCAACCAGCCCGGCCCGCGGTCCTGGGATGGGGCGGTGCCTGGCCGGCCTCGCTTCCCGCCCACCTGGTGACAGAGCTGAGGGAGGAGGAGCAGCGCCGGCGCCGGGGATGGATAACTGGCAGCTTCTGGGGTGGAATAAATACCCTTTAATCCCCGAGGGCTTCATTTTCTCGTGACTAAGCTGCAGCCCGAGGAGTTGTCGCTTAAGGGAGTCGCGCCCTTTGACTAAACAAGCAAACAAATAATAAAAGTTCTTACTAGGCAACCATAGCCTCGGCCCGGCATTTCATCCCCAAAGCCAGCTTGCTTTGAGGAACAATAAGCATGCCCATTTGCTTTTTGCTCTTTGCCCTGGGTGCAGGGCACTCCCTGTGTGTTTTATAGGGCTGTTGCAAAAGATAGAATATAGATTATAATATTAATTTGGCAGAGCAGGGGTGAGGAAATTCAAGCCTGGGGTTCAATGTGGCCCTGTCAAGGGCATAGCCCAGAGAAGGCAGGTGAGCAGCTCCCCCCCCCCCCATCAAAATCAGTACATATCTGAGGTTCTGTGCTCCCCCAGCAAAAATCCTGACTATGCCCCCTGTTAAAACTTGGGGCATTAAGTTTACCCCATAATACAGGTCAGCACAGCGTGAGCTGCCATGCAACAGAAGTTGCATTACCTCTTCAGGCTCAGATATAAGTAGCATTTCCTGTAGCAGCCAGAAACAGCTATGCTTGCAGAATGCATGAACAGCCCCAGGGACATGGGCACTCAAGTCAGTTTTTCAAACAGTTTTCCATGCAGGCGCACCCCATCGTACTAAATACATGTACCAAGGTGATGCTTAGGATGATTAAAAGAAAGGAGAGAGAGAGAGAGAGAGAGGTCTACTGTTAGTGAGGAAGACATGGGTGTAGTCAAGGCGGGGGGCAGATCAAGTAAAAGAACTAACTGACCAATCACATAGGTTCTGCCCTCCAAACAAAAGTCCCCCCCCCAAGTCCTGCCCCCACTAACAAAAATCCTGGTTACGCCCATGGAGGTAGACAACAGTTTATCTGTCATGCCTAATGTTTTCACCTTCTGTGCATTTTAAAATGGCCCTTAACAGTCTGACGTTTGGATAGAGTGAACTCAACTACAACCACCAACACACTCCTTTGAGACTGGCCACTATGCATTTATTTTATCTCTCGTTGTGTCAGTGAAATAGTGGCAGGATACCCAGATATTATTAAACACACACAGTTTTTCCCCTCATACAGTATAGGCTTTATGGAGCCCACACCAGAAATGTCTAGGTTCATCTAAACCTGACAGCCATCAAGTCATATGCAAAACCAACCAACCTATTTTTGCATAATTACTCAGTTAGCACACAAAAAATGTTTCAAAAGGAAATGTTCCTAGGCAAGAATGTTACAGCTGATTTAAGATAAGTGATGTCAATGGTATTACAATCAGATAAAAGCTGTGTACACACTAACCTGTTTGTAGCACACAAACGTAGTTTTTATTCATCTGGAATAATTTATCCTCATCAACATGTTGCTTTCAGTCTAAATTGGTTCCCGATCCTGCTGTCCACAAGGATGTTTGAAAACTCCTTGATTAGGTGGTCCATGCCTTTTCCACATTGCATGTGCCCGGCCCCCTTTAAGGTAGTGGTGATTGCAATCTTGGTATACACTCACCCACAATGTCAGGTGTGAGGATACACCTGACACACACCCCTCCACCTGACACACAGCCCTCCATGGCTACATCTGTTTTTAAATGGACACACTGCAGGCAGTGCAGGGTCATGCAAAACTTACCTCAAAGTGATGAGGATAAAAGTATTTGGAAAACTGGAATAGTCCAGTGAGCCTTGAAGTTCTGTTTATGCGCATAGCAGGAAGTAACTGCAAGTTTATGGTAAAACAGAAGTGTATTTAGCAGTGTGTTTGGCTTCATCTGTTTAATTAACCTCTGGTGCCACTTTTAAACAGCTTTTTTATTACTTTATCTAGATCCTGTTTGTTTTTCTGGCAAATGAGGAAGAATCATTGTTAGGATCCAGCCTGCTCTGTAGAGCAAGGTCTAATATCCTGGTAGCCCTTCCTGGAGTTCAACTCAGCATGAGTTCAACTCATAAAAATATATTTGTGAAAGATAAAGGCTTGACTGAAATTATAGTTCATGAAACACTTATTCATCTTTGCAAGTGTGCATGTTAGGACTTGTGTGTGTGCCTAAAGGTATCCTGCAGAGTTGCTTCTTTCAAATATGCTCAGTGTCTTACATAGGATTGCATATGCTTATCCAGCTAACATACTCCATGTGCCTGCCATCTGTCCTTTCAAGATATTCATCGTCAGCATTTACAACATGCTCCATCCCCAGCATTTTCAGGATGGGCTGTAAAAAACAAGCATAAGCAATACTGATCTAAATGGACTACTGTTCTAACTTTAAAAGATGCTTTTTGAAATGGACATAGTATAATTGCTTTGTGGTGACTATAGTATATCAAAAGGCTGTGTGATAAATGGGCATTTGCCTCTTCAGCATTGTGGAATGATCAATTGTTTTAAAATATTATTTATTTAGAAGAGTTTTAGATTGCTTTTCACCAAAGGACCCGTAAGCTGTTTCCAGCAATAAAAATACAGACTATACAGATTAAAACCATATACAATTTAAAATCAAAACGAAGATGTACGAACAATGCAAAATACAGCAGGCCTACAACCCCAGGGCAAACTAAACAAGCCATCTGAAAGCCTGGGACAACATATAGGTTTATGTGCAGGTGTCAAAAGGACAGCAATGATGTTAACATCCATGACTCTAGAGGAGAATATTGCCAAAGTTAGGTTGCTGTCACAGAGAAAAACCCAACCGGTATTCCAGCACAATGAGTGACAGTTGCCAACAGCACTGCAAACCCCACCCCACCCCTGGCCTGCCTCTGGTTGTTTTCAGGGCCCAGGCTGGCTGATGTGGAGAGAAACGCTCCATCAGATATCTAAGTCCCAAGTCGTTCAGGGCTTTATACGCTAACATCTTGAATTGGACTCCAGTAACATATAGGCTGCTCCTGAGTATCTTGGTATACTATTTCAGATCTTTTATCTTTTCCAGTATCGTTTAGCAATGCTCTTTTGATACTATTCCTCTGCACCATTCTATGGCATGCCTTCTCCCAGGGAGAGTTATACAGTGTAGCTGGAGTGTATGCCCTGTGTACTGAAAAATAAATCCCATTGAATTCAACAGGACTGAATTTCCAGTAACACCCATTTCCTTTTCTTTCCCCTTTGAAAATGGGGATGTGAAAGCTGAGTTGGGCTCTGACTTGGAATGAAGAATTGTGTTGAATGTGCACAGCAAAGGTTTTAATACTATCTCAATGTTTGAAGCAGATACTCCATTACAAACACATTTTCAGAGAATGCAAACCTGTTGAATTAATCCATAGGTATCACTTTGCTTAGCTGAAACCTATGTCTCATCTATTTCAGTACACAGCTATAAGGCACTAAGAAGAAATATTCCCATTTATTGTGTCTTAATATTTGGTACTTGTAAATACTTGATTATTATGTCAAATATACTGTAATGTGGTGTCTGTGTGTGTGCTAGTAAGTGTAATATTGTAGTTCGGTCCTCAGATTCAAAACTGCTTGGAATAACTGACCTAATTCTGGCAAGCTTCTTATTGAAGGATATTGCCAAATACAGGTCATTTTTATAAGTGTTTTGTAAATGTTCACACACAATAGCTTTTTTTCATTCAGCTGAAGCTGAGTTGATTTGGATGTCAAAGCAACAGCTCTACCTTGTGACAAAAAAGGGTACTGATTCTTTTGTCCTTGGCTTAAAGTTTTCAAATTCAGATTGAACAATTAAAGTGGATTTGTAGAAAGGACTTTTGAGGTAAGAAAAGTGATGGGGAAATGCACTGGAAAGTGTAGGATAACAATTTTTGGCAGAATGGTGTACAGTATAACCTGCCTGCAAACAAACTGGGATGAATGCTCAATAAACAAGATGCCTAGAAGCGTTCAAAGAGTAGCTGTGTAAATCTTACGGCTACATTCAGCGCACCCCCCAAAAAAGGTTCTTCTCATTCTCTCCCCTCTCCCCCTGCTTCCTGTCTATAAAATCTAGTCTGATGAAGAGTTCTGCTGAACTTTAAATTTTGCTCTGTGTTCTGTGATGACTCCCTGTGGTTTGTATGGGCAGCATATGTAAATTGAGTTCTCTCAAAATACTAGAATGTAGGGTCATCCAGTAAAATTGATTGGCAGTAAGTAGCCGCACAATACAAAATTAACTTACTGCAAGATAGTCATTAACTCATCTGTCCTAAGCTATTATTATCAGCTATGAGTAGCTAAAATGGAACTGTGATTGAAGACAATCAGCAGAGGTTGGCGCTTGGTAGGAACTGAGATGGGAGGGACTGAATTTGCGGGGGGCTTGTGTGAATGTGGTCTCAGGGTGTACAGTGCTATAAACAAAACATTTCAATAATAAGGTATGCCCTTATTACCGATACCATTAAGTGCCATTGGTATGGTAAGCGAAATGCCACACCAAGCAGAAGTACAGAATTTCCCTGGATGGAACTCAACTAAACCAATACGAGTTATACCTGTGCAAGGGGAATTCTGTGTACGTAAATCATTAGATGCAGCTGATTCTACCATGGTAGGCTCTTCTCATTGCCACTATACTTGGGATTATATTAAGAATAGTCAAACCTGGGCAAACGGTACTACCTATCAAACTCGGAATACCTTGCCCTGTGCACCTCCTTTTATTCATGCATGGAAAATGGTGTGGAACATAACTGTGACAGCAAAAGACAATCTAACATACTGCACTGTGAACTCTATACCCCTTTTGATATTTCGCCTTATGCACTCCACGTACCAAAAACCTCAGACCCGATGGTTGTGGTGGATATGTGGAGAATGGGCATACAAGCAACTCCCTTCCAAATGGAGTGGGACTTGTTTCCTGGGATGGGTATTACCACCAATGTGGATTATGCCCACTAGTTTGGCCAAGCGTACATGAAGAAATGCTGATATTTCTCATATAGCAGGAGGAAGTACCCAAAGTTGGAGCGATACTGATGATTGGCCACCAGAGCGCATTATAGCCTATTATGATCCTGCCTCCTGGAATCCTGATGAGCTCATGCAAGGGGCACGGGATCCTATTTATAATCTAAACAGAATAATTCGATTGCAAGCAGTAGTGGAACTTGTAACCAATGCAACGGCCCAGAGTTTGAGACTTATTGCACAACAGTTGGATGAAAGTAGAGCCGCCATTTTGCAGCTGAAAATGGGAATGGATTATGTACTTGCCAGGCAGGGAGGCCTATGTGGAGTTTTGAACTTGACAGGGAATGCCTGTTGCTTTAACATTTCTGATAATGCTGAGGCAATCCGTGTGTTGGCCACAAAGATGGAGAATATAGCACATGTCCCAGTACAAATATGGGAAGGATGGGATATGGGATGGCTCACCAATTGGTTACCTAATGTTGCGGGACTCAAAGGGATACTATTGTCTTGCTTGTTTATCTTGACGGTAGTAGTAATGGTTTTATGTATGGTGCCATGTATCATTTCATGTTTTAGAAGTACAACTAGCAAGATGATTTCAAATGAAACTCTACCTCATATCATGGCCCTATACAGAGCTTTGCCTCAGGAATATGATGAAGGTCAAGCTATCAAGGACACTTGGGATGAAGGTCCTTGAGCTTGAAAGGGGGGAATGAGGCATCTGATCAAGGCCTGTATTTTATGATCAAGGCCTGTATTTTAAAATGAGCTTAAAAAATATATTTGCAAATGTTTGTATGTTTCATGCCAGGCATAAAGCAGCTGGCTAAGTACTTTGGCAGTTGTTTATCTCCTTGAACAGGGCCCCCCTGATTTATAGCAGTACCTCAAAGTTGTAAAAGGGAATTACAGGCTGGGAGCAAAGGTCATACTGACCATACATATTACAGAATACAATCAAGCTGCAAAAACACTAATTAAGAGTTGGTAAATAGTAAGGTTTATTGTTTAACAGAAAATAATACCAGGTGCCTCCCATTAGACTCGAGCCATATTTTCATAAGGTTAAAGGGCAAGAGCTAATAGGAGAAGCAGCTGGCTGGGGAAAGGGAGTTGTAAATTGAAGAGGTTTACTTTGAAACTGTTCCTTTTCTTCTAAAAATCTATGTTATGTATGAAATATATTGGCTTAAATGTAATTATGCAAAGGATTTAGAAAGTAAGAAATGTTAGATTCTTATGTTAGATTCTTATTCCATTGATGGTGTGTGAGAAGGTGAACCCAAGATCTCTGTTTAGACAGAATTTAATACCATGAGCCATCTGTTTTAGCCATTTGTTTTGGAATAAAGGGGCAACAGGGGCCAAAGGTTATCTGGTAATTAAGGTGCCTGGTCGAGGCAAATATAAGATATATGGCTACTTGTCTGCCATTTATGGATAGAAGGAAATATAGCTCTTTGTCTCCCATAAAAGGTAATAGGAAATGGGTGTATCTTTTATGATTGGTTCTAGCAAACAGCCAATAGGAATTTCAACCAGGCTGATTGGACAGAGGCAGCCAAAGGAGGAGCAAGGGGGCTGGGCTGAGGAAATATAAGTGCTGGCAATCAGGGCTGGAGTGGGCAGAGCTTTGGTAACCATATACCACTGTGTCTCTCATTTATTTGTCTGACAAATAAATTATTATTTTAATTTCTCTATTGCTGCATTGAATATTTCATTCCAGCTAAGCGTTAACCACAAGCAGGGTGCTACAATGTCAATATTGCCTTTTCCTGTTTTTAAAACAGTGGAAGGTTTAGGATCCCCAAAGGTGGGAGCTCAGTAACTGTAAACATTAAATAAACACCAGTTATTATTCTCTCTCTCCCACTCCCTGCCTTGCAGGGTCGACGGGGGATGGAAATAGCTGCAAGAAATCAGTATCCATGACTTTCTCTCCCTGACCAACCTCCAGGGCTGGATTTAGGTTTGATGAGGCCCTAAGCTCCTGAAGAGGCCCTTTATATGTCCAGCTGTCCTTCGTCAACAACAAATTGTCACTTTTTTGTGTTGAATATGTGTTATATGGTAATTTATGGACCTAATAGGTATCTAAAGCCATTTGCACATAACGAAATATGTATTTTATCAAAGTAATTGTTGAACTGAAATACAATTAAGAAGAATGCAGGCACCCTATATATAGAAATGAGCAAACCAGTGATGTTTTAGGGAGCATAGCAGGCGGGGGCCATTACTTACATCATAGGAGCCTACACAGCACAAAACACTCTTGCAGTATGTAGCTTTTATTTTGTTTTTTATCTTATATTTGGAAATGTACATCCAGTTGTTTTTCCTTTACAATTTTTTGGGGGCCCCAAGAGAGTGGGGCCCTAGGCTATAGCTTGTTTAGCTTATACGCAAATCCGGTACTGCCAACCTCTCAGGGTTGTTGTGCGGGGTGACAAAACTGGGGGGGTGGGATGGTAGGCCGGATATATACACAGCCTCGTGAGAAGAGCGGGACGAAAAAGCTACAGGTAATAGCAATAGCGGGCGGCCACCCCCTTGACACGCCGCTAGCCAACCCGCCCAGACTGATCCGCATCGCCTCCGCCCATCGGGACCGGGAAGCCCAAGCAGGAGGCGGGGCGTAGCGCGGGGCTGATGAAATCCGCCTGTGTGTTACACGAGGCCGGCGCAGGCAGCGGGCGGCTTCCGCTTGCCTCCTTCCCGTTTAAGTCCTAAGCGGGCAGCACGAGGTTGAGCGGCGGAGCTGGGCGGTGGGTGCAATCTCTTCTGGCTTGCTGCGGAGCTGTCATTTCATTTCCCGGTGCAGGATCACCGACAGCAGGTAACGGGCGAAGCGACGAGGGGAGACTTTCTTGGAGTCCGGCTTGTACCTGGTCCTTCGTTGCTATCCTCGCCCCACCCCGGCACACTTTCTGCAAAAAGAGCTCAGGTGCGTGGCAGGGCGAGATCCAGCATTCAGACGGAGTGTGTGGTAGCTATTATGGAGATGGAGGGGGGGGTGAGAGGCAGGTTCTATGCTTAGGGATCGTCAGGAAACGAGTTTGTGGGGCGTGTCATAAATGCCGTTATACCGATCTGTGATGTGAGCACGTTAGCAATTATGTGTACGGTCTGTGGTCTCCTCTGCTCCCTTGCGGAGTTGGCAAAGGTTCAGAAAAGGACAATAAAGCCGCTTGACAGGAAAGGTTGCAACATTTGGGACTATTTCGTTTTGCTGCACCTGTTGAATGTCTGGTTGTCATGCAGTTCCTACAGGTACTTGGGTATGTTGCCAAGCAAAAAGAAAAAGGAGTGTCACCCCCCTTGATTATGTTAGACATTCTCTGCTGATAGCTACCCTTGAGTTATAGCTAACTTGTGGTCCTCCATATGTTGTTGGAGGACAGCTGCAATCATCCCTGGGTGGCTGAGGCTGATGGGAGTTGTAGTCAAACAACATCAGGAAGAGCCCCCTTCTCAACTTCTATGAGTAATATGTGCTGAACTGCAAAATGACTAGAATCTTTTCTCTGTAGTTTGGGAAAAGAGTATAAAGTGTAAGACCGTAGAAGTCTGCCCTAGGGATACTCTCTTGTCTTCTCCACTCCCCATATGTTAGCCTTTCTTGTCTTCAGAAATTAAGACTTATTCCAAATCTTGTCATTCACTGCTGACCAAGTCCTTAGCATAATTATTATTATTTATTTAAGATGAGTGCCAGTGTGATAGTCCTTTTAACAGTGCAATCCTATAAACATAGAGTGGGTGGTATTCAACTAAGTTTTATTCAGAGCTGAAAGTAATGGACCTAAGTTAGTAACGTTCATTAATTTCAATGGGCCTGCTCTGAATAAAACTTACAACTGCTCCAGAAGTAAATCCGATTGACTTCAGTGGAACATACTCCCAGACTGGAGTTACAAAGTGATATACCTAGTGTTAGTCATACTTTGCGTGGGTCTGTTCTGAGTATGGGTAAATGCTGGCTATCACCCTTCACTGTCTGAAGAGTAAAACTTTGGACAGTGTGAATAGTTGTGTAACACTTTCAGACCCTCCAAGTGTCCATGAATCTTGCTTTCCTGGATGAAGGACAAAGAAGGGTGGCTGGGTGTAGAAATTTTATAAAGGTTAAATGTACATTTATTGTTCTGCCCCCTTGCCTCTGGCACTTCCCATCACTGGCACAAAGCACCCGGAAGCTTGTCCAGAAGGCAGTGCAACCATGGGGCAGAACATTGTGCCACCCACCTTGCTCTGGAGATCATTGGCTTGTAACTGAACTCAGGAACTTTGCTACTTTTCCCCAACAGCCTTGAGCAGATACCACCATGTGTGGCATTTGGGCCCTTTTCGGAAGTGACGAATGCCTCTCCGCTCAGTGTCTTTGTGCTATGAAAATAGCCCACAGAGGTCCAGATGCGTTTCGGTTTGAGAACGTCAATGGATTCACCAACTGCTGTTTTGGCTTCCACCGTCTTGCGATTGTTGACCAGCTCTATGGAATGCAACCCATACGGGTGAAGAAATTCCCTTACTTGTGGCTGTGTTACAATGGAGAAATCTATAACTTCAAAAAGGTAAACGACAACAACCACCTCAACACTTGCTTCAGTGATCTCTTTAGAGCTAGCTTTGCATGTTCAAAATATTTATTTGTTGTTTTAACGAGTTTTTGCAAGCTGCTTTGGAAGGACTTGACCCGAAATGCAGCATATAAATAAAAATTGTTTATAAACAACAACCCCCCCCTCTGTTTGGGAATTTGGGCTGGCCATTTTAAGTAGTAGTAGTAGAAGAAGAAGAAGAAGAAGAGGAGTTTGGATTTGATATCCTGCTTTATCACTACCCGAAGGAGTCTCAAAGCGGCTGACATTCTCCTTTCCCTTCCTCCCCCACAACAAACACTCTGTGAGGTGAGTGGGGCTGAGAGACTTCAGAGAAGTGTGACTAGCCCAAGGTCACCCAGCAGCTGCATGTGGAGGAGCGGGGAAACAAACCCGGTTCACCAGATTCTGAGTCCCCCACTCTTAACCACTACACCACACTTTACAGTAACTGTAAAGCGTTAGTACAGAAGCATCACTCATGTGATGCAGCAGTTAGGGTGTTGGACTTGGACCTGGGAGACCAGAGTTTAAATCCCCACTTAGTCATGAAGCTCTGTAGTTGACCTTGGGCCAGTTATCGTCTCTCAGTAACTGGGCTATTATGAGGGCAAAATGGAATGGCACGGGGCAGAAGAACCATATTTTCTGTCTTGAGCTTCTTGGAAGCAAGGTGGCATACAAATATAATAATAAATAAAAATATAAGTTTGTGCTACAAAGTTTTTTTTGTTTTGCTTTGGCTCCGTGTTTAAAATGCTCAGTAAAAATATTTGATAGGATCCCCCCTTTTTAACCTTCAAGAGTGCACTTCTCTGAACGCATTCAAAGCATTTTGTCGTGAAAGGTGTAGGATGAGGGAAAAGAACTTTATCCCAAGCTTAATTCATGAGATTGGATATTCTGAGACAGCAGCCCCTTAGTCTACTTTTTGAATCATTCAGATGGTGAAGTTGCATGCTGAAGAGACAACTGCACATCTTTCCAGCACTTATTGACAAAACTAATCTATGGCATTTGAACGTTAATGTATAATTGTTCCCTTTTTAGGATGTAAAAATGCCTTCCTTTCATGTGTGCCTGACAATATGCATTGGTTTCATTCTTAAAAAAACCCATTTCTTTCTCTTTTGTAGCTGCAAAAGAAGTTTGAATTTGATTACCAGACCTTGGTCGATGGAGAAGTAATCCTTCATCTTTACAACAAGGGAGGAATAGAGCAAACAGCCTCCCTGCTAGATGGTGTGTTTGCATTCATTTTGCTTGACACAGCAAATAGAAAAGTGTTTCTGGGAAGAGATACATACGGAGTCAGACCGTTGTTCAAGGTCCTGACAGATGATGGATTCCTGGGTGTCTGCTCCGAGGCCAAAGGTAACCTCAAACTCTGAATCTCTTTTGAAATTGCCTTCATGTGGTACAGATATTGCTGCAACTTGATCCTGCCACAATAAACCTAATTGTTGAATCTCTTCTCTTTCTGAAAGATGTTGCTTCATCTCACTTTTATGAAAGTATGTTTGCCCTGAATGAAGTAGAGAGTGTCTACTTGACACCTTGTTTTGACCAAATTTGTGACAGCTTTCAGCAGAAAGAAAACCCATCCCAGAGAATCAGTGTGTTTTTTAAAGTACTTGCAGTAATTATTTGGTGCCTTGTTTTGGTGCGCACCTTAGCTTTCTCTGTTTGTTTGTTTTATCCCACAATAGAAATATGTAGGATGTGATCAAGTTTAAGATGGGTGTAATGGCTTCCAGACCAGTTTTCACTCTGTCTCCCTCTGCCCCCATCCCTCAAATTCTTTATGGTGTGTATGCATTTTCTCACTTAGCAGTATAAATAATGGAAGACCCATCTCTCTGTCCAGCGCCACCCCTACATGGTTGCACTTATTCACTCAGCATAGTGGGATATGTCTAGAGATAAGGAGTTACTCAAAGCCTCCTCTTGCCTGTACTAGCCTAGCACACAGAGTATCCATGCACACACACTACAGAGGATGGAGATAAGTTTTGCTATACTCTATGGCAGATGTGATTGGGACGCGGGTGGCGCTGTGGGTAAAACCTCAGCGCCTAGGGCTTGCCGATCGCATGGTCGGCGGTTCGAATCTCCGCGGCGGGGTGAGCTCCCGTCGTTCGGTCCCAGCTCCTGCCCACCTAGCAGTTCAAAAGCACCCTTAAGTGCAAGTAGATAAATAGGTACCGCTTTATAGCGGGAAGTTAAACGGCGTTTCCGTGTGCTGCGCTGGTGCTGGCTCACCAGAGCAGCTTCGTCACGCTGGCCACGTGACCCGGAAGTGTCTCTGGACAGCGCTGGCCCCTGGCCTCTTAAGTGAGATGGGTGCACAACCCTAGAGTCGGACACGACTGGCACGTAAGGGCAGGGGTACCTTTACCTTTACCTTTATGGCAGATGTGAGGAACCATCGGCCATCCAGATGTTGCTGAACTACAACTTTCATCATCCCTGGCCTTTGGCCACACTTGCTGAGGCAGATGGGAGTTGTGGTACAGCAACATCTGGAAGGCCAAAACTTTCCCTACCCTGGTTCTATAGAGATCTCTCTGTGCCTGAGCGTTACACCTGTAGCAAACTGAATCGAGCTTCTAGTACTAATAAGAGGAAAATATGTGTTTTATGGCATCGAAGAGTGTACAGTTTATTGTGAACAGGCAAGATTTGTTAGTCTGCAGGTTGTTAAAAAAATAAGAGATAAGTTTGCATGGGCAATTGTCAAGCTGGCCCAGCAATTGTCTGCTTAAACCGAAGGGGCAGGAGAGACAGGAGGAATTCATTGAGGAGGGAGGCTGCATGGCAGGGCCGGTTTAGAGAGGGAAGCTAGAATGTGTTACATTTCCTTGCTGAGAAGCAGCAGGGGTATCTGCATCAGAGCTGAAGGGAGAAAGAGAAAATCTGAAGCACAAGTGTGAGCTATTCTAATACAGGAAAAGCAGAGAGCAGCTCTTCTTCAGCAAGCTGTGCCTGTTGAGGCTGTCCTCAAAACCAGGGCAATGGAAGGAGGGGGGGTGTTACTGGGGACTCTTGGGGATCAGCCCCCTGTCTCATATGGATAACAAGGTGCCTCTTGTTGCCAGCAAGCAACCAGAGGAAACGCAATGAGTGGAGGCTGGGCCATTGTAAATACCCCTGAGCCCTGCATTGCATGGAGCTATTGTTGTGACAAAGGGAGCTGTGTGCATCTCGTGGAGCTCCGGTTGATCAGAGTATGAAAACAACAAAGACGAAAGGGAAGCCATGCCGACTTGAATTGGCACCATATAGGCGAGGGCTGAACCACAAATATTTGGGGAAATAACTCCTTCAGGTTTGGGTCATGTGAAGAAAGTGGAGGTTGTTTTTTTTTTTTAATAGAACATGAGACAGAGGTATCTAGAATACTGAGGGACCAATGCATCTCAGCTTGTGTGTCACTGGGTTCTGTTTCGGCGAGTTCAGAGGGTACCGTGTACAAAAGTGCAGTGAGGTGCTCTAATTCCTGGGGATGGGGAAGATGCTGTCGGACCCCATCAGCCCCCAGTCAACATGGCCCAGTGGTCAGGAACGATGGGAGTTGGAACGTAGCAACACTGAGAGGGCCACAAGCCTTGACTAATGAGTGCTGATTCACTTACTGGAATTGATCGTGCCTCCGGCATGGACTTTTTCCAGCAAGGCTCTCAGCAGGTCGGATGTGTGCAGGGTTTGATTAGATTTGAGGTTGGGCGAGAGAAAGACGTTTGCATTTACTAGAGTCACCGCACTGATATGTGTACTTGTCTCCTTTATTGATAGACAAACAAAAACGACAAATTTGTGTGCCCTCCTTTTGCTTTGCACGTTTCCCTCTTTGTAAGCTGTTCAAAATACAGTGGTACCTCTGGATGCGAACGGGATCGTTTCCAGAGCCCCGTTCGCATCCTGAAGCGAACGCAACCCACGTCTGCGCGGGTCGCAATTCGCTGCTTCCGCGCATGACGTCATTTTGAGCGTCTGCGTATGCGCGAGAAGCGAAATCCGGAAGTAACGCATTCTGTTACTTCTGGGTTGCCACAGAGCACAACCTGAAAACGCTCAACCCGAAGCTACTTCAACCCGAGGTATGACTGTAGATATAAGTCATCTGTAGCTGGCCATGCTGAAAGAGGAGAAAGGGGTATATGTGTAATAGTAGCTTTCAGCAGCCGGGTGCCTTCCAGATGTTATGGATTACAATTCCCATAATCACACTCTCTCTCATGTTATATTAGATAGATAGATATAGATATAGATATAGATATATATAGGGTGTGTGTGTTGCAGTTTGGTCTTGTAGGTGGCTCCTCTATTTGCAAAGGTTGAAAGCTACTGTCTCCCTATATATTTTTTTCCTAACCTTGTTCTGGCCCAGGGTTAGATTTGCTTCATTTCTTATAATGCCGTAGTTAGCTGTTACAGTTCTGAAAATTTCTGATGCTTTGACAGTGCATATTTTATGTTACATGGGCAAAAGCTAACACCTCTTCTGCCTTCTCTCCCCCTGTGCCCCACAATGCCTTGTTACATATTTAGGTCTTGTCAACTTGAAGCACAGCATGTCCCTTGATCCCAGAGTGGACCCTTTCCTTCCAGGACACTATGAAGTGTTGGATTTAAAGCCAAATGGCAAAGTTGCATCAGTGGAAGTGGTGAAATTTCACAGCCCTAAAGATGAACCTCTGCATGCTGCCTACAGCGCTGTACAAAATCTCCCCTCAGGTAACAGCAAATCTAAAATAGTCTTCTTCCTCCCTTAGTAAAGGTGTAAATTTACTGTTCTAGGGATATGATGCCTTGAGGCTTCGTACATTGCTGTGGGGGAATAGACTACGGAATATCAAGCCTTGATTAAATTATGTGTTTCTGATGGAGAACTTTATGTTCTGTCTAAACAGTCTGATTTCGAAAAGCCAATGTGTGGGTAGAGTGCTAGGTTCAAATGCTTGGAAGGTTCTGCTTTAAACAAGTCATAGTTCCCTGTGACGTGCAAACCCAGGGAACTGCGGCTTGGAAACACGTCACCCTCCAAATGTTGTTGTTGGCCTACAAGTCTCATAATCCTTGACCATTGGCCACGTCTGAAGCTGATTGGAGTTGGAGCCCAACAACTTCTTGAGAGCCACATCACTGGTATGGAGAGCCAGTATGGTGTCATGGATAAGGACTTGGTCCAGCATCAGGGAGACCATGGCTTAGCCATGAAAGCTCACCTTGGTTGATGCAGAAAAAGCTTTTGATAGAGTATCATGGAATTTCCTATTGGAAACTTTCAAAGGTCTGGACATAGGGGAGAAAATAATTAATGGAATTAGGGTGATATATGATAACCAAAAAGCAAAATTGTTAATAAATAACGAGATCACCGAAGAGTTCAGCATCGAAAGGGGGACAAGACAGGGGTGCCCTCTCTCCCCACTTCTTTTTATTGCCACCTTGGAACCACTTTTAATAGCAATAAGAAAGGATAAAAATATAAGAGGAATTAACCTAGGAACTTGATACTACAAAATTAAAGCCTTTGCCGATGATGTAATCGTAACCACTGAAAACCCAGTGGAAAGTATCCAAAAAACGCTTGAATCTTATCATCTTAACCTACCTTGTAAGAAAATTAAAAACAGAGGATGAGGAATACTTTACATGCCACCACAAGCTTCTTGGATAAAAGGTGGAGTATTAATAAATGAATCTTTTTCTACCCCCCCCATAGGTTTTGATGTTGAAACCGTTAAAAGCAACATTCGGCATTTGTTTGAAAATGCTGTCAGAAAACGTTTGATGGCTCACAGAAGAATTGGCTGTCTCTTGTCAGGTAAAAAATAATGCATTTTATGATTACCGTTGCCTTTCACTAATACAGCCACAACCTGTTTGTAGTGCATGTGGTCTCTTACTGTAGGTGCATGAGTTCCCCCCCTCCCAATATAGAAACAATTTAATGGAAACCATTAAACCAGACCATAAAATGCAGGCAATGCTTTTTCTTGGCAAGTAATTCTGACTGGCAGGTGGCTGGATACAGCAGAAAGCACATGACCAAAACTGGAAAAATCCCTTACCTGACAATGAGTCAGAAGTTCCATAGAGGGCTAAGGGCCACACTGACCTATGATCAACCTTTCAGGGGCCAAAGTCTAAAAGTGAACATGGCCATTTTTTAAAAAGGACACATCTTGAGGGTCTTGGAGAAAGGCCGCAAAACCTTTTTGACATCAAGGCAGAGGCTTCATGGTTAATTTGAATTGAGCTTGGATGTGGGCTGGAAGCCAATGGAAGCTCTTTGAGCACAAATGGCTAGCCTGTGGTCTTCCCAGGTATTGTTGGACTCCAAATCCCATCAGCCTCTCCCAAAATGGCCCACCATCAGGGATGTTGGGAAATGTAGTCCGGAGGGCCACAATTTAGCCACTTTTGTCTTTGACCAGTGGGAGTGAAGATTAGGATAAGGAAGCTGCAACATAATGAGATGCGCACTTTATGTATGTATGTAGGTTTGTTCAGGTTTGATTGCAGTACACTTTGTCATGAAATTCTACTCTATATTGATCCAGAGCGGAACTGCGACGTATAGTTAGCTGTGTGTAAACTTAAACATGTTGCAGGATTCCCCAAAGTAGACCAGAGGCAATTGTTTTTCATTCAGCAGAGCTTTACTGCTACTGAAGGCAAATGAGCAATAATGGTCACAAATCCAATACATTTAGGATTGGCACTGTCTAGTTGCAGCACTTAACTTAGTTAAGTTGTCCAGTAAGAAATCCAGTTGCAGCAGACTTAACTTAAACTTTTAATAACTTATAATAAGACTAAACCTTAACACTAAGCATACACCACACCAGAAGGAAAGAGACAGAAAGTGAAAGGGAAACCCAGGATCATTTTGGCCCTACTTTTATAGTCAGCATGACCTTGACAGAAGAGATAAGAGAACCAGTTTAAACCAGCTGTACTCAGCTTCTCTGAAGGAATAACCCAAACATCACAAACCTTCTGCTTGTTTCTTTCACATAGAGAAGCTTCCAGAACCCTCTTGAATGAATTAGAATAGGAAAGATCTCTACACATCAGATCAATATTTTCTGCACTAAGAAATGCAAACTGACACACTTTGCTACTGGTGTGGTCCACCTAAAATACACATGTTTATATTCTCTTCTCACAAGGGCATTTTGTATGTCAGCTACATGTTCCTGGTTAGGCATAACTGCTAATGGTGTTTTGACAGGCGGCCTGGATTCTAGCTTGGTTGCTTCAATGCTAATCAAATTGATGAAAGAAGGAAACACTCGCTACCCATTACAAACCTTTGCAATCGGCATGGAAGATGCTCCTGACCTGCTGGCTGCCAGAAAGGTATAGTACTATTTTAGTTCAAAAGGCACAGGCTCCACATTCACCTGTATGTTGTGATACACTCTATAGAGAACCAGCAGCCATTGTGATTCAAAATTGTGTGTGGTTGTACTCAAACATAGGTGAAAACTTGCTCCTTTATCTCAGGATCCATATAGAAATTTTGGTTACAATATGTTTGGAAGTGTGTCCAAATGCACAGCAAACAAACATCTTTCCAAAATGTGTAGTAGATGATACTGAGCCCAGGATACATCATGTTGAGAATCTAGACTTTTTAAAATGAGCAAGTTTGTAGCCCACTACACTGAAGGCATGATTCCTTCTTGATGTGAGCTGGGCTTCTGATCTATGGGTGATTCACTAATCGTGCTGCCCCAGGTGATCTCAATGATAGACCTGGGACATAGGAGAGTAAGGCTGTTGTTAAGGTATCCTGAGCCTAAGTTGTTCATGCCTTCATACAGTTAGATTCAGGATAGGAAAAACAGAGAGCTTCTTCACACAATGCATAATTTAATTGATGGAACTCACTGCCACAAGATGTGGTGATGGTCTTTTTTAAAAATGAGGATTAGACACATTTGTGGAGGCTAGCCAATTAAACATGAAACCTCCATCTTCAGAAGATACCACTGAATGACATTCGCAGGAAGGCGGCTTTAATGCCCTGCCTGTGAGCGTCTCAGAAATATATAGTTGGCCATCCTGGGATGCTGGACTACAAAGGCCTTTTGGTTGGATCCTGCAGGGCTTTTCTTTTTGCACTAGCGCTTTGCATAGCTCATTGCTCTACCCCATAACTAGCAGAAGCAAATTATAGTGTACATAATTAAATAGGTTGGTTTGCAAAAGAAAATTAGTGGAATTCGGCATTTCTTGACCTGGTTTTGAGATTATTTGGGGGTGTAGATTTTTTTTTTAAAGAAATAAATAGATTGGTGTATATACAGTTGTACCTCGGAAGTCAAACGCCTTGCGCCTCGAACGTTTTGGCTCCAGAATGCCGCAAACCTGGAAGTGGGTATTCCAGTTTGTGAACATTATTTGGAATCCGAACATCCGGCACAGCTTCCATGGCTTCTGATTGGCTGCAGGAACTTCCTGCAGCCAATCAGAAGCTGCACCTTGGTTTCCGAACATTTTGGAAGCCTAACGGACTTCCGGAACGGATTCCGTTCAACTTCCGAGGTACGACTGTGCTGCCTTGCCTAACCATAAGCTTCTGCTTCATTCTAGATGCAGCTTAGCTTTGGCCTTGAATCCCAGTTGAGCCGCTTCGCAGGTCACTTAATATAAATTCTTATTAACAGGTAGCAGCTTACATTGGGAGTGAACATCATGAGGTCATTTTTAATTCTGAAGAAGGTATTCAGGTACTAGAAGACGTTATACTTTCCTTGGAAACCTACGACATTACAACTGTACGAGCTTCAGTGGGTAAGAGACATATTTCCCCCCCTTGTATTTCTTCCCCTGAGGGGAAGGTGCTGTTGAAGCAGATCATTCCTCCATCCTTACAGGCCCATTTTGACGCATGGGCGGGGTTTCCCAACTGTCAGTCACCTGATGTCCCCCCGCCAGGATGGGCCTTCCATTCCTGCTATAAAGTGAAGCTTACAAAGATACGAGTGCCTGTCTTTCTCTCTGAAATGCCTTTGACTTTCCACTTCTTCAGACAATACTGCTTAAGTGGCATGTTAGGGGAAGCCTTGGCCTGAGGATGTAGTTTGGGAAAACAAACAAAATTGTTATTTGAAATGGTCTCTCCATGATTAGGCATGTATCTGGTCTCCAAATATATACGGGAGAAAACGGACAGCGCCGTCATTTTCTCAGGAGAAGGCTCAGATGAGTTGACGCAAGGATACATCTATTTTCATAAGGTAAAATGCTTGTTGTGTTTCTCAAATAATGCTCATTCTTGCCTGTGGATGAACACACCACAATAAGCGAGTAAAAGGCGAAAGATCTATACGATCTGAGGTGAAACCAGAGTACACCTGAAGGTGTATAATGAAGGCGCCAGGTGAACTTCCCTGGGGAGAGCATTCCACAGACGGGGAGCCACAGCAGAGAAGGCCCTGCTAGGGATGATGGGAGTTGTAGTCCAAAAACAGCTGGAGACCCAAGTTTGGGAAACACAGGTGTACACGGACTGGCAGCACCTCTCTGCCTAGTGCTCTCCTAGCTCTGCCTGAAAATGCCAGGGATTGGATCTGGAGCTTTCTGCATACAAGGCAACTTCTGTGCTACTGAAGTCACATCCATAGCATCCATTTAAAGCACACAACTTTCCCCCAAAGAATTCTGGGGACTATAGTCTGTTAAGGGTGCTGGGAATTGTAGCTCTGTGCAGGGTAAGTTACAGTTTCCAGGATTCTTTGGTGGAAGCCATGTGTTTTAAATGGACGCTGCAGCCCTGTGTCCTCTGCTGATTTATGTCTGCATGTGTTAGCCCAAGTTACTTGCCCAGGAAGGTCATCTTTCTCCTGTGTCCTTGATGTAGGCACCCAGCCCAGAAGAAGCTGCAGAGGAAAGTGAGAGGCTCCTCCGAGAACTCTACCTCTTCGATGTCCTCCGAGCGGACAGGACAACGGCTGCCCATGGGTAGTTCTGCTTTGTAATGCTATATTGCAGTGTCAATGGGGCAAAATGCATTGCCATTGCTTCTAAGGTAGACGTCAAACTTGGGGTACCTTTTAGTTTTTCAGTAATCCGCAACGAGTCTCCAGGAAGAACCAAAAACAAACTACAGTCCCTATTTAAAGTTAAATTGAAATCAGTTCTTTAACACTGATTCTCTATGGTGGTTTGGGGTTTTTCCGAGAAAGAGACGAGAGACCCTGTTGTCCGGTAGGTGGCGCTGTCTATAACCTAGCACAGTGAGAAGATTTTGAAATGTATAGACGTCGCACAAGGAAAAATACTACATTTAGAGCTCTGTGCAAGTGTCTGACTACAAACGGCTTTAGGATTTCTTAGTTGTTACTGTAAGTCTCTTAGATATATTCTCGTACAAAAACAACATCTACTTATAAGTTTGATAAGTAGCTATTGATGTTTTCTCTTTTTCAGTCTGGAAATGAGAGTTCCATTTTTGGACCACCAGTTTACTGCTTATTACCTGTCTTTGCCAGCAGAACTCAGAACACCAAAGGTAAACTATGCACATATAACCCAGCTAGGAAATTTATACTGTAATCCCAGACAGGTTTACTGAGAGGTTAGCCCTATTAAATTCAGCGAGGCTCCTTCCTTATTAAGTATTTTTAGAAATTCAGGCTTAGGCTATGATCGCCAGTGGGCTCATTGATGAAAGGTTGAGTCTCACCTGGGAGATCTATTTAGAATTCCAGCTTAATACACCAAACCATATGATTGACTTTGGCATTTACCTCTCTAACTTCATTCTTAAAATGCTGTGTTGTGTCTGGCACTGTCTAACGGAGCTGCTTCTGAAACAACAGATTGTGTTTCTAGTCTAAATCTTTTTTATATTTTTAATGTCAGTCTTTTGTTGGCTGATATTTGTGGTATCTCTTAACAGAATGGAATTGAGAAACACCTTTTAAGAGAGGCCTTTGAAGATACCAATTTATTGCCTAAAGAAATACTCTGGAGACCCAAAGAAGCCTTCAGTGATGGCTTAACTTCTGTCAAGAAATCATGGTTCTCAATCCTCCAAGACTATATTGATACTCAGGTACACTGTTACATGTTTTATATTCTTCTACAAGTCTGAAACTTATAGAAGTTGCTTTTTTTGTCTTTCAAGTGAGTCCACATATTTATACAGGTGACTCTCCATTTATGTGGGGGTTACGTTATGCCCCCATAAGTGAAATCCACATAAATGGGGAACACCTCGCTGTGCCTACAGCTCGCGAGGAGACCCTCTTTGGAGCCTGAAGGAGACACCCTCTTTTGGCTCTGGAGAGGGTCTTCTCACAAGCTGGAGGGGCAGCAGGGCTTTGCTGAGATGCTTCAGGTCTCTCCCCCCACTTCGAGGGGTTGGTGGTTCTGGGGCCAAAACATAGACCAGAGGCAATTGTACTTCATCCAGCAGAGCTTTAGTGCTACTGAAGGCAATTGAGCATAAGGTTCACAAATCCAATACATTCAGGATTGGCAGAGTCCATAAGAAATCCAGTTGCAGCAGACTTAATTTAAACTTACAGTAAGGAAGTGGCTCCCGCCCTGTGGAATGCCCTCCCATCAGATGTCAAAGAGATAAACAACTATCTGATGTTTAGAAGACATCTGAAGGCAGCCCTGTTTAGGGGAATTTTTAATGACTGATGTTTTAATGTATTTTTTTATCTTTGTTGGAAGCCGCCCAGAGTGGCTGGGGAAACCCAGTCAGATGGGCGGGGTATAAATAATAAATTATTATTGTTGTTGTTATTATAACTTATAATAAGACTAAACCTTAACACTATATCATACAGAACACCACACCAGAACAAAGAGATAGAAAGAGAAAGTGAGAAACCCGGGCTCCTCCTGGCCTGACTATTATAGTCAGCATGACCTTGACAGAAAGGATAACAGAACCAGTTTAAACCAACTGTACTCAGCTTCCCAGAAGGAATAACCCAAACATCAGAAACCTTCTGCCTGTTTCTTACACATGGAAAGAAACCTTCCATAACACTCTTGAACTCAGTAGAATAGGAAAGATCTCTACACATCAGATCAATACTTTCTGTACTAAGAAACACATTTGAATTGAATGTGTGTAGATTGGGGTGGTGGTGCTTGTATATCACTCTGTACATTGCATACCACCCTGACTTCCAAACAGGTATGACTTCTCCCATTTTATCCCTGCAACAACTGTGTGAGGTAGTTAGTCTGGGAGATAGCAACTGGGCCAAGTCACTTGCTGAGAGCTCTATAACTGAGGAGGGATTTGAACCCAGCTCCAAACCCCCATGTTTGCTTAAAAACTGCTAAACTAGCACTCTTACACTTGTGAATGAAAATGCAGATGTGTCAATCACTTGTAAGATTACACCCAAGGATGCTTCCCTCAGCTGCAGTGCTGAGACATCTGCACTGTGGCTTATCCATGGCCTGTTGTGTTAAAGAATTTAAATCAGGGGTGGGGAACCTGTGGACCTTGAGTAGTTGTTGGCCTCCAAAACCGATAATTGTCAATGTTCAGAGATGATGGGAGTTGGGCTTCAGCAGTTTCTGGAGGGCCACAGGTTCCCCATCCTTTTCACAAGTGAAGATCGATCGGATCTTGCTTTGCTGGCAGGCAACTTTTATACTGGCAGCCTCTCATACCCAGTGTTACTTGGGAGTTCTAAAAAACCAAAAGTTCAGTGCAGTTTTGAAAGTTCCAAGCCACCATCTTGATTCAAGATGGTGTCCTGTTGTATCCAGACATAGGCGAAAGTTTCCTCCTTGATCTCAGGAATCCCTCATGCAAAATTGAGTTACAATATCTTCAGAGGTGTCCAAATGCATTTCAAACAAGCAGATTTTCCAAAATATGTAACAGATCTGTCAGGAAAACATGGACTGATTTGGGCAGGGGGAGTCATAAACTTGGATAGCTAGTCAAAAACTGGGATTTATGTTTGCAGTTCTCACGGTTTCCATTTTCTTTCCCTTTTGTGCCCATAGGTTGATGATCTTCTGCTGGAGAAGGCGGCGGAGAAATTTCCCTTCAACCCCCCTAAAACAAAAGAAGGCTATTACTACCGCCAGATCTTTGAGAAGCATTTTCCAGGCCGCTCCGACTGGCTCCCTCACTACTGGATGCCGAAGTGGATCAAGGCCACAGATCCATCTGCTCGCACTTTGAAACATTACAAATCGGCTACGAAAGAATAGACGTTTCTAACCTGTTTTGAAGTTGCTCTGTGGGTGGTGGCTTGTGAGCCTATAATTGTCCTTAGCCTAAAAGAGAAAGCAAAAAACCCAAAGCACTTTTTTTAAAATAAAGCAATGTGCAAATTAGGATAAAATGGGACTGTACTACTGATTTAAATGACAGCACAGTTTAAATGACAGTTTCTGTTTATGCTTAAGCTGCATTTTACAGCTAATACACTCCAAAGTAATTATTAAAACCTGTGGGATCACTCACTGACTGCTATTCTTACTCCTGGGAAAAGGCCCTTGTGGATTGATTCTGCCTCTGTGGTGGAAATAGCTTGATTGTCATTGGGTATTAACGTACCTTGATTTGGAATTGGATGGGGGGCCACTCTGGGCGACTTCCAACAGAATATTAAAAACATGATGAAATATCAAACATTAAAACTTCCCTAAACAGGGCTACCTTCAGATGTCTTCTAAAAGTTAGATACAGTGGTACCTCGGGTTACATACGCTTCAGGTTACAGACGCTTCAGGTTACAGACTCCACTAACCCAGAAATAGTACCTCGGGTTAAGAACTTTGCTTCAGGATGAGAACAGAAATTGTGCTCTGGCGGCGCGGCAGCAGCGGGAGGCCCCATTAGCTAAAGTGGTGCTTCAGGTTAAGAACAGTTTCGGGTTAAGAATGGACCTCCAGAACAAATTAAGTACTTAACCCGAGGTACCACTGTAGTTGTTTATTTCGTTGACATTTGATGGGAGGGTGTTTTACAAGGCGGGCGCCGCCACCACCACTGAGAACGCCCTCTGCCTTGTTCCCTGTGGCTTCACTTCTTGCAGTGAGGGAACTCCCAGATGGCCCTCGGAGCTAAACTTCAGTGTCCGGGCTGAACGATGGGGGTGGAGACAATCCTTCAGGTATACTGGGCCGAGGCTGTTTAGGGTTGGGCTCAACCTGATGGTGATTTTGGTGCTGGTTTTGTTTTTCTGGATCAAGTATTTGCAAAGAGAGAGAAATAAGGGCAGGCAAGGAAGAAGTGTTGGTTTATATTCAGGCCTAGTTCATGTGTGTCCCAAGCCATCGACATCTCTGTATGCTTGTTAAACCCTTGGAAAGATGTAACATGATCCTCTGCATACAAGCGTGGCTTCCAGCAGTGACTTGTATGACTGCGATAGCATCCCCACCCCCACCTGCTGTGATTTACGGAATCATTGTGGCTGTTCCTGGTCAGCCTTGGGGATATTGCATTGCCTTCCATACCATTTCAACAACTGGCGTGAGTAGCACTCTGACGGTGACCCCATCACCAAGATGGGGATGGAGCTGGGTAGGGTGATGTGGTGAGAGAACTGGGCATCAGGGTGATGGTTGCCCTGTATCAGTAGGAACCAAGGGCTGCCACTGTAGAGATGATGGGAGTTGGAGTCATAGGTGCCGGGGCTCTGGATGCCCGAGCACCCACAAAATTCCTCATGAAGGGACCAGGCACCCACAAATTTCAGCGTTGAGGCTACGCACGTTGCAAAGGTAAAAAAAAAGGTAAAGGACCCCTGGACGGTTAAGTCCAGTCAAAGGCGACTGGGGTTGCGGCTCTCATCTCGCTTTCAGGCCAAGGGAGCTGGTGTTTGTCCACAGACAGCTTTCTGGGTCATGTGGCCAGCATGACTAAACCACTTCTGGCTCAACAGGACACCATGACAGAAACCACAGCTCATGGGAACACTCTTTACCTTCCTGCTACAGTGGTACCTATTTATCTACTTGCACTGGTGTGCTTTGTAACTGCTGGGTTGGTAAAAGCTGGGAACGCGAGCTCACCCAGTTACGCAGATTTGAACTGCTGACCTTCTGATCAGCAAGCCCAAGAGGCTCAGTGGTTTAGACCACAGTGCCACCTGTGTCCCTTTGCACGCTGCATGGCACCCAAGGCCCCAGGTACCCACGGCCGCGGGGCCAAGCCTGAAACACCTGGTTGCTCAACAACATCCAGAAGACCAAAGACATTTGTTTCAGGAATGCCTGAAGAATCGGGCTGCAATCCTATACCTACTTAACTGGGAGTAAGCTGTAATGAACTCTGGGAGATTTGTTTCTTAATAGAAATGGAAAGAGTTGTACTCCTTATCAGTTTGAATCAGATGGTTATATTTTCCCTTAGCAATAACCATTGTAACTTCAGTACAAAAAATACCATGCATTTTTTTTCAGATTTCCAAATTCTGGTGGCAATAATAATAATAATAGGTAATTATTGTACAAAAGCATTCAGTCTAATATAGGCACCCTAAACTTTAAGAGTTTGAGGACAGTTTTACACAAGCTGGCAAACAAGCCATAGCATATTTTTATTAAAATGTTTAGAAACAATTGAATACAATTCTCAATAATAAAATAAGAGTTTTCCCCCCACCCTCTTTTTTTAAAGGGATGATTTTTTTCTGGATAGTGCAGTATTCTGTCTTTTCCTGATTTAAAAGCAATTTTGAAACCACAAGGTGGCACCCTAGAACTTTCGGATAATATTTATAGAGTGGCATTTGTACAACCTTGGTTACAAGAAGATTTGCACAGCTGTATAATTTACAGTATAAGTCTGCAGTCAAAGTAGTGGCTAGTTTCATTTATTTAATACATTCATACTCTAACTTCATTTAGGCCTAGTGTCTTTGCAAGGCTGCCATCAATATTTGCAATCAAATTTGCTGCCAAGGAGTGTGGTGGAGTCTCCTTCTTTGGAGGTCTTTAAGCAGAGGCTTGACAACCATATGTCAGGAGTGCTCTGATGGTGTTTCCTGCTTGGCAGGGGGTTGGACTCGATGGCCCTTGTGGTCTCTTCCAACTCTATGATTCTATGATTCTATGATTCTAATAGATAAGACTGATATGAACAGAAAATACGAATTAAAATAAAGTATTTTGTGTATGTAATAATAAAAATAAAATTCATTATTTATATACCACCCATCTGACTGGTTTGCCCCACCCACTCTGGGCGGCTTCCAGCAAATTGAAACATGTATAATAGAGTTTGGCAAATCTGTCAGTTTTGGTTTCTGTCATTTTTCCAGTCTTCAGGCCAGTTCTCCACATTTCTGCTTCAGTTGGTGAATTTAAAGATAAAATAAGAAGTCCTAATGAAAATTCATCCATGTCTTTCTACACATTTCTCCTAATAAATACATTTTTTCAAAACATTTTCTCTTAATACAGCCACATTTTAATATATATTTTTTCCCTAATATATGAATTTATATCTGCACTTTACCCTAGTATATGCATTTTTGCACACATGACTTGACTGGAGAACTGCTCTGCATAATTCAGAGACGTGCAAATTTGAAGGATGGCTGTGTTTCGATTCGGGTATTGTTTTGGAATGAATTAGTTTTGCCTCGAAATGCAAACTCAAGTCGGATTTCTCCTGCTATCCCTAGTCGTATAATGATAAAGAGAATGCTCTTCCTTAATTGCCATTTGTTTGCCTTGCTAGCAAATGTTGCATCATTTCAGGGGAAAGAGTTTCAGACCTAGGAACATGTGCAAAAAGAAAGAGGGTTCTATTAACAACAGCATATCTTGGAGAAACTTCGTGGGCCCCCAAACCTTTGGAGTTGCATACATGCTTATTTTTAAAATATTTGCCAGAGCAACCCCCCCCCCCGCACCTCACTGCATGCTGTGCTCTTTTACCATTAACTGGAAGTGTGAGAAAAAAGTCTACAGTAGTCTGTTCTGAACCTGCTAGTATTTGGTCTAGTCTACTGCTTGGGCCTGCCAACCTAGCAGTTTGAAAGCACGTCAAAGTGCAAGTAGATAAATAGGTACCGCTCTGGCGGGAAGGTAAACGGCATTTCCGTGCGCTGCTCTGGTTCGCCAGAAGCGGCTTAGTCATGCTGGCCACATGTCCCAGAAGCTGTACGCCAGCTCCCTCGGCCAATAAAGCGAGATGAGCGCCGCAACCCCAGAGTCAGTCATGACTGGACCTAGTGGTCAGGGGTCCCTTTACCTTTACCTTACTGCTTGGGCCAGTGAGGGAGGATTATTTTGGCAGTGTCTCTGGGTACTGTGAAGGTGCCAAGTGCGTTGTTATAGCACACTTTAGCTTGAGAAATCCTCCTTTGCAAATCATACAGAACATTTCATTGCCTCTCTTCTCTGCCCGCTCCCCTGGTTGCACACAATTTTTTCTTTTCACCTGCAGGTGGCAGTATCTGTTCCATCATACCTTGCTTTTCTTGTTTTAAAATGAAACATTGGGTTTAGAGAACCAATTTTGTTCATATTTTTAACCACACCAAACCAAATCTTGCTAGCCTCCGAGTTAGATGATAGCCCCAGCTTTAACAAAGGGAGAAGACATCTTAGGTATTGTACAAATACTATGTGCAATATGGGATATTTTTTAAAAACCAAGCCGAATATGCAAAGCTTACTCAATTAACTGTGGGGGTGCAATTATTATGCAAGACTATATGCCTTGTGCCAGAGATATTTTGCAAAGGGTGATGAGTCGGTGTTGTTATTCTACATCATTATTCAGTGCTGAAAATTTAAATAAGTAATCCCTGATAATGGAAACTAGGGAGATCTTACAGTTTTATTACTTTACTATATTGAGTTGTTGTGGTCCCCCCCCCCCCTGCTCTGCATTGCCTTGAATTCTTGAAAAAAACAAAACCAGAAAGGTAGATGAAGAAGCATGGAAAGAAAGGAAGAGGAAGATAGTTCATTTGATATCCTGCTCTCCGAAAGCAAGATGTGGGGCAGGGAGAAATAGGGCACAGGTTACAATGAACCAGGGTTGGTGCTTGTTTTGGGGAAGAGGGTGTGGAATGTTAAGTGGGAGGGAGGTTCTGAAAGGACCATTGAACAACATTTGGGGTAATGGGGAGAAATTGGTCTATTGAAAGAGGAGGAGGAAGGACAACATGAGCGTCCAGGGTCTGGAGTGTGGTTCATTTGATGAACCACAACCCCCGGTTCCCCTTTTTAAATTAAGATTACATTTCTAGAATTTGTGGAACCTGAGATGCGAGGCAAAATGTAAGTACATAGGAATAACCTCCTGGACCAGGTTAATGGCCCCACCTGTTCTCACAGTGGACAACCAGATGCCCATGGGAAGTCTTCAAGTAGGATATGAGCTCAACAGCAGTCTGCCCAGCTGTGATTCAGAGCTGGTATTCAGAGGCAAAAGGTAAAGGACCCCTGGACAGTTAAGTCAAAGATAACTTTGGGGTGTGGTGCTCATCTTGCTTTCAGGCCGAGGGAGCCGACGTTTGTCCACAGACAGTTTTCGGGGTCATGTGGCCAGCATGACTAAACCGCTTCTGGCGCAACAGAACACCGTGATGGAAACCAGAGCATACGGAAACACCATTTACCTTCCCGCCACAGTGGTACCTATTTATCTACTGGCACTGGTGTGCTTTCGAACTGCTAGATTGCCAGGAGGTGGGACAGAGCAACGGGAGCTCACTTCGTCGCCGGGATTCAAACTGCCAACTTTCTGATTGGCAAGCCCAAGAGGCTCAGTGATTTAGACCACAGCGCCACCCTCATCTCTTTTTATTCAGAGGCATACTGTCTCCAACAGTGGAGGTAGGCCATAACATTCATCACCAGTAGCTGTTGATAGCCTTGTCCTCTGTGAATTTGTCCAATCCTCTTCAAGTTGGTGCCATTCTCCTCCTTTGTTTTGAGAGAAACTTGCCTGCTCTTACCTTTATAACAACAATAATAATTTTATTATTTATACCCCACCCATCTGGCTGGATTTCCCCAGTCACTCTGGGTGGCTTACAGCACATATAAAAACATAGTAAAACATCCAACATTAAAAAGCTTTTCAATACCTTTCAGTTATGTATTCTCATTTATTTGAAGCCCCTTTACTTACCCCTGGAAAAATTACCGTAGACTCCCATGGCAGAGGGTGCACAGCAGATAACATGGAAAGAAGTAGGTTTAGGAGATTACTAGTTCCGGGTTTTGTTTTCCTTCAGCCTCAACTAAAGACTTCGGGGTTCATCCTGGGCGATTGTCAGCAAAGCTCATCCCTTTGTACCTCACCCTAATGAAATACCTTCCCCTACACTCAGTGTTGTTGTTTGCCTAGCTCGTCCTGTGAAAAGTTCCTGTTAGTTTAAATGTTAGGGTTTTTTACCTTATGCAGCAAATTAACCTTGGAGCTTTTTGAGAGAAAACGGCAGTTCTGTCCTTACAGTTATAATAATGTGGAAGGGCAGGACATTTTCAAGAACCGGCATTTAACACCTTTTTCTGTTCAAATGGCCTTGGCTGTTCGAAAGAAGCAAAAAGCTTTCCACATACAATGACAGCATTAGTACGAGAGAGACAAAAAAAAGAGAGGCTTTCTGCATCTTTCAAGAGTGCACTTTTGCCATTCTGCTTTACCTCCTTAAGCAACTTCAGTTTTTATGGTTCTGGTGGTTTTTCTTCTCTTGGGGAGGCGGGGGAGGGGAGAAGCTGGGTAAGAAGCTGCACACACGCTATGCATTTAAGGCACATTTAAAGAACTTTCCCCAGAAGAAACTCATTTGTTAAGAGTGCTAGAGTAAGCCACAGTTCCCAGGATTCTTTGGGAGAAGTGGCAGCCATGTTATTTCTGAAATGGAAGTACTAGTCCTTTGAGTACCAATGAAGTTTTTCTCCTTTCCATCGAAAGGCTCAAAGAATCCGTGTTTGCATGCATTTGGCAATGTAAAGATGTATTGAAGTGGTAGTATTTGCATTTTTTATTTTGCATGTGTGCATGCCCTCCAACACTTCTCCAGTGAAAATAGGGACTTCCCCTTCCATAATGATAATTTTACTATTTATACCCCACACATCTTACTGAGTTGCCCCAGCCACTGTGGATAGCTTCCAACATATATAAAAAGATAATAAAACATTAAACGTTAAAAAAAACAACCCTTCCCTATACAGGATTGCCTTCAGTCTGCTCAGGGGTCAGATAACTCCATACCCTCCAGCATTTCTCCAATGAAAACAGGGACATCCTAAGGAAAAGGGGGACATTCTGGGATCAAATCAGAAACCAGGGTGGCTTCTCTAAATCAGGGATGTCCCTGGAAAATAGGGACACTTGGAGAGTCTCTCTGTGTTGTTGTTGTTGTTTTAAAATGTGAAATCACATGTACAAACAAACAAACAAACAAAAAGGAAACGTAATCAAAGCTACAAAATGCAAGAGCACTGCAAGGGTTGCATTTCCTGAATAAACAGAGTTGATAAGGTAGAAAAATAAAAGCTGCTAAGCACACCATGAATGCCAAATTTTGCAATTTCGTATTTGTTTATCTGCATTTGACATGTCAGAAATGAAACCCCACCAAATGGCATATAAATGTTCTGTGTCTTCCTTACCCTTAGAAGAGCGTAATTGATATTTATTTATTTAACCAATTTATGTATGCTTAGCTAGACTCGAAGCGGTTTGAAAGATACAATACAAAAACGTCAATCAAAATGCCTGTGGGGTTTTTTTGTTTTTTTTGGGGGGGTAAAGTTCCTCAGTAGATGCCAGAAGTTCAGTAGGGAGAGGACCTATCTGGCCTCAACTGAAAGGTGCTGCGTTGGCAGAGCAAGGTGCGACAAGACTCAAAGCTTTTGAGCATGATTTGTCTATTTAATTCCTGACAATTCGGCTCCTGACTCCTTCAGCCCTCTCCTCTCCTGGACACAGCCCCTCCGATGCCTTGTCACTTAGCTTCCCGCTGCCTTCTCCATTTTGCAGGTGCCCAGGGATGTGAATTGACACAGCTGGAGCTGAGGTTACCTGTCAGTAGTTAACAGATGGTGCTGTCTCTGTAGATGATAGTGGAAGAAGGAATGTCAGCAGGGTGTGAAACTTTTTCAATTCGCCCCCCTCCCGCAGGTCTTCGCAAAACATCAAAAACACATGCACAATGAAATCATGATGTTACCCATGTTAACAGAAGGGTGAGAGAACGGTGAGTGAGGAGTGTGTTTGGTGAGCATTGAAGCGCATGTCAACATCTCAGAGGAAAGCTGACTGAGTCATTCATTGCCCGGAGTCTAAAAATCAATGTGGAATGGAAAGATCTTCAAAAGATACTGGGGAAAGTACTGTTGAGGGAGGGTGGGAGTGGGTGGGGGGTGGATGGCTTAAATGATGTCATGTTCCAATTTCTAAGTAATATAAAATCATAGAAATGTAGAGTTGGAAGGGACCACAAGTGTCTTTTTGCTCAATGTGGGGCTAGAACCCACAACCATGAGATTAAGAGTCTCATGCTCTACCAACTGAGCCATCCCGAAGACACAAACTTGTTTTGCATGAATAAATGAAACATAGGAAGCTGTTTTTTACTGAGTCAGACCATTGATCTAGTTTGATAATGTTGACCCTGACCGACAGTGGGCTCCTCTATCCTTTCACTTGACACATTTTTGGGATAGTATTCCTCTGGGTTGGAGAGCCTATCTTGTTGTTCTGTGCCTTGCAAAAATCCAATTTTAACTGCTGTATTGGATCTTATCAGACGCACGTCTGATAACTGGGTTAACTGAGTTTCATTTCCGCAGGTAAGTCTGAATTTATGCAAGCAGTAGCCATGTAGCAAGAGAAAAGCTCTCAGACCTGGGGGAATTAATCAGGATGCCATAAAATCAAAATACAAGTCAAACAAATGTGTGGATGAGCCCAGTGTCCCACCACTGTTTTAGGCACGAGTCTCTCCCCGCCCTACCTGGAGATGCTAGGGATTGAACCCAGGGCTGTCTGCATGCAAAGCAGATGCTGTTATGTATAATTCTTTCACTGCACACTGAAATGGAGAATGCCTGTATGTATATTGCTGTATGTATATTGCTGTATATATATATCACCTCCTGGCAAATAGAAGGGGAAGAAGTGGAGGCAGTGAGAGATTTTACTTTCTTGGGCTCCATGATCACTGCAGATGGTGACAGCAGCCACAAAATTAAAAGACGCCTGCTTTTGGGGAGAAAAGCAATGACAAACCTAGACAGCATCTTAAAAAGCAGAGACATCACCTTGCCAACAAAGGTCCGTATAGTAAAAGCTATGGTTTTTCCAGTAGTGATGTATGGAAGTGAGAGCTGGACCATAAAGGAGGCTGATCGTCGAAGAATTGATGCTTTTGAATTATGGTGCTGGAGGAGACTCTTGAGAGTCCCATGGACTGCAAGAAGATCAAACATATCCATTCTTAAGGAAATCAGCCCTGAGTGCTCACTGGAAGGACAGATCGTGAAGCTGAGGCTCCAATACTTTGGCCACCTCATGAGAAGAGAAGACTCCCTGGAAAAGACCCTGATGTTGGGAAAGATGGAGGGCAGAAGGATGGAGGGCACAAGGGGACGACAGAGGACGAGATGGTTGGATAGTGTTCTTGAAGCTACCAGCATGAGTTTGACCAAACTGCGGGAGGCAGTGGAAAACAGAGTGCCTGACGTGCTCTGGTCCATGGGGTCACAAAGAGTCGGACACGACTAAACGACTAAACAACAACAACATATTGCTAAAGTGTTTAACACTGGAAAATTCCATTGACGCATACTGAAGCTCTCTGAGCTCTTTACAGGTTGATTATAGAATCACAGAATTGTAGAGTTGGAAGGGACCGCAAGGATCATCTAGTACAACCCCCATAATATGCATGAATCTTTAGCTCAACATGGGGCTCGAACCCACAACCCTGAGATTAAAAGTCTCACTGAGCTATCTCCATGTTATTAATTAACAGTGTGATAATTAGCTGTTGATGTTCTCCGCTAGCTCTCACATGGTGTTTATCTTTAGATCATGTGAAGGTTATTCAGTTACAAATCTTCATCTTGAATGTAGCTGCCTGTTAGTCTATCTCTGGAAGTCACAGAGAACAAAGAATGTGATAATTATACCTCTTCAGGAGCACATAGCCTTAAGCTGGAATGCAAGCTATGGGAGAGACAGAGCTTTGATTTTTGCTCTGGTTATACTTATGTTAGGTATTTCAAAAGAAAAATCTATGCTTGTACAAGCATATGCTTTATATAACTTTCTGGGTGTATCATTGATTGTTTTGTACCTGTTTTGAATAAGTTCTGGTTAGTAAAGCTTTGAGTAATATTCTGGACAATGTTTTATTCCAAGAGGAGTCAGTTTTTATATATCCAACTGCTTCAAGCTGTGCAATATTAATATCTGCAATAGATGCTCTACTATTGAGCTGTGGTCCTTCCCTTTGAGCCGTAGCAACTACCCAGATGCAGTGAAATAATGGTGTAGTATGGTTTTGGATTCTTTGCAAACTAATTCCCAGATCTCCATATTCAAAATGTATAAGAGAACAGTAGCAACCTGTGTCAATCACATCATATCCTATCAGCAAAGAATGTGGCTGTCCTTGTGACACATGGAGAAACAGCTGGGTAGCAATAGTTGAGTTTTGCATGCATATAAGTGTGTGTGTGTGAGAGAGAGAGAGAGAGAGAGAGAGAGAGAGAGAAAGAGAGAGAGAGAGAGAGAGAGAGAGAGAGAGAGAGAGAGAGAAATGGGGAACAGACAAAAGGCAATAAATGGCTCAAATTGAATCCTGTCTCATGCAACTGAGTTATTGGAAAGGCAAGAATGAAACTCTTACCCACTTAGAAAGGCCTGCTGAGAAATGACCTTTAATTAAAAGTCCTCCATTAAACTGGGGCCTTATGAAATCCTTTATACCTCAGAACAAAACAATCATGGAGAAGCAGCGGACATAGAACAATCTAAGCTGGCAATGCAATGTGGAAGAAATGCCAGGGCAAGTCACACGGGTGAGAAACAAAGAGCATAATTGATCAGGAACGTCTACAGTACAGTTGGGGAGCTCTTTCCATGTGCATGTTGCATGACAGCCTAAGGGCCCCTCCAGGTTTGTATTCTGCAACATGTCTCTGCTGAAATAATTGTGCATGTAGCAGTCGGTTTATTACACTAACCATTCACACACAAACCATTCTGCTTTATTAGCTGTTCTGTGATGGCTCCCCAGTGTCACTGCATAATTGCCAACTGGAGGGATGCTCTTGTGTTAACAAAACTGGGACAAAAAACCAAAACAACCCTGAACACTGGTGATAGAAAAAGTTGGTTGCTTTTTACAGGTTGGCTCTGAGCAGCCAGTCACAGGAGTTACACTTAGCCTGGGGGTTAGAGGTGATCTAGGTGTTAATGGCAGGAAGATGAGGCCTGTCAAAGTAATAAAATACTACAGGAATTGTTCTGCTTCCCTGCTAGACAACAATCTTCCCTCAGGTTGGAAAAAAAAATTGAAATAAAAAATTGTCCAGTTAGCACATTATAGACCAACTAAGTTTGTTCTGGTATAAGCTTTTGTGTGCGTGCAGATACACTTCCCTTAGGTTGTGTATTGAAGGGGAGACTTGATCTTGCCACTTAAATACGATGAAGGATTTAGGAAACTAGGGGATCTTGAAGGGACAGGCTAGGCAGGCTAGGAACCAAGGCTTTTTTCAGCCCTGACCACTGGTCAACCAAGTTCCGGCGCCTCTCAAGTGGGCGCCATTGCCATTCTAAGAGAACAAAGGAGGCATTCATGTTGAGTTCCAATACCCCTTTTTCTAGAAAAAAATAGTACTGGCAGAAACACACCACAGGATGCATACAGGTGAATATTTACTGGGGAAATATAATCAGTAGGACAAAAGACTGCAAGATGTACAATTTGTGATAGCTGTTTGTAAAGCTGGAATGCACTCTTATCTCTACATTCTTACCCAAACTACAGTCAACCTTTGCTCCTGAATGTTCCATTAAAAATCCATCATGACAAGACGTTTTGCTTGTAAATTTGTAGCATCCTTGAATCTATATTGAGGTACACAAAACAAACAAGTATTCATAATAGTCCAAAGCTATGTGTGCACTTAGTGAATAAATCTCTGTACCCATGAAGGACACGAGCTAAAATGTCTTTTAAACATCCACAATTTTTTTCCCGTAGTCGTTGAAATGTTTCCACTTCACTGGTTTGAGAGGATAGGTAATTGCTTCAGCTCTCATGTAGCTCTCTGGAAGTTCCAACCCCCACCCCCCGCTTTGTGCAAAAATAACCTATATTATTAAAAGCAAAACTTTTCACAGCTGAATGTTGGAGGTAATCCAGGTTAGGTAATGTGGATCTATGTTCCACCAGTGCTTATGTGCTCTCCACAGAAAGCAACAAGTTTGTTTGTTAAACTCTTGTCAAAATACCTCCCTCCCACCCTCTTTTAGAACACTTACCGGTAAGTGAGGACTTGGCAGCAATTGGTGACGTTCCTCCCCAGGCATCTATGCAGCAACCCACCCCCTTCTCAACCTGTTCAGTGATTTCACCAGTTCTACAGGTATGCTGATCAACTAGCAAGTAACAGGGCTGATGAACAGGAGAAGCTACAGCTGCCCTCATCTCTCATTGTTTTAAAGGAAAATCAGTGCAAAGGGCCCCTCCAGGACAGGTGTTGGGTTCAGAGTTTTTTGCTGGTGTTTTGTGCAACATATCATTGCTGCCATTCTAGTTCATGAGTTGTGGATTTATAGTGGATATTGCTCTGCTTTAGTAATTTTGCAATGCTTCCCCAGTTTTACTGCATTATTGCAATCTGGAAGGGCTTTCTTGGGCTATAGTGGAATGAAAGCAGAATAATGACCAGGAGTGCCAAACTGAATAAAATACTTTTTTTGGGGGGGGGGGGAGGCAGGTAAACTCTGTTTCACAGAATCAATCACAAGACGTGACACATGCATACCATTTGAATGGCAATGCCTGTCAACTCGGGGGAGGGGCTCAAATATTTTATTGGGGCTGACGAGACCTGTGCCCCTAGGAGTTGCTTTGTATGGTGATGATCCTCTCCCTCAGGAATATTTGCAGTATGAAAGGTTACAGGATTCCAGCAGGGAACTATGGGACACACACATATCTATGGCAAACGAACAATATAACTGCCCCAAAATGCTTACAGGTGTGAGTGGTATTGGAAATACAAATGCGTAGAACCACCCCAATAACATCACAATGAATGTTTAATAAAAAGGACATCTAGCAACTCTTATTCACCGGAGGGAAGAGCTCATGGCTCTGCCCTCTTGAGCTATCTGGTTCCAGCCCTATTATTAACATATTAACAGCAATCTCTGCCCATTGACTTGCTGGGGGCAACCTCTACCAGTGTCCTAATGTCAGGCTTCAGGGTATTGGCTTCCTCCCCCCATGGCAGTAAATAAGCCGGGCTTCCTCAACCTCAGCCCTCCAGATGTTTTTGGCCTACAACTCCCATGATCCCTAGCTAGCAAGACCAGTGGTCAGGGATGATGGGAACTGTGGTCTCAAAACATCTGGAGGGCTGAGGTTGAGGAAGCCTGAAATAAGCAGATCAAATGAAAGGAAAGTCGAGAGACAAAAGAAAGTGTCTCCCTAGAATGGCGGTGCTCCCAATTAAGGCTTACCCACCTCCATCCCTATGTCACTCGTACATCTTGTAATCTAAGTTTGTACCCTCTGTGCTTTCTGTTCTAACACTCTCTGGGCTCTCCAGAGAGTGGGGCGGGAATGCTGTCCAGAGACTGTGAATCTGTTAACCCTCTCTCTTCCAGTGCTTCTTCTCCTAGCTGCTCCCACCATTCCTTCTCAGTTCAACCCTCCTCAGCACGGTCCCCAACACCTAACACACACTTCTCTCATATTTGATAGGCACCAGCTGTGTATTCTCAGGCCCCCTTTTGGACCCATTGATTGTTATGGAGATTATGAGCTATGCACACTGACTCGGGAGTAACTCTCATTGAAAACGATGGGATCGACTTTTGAGTATACCTGTGTAGGATAGTGCTATTAGCTACTTAGATCAGGGATGTGGAACCTGTGGCCCTCCAGATATTTTTGGACTCCAACTCCTGTGCCAGCAAGCAAAGTCAATGGTCAGGGATCATGGGAAATGGAGTCCAATAACCTCTGTAGGGTCATAGGTTCCCCCACCCCAGACTTGGATTAGAGTCAAGAGAAGGTAGAAAACACAACTAATACCTAATTTGTCCATCTCCATCCTGCCTGCACGCCCACTCTGCTTTGTGTGTGTGTGTGTGTGTTTACATCCAGTGCCTTTCTGTTTGAAATAATTACATCATTCCCTGCAAGTTGCAAAATCTCCAGAGTAGATTTTTCTTTTATTTAAAGTGTTAACTGCTGTAAAATGCCAGATAATGAAACAAAGACTTCTAGATTCACATTTAAAGCTCTCTCTTTTTAAAATATATGTGTGTGCATGAAACAAACAAACAAACAAACAAAAAAACCATGCTGCAATGATACAAATATATTTTAGCTACAGAAATTACAGTACATTTTTTCCCCTTTTGGCTATGAACACAAATTGAGGCACTAGACACCAGAGCAAATTGGCGTTGGTAGTGAAGCTGATACAATTGCTATAAATTAACAAAGGTTTATTATTATTATTATTATTTCTTTACCACTTTTTTAAAACATTTGGTGAACATCTCTTTCACAGAACATATCAAATAATGTGCTTTGTTGTGAAACACCAGGGATTTCTTTATTCCGTACGGAGTTGCCATAGTAGAATCCATCTTTCACATACCACTTTACTGTATGTATCAATGCCACAATAGGAAGGGGTGGGGGAAAATAATTGTGTTTTGTTTTTTTAATTAAATTTACAACGTTAAAAAAAGAAAGACCAGTCTTAAATAAATAATTCCTTGCAATGGCTCTTCTATATTACACTAACTTGGCCATTTAAACAAACAAATCTCAACATATAACGGACAGGGAAGTCTCATTTACGTCTCCTTTCGTACATCTGCGCTGCATTCCATTCAGAAGATCCTGGGAGGGAAACAAAACAACAACAAAGCATGACATGTTAATTTGAATGCCGTTCAGCTATCGGACATTGTATGAATCATGGTAAATCGGTCTAGAAGCATAAGCTTATTCCACTATAGCCTGCATAGGACTTCCAGGCCCAGTTCGGGTACCACATGTTAAGGAAGCCATTGACATTGAAGAAGGATGGAGAAGGACTGTGGGTCCATAGCAGAACATCTGATTTGCATGCAGAAGGTCCCCGGTTCAGTCCCTAGCATCTTCTAGGTAGGACTGGCAAAACCACTGCTGCTCAGTGTGAACATTACTGACTGTGATTCTGTATGAGGCTGCTTCCTATGTCAAACTGGAGTATATCCAGAGGAGGGTGACCAGGACAGTCTTATGAGAGATGGTTGAAAGAGCTGCATATGTTTACCCTGGAGAAGAGAACAAAGGAACATAAGAAGAACCTGTTTGGCAAGAGAAAGGGTGGGCTCTCCTTTGATGGAGGTATTGAAGCAGAGGCTAGGCAGTCATTGGTCAGGAGCGCTGTAGTTGCAAGATCCTGCCTTGTCAATTCCGAGTATGGAGTTAAGTCTTTGGGACCTTCTACCTCTGTGGTTCTTTGAGTGTATGGAACTTTGGGGAGGCCAACTCCTGTTGAAATCAGGGTTGTCTTGGTAGCTTAGCACCCAGAGAGGCAAGTGCTGGGTGGGACCCATCCTTTTAGACAGTGCCCAAAGGTACCAAAAAGTAAATCAGAGAAAATGGTGGCATCCTAAGGTTTTGCATTACCTTTCTGCCTCTCCTTTCGTCCCTTCCCTCCACAGTAGTGCTGATAGCATTTGCTACAATAACTTTTGGACTGGCACAGATCTTTAAGGATGAGGGCTGCTCATGTTAAGCTGCTAAATAAGACGCCCAGTTGGTAGCCTCGTCTCATGTACCTGTTGCTGGGCTAAGCCACTTCAGATTACAGATGTGGGAGGATCAAATGAACGTTCCCACAAGTTAAATGTTCCTGCGCATTCCCTAGCTTGTCAGGACAGAAAGCAGGAGTCTCTCACATGTTTATTTTCTGTGCAGATTCTTGTTAACTTTTAACATGGTAGAGCATCCGAATTTATGACATCCTCCCTGGCCCCAAATCTCACTGGCAGTTGATCAAGACCAGGAAAAAGCTGTGCACATGGCTGTTGTGATCAGGTGCTTTGCAGCCAAGAGTGTCCTTCCTTCCAGTATAGTTTTGGTTTCAATGTGTGAAATGTACTGTGCTTTGCATTCCCCGCCTGTTTGATCTCTCCTCTGTAGGTCTCAAGTTGCGTTTGTGCATCCCAATTGAAGTGTGTGCCTTTGCCAGTGCATTAATTTCCCTATAAATCAATCATGGCTACTATACCAATTGTGGCCCCCAGATGCTGTCGGCCTCCAACTCCCATGATCCTTGACTATTGGCCATGCTGACTGAGGCTGATGGGAGTTGGAATCCAACAGCATCTCGAGGGTCCTACAGGGTCCTCACCCCTGGTCTTCTGCTCCGAGTGGTTTTAGAACACAAGCTGGCAAAGAAGAGGGGCTCAGAATGGTGAGGAAATAAAGTGGAAGTCCTTCAAAGAACTGTTGGTGCAGGATGTTGAGGAGGAAAGATAAGAGAGACAAGCGAAAGCAGCAAAAAGAAAGCAGTTAACCAGGGATGGGCAAATCTCTCAATTCCAATTTCTCATCCCCCCCCATCTTCACTTCAGATTTCAATATCTGTTTGTGATTTTTAAAATAGTCCTCATAAAAATGTGAATTTCTCCTAATATATGCCCTTTTGTGAATTAGGTAGGTTTGTCTTTAAATGCAAATAGAATCAAATTTATTCCCCATCCTTAGACACATTATAACTAACATCACTGACTCAGTTATTCAAGAAGTGCCCCGTGGCACAGTAGCCAGCATTGGTTTGGGGCTGGGATGAAGTGGGGTGTTTAATTGTTCATCTGTGGCTACAGTTGCTCATTTACTGGTTAACTTAGATGTCAAAAGAGATGCCACTCATTTCTGATAGCAAAAAATTCTGAAGCATTGCAATGCCCTACGATCAAGGCCAGCCCAAGGTATTTTGGCACCTGAGGTGAACCACAAAATGGCACCTCTGCTGCCAATTGAGATGAGAGGGAGGAGTGAAAACCAGCATTGGAATGAAAGGGGAACGTGGAGAGAAGCATTGGGATGAGAGGAGGAGGCGGTGGTGGTGGTGGTGGAGAAGAAGGCAGCAGAGGTGGCAGCAGGTGGATCTGCCGCTCCACCCAGGTCTGCTGCCCGAGGCAGCTGCCTCACCCTGCTTCATAGGCGAGGTGGCCCTGCCTATGGTATTGGAAGAGCAGCTAAGACCCCTTCACGCCGGCTTTTCATATCATCAGCTGCTGTGAAAATTCACATCATCCAATAAGGAGAATGAGAAAAAAACACAGCATGCAACAGGCTAAATGTGGAAGGTAACTGCTCTGCTCTCTCTGCCCCTTCTAATTGCATTTCACTATTATGGGGTAGATTTTTAGAATGTCAGTCGAACCAAGGAAGCAGAGAAAGGTCCACACTGGCACACCTTTCCTTAAACATGAATTTTCCTGCCTTCAGCATTTGCTGCAACATAAGAACCAGGGCTCCACCAGGGCCTGTACAGTCAAGATTTAGTTTAATCGCCCATTTGCTCTTACAGTTGGAGATAAAGTGGTTTTTCAAGTGGGGCTTTTCTAATCCACACTTGTGACGGATTAGAAATACAGAACTGGAAGTAGTTGTAGCAAAAGATGCCTCTAGTTTAAACTTGCTCTTCATTATGTTAAGAGGTTGGAATTAGAAGGGGCATAGCAAACGAAGTGCTTTGTATACTTTATATGACCGCTCTGATTCGCGGAACTGGCACTGCTACTGGTGCTGCAGAAGACTCATTCCGCGTTTGTAAGAAATTGGTCTTTCAGTGTGGCAGGTTGAGTCTTCATTTGCCTGTGACATCAGCTGACCATCTCCATGCAGTTGGGTCAGCTGGCAACATTCAGGGCAGGCCTGAAGCCTGGAGTTTGTCTCTGACTCACAAAGCCTAGGCAGTCTGGAGGGCTGAAAGACTTGGGAGAACTGGTGGCATATGAGGCAGTGTGACAGAGGCCGGCTACATTCCCCTGGTGCCTCAGAGGGGCTAGACCGAGGAGACGAGAGAGGCTGAAAAATTATCTTAGCTACCTGTAAAAAGGGAAGGGCACCACATATTAGTAGCAAAAATCACTTCCAGAACTTTGACCACCCCAAAGACTTGTGAACAACCCCTTCCTGTACAAGAAATGTTCCTAACTCGGTATCATCCTGGCTGCTTGATGGATTCTACCAGTCATCTACTCTAAAAAGAAGTCCTGAAATCCTAAATGCTTAAGGAAGCAGCAGAATGTCACAAGGTTTGCTGAACAATAGGCCAAGACCTCAGTCCAGATTAATGCCTGCTCAGAGGTTCATGGGATCATAGTTCACTGATAGAGTAGTTGACTTGCATACCTTCAAAAGTTGCCAGATTCAATCCTGTGTATCTCCATTTATAAAGGATTACATAGTAGACAATAGGAATGACCTCTGTCTGAGAACCTGGATACTTACAGTCAGGGAAGACATTGCTGCATGAAATGGACCCACACAGTAACTCAGTTTAAAGTAGCTCCACACAAGCATTCAGAGTTTCTATCTGCCCTTCCCCTTAGTTAGAACAGCATACCCTCCATTTTTTCTCTGATGAAAACAGGACAACCTATTCCATAATAGTAATTATACTATATATACCCTGTCTATCTGATTTGGTTGCCCTAACTACCGTAACTACTCTGAGTAGCTTCCAGCATATATATAAAACATAACAAAACATTAAACATTTGAAAAACTTCCCTATACAGGGCTGCCTTCAGGTGGCTCAGGGGTCAGATAACTCCCCTCCAACATTTCTTCCATGAAAATAGGGAGGCTAAGGAAAAGCGGGACATTCTGGGATCAAATTAGAAACTGGGATGGCTTCTCTAAATCAGGAACTGTCCCTGGAAAATAGGGACACTTGGACGGTCTGGAACAGGCCTAGTCCCCATAGACTTGGTTCAGTTCTCCTAGAGGCAGAGCCTTTCAATGAGAGCTTATTTAACAAAGGAAGATACACCCAAAGAAAATGATATTATGCGATTGCTAATGTTTGCACAGTGCTGTCATTCTGTATAACAGCAGACTCAGGTGGCTGAGTGTCGACAGGACTGGACGCTGGAGAAGCGAAAGCGAGGTATCAACATACTTGTGTGAACCCCAAGGAAGGCAGATGTACAAAACCTTTTTTAAAGAAAGAGCAAAACAAAATGAGGCTACCCTTTCCTCACAAAAAAACATAATAAGGATTGAGCATGCTCAGTAGCTTATACAAACCATATATTCCCAGTTGGGAAACTGGGAGGCAATGACTTGCTTGACTCCCTTACAGCTCAAAATATCTCAAAAGCTGTCCGTCTGCCTGGAACCCTGGTGCCATCTGTAATGTCTATACAATATCTTTCAGAAAGGAGACTTCTTAATTTCAGGTTACTGTTATATAATTTCCAGTAGGTGACTAATCCCAGAGGTCTGGTGTTGCACAGTGAATTGGGAGCTAGGTCACAATCTTGCTCGGACACTTTGAAGAAGCCCCACTGAATTTAAAAGGACCGCTCTAAAGTGAATAAATTACAGGGTATGTCAGTACTACTTTAGCATCAACATTTGATTGAACTAAAGTGTGGAAAATGTCTCTTTAAAAAGAAACCACTTCCCATTTTTTGTTTTGTTTTTCTGCAGCACACCAAAATGCAATAAGAGGGGTTTTTTTGTACATAAAACTCTGGTATATATCTCTAGCAATGAAAGACACTGTCCTCCTTTCATTTCTGCAATCAGATCTATATATTTCATTGTCTTCAGCCACTCAGGCTCTGTGGGTGACACCAGAGTAGAGGAGAAGAACAATGAATACTGAGATGATTGAAATCGGAACTTAATCTTCCAGGCTAGAATATTTCAGTTTCCAAGTGTGGTGATGAATATCTATTGTTCATGCTCACTTTAGGCAACTAGCTGTAAATTATTCTATACATTACAGCAATTCTGAAGTAATAAGATTTTTTTAAAAACATGGTTATTCGCACTTCTTGTATTTTCAGATCACAATAGGAACAGAATCTCAACTCGAGCTTGAATCTGTCAATTGGTATTTGCAAGTGCCTTAGTATCTAATGGCTACTCTACCCAGAGATAAACCCTACACTCAATTGCTCATGATTCATAGCAATTTGTAAAACTAAACAGAGTACCGACATAATATTGCAGTGATGAACGCTACTGGGTTGGAAATAAAGCAACCGACAATTGGAATTTCAGAAAAATAGTTTGCAACGCAAGCTTAAATAATTGCTAAACATGTTAGGCAGTTTGGTTTCCTACTCCACTTAAGAAAATAGCAGAGGGTGTTCCTTTAAAACCTTTCAATAGTCTATAGAACACATATAAACTAACCACAGTCTCTTTTTTCCTGTTATTCAGTAATTACATGTCTCGTGGACCCACTAGCAGACATCACATTTTCGGTGGGTAAATGAAGCCTTGATAAACTAGCAGCAACAGAATGACAGCTTAATGTGAAAATAGGTTTGACTGGAGAGGTATGGCATGGTGCCTTTCCCCTCCATGAAGCAGTTTTGCCACCCAAAAATATGCAACTGGTTGTTACTTCAGCCAAGAGCTGTTTGACTGAGGGAGGCACTGAAACTCAATGGCAGAGCTCAGGTTTGGCATGCACGAAGTCTCAGGTTCCAGGTGCAAGATGAGCCAATGGCGGGAGGCAACTTCCTATGTGAAGATGGATATATTATGAACATACTTATTATTATTACTATTTAAAATAGTAGGTTAGAGAGGTTGTGCTTGCAGGCTTCGCTGTAGTTTATACATACCAGAATCTAAAGATCTTTTGCCCATGAGTCCAACAAATGAATCTGTTTTATGTCCTGAAAAATATATTTGGGGGTGTTTAAGTACATTTGAAATACAGCTTTCTCTCTCTCTCTTGTGGCAATGCGTGTTCATGGTGAATACACAGTAGAAACAAACTGCAAATGATTAAATGTGGCACCTCACTAGGTCTTAGTTTAAGAAAAGACAAGAGTACCCCTCATCTATTACTTCTGTGTCCTACTCAAATAATTGCCAGTGTTTATTCATTCAATATGGGTTTGGATTAGCAGTTAAATAGTGGTCACTGAGCTACCAGCCTCGTTTGAAAGCTACAGTTGTTCTTGAGCTGTCTTTAATGATGGAACATGTGCTGGGAAGAATCATGGCTTAATTCTTTCTTTTAAAATACCTTGAGGTTTCTTGGGGCTTAGCTTCAGTTACAGTTCCTTGGTTTTTGTAGCCAAGAGTCCCAGTCCAATGAGCTCAAATAGGGGGTGATGACACATTTTAGAGTGCATTTACTAAGTTCTGTAAGAAAATGTTGCCTTGCAAAAATACTTTTTTAAGGACGAGGCTAACATCCTTTGGTGCATGTAGGGAAAGTGAATTTTAGAGAGTCACACTAACTGGTCGGAGAACTGAGTTTGACTTTGCACCAGGGCTTACTGCAAAGCTTACTGCAGGGCCTTGGGCAAATTGTGACCCCCAGTGTAGCTGTTCTTATTGAATTGTTGCAAGGATAAATAATAGAATCTGTCAAGTTGGAAGGGACCACAAGGGCCATCTAGTCCAACCTCCTGCAATGCAGTAATCTTTTTGCCCAACGTTGGGCTCGAACCCATGTCCCTAAGATCAAGAGTCTCATGTTCTACTGACTAAACTATCTTGAACTACAAGACACTTTTGCAAGAATATTGAGAGTCGTAGTTAAGTAATTTCTGGAGGGCGGCAGGTACATTACACTGGCTGTGCACTGAGAAGTGCTATAGAAAGGACCGGTTACTAGAAATGTGCAGTCAAGGTGCATCACAGACAACTTTCCCAGCCCAAAGTAGAAGATGCTGGCAGAATCTTTCACTCCCCCCTCCACACACTCTTCCTGATGTTACCTGTATCCTCTCCTGTCCCTTCTGCTTGCCAGCTATTGCTCTATCTGTTTCTTTCAACTTATCTGTTTTTCCTTTGTGTTTCTTTCATGCCACTGCCCCCTTCTTCCTTTCTAAGCTTTAGAAGAATGATGCTGGATTAGATCAAAGCTCTGGCATCTACTCACCAAAGTCTCTATTTCTTTTTCCTCCCAAAGGGAACATACATTGTAAAGGCTCACCTGGGCTCCACTGCTTACAGAAAGAAGAGAGCTGCAATAGGCTAACTTGACCAAAGACTTCCCCCTTCTTTAATTCCCCAAAACCGAGTGGCAGCTATAAATTCCCCCTTTGGAAAGAGTTTTGTCTAGTTAAAACTATTGATCAAGACAAAACAAATGGCAAAGCTTTCAGAAGCCAGACATCTGCGTATATAAAAGATTTGTCTCCCAAGCTGAGACAGCCTTGCTCAGCACACTATAATTTTGAAAGCAGCCACTAAGTACAGCTAGATGAGTTTTGGCTGGAAGAGTTTTAATTGTCATTCAAATGGGTAATCCTAGTGATTTAATATAGCCACCATCCCGGATGGCTAGGAGTCTTATTAATTTGTGGCAAAATACAACTCCCCTCCCCCCCCAAAAAAAACCCTCTTAGCATTGGTCTTATTGAAATCAAAGCATTTGGATTTGTATGGCTTTGGACAGTTTTGGGGAAAATATCTCTCTCTGTTGATATGCTTTTTCTCTAACAAAATGCAACCTGCAGTTTTTGTTGCCTAGGCTTATATATAATGTATCGCATGGAACAACCTAAATCAAATGACACGTTCAAGCTAGTGCTGGAATTAGATTTAGGCTGTAATACTATAAACCCTTACTTGGGAGTAAGTCCCATTGACCACAATCGGGGCTTACTTCTGAGTAGACATGTGCAAAGTTGTACTGTTTGACCCAAAATCACTATTGGTGCAGTTTGCATTAATGTGTTAACAATTGTAACAATCATTTACGGTTGCAAGATGTTCAGAGAACAAGACATCCCCACTCCAGAAGTAATAATGTACTATTTTGTGTACATGTCTGCAAACTCTAAAAAAACCCCGAGACCTTGGGCTATGAAGTTCGCATCACAATGCAATCCCATGCAAACCTACTCAGGAGCAGGGGCGTAGGAAGGGGGGGTGGGTTCCCCCAGGTTCCATCATGGAGGGGGGTGACAAACTAGCAAGGAACAATTACTGCCCTACTAGGGTGGTTCATGATATTATTATTTTTTTAAAAAAATGCCTGCTCCAAAAGTCTTATCTTACTACACTAGGGATTATATAGCTATATATGAAATTTCATGCATATCAGTTAATATATTGACCCTCCGCCACGAAAATAGCTGTTTACTTGGCCGTTTTCCTATGTCGTGAAGGCTGAAATTTCAATTCATTAGAGCATTTACTGTTCCCAACCCTAACCCTGCGGAAAGCCATCTAATTAGACTTTAATTTGATTTTGACATGTTTTTAGGAGGTAATTTAATTATTGTTTGATTTTATACCAGTGCTATGTATCTGATGTTAGCCGCCCTGAGCCTGACTTCGGCCGCGGAGGGTGGGATATAAATAAAAGTTTATTATTATTATTATTCCTTTGTAAGAAAATATGAAATAATGTAAAACCATTTTTTCCTGCAAAAATAAAAATAAAAATCAATGTGTAGGGGGGTGACAAGAAATTTTCCGCACCGGGTACCACCTGACCTTCCTACGCCTCTGCTCAGGAGTTAGTCTGAGTTCAATTGGACTTTTACTAGGTAAATCTGTTTACGATTGCACCTTAAACCAAATTGATTTAAGAAGAAGAAAAAAGCAACCATAGGAGCCTAGGTCAGGAGGCCTGGTTTTACTCTCACCTCTGGGTAGATTTGCACATTTAAAGTTTTGCTACTGTTCCCAGAGTTAAAGCCACAACGTTCTGAGTGCTGGTGAAATAATGTCAGTAATGCTGTATGTTGGGTGGCCAGGTGCATAAGTGAGCAGGGCTCCTGAACCTTAAACAGTTGTGCATAGAAGCCTGGACTTCAGCAGGTGCACCTTGTCATGCAAACCACATCTGGGGAAATCCCCTCTTCTACATACCTATTAAAGGTGCTAGAGCCCTGTCCCTCTTCTTTGCATCTGGTCACCCTAGCTCAGGCATAGGCAAACTCCAGGTGTTTTGGGACTACAACTCCCATCATCCCTGATCACTGGTCCTGTTAGCTAGGGATGATGGGAGTTGTAGTCCCAAAACATCTGGAGTTTGCCTATGCCGGCCCTAGCTGCACAGCTAAGCTGGGTCTGTGTGTGTAGCCCTCCAGATGTTGATGGACTCCAAGTCCCAGCAGCCCCGGCCAGCATGGCCAGTGGCCAAGGATGCTGGGAATTGTAGTCCAACAGCCTCTGGAGGGCCTATGCATGCCCTTTGTGCATAACCATAAGCTAGGGTTGCCAGATTTCAAAAAGTGAAAATCCGAACACTGGGGGGGGGGGAGATGCTGAGGGTTTTTTTTCCCTTTTGTTTTGCAAAATCTCCGAATGAAGTTTTTACCTTTTTTTTTTTTTTTTTTACAGAAATCACCAAAAAACCAACACTTCCTATTTGGGCTGCCGTCCCTCCCCCCCCCCCCCGGTTTTCCTGGATATTGTAGCCACTTTTCAAAATTCTGCACGGAAGCCATTTTTGACAGATGAATCCCGGCTATGTCAGGGAAATTCTGGACATATGGCAGCCCTACTATAACCAGCCCTGACGATAAGTGATACTGTTATTACTTTCACAAAGTGGCCGTGATCCAATGACACACTGGGGTACATTTGTGCCTCTATCAATAGTAGATAGTCATGGCTAGGTCCCATTGAAATCAAAAGTTAGTATGAATTCATGTTGCCTTCAGGGGAACCAAAGCTGGACTCTCACCCCTCTTACTTGGGAGTAAATCCCACTTCATTTGGACTTACTTCTGAGTAAGCAAGCTGTTGCCACAATGGAAATTCAGAGCAACCCTATGTGTGTTTACTTAGAAGTAAGTGTCACTGTGTTCAGAAGTGCTGACTCCCACTTAAGAGTCAGATTGGAGCCACGCAGTGATCACCTGATTCCCTCCAATTGGCAAAAATTATCCGTGAATTATATTGTCTGCAATTACACGAAGTCCCCTGTACAGACAATCACAGAGCAGCTTTTGTTAACATGAAGCTCCAGAATGTACTTCAGCATTTCCCTGTTTCTGGTTTGGAAGCAATGAGAAACAGGTGTGAACTTGCAGTCCTGGATATCAGTTGCATTGAAATCAGCCGGAAAGGGCACACTGGGCAATTATTGTAGGGGAAGGAATCAGCATTATTTCCAGAAAAACCAGCATTAACTTACTTTTATGGGAGAGAGGGCTGTATCCTGGAAAACAATAAAAAAAGAAACAATTAGCTGAAGTAGTAGAGATGGCATTTCATTGTGTCGTGTTCATGAAAAGAACAAAAGCGTTTAGCACCAGCTCAGTAGCGTTACATTGCAGTTAATGCACTGATTATTTTCCGAATAATTCATGGCCACGAAACACTTTTCAATACAGGCACAATACGCCAGGATTGCTTCCTGCACGAGCTTCCTTTAAAAAAAGAACATGCCTTTATACATTCCCCAACTTCCCCACTAAATCCCTCTGCGAGGGATGTTCCGGATGCAAAATACAGCAATAAAATGAAATGGATTTTGTTAACTACTGGTTTTATATGCAGTGTAATTTAGCAGATTCACTGGTATTGTTGCTACTACTGTGTGTGTGTGTGCCCGCACACACACGCGCGCATTGGTGGATAAGGAGAGATCTTTTTACCTGAGGACCAACTTTCCTTCTGGGTAACTCCCCAGAGGCTGCATGCAAGTCGTGGAGGGGGATAGAGACATGAGTGGATGGAAGAAGAAATATATATTGGTTAGCAATAGCTCAACAATGGAAGAACCAGACTGAAATACCCCTGAACATATGAGAAAGTAATATCTGGGATACAGCAGTCTCTGAGCGTCTCACCAGACACAGGAGGACAATTAAAGTCATAACGAACAGAGACGCCTTCCAAGAAACATGGCCCCCTTTCTTTAACCATGTTAATGATCAAAATCAAGACCTTGTTATACCAACAGCTCAATATTCTCAGTGGAGAGGTCACGTTAAGTTATATGTTTGAACACTGAATGTGTAAGTTTCGGTCTAGAGTCAATGGATAGAACATACACCATTAGATGTACTGCTGGAAAAGCATTTAACGGGTCTTGTATTTGTTTAAAAACCAATAACAATTTGTTTCTTTAAAAATGAAGAAGAAGAAATGCATATTTAACCTTTATACAGTTAGATACTTTGTATGTACCCCTCTCTGTCCGTTCAGGCAAGCAAAGGGCATTCTCAGAGCTCAAAGACATATTTTAGTCATGCAAAAACTCTCAAGAAGGATGGGAAGCAGGGCTGGTGAGGGGTGTGGCCTGGTGAGGGGGTGTGGCCTGGGGGAGGGGTGTGGCCTGAGTTGGAGGGCTGCATTCAGCATCTGAGTCTGAGGCTCCTCATCATAGCCTGCCCTGATATTATGCATAGTGAGGCTGCAACCCTAACCCTCAACTTGTGTAGCAACAATTAGGTTTCGGTGGTTAGGTTAGGTTTAGAGGCAATTAGGTTTCATTGGACATCCCTGTCTGCTTCACCAGCTTCTGCCAGTAGAGGAGGTGAGGTGGTCCTGCTACTGCAGAGACCCCAATTTCCTTCCTTCTCCAAGATTAACCCCATATTTCCAAATGATGAAGAATCACTGGGTGAAATTATTCAGCCCAGCACTAGAAAATACTTTGATTGCATGCAGCAGGGGGGTTTCTTTCCATGGGACTTTTCAGGACGGGAATGTAAACGTTTTGGTGTTTTGCTAAACGCATCGTGTCCAACCGCTAAATGTTAGTTGTGGTGGCTTTTAATTTTAAACTGATTCCAAAGAAAGGGAAGTTTAAACAATTTTGATAAAAGAGCCGACAGTTTTAGCTGAAACCATCTTGCATATAAATCAAGTGAGCTGCATGAAAGAGTGAGATCGGAAAAGGGTTCTCACCAGAATCTCGTTTGCCCATTAAGCCGTAGAATTGCTGAGGTCTTGGTCGCCTGGCAATTCTCTGGAGGAAGTGCTCAAAGGGTAGAGGCAACTCCTCCTGAAACAGAGATATTGTATCATTAGCAGAGCACTCGGGGTGCGATACTGACAGCGCAATGTTGGGTGAACAAAAAAAGAAGCCCTTCAGTCTGGAGGTATTAAGTATCACTCAGCATATGGTGCTTTAGTTTCCTCACTTTTCTTGTCTGCCTTTTCCCAAAGTCTCCAGGGAGAAATGATCCTGTTGCAAAGGAAAATGTCTTTCCATCTAAGGCCAGATTATGAACTAAACAGAATCCAGACAGAACTCCAATCAAAATCCAATCTGGAATCAAGTTACCCTATGTTCTGTCACAAGGAGGCCGCTAGGGGGCAGTGGAAATACAAAGTCAGAAAATCCCAAAACTAGGGGCAAACTACACCTCATACTGAAGATCTGTGATGAGCATTTTGAAACAGGCGTGAAGAGGTAAACATAAGAACAAGGATGGACAATTTAGATCAGAGGAATGTATATGTTTGGAAGTGTAAGATGCAATTTCCTCCGGTGCTCCAGTGTTTCAGTTAAATTTAGAATCTCATGAAAATATCCAACTATTAGCATCATTATCCTTATCATCACACAGCTTTGCATTGTTTTAAATTTGCAGCACATTTTAAATCTGCTTTAGAACATCAGGTGAGTCACATGTGGTTTGGCCCTATGGGGATGCATTCATTAAGGGATGTGCTAATAGTTCTCTTAAGGAGCTTTTACATGAGAAGCTTACCTGTGCTTTTGAACTTTTTTGGCACTGTTTGTAGCAGTTGTATATGTGAGAGTTGACATGGAAGGGAAATTAAATGGGTGTGGAAAGCAATGGAGCTTTCATATTCCCGTATCATGTGGATTTAAGCTGGATCCATTGTCACACGGGACACATAAAAGCCACCACTGTTTTATATTTAGGAAGTTTGGTTATGCTGGGCCAGAAGCTGAGCCCAACATACAATGGACGATACAGAAAACATGTTTCCTGGACGGAAGCTGTTGGCAGTCAAGACTTGTGCACATAAAAGCACGTTAAAAGTACATTCTTTCCTTTGACTAATTCTGGTCCCTGTGGTTTAAGGGTTGCTAGGAACTCGAACTCTAGAAAGCTGCTGTCAACCATTGTAGACATTACTATGATGATGATGATTACTATTCATTACCCAGCCCTTCACCTCAGGGTCCCAGGGCAGTTAAAACACAATTTTAAAAACAGTTTAAATTAACTTTAAAATACAGAAATAAAGTGGTCCCAAAAATATACATCTCAAGGGTCAAAAGCCAGAGGTAAAGAGGTGCATCTTTAGTGTTTACCCAAATCTGTATAATAAAGGTGCCAGATGCAGCACTGTGGGGAGGCAGCCCCACAATTTAGGGGCAGCCACAGAGAATGCCCTTTCTAGGGCCACCACCCCACCACCAAGAGGGCTCCCTCTGCTGATTTTAGCACCTGAGAGGGTCTGCAGGGAAGGAGGCCATTTTTCAGGCATTTGAGACCTGAGTCGTCTCAGTTAATGTGGACTCCTTGAACTGGGCCTGAAAACAAACTGGCAACCAGAGCAACTGTTTTTAAAATAGGGTTATATGAAATCTGAAGGATATGCCAGCCAGTAATGCAGCTGCTGAATTTTGGACCCATTGAAGTTTCCAAGTCATCTTTCAAGAGCAGCCCCACATAGAGCACATTACAATGATCCAGTTTGGAAGTTACCAAACCATGGAGTCCAGCGGTCTAGTCATTTCTATCCAAAGGGGGCTGTAGCTGGCGAACCAACCAGAGCTGGAAAAAGGCACTGAGGCCACCTGAGGCTTCAGTGACACTGTTGAATCCAGAAAAAAACCCCAAACTGCAAACTTGCCCCTTCCAGGGCTGGCCACCTCCCAGATGTAAGGACTCAGAACTCAGAACTCAGAACACATAACACATAACACCTCTGTCTTTTCAGGATTCAGCTTCAGTTTATTGACCCATATCTGACCTATTACTGCCTGCAAGCATTGGTCTAACACCTCGACTGCCTCTCTTCATTCAGTTGGAGGAGAGAGATAATGCTGGGTGTCACCTGTATATTGATGGCAATGCACTCCAGATGTCCTGATGGCAGCTTCCAAAGGCTTCATATAGATGTTAAACAGCATGGGGGAGACTACATAACAACTCCCATGGCACTGATTCAAAGTCTCCCATGACTACTTTCTGGAAATGGCTCTGGAGATAGGAGTGGAAACACTAAAGCACAGTCCCGCCCCCCTTGAAATGCTCTAGTCTAGGCAGCTTCCTATGTTCTTCTGTGTGAGCTCACATGCAACAAGGCTCACCACTGCACACCAAATAGACACAAAACCACCTCTGCTGGGTCTTTGGTTTTTAAAAAGTAGGAGCGTGCTGGACGTAGCGTGTTTTCTAGCCTGAAACCAAAATATATTGCTGCTCAGGGTTTTGGGAGAGGCACTCTAGACATGCACAGAGGAGCTTTTTTCATAACTAATCCAGATGTTCCCCAAATCAATCAATTCAAAGCAAGTGCTGGAATGAAGGCGTGACTCACATGCGGCACTCAACCCACAATTTAGATTTGCATTACTTCTCATATGCAGTGGTTAGGCATGTATTAAACACTTTAAAAAAGAAATAAATAAAATCAACACCAGCACAGCATTCTGTGCCACCATGATCCCAATGTCGCTATTTTTAAATTTATTAAAAACAATTTGCTTATTTTAGCACGACTCCCTCTATTCCCAAAGTTCAGAGGAGAGTGTCACTGTTCATGTGGCCAAAATAGTACCACCTGTGCACAAGAGGGAGGTAACAGCAGGCTCTGGGGAACCCCAAGATGATGAGAAACTCCAAAAGTAGTCCAGTGTGGATTGAGTATTAGCATCTTGGTATGCTGACTGATCTGGGAGAAAAACAAACAGAAAAACAAACAAATCTTGGAGAGGGGAGGGAATGGAATGGAATAGCAAGGGGAAATGGTATGGCTGGCTGACCAGAACTGTGAGCACAGGGCTCATCCACATGGTGTTTTGCTACCCGAGGCAAATGAGACAATAGCATCCCTTCCCTTTCCACAATAGCATCCCTTCCCTTTCCATGTACCAAAGGCAAACGTATTGGCGACTGAAGCTTATTCAGCACTGACAATGGAACAGCACCTTCTAACAGCACCTGAGCAGGACAGGTGAGGGGCAACTCGGCAAGCTGTGCAGGATGCGCAGCTCTGTTTTCCAACATCTTGCTACTGCTTCCCGCTTTTCAGGCAACCAGCTCACTTTGCCTGGTGATGGGGGCCAGCCCTGACACACAGCACACTGCAGCACTTCGTGGCAAGTCACACTTGCTAATTCTTTTATGGAGAGGCGCACAGCAACAAAGACTTTCTTCCTCCAGCCACTGGTAATGTGTCAAACCCTTAGGCACCCACTAACTGCTGAGGTTATATTGAAAACCTGCATGTCTGTCAGTGTAGACTGTGGTCCTTTGGGAGAAATGGTGGGATATAAACAAACAAACAAACAAACAAACAAACCAGACCAGACAGAGAATTTCTGAAAATTCAAGATTCTCAGAAAGTTGAATGCTGCAGCTAGTATCAAATTCCATGTGTGACTCAGTTTTGATCATCCACCAAATTTTAAAAGTGGATGTTGAGACAGGAATAGGTAGAATGTCCCTTGCTTACTGAATTACTTCAAATTAACTTAAAACATCTTCTTTAAGCCTTCAGACATCACAAGGTGTTGTTAGTGGTTCAGAGCAAGACCTAACAACAATCTATTTCTGCTCAGTTGTGCTGCCCAACCATTTCTAATCAACCCAGGTGGCTTTTGGTCAGGATGAAGCCGGATCCATACATGCACATTGCTTGATTTCTCATCCCTCAGTCAACTGTCACTTGATGTCTATCAGCTGATTCTATTGAGCCCCATACTTAAGGTTTTGTGGGGTATGATATGAAAGCTGTTGTGTCTGGTCTGTGACGGTTCTTTCAGCAATCACTTGGTGTGTAAGCTCACTTTAAATATGATAACATTTGAATGTGTGTTGGCTAGTTTAGGAAAAAGATAACTGAGGATTAAGGATCCTGTGAAAATGGACAATGGATGCCATGTTTCTCTAGGAGCTCCATCTCTCCAAATCTTTGGGAGATGACCTTTTACTTCTCCCCTGCCAGCAACTTTTTATCATTATCTATAGTCCTCTTTATTTTTGATGACTATGTAATAATGATGTACTTTTGCTGCCCTGAAATTAGCAGGCATTTACTCAAGGTGTAGCAGAATCCCTAGCATTTCCTCATCAGCACTAAAAAAACCCCCATCACTAAGAGGTCAGAGTCTAACAAAAATTAAAGACCAGCATGTATGACACTAAACTGAAGTATGATTCTGAGTCTTAAATTCTGTGTTGGTGCCATCTTCCCTGTCAAGCCCAAGCAACCCAACCAACTGGCAGAAGATGGTCTTATTCCATGGGTGAGGAAGCTGTGGCTCTCCAGATGTTGCTGGACTCCAACTCCAGCCAGCATGGCCAATGGTCAGAGATGTTGGGCGTTGTAGTACAACAATGCCTGGAAAGTCACATAGAATCATAGAATTGTAGAGTTGGAAGGGACCACGAGAGTCATCTAGTCCAGCCTCCTGCAACACAGGAATCTTTTGCCCAATGTGGGGTTCGAACCCACAACCCGTGCTCTACCAACTGAGCTAGGTTTCTAACCCTTCCCTCCCACATTGTAGAGAGGTAAAAGAGATTCAATTTCCCTGTTCTAAACCACTGGAGAACAAATAGCAAGCAAACCCTGGTGTTCAGTCCAGATTCCACCTCACTGCGTTTTGCAGGGTGAGGAACCCTGGAGTGATATGTGCTACAGATGCACTCAATTTCACATTCCAAAACTGTATTATTTGAGCAAACTGCAGAGGAGGTCTTGAAACTGACAAAATCTCACACGATCTCACATTATTTGCTTAAGAAACATGCCTTTGGAGAGCAGCGCTGCAGAGCAAACTTAGGACCCCATTGCAATTCCCCTATTGCCTATATCCATTGTTACTGTGGGCAGAGACAAATAGAATCAGTTGTGCATGTTCTTTTGCACTGCCCCTGCTATCAGACAATTCGATCTAAGTTTATTAATCAGTTGGTTGTTAGTAGGGAATGGCATGCAGATGAATGTAAGGTAGCCTTCCTTGTGTTTATTCAGAATGGGGATAAGACAGAGTTAGTAGCCAGGTTTCTGCAACACACAGTGAGAATTTGTGGATGTTATCCAACCTTAACTTAAGTATTAGATACAGGTTTTTGATGAGTGATTTTATGGTATTGAACCCTACTGCAATCCTGTATATACATGCCAAGAAAGATAAAAAAATTCCAGTGCTATGGAAGTTTTCCCAGAACCCCAGTATGACAAGGTAAAACAACATAGTTCAGAGAAACTGACGGCTGCAGCTCAGCCTACATATTGTATTTACAGTGGTACCTCGGGTTAAGTACTTAATTCGTTCCAGAGGTCTGTTCTTAACCTGAAACTGTTCTTCACCTGAAGCACCACTTTAGGTAATGGGGCCTCCCGCTGCTGCTGTGCCGCCGGAGCACGATTTCTGTTCTCATCCTGAAGCAAAGTTCTTAACCTGAAGCATTATTTTTGGGTTAGCGGAGTCTATGTAACCTGAAGCGTATGTAACCCGAGGTACCACTGTATTAAGAAATATATAGCTTGCCCTTGAGATTTTCCTCTTTTATCCTGTGCCCACTGGTAATCACTCCCTATTTCTCATCCCATTATAATTTGCATTACAGTTCAGGAGCGCTTTGCTGTCGTTTGTGTTTGTGTATTAGTGATAGAGAAGAATCCTTGTCATTGTCTTCCATCACCCTTAAAGATGCCCCAAAGACTGTATCCAGTACTGGAAAAAAGAAGGGGGAAATGACAGCAAGAGAAAACCACCACTGCCACCACTCCAATCTGAAACAGAGCAGGGCATGGATGGAATTGACCTGAAAGGATGGAAAGGACATTGGAGTCTTTAAATAATTTGGATGCATGTCTGCCCAGAAGCCTCCTGCTTCAAATTTTCTGGTGCAAAGTTGGAAGCAAGACCAGGAACTGTTGCAGGAGGACACATGTTTCATAGGCTCCGAAGCATCTTTCCATTTTATGGGCACTGTGCTACCGGCATAGTCTAGATCAATAATAGTCAATGTGGTGCCCTACAGATCCTGTTGGGACTACAACTCCCATCAGCCCCAGCCAGAAAACCAATGATTGAGGATGGTGGGATTTGGAGTCCAGCAACCTCTGTCTACCCTGGTCTAGATACTGTGTTTTCCCACATCCTGCTGTTGCAGGCAACCCTGAATGTGGGGAATGCACTCTAACCTTGGCATGCAGGTGGCTTGCAGATAAGCAACCTGAATAGCACCTGGGAGACCCACAGATTCTTATCCCTATATTCAGGCACTACCTGGCTGTTGTTATTATTCTCAATAATAATTTATTATTTGCTTTCCAAGCAATCGCCCCAAAGTGATGCACAATAAAAGCAGTGAAAAACAGCAAAACACAAATGCACAACCAACCAACCAATACATTTAGTACAAAAGTAATGCAATACAAAATAGACACTAAGGACAAAGACCCACCTATCTGGCTGGGAAAGGCTGTTGGAGCAAATGTGTCTTTCTAGAAGGTAAAGATAGTGGGCACCTGTGGAGCTTGACAGAAATGTTATTCCACAGGACAGGAGCACTTTAGAACTGACTTTTCTCTACAGTGGTACCTCGGGTTAAGAACTTAATTCGTTCTGGAGGTCCGTTCTTAACCTGAAACTGTTCTTAACCTGAGGTACCACTTTAGCTAATGGGGCCTCCCGCTGCCACCGCGCCACCGCCACATGATTTCTGCTCTCATCCTGAGGTAAAGTTCTTAACCAGAGGTACTATTTCTGGGTTAGCGGAGTCTGTAACCTGAAGTGCCTGTAACCTGAAGCATCTGTAACTTCAGGTGCCACTGTATTTCTATCCCTCTATCCTATACCTGGAACCTGTGTGACACTTTTGCCCCATGAGCTAATGTAACCAGTCTTGGGAGGGTGAGGAAGGAAGTTGAAATCTCAAAGAAGTAGCCTCTCAACTTTGTTATCTATTATCTCTGGTGGGGTCTGGCAGGGGAAGAAATGGGAATTTTTAAGGATCGAACTCCAAACGACCCCTGCGCCCCGCTTCCCAGTGCAATCCGCTCAGAAGTTGTTTCATTAGGATGGTATAGGAGTTCTTATAAAACACACTGCATCTTCCGTGTCCGAAACGAATAAAATTTTCCCATTTTCTCAGCTCTGGCTGCGCAGCCAGCCGAATCTAAAACACGCTTAACTCCGAAGTAAACTCCCACCCTCTTGGCTCGGATTTACTCTCAGATTAAGCGTGCATCGGATTGCAGTTTTGCGGCGCTGTCCGATGCATAAACCCCACCTGCGTTCATCGGGGCTTGGCCGTTCGCAAGGAAAGGACGGCAGCCTTAATATGAACGAAGAAATAAAAAGAAAGTGCATTGGGTGGCGTCCAACTAAGCCCTACTCAGAGTAGATACGTTGAAATTAATGTACATACGGGAGCCATGCCCGTTACTTTTAAGGGATCTGCTCTGAGTATAGCTAGCGATGAAAAAAATATATCTTTCTTTCTCGGTCTCCTTTGCTTCTAATCTTTAACGGGGCATCCACAGAACCGTCCGCAGTTTCTCCGACGACGCTGTGAATTCCTTTGCTGGGGAGAAACATGTTGGCAAGTTGCATGGACAGACGAGGGTTTTGAGAAAAAAACCAACCCTGTGGATTTGCCTTCCTCTCCCTGTCTAATAAACACACACACACACACACACACACACGCCCCGGAGAAAATCGCTGTGTACCCGTGAAGCCCAGGACTTTCCCCAGACGTGATCTCTGGTTTTAGAACCAGTTCAAACTCAACAGCAAAAACCAGCACGATCCCAGTAACACCCCACCGCCCGTGCGCGCCACCGTCGAAAAAAAGCCACCACCGGACGTAGCCGTCGGGGCTTGAAAAGCATCTTTCGCTCACCTTGTTTTGGTCGCCATCGGACCAGTCCGACCAGTAATTCAGCTCCTCGTTGTCTCCCAGCTCTTCCGCAAATGCTTGAGCCGAGACTAGGAACAGCACGGTCAAAACCGCCAGGAATTTCATCGTCGCCGCCGCCCGCTTTCCTCCACGTCGAGGAGCAGCCCGAGGAAGCCTTGGTGGGGACGGCAGGAGGTGGAGAGGATGCCGTCGAGGAAAAGCCCGGACCGTCGTCCCCTCCTCTCGCCCTACGGCTGCTGAAAAGTTCTGAGAAGCTGTAGCAAAGAGACAGAGACAGAGAGAGAGAAATGTGAGGGGTGGGCGTGTGTTGAATACAGGCTTTCCCCTCCTTGCCGGCGCATCTCAGCCTAGACGAGATGAAAAGAAGGCAAAGGCGACTGGTCCTCCCGCTGGATGCTGCGGAGAGATGCAGGAACCTGGATGCAAGTGATGCCTAAGGCAAGGAGCCAACGCTGAAGCACGGAGAGGGCACTTACTGTGAGAGGACGCTGCTGCTTCCCTGGGTGTGGGGCTCAGTGAATGCACACCAAGCCAACTCTCTCCACTTTATATTCCTGGCGGTGGGGAGGGCCAGAGAGCTTCCTCTGCCTCAGCCTAATTGCTCCCTGGTATTTATCATGTGAGTCACATGAGAAGACCCCACCCGCACAGGCCGCCCCAAGGCGTGATGGAGACGGATCAGCATCCAGTCACCTCAGGGCTCGCTCGCTTCCTTCCTTCCTTCTTTTGGGGGGTGGTGGCCCCCTACTTGAGAGTCTGCACGCAGAGAGCCGTCTTCCGTGTGGTTTTTCCAGATGATGCAATCTGGGGTTTGTATCTACGTAGGAAGGAGCCCTCTCCTTCCAGGCCTCTCCAAGATGCCTCTTGTGCCATCGTCCCAGGAGGCCCCCGATGAATCATCAAAGCAGATCTTAGTGACTCATCCGGGGTGACTTTGTGAAGACGTTTTTGGATGCCAGGCCCTGCTTGGTTTGAAGATGAGGGGCCTCAAGGCCTCGCTTCAAGGAGTGGAAGGATGACTTCTTCTTTACAAAGCCCTAAATAAACCACTAGATCAGTAGATGATAGATAGATAGATAGATAGATAGATGGATAGATGATAGATAGATAGATAGATAGATAGATAGATAGATAGATAGAGACATCAAATTTGCAAATGATTGCACAAGCTGTGTGACTTGGCTGCACGAAATGCTTATGCCATTGATAATGCAGATGCAGAGAAATCAATCTTGGGTTGCTGGTCTGCAAACTTTTTCCTAGCTTTCTCCATCATGTACAATTTCCAGGCTCAGTTGCTAAATGCCACAGAGATGGACAAGGACATTCATTTGCTAGGCAGTAGGATGGCTAACGCCCCTGTTTCAACACCCCCCCCCACCTCTGCTTCAGAACTTGAACTGCAATGAGAAGGAAGTCTGCTCTGTCTCCTGCCCAGTTGTACATCAAGGTACAACCCAATTGCATTGTGGTACTTAGATTTCATATATTTTGGCACTTTGAAGGATATGAACGGCTCTCACTCATGTTATATGGGTTATGAGGAATGTAGAAAACTTTGACCTACTTGGTTAGAAGCCAGGGGAGTGGAGCAGCAGAATGAATCCATCTAGTGTCATTTCAAGATCGCATGTTAGGATCTTGGTGCTAGGGCAGGATCCAAGGTTAGGTTCCTCTACTGTAATCAGTAACGGCTTCCTCAGGAACAAAGAGACAATCTTGTCTGAAGGAGAAAGGCTTTCCTCTGTTTCTGCTGACCCAGAAAGGTGAATTCAGTGCGCAATATCTTTTAAATTCTGCTTGTGCAACAGTGCAATCCAAGACCTAAGATTGCAGCTCTATGTTTGAGGGTGGCTCACACAAAACAACCATTGCAATTCCCAGGTACTGCTAATGAAATGCTGTGGGCGCTATCGTTTCTGTTTGTGACTATGTTATGTACTTTCCCCCCATTTTATATTGTAACCCTCCCCCCCCGGGGGGGGGTCCTCAGATGAAGGAATTTAATACAGTGGTACCTCGGGTTAAGAACTTAATTCGTTCTGGAGGTCCATTCTTAACTTGAAACTGTTCTTAACCTGAAGCACCACTTTAGCTAATGGGGCCTCCTGCTGCCACCGTGCTGCCGGAGCACAATTTCTGTTCTCATCCTGAAGCAAAGTTCTTAACCTGAGGTACTATTTCTGGGTTAGCGGAGTCTGTACCCTGAAGCGTCTGTAACCTGAAGTGTCTGAAACCCGAGGTACCACTATAAATGAAATGAAATAAATGAAAATGAAGTATAGCTGCTTAGATTAACTCCCATCAGCCTCAGTCAGACCAATAGTCAGGGATAATGAGAATCCAACAATATCTGGAAGATCACAGGTGAGCCACCCCTGCTATACACATGTCTCTAAAAGCAACCTTATTTTCAAGGGGAACCATGTGCTTCCAGACTGACAGGCACTCAGCCACTGGAGTTGGCTATTAGAGGGAATGATCAATCCATTTCAGTTTGATGAACTTTCTTGGCCAGTTTACAAAACTCATCATAAGATGTTAGCTTTGTGTACTTTGTTGTTATGGTTGTTTTTTAAAAAAATAACCCATGTATTTTATTCTTTTGTGTTTTTACCCTGCTGATTGATGATGGACAGAAAATAACCCTCATCTGATTCAGCCTATGAGTCAGATATGATATCAGGTACTCATCCAAAAGGTTTTCTGGCAGGTGGTAGCAGTGTGATGGAAACTGAACTGGTCTACTTGCCTTTACCTGTAGATTCCCCCCTTTACCTTTTTGTTCTCTTTGCAGCTAGAAAGAAAGTTGTCTTGACAGTAATTTCCACTTAATGGCTCAGGGTGTGATTAGTGGCAAGAGAGGATTATTTGAACAAAACAGTCCAATTAGGAGAAATCTTTACTCTTATGTGGGAAGAAAAAATATATACTGGACAGAAAGTTCCTGCTCACTCTGTATTCAGGAGACCTATTCTGATCCTTGAATAGTTTTGCACAGGCTTTAGAGACGTTTGCTGATTTGCTGCTCGGGAGAAATATATATTAGCGTCCTTCTCTAATTTTTATGCTCAGGGAGCTTTAAAATATAGTTATGAGTTTGGGGTCTTAACCTGGGTGCTAGACCCCTCTAATCGCTGGATCCAGCAGGTGTTAGAATTTAATCAAAATTCCTAACTCTTGGAACAGCCAGGCTAGCCTCCTGGTGAGCTCATAGAATCATAGAGTTGGAAGGAACCCCAAGGGTCATCTAGTCCAACCCCTGCAATGCAGAAATCTCAGCTAAAGCATAGATGACAGATGGCCATCCTACGCCTGCTTAAAACCTCAAAGGAAGGAGAGTCCCCAACTTCTGCTGTCAAACAGCTCTCACTGTCAGGTGATAGCCTGGGTGGGCGATGAGACATTAAGGGCGTGGTGTGAGATAGCAAATATGTGGGGGCCCCTCCCTCAACAGATAAAACCAGAGTTTAGTTTTAATAGGAGCAGTGATGTGACCTAGCAAGGAAAGCAGCAATCTGGAGAGAGGAAGAGCAATATTTGAGAGCAATGTTTGATTTCTGTTTGAATCCAAGGTTGCAGCTATGGGAGAAACAAGGCCCTTTTGGGGTGTTTACGCTGTGAGCCCGTCCATTGTAGGCTCAGGTTGTATATAGGTGGACATAAACCATATATTAGAAAGACACTACAGTCTCCACTATGCCTCATTTCCCAGAGGAATCATGAACCCTCGGCAGGCACCTGGAACCCCACTCGGAGATTGGAGTGGCATGCAACAATAGATATGCGTTCAGCCATGCAACCCCCAACCCCAGCTAAAGTGGTTCAGTCTGGAACAGTTTTGCCCTGTTTGTCTATAAAACCTCTCATATTATATTCCTGTGGTTTGCATCTCAAAAGGCACTCCTGTGCCATGTTCCCTGTGGCTGGATTTATCATAGAAAATTACATTCAGTCTGCTAATGAACATTTATTTGTGCATAACAATATGCCTGAATCATCTCCAGCCTCCTTCCATGATGGTCCTTTTTTCCACCAGGGTCCTCTCTTAGGGACAGAAGAGCATAAAAAGAGCCCTGTTGGATCGGATGGGAGGCTCATCAAAGTCCAGCCAACTGGGTGACCAAGGGCACTCTCGCCATTTTGGATTCCCAGCAGCTGACAGTCAGAAGCATCATACCTTTGAAAGCTCAGTCAGAACATAATTTGACACTAACCCAGCGGTTCTCAACCTGTGGGTCCCCAGATGTTGTTGGACTACAACTCCCATCAGCTCTGAGCTCAGTTCTTGCTAGCTAGGGTGATGGGAGTTGTAGTTCAATAACATCTGGGGACTAAGGCTGCTCTAACCCCTATATCTCACTGACCTTTTTCAAGCAAATGTCTGGTGTATCCTGTGTTGGAAGCCGCCCAGAGTGGCTAGGGCAACCCAGTCAGATGGGTGGGGTACAAACAGTGCTTTTTTTTAAGAAAAAAAGGTGCCGGTACTCACCATGAAGTCATTCTAATAAATGCCACACTTTTAACATTTGTGGGGGAAAGGTGCCAGTACCCCCAGAAAAAAGCACTGTGTACAATTAATAAATTATTATTACTATTATTATTATTACTATGAGAGCACTCGCACGCTGTTGATGTTAAATAAATGTAAAATAAGAAGAGCATATAAAGTAAAATGTAGCTCAAGGCTGATGTACACATTCACATACATTACTCAGTGATTTGCAGCTGAATATATGAATTGCCTCCAATGGAAAGCATAGTCCAAAGTGGTGTCAGGGCACCTGAACTTTCCCTCTGCCTTATTTAACCAGCGGTGGCCATCTCACACAGTGATGAATGTGTCCACTTGTGAATTCACTCTCAGGGACAACAGCTTTTTTGGTGCGGTGGATCTCATTCTGTGTGTGAATGTAAAGCGAACATTCGTTGTGACAGAGAAGGTTGCTTGTGATCTACATTCCCACCCCAGGATGACAGCCCCACGTGAGTTATGGCATTCCATTTGAATAACAACTTAAGTTCCGTTAACAGATCTTGGAGCTGTTCTGTTTTATTAGATTCAAGGTTACTTAGGCATGATTGTGCTCATTTAACCTTGGCTCTTTCCCAGTAAGCGCATTGTCAGGATGTTGAATATTCTCCTCTAGACAAGCCATTTCATTCAAAGTTTGGCACTAGCTGCTAACCATTTTTAAAAAGAAAAGGCTTGTAAGAGAAAATAGTATTGTGATTCGACGACCCGCCACCCGCTTGAGGATAAGAAAGACACAGGGACACGGTATATTAGGTTAATGGGCTAAAAAAGGCCACAACTTTATTGATTACAGCATGTGAGAGGTATTGGCTTAGGCATTGGATAAAACAACAGAGCGTGACTCCACACCCGCAGGGAGGGGTGAGTCTATCAAGGGTTAATCACCAGTGGGAGGAGCCTGTTGATGCAAATACAACTGAAAGCTCCCCCTGATGTCACCGGGGGTCGTGCCATGGCCCTAGCCACCAGCAAGGGTGTTGGACAGGATCCACAACCGCCGGATTCCTTTACCGGAATACCCATAAAATGGAGGGGTAGGCGATGGCCACACCCTGCCCTCCAACACACAACCATATTCCAATGCCTAGGACCGGGGGGGGGGGAGATCCTTTAAAACTTTAAAAGGACCGGGGGGGGGTATCAAAGCCCGAAAAAACTAGAAAAGGGGAGGGGGATACAGCCAGCCAAACCCACACCCCCGCCTCCGAACCTCACACACTGCTTTGCACACCGCTGTTGCCTCAGGCTCTCAGTAACAGTTGCTGCGTTCAGACCTGGTGTTCAGAGTTGGCAGTGCAAGGCAGCGGGAGCCTGCTGGCTCAACCGGCGTTGACGGGGCGATCTTCTGCAGACCAGTTAGCCTAAAGCAAACTAGCTGCTAAAAATCCTCAACACTTGCTCAGCCTGCACGTGGTCGAGGAGGTCCTTCCTGGAGGTCGTAAACCGATGTCTTGATCCGACGAGAAGCAGCAGCACAATGGCTGGGAAACACTTCCGCGGCCGCGTTTGAGCAGCTAAACACTGCCCCCAAGCCTCCAGCCGATTGGCTGGCCACCTGGGGGGGGTGGCGCAGCAGCCGGAGCAGCTGGGCAGGGGGCGGAACACCCCCTGCCAATGCGGGAAACGGCTCCCGCTCACAACTTGAAGAGGAGAGGCTTTCCTGTAAGACAGAGTTGTTCCACCTGGCCTTTGGCTTGGAATCAACTTGATCCCCTTCCCCTCTTTCCTTTTTCCTTTCTCCTTCTGTGATGGAACTCCTATTTGGGGACTTCCCTGGCTTTTTTCTGGCCCACGTAGGACAGTCTGGATAGTTGGCCTTGGTGAAGATTTGACGTTTTCATCCCCAAAAAGTTTTTGATTTGAGTTTCTACTAAAATGAGGCTGCATTTTAATGTTGTATTTTAATCTTATTTTTAAGTTGTATTTTGATCAATTGTTTTTATACCTGGTGTTAGCCTCCCTGAGCCTGGTCTTGGCTGGGAAGGGCGGGGTATAAATAAAACTTATTATTATTATTAGCCAAGTCTTTGCCAACCTGGTGCCTAAGGGAAGCCCACAAGCAAGTCCCAAGCAGAAAAACCACTCTCCTCTTCTGTGGTTTCCAGCCACAGAATTATTCCAGCCACAGTATTCAGAAGAATATATCATGGAATGTGTGGGGTATTAGGGCAGGGGTAGTACCACGGGTGGGGACACATCATGATCCTTCTGGGGTAGTTTGTCCACCTTTGGCCCCCTACCTGAACTCAGCTCTCACCTGTGGTTCATAGAAGTTGTCAGCATGCGACAGCGGCCACACCCCAGGAATGGCTTTGATGGACCAGTTAAAGCATTCAGACATGCATTCCAAACAATCCCAGGATTCTCAGATTTGATCATTGCCACCCCACCCACAAGAAGTAAAAGCACCAGTTTAGAGCTCTAATCCTATGAACCTGGAAGTAATCCTCACTGAACCTCAATGAACTCACTTCTGAGCAAAAATGCATTGGATTCCTACGCAACACTCTGTTAACTTAAGCAATGCTATGATCTTGGAAGGAAGCCCCACTAAACACAGTGGATCTTACTTCTTATTAGGCATGAGTAGTGATATGGACATGCTTGATTCAGAATATCCGATACCTGCAAGAAACAATAGCAATCACATCAGAAAGAATTGCATTGATAGGCTTATTAAAATGATTGGTTCTTTCCTGCTGATGACAACAGAGCAGCTTTTGAAAAACGACAGATGCCAGCTGCTAGCTCTGCGCTTGTTTCAAGCAGACTGGGAAATGTACATCAGAGAAGGGCAATGCATTGGGAACTGACTTGGTATTCTTTGGACCACTGAAATGAATGATGAACTATTTGGCACCAATTCTCCCCTTCCCACATGCCTATATATGATATACATCAGAGAATATTGGGAAATTTACATTTGATTTTTTTTTTTCTTCATTTGCATCTTCTAGAATTCATTTTGATGTTACGGATGAAAGGCTTGATGGTGCTTTTGAAGGATTCAGGAGGAAGCAATTAGGTCTCCCTGTTGCAAAAAAGGCTTGCTCTGATCCCATGGTTGTGTTCCAGCTGCAGTGATGAAACTGTGACTTGCAGTGATATAGCTAAAATCTCATCCTAGAAGTGGTTTTTTGTTGTTGTTTAAAAGGTGACTTGCTCTGTGCTATAAGCAATAAAACAACGAACAAGGCAGTGATACAATGACTTCTGCAATCGACACAAGATAATATCACAAAGGCAACTATCTGCAAACCAACAATAAATGTCCAGAAAAATGGCAAAAGTAGTGAGAGAGGTTTCTGGAGATATGTAACTTCTTGAGCTAATAACTTCAGGCTAGTAGCAAACAATGTCGTGGGCTGGAGGTGCTTACCTGTTCTCCTGGTAGGTGAGTCCCTCCTACTTACTGAGACGGGGAGGGACAAGGTGGTAGAGTGGCTGGTGCAGTGCAAATACACCAGTGGCGCTAATCTGCTGCCTCTGCTGGTGTGTTTGCACCGCACTTCCCTCCACACCATCTTAACCCTGCCCTTCTCCCTCCAGGTAAGCAGCAATGACTCACCCACTGGGAGGTCAGACAATGATATTAACATGTTGTCTTCTACTGCTTTAGCTACAAGTGTGGTTTTTGAAATATACTCTCCACCGGGGAAGTGTTCATGGAGTATATTGTCAATGCTAATACCAATGAACTATATATATAGATCAGAGATGAGAAGTCTGTGTCCATTCCCCCCCCCATTGTTGCTGCGCTACAATTCCTATCACCCCCAGACCATTGGCCATGCTACCAGGGGCTGATGGGAGTTGGAGTTTAACAACATCTAGAAAGCTGCAGCTTCCCCAGCCCTGCTATGGATGACCCTTCTTTCATTGCCAGCCAAAGGTCTTGACTGTTTAATGAAGGAATTAGATCTTCCTTTATCAATGTCCTCATATATAATTTAGATGCTAAAGGGAAGGAGATATTCCTTTCATGAGCGGAGGAATTTATGCACCAAACAAGCATACTAAATGATCTATACACTTCATGTCGAACCACATCAAAGGAGAAAAAGGGTATTCCTAGAATTTAGGTCTACAAACCAAGGGTCTATAATGCAGCCTGTTTTTCTCTTGTTCTACTTCATTAAAACTAGAACATTTTTCTCATTCACCTTCCAAACCTTTTTCTTAGAAGAGAAAAATCCTTCCTGCATAATTGTGCGTTCTTATAGGTTTTTATAGTGGCAGATGGTCTTCTTTCATCATCTGTGCCGCAAAAAATGAGCAATTTTAGAATGTATGATTATGGTGTGATTACTTTCAATATAGCCATTTGGTCATAATAACCCAACAATTGTATTGGTAGGTCAGATCAAAGTCCATGCAATTCAGCAGGTAGCAAGAAGATTGCAATTCTGTGTTCCCAGGATCTCTTCTTCAGAGATATACTGTACCTGAACATGGATGATTCATTTACAGAAACACACACACACACACACACACACACACACACACACACACTTCCCTTGCTTAAGAATCCTACATGCTTAACATTAGACATATTAGAATGACACAGACTGTAAGGATAAAATAGCACAGCCCAATTAAAAAGCAATATCTATATATCTTAGACTATATATAATCAGGAAAAGCTGAGCAAAAACACCACATGTTGGCTGGCTTATGAGTGCTTAGTGAAAAAAATAAATATTAGAATTTTTTGAGAAGCAGGTTCCATATTGAGGGAGCAACTACTGAAGTGGTGCCCCAAATGTTCTCTTATTTTGATGTAGTGTTTTCCCCAATACTAGAGTATGTGCAAAAACATTCCTTGTTCCCCTATCCTGTTTGCTCCCATTGTTCCTATCTCCACAATTATTAATTTTTTGGCCTCATATTCCATCTTCTCATCACTGCATTTTTGTCTTCCTTGATTAGCCACATGAGTAATCCCAGCCAACTAGGGTTCATGCAGTGAAGGGAATAACATCTGATGCTGCACTGCCAGTTTACTATACTATCACATTATCGAGGGCAAAAGGCCAGTGGAGAGATAGGGCCATGCTTCCGGGGTCCACTAGATAGATTATGCTAGCCAATCATGGATCATGGAATGTTGTGACAAAGCTATCGTGCAACCAATCATATTTCAGTATGGGCTGCTGTCACTGAAGGCAAACAAAGCCTTCACTCTTGATAGGTGAACATCTTCACATTCGTTTCACACAATAATAATAATAATAATAAATGCTTAAAAAGAGGCCCCTTTTGATGCTCTTGGAAATGTTTGAAAAGCGTCTCCCTTCGGCTCATCCCCTATTCCCTGCAGCTGCCTAACTTAACTTCAGAAGGCAGGGGCACTCTGAGCAGTGCAATGGACTTCCTTTGGATGGAATCTATGAGTGTGGCATCTTTAACAAATAACGCACAACCACAAATGGCAACTGCTAATTCTTTTACAGAACTGATGTCCGTTTCCTTCCTTGTTTAAACATTGCAGTGTGGTTTCTATATATCAACAGCAACACCAAATTTATTATAGCACCCCTATAGTTCCCCTGGTCCCAATAACTCCTACAGATTGTACTTCTACCACGAGGAACCAAGATAAGAAAGCTGTTTCCTCTACCAGACTTTGCTGAGGGAAGCACCACCTGTGGTGGCATGCATATGGGAGACAGCATCCCTTAAATAGACCACAAATAGATGTAGCTTCCTTCTTTATAGCCAGAGGAAGAATGGACTCTGGAGGATACAGCTATTACTACAACTTTTAGTTTGCCGTTCTCTCAAGGTGCCTCGGTTAAATGCTAATCTGCTGTGCTGTCATCCAGGATACAAGGAAATCATCACCTGCAAATTCAAGACTAGTTCACGAACCATCTTTTTGCCCCCAGGGTGTCAACACCTGCCCAGTATAGATGCTAATTTGCCTTAAATGAATATGCTGCCTAGAGGTAGGTTTGAGGCTGCTGAGAGGAGGATACAGCCACAACAAGCAATGTGGTACACATTGTGTACAGAGAAGCTTTCAACCAAATGCAGGAAAGTCAGGGGCAAAAGTTTCATTGACTGTAATGAATAAGAATGGTGTTCATAAGATGCAATTTCCTTTTGAGCTTCCTGTCTATCATTCTGTACACTGGATGCAGGCTGGAATTTAAAAAGGCTCTTCTCCACAGCATCTATGACAACCTTTTTTCAAATTTGACCTGCCAGGCTTCTACCAGGGCATTATCTTTTCTTTCTTTTTTCGAAAAAGAAAAGAGTAATGTCAACATGAATAACTTCACAGCTTGACACTGTTGACTATGGGAAAAAATAGTTCACCTCTTTGCCAACTAGCCATAAGAGCATGTGGGTGAATCAATTAATTTTTCAAACTTGAGAAATGCAAAAGGTTAGTAATGACCACAAACTCTTCCCAGGCTTTGAAAGAGAGGAATGATTGTGAGTTTTAGCCTGTATTCCTTTGGCTATGGCTTTTGTGCAAATATTCTATCTGATCTTCTTTCTGGTTCAATGTTAAATGACAATGTATGCCCTTGTGCCTCCGAGCTACTCTGTTAAATATATATATATATATATATATATATATATATATATATATGGGGGCATTGATGGGAATATTTCTGGCAAGTTTGTTTTGCATTACCTAGAATCATTCCATACACAGTCAACAGAGATCTGAATCAAGTATCACTTGTTTTAACAATGCAGTGTTGGGCAAATCATGGTTTCAAAAGACGTTTTCCATTGCATATACAGTGGTACCTCAGGTTACATACGCTTCAGGTTACATACGCTTCAGGTTACAGACTCCGCTAACCAAGAAATAGTACCTCGGTTTAAGAACTTTGCTTCAGGATGAGAACAGAAATCGTGCAGCGGCGGCGTGGTGGCAGGAGGAGGCCCCATTAGCTAAAGTGGTGCTTCAGGTTAAGAACAGTTTCAGGTTAAGAACAAACCTCCAGAACAAATTAAGTACTTAACCTGAGGTACCACTGTAGCTTGAAACATTAGGCAGAAAATCACACACCACCAAGAAGTTTTATGCTTTTAGTGGCAAATCATCATATTCAGCATCAGGCATTCAGTTTATAATGAAAACAACCTCCTCCTTTGCATAGCTCCAGTGTGATTTTAAGGAGTTTCACAGTAGAAGTTTCAAGCAGATTGTGCAAAGTTTAAGTGCAAAGTGGATGACACTGTTTTGTTCATTTTCAATCATGCCATGTATTGCATTAATTGTAGAAAATGTACATATTTACATAAAATGGCTTGGATTTTTTATTATTCCTTTGCAATGTATACTGTTTCCACTTCAAAGTGCTCATCTTTGCCACATACAGAATGACTCCAGTCCAACTAAACAAGGTTTCCAAGAAGTATATGGCTTCTAGGAGAGCCAGAGTGGGGCTAGAACCTGGAACACCAGGAAGCTCCACCACTGGGCAACCCTAACCTTAAAAGGTAAAGGTAAAGGGACCCCTGACCATTAGGTCCAGTCGTGGCCGACTCTGGGGTTGCGGCGCTCATCTCGCTTTACTGGCCGAGGGAGCCGGCGTACAGCTTCCGGGTCATGTGGCCAGCATGACTAAGCCGCTTCTGGCGAACCAGAGCAGCGCATGGAAACGCCGTTTACCTTCCCGCTGGAGCAGTACCTATTTATCTACTTGCACTTTGATGTGCTTTCGAACTGCTAGGTTGGCAGGAGCAGGGACCAAGCAATGGGAGCTCACCCCATCACAGGGATTCGAACCGCCGACCTTCTGATCGGCAAGTCCTAGGCTCTGTGGTTTAACCCACAGCACCACCCGCGTCCCACCCTAACCTTAGGAAACCATTTAACACTCAATGTATTAGAAATATGAAGTGGGTATATTAAATACTAAGTTCTTTGTGAAATATTAATCTTTTGACATTTGAAAATATCTTGAATGTGTGTTTGAAACAAAGCGATGTTTAGCTAAAAATATGAAGTCTTCTCCCCCCACACACCTCCAGCGTCTCTTGGATTATTTCGAATCAAACTACACTGAGTTCCGATTTCTGAATCATCCTGCATTCTGTTATGCTGTTAAGATACCATCATTCATTCATTCATTCATTCATACATACATACATACATACAGGAACTGCTCCAGGCAGTGAATATTCTCATTGAAGTATGAGCAACAGATCTAAAAATAAGAAGGGTTCTTTACGATTTTGACATATAGTTACTCTAATGGTGAGTTGTCTTATGTAACACAGAGCAGGGAAGTGTAACATTTCCTTCCGGGATCAGTAGCTTTG